GACTGTCAAATTCTTCTTCTTTGTTGTAAATGAGAACTTTGAGACCCTTTCTAGACTTTACCCGGCAGAAAGCAACATAGAGCTGAAGGTGTGTAAAGACTGGACGACGCAAAAACAAACCCATATTCGAGAGCGACTATCCCTGACTCGTGTTTATAATCATAGCAAAACAGATGACTACTGGAAATTGTCTGCGATTGAGCTTAATTGACATTCTTTCGTTAGAGGGACTAATATCCATAATTGGAATGAAACATTTCCTACCAATATTTGCTCCGGTACCATTGCATAATCCTCCTGGCTGATCTAGATTTAGAAGAAGTATAATTGGCACACCGACTTTAAGCGTTATTTTATAATTGGGCATCCCAGAACATCTTATTGAATTGAAAAAGTCAATAGTGTAAACGACATCATCATCAGGATTCAATGACTTCGAGATTTCTTCGATACTATCTGAATTGTAGTATACTTTGGCTTCTCCAGAAAGCAGTGACCACATATATCCAAAGATAACATCAACATCATTATTGGTCATTTTTGTCCAAGATATTTTAATATTTCGAATACTATTAGTTTTTCATGAAAATTTTCATACGATCCTTCTTAAAAATATAAAATAATATCCTATTTATGATATGGTACTTTTTTTTAATTCTTTTTCTAATGCTAACTGTTCATGGATGTACTTAGATACTAAATTTTTTTACGCGATATTAATTATTGTATATTTCGAGGAATACATTAGTTGAAATGTGTAAATTTTTACATTGTTTTAAAATTAAAATGAACCGAGTTCACAGTACGTGTTTGTCTAATTTTTTTAGCCAACAAACACTGTGAAAAGATATTAAGTCTAAAAAAACTTATGGTCACAATTCAAACAAATAAACTCAAGAAAACTAATGCAAAATCATATTTTCTTAAACATAATGGAGCATGCTTTGGACAACTAAAGAAACTTAACGTATTAATAATTGACACATTTCCCATTTAAAATTCTTACATTATGTCGATGTCAAAATATTAAAATACTAAAATGATTCAAATTTATACTATTAATAGTTTTGTTTCTAAATGAATCTTGCAAGTTAAAAATATAATGAATGAAAAATTCTCGATGAAATCTGAATTCGATTCGGATAACAAAACGTAAAGTTTAAACATTAACATATTCCATAGTTGTGGTAGAGCCAAATTTTCGGCGGTTACATATTAATGTTATTATATTAATGCCTTTTCATTTGTCTACAGAAACATAATATTGGGCTTGCCAGAATTTTAAATTCTTGAAAGATCATAATGAGATAGATATATGAAATGTATGCATAATTAAACATATCACAGCCCGAGAACCATAAGAAACCCAAAAAAGTAGGGCTTTTGTTCAGAACAATAATTTTTGTTCAAGATCTTCAAGCTAGACAGAAAAGAAAGAAAAAAAAAAACTATGAACTTCAAAAACATTGTTTCTCTAAGAAAACTAAAACCAAGTAAAAAAACACAAAAAATGTTGAATTAAATTACCTTGATTTTGTTAACTCTTCATGGATTCAAAAGAAAAAGTAACTTACTTCAGTAGGCTCAGAAGAATGCAAAAGCGAAAAATCTTTTTGAAGAAAGATTTGGAGAGGTAGAGAGACCAATATTGAACATGAAGATATGGGGAAAATTTGAATTGAGGTTATTAATAAGCATATATGATCCAAGCTATAAATCACGAAGACTCATTATCGTCCCTAAATGGCCACTGTTAGCATCCACTTTCCTTTCACAAATACTTTCAATGCTAGTCAAGCTATTTCTTCCGAAGAAAAAAAATCGTAAAGTTAAGTACAAATTTGTAAACATATTGATTTGTACATAATAAAATGATTTGTACTCCCAACAACAGCAAAAAGAAAGAAAAATGAGTACTCCATAAAATGATGGGTTATTTGTAGACATACGAAATACACAAGAAATGCTTAAACTAATCAATATTAGATCAACAATAACTACAAACTAATTCATCTGATTGCAGTAATTTACGTGGTCTAATACTTTCACCATCAGATAACGATGTGATCTACTACAATTAAGTTGCTTCCACTCGGTTACCCATCTAAAAAAAAAAGAAAGAGGAAGAAGAAGATTCTCATCAAACTAAATTCCAACCTTAATGCTCATATTAAAATTCTTCAATGCATTAAATTGCATGAAAGTAACCCAGGCTGCATCTACAATTTGTCCCATTAAAAAAAAGTATTGAGACCATACATGTTTAGGTGTTTAGGCAAAATATTGAGAACGTGCATATTTATAAAAATGAAGGGACATACAAATTAAATAATGCCTTCTTTAATTTTTTTTGAGACTAAAATTTACAATAAGATTTATCCCATCAAAAAAGCTCAACAGATCAATAAGCTACTAATCTTAATTTTCAGAACACCAAATTAGCAAAAACAAATCCACTTACTCTAATCAATCCCAAGATTCTTACAGCACAATAAACACAAGCATATGATTACTTTCTAAAAAATTAAAAGAATTAAAAAAATTAAAAAACGAACATGATGTTATCGATCATACATTCTGTGCATTTAGTAGAACCATTCAACTGAGCAAGCAACGGAAATGAGCCTTCTCACTATTACCATTATCTACGAATATAAGAAAAACTTTACTGGGTGAATTTTCAGGACACTCGAGGCTATCGATCGTATAGTATTTATAGCAAATAGAAAATTTCCTTCTGCCTATTAGGATTCACGGTTAAAAAACAACACATACACACTGCTCTTCACGGTGGAGATGAGTGAAGGATAGGAAGAAAAAAAAAATTAAAACAAAAAATGACTTGGAAAAAATTATTCAAAGAAACGATGACGAGGATTGCTGTTACAAAATTGATGTTCACTCTACTAATTTTTACAGCTTGACAACATGGAAACAAACATTAGCCCCAAAATAAGAGTGACATTTCAATTTCAAGCTTATCAGAGACATTCAATTGCTAAAAAGCTATTCAATTGCTCCTAAATTCAACCATAGCAGTTGTCGAGTTCTCCTCTGCTACTAATACTGCTTCGTTCACTCGTTACCATTTGCAAACCACGTGCTTTTCCACTGGAGAAAAGCTCATGATCGCAGCGTCGAGGATCTGAATGTTGAATTCCTTTGCTTCAGTGATTGCCCCCCACGTCTTCAAAGTCCGTCAGCGTATCTACAATATATCCTCCGATTTTTGCACCGGAGATCATCAAACGGTCAAGCTCCCCGTCCAATTCTTATTCTGTCTCGAGGTCGTCAAACTTCCAGTTATTTTCGAAACCCTCGGTCCCGATTACGACGAGAAAGTGCTCCCCGACATCAGTTCGGCGGTTCTAATCACCGCGGTGGGACAGTTCAACGCCGACCAGTTACTGACTAATACATTCACCGATCTTATTCGTGAAAAGGTTGTTGAAGTCCTAAAATTTGAGAATATTTTCAATAATAAATCACATTTAATAATATTTCGATACACACTTAACTTACACTTATCTTAACTAATTATGTTATTGTTTTAAAATTTATGTTTGTTTCAATTATCTTTTCAAACAAAAATATCTTGAAAAGAAACCAGACCCTCTTTCTCTCCCTCTTCATTCGGCCGCAATCTTCTTCTTCTTTGCCGCCGGTGCCGCCGAATTTCTCGCTTGAAGGCCTATTAAACTTCTTGAACCTTTTCTTCACCATGTTCTTTCGAATATTGCAGATAATGTGATTAGCAGCACATTTAATTTTGTTCTTTATAAAGAAAGTATCTTCAATTAAATGTTGGTTTATCTAATCCTTCAGTAAGAGAAAATCGTGAGTTTTGATCTCCTCCAATTTCGAATTGATATTTTTAATTAATACATAATTCGATCCTATGATTTCGTAAAATCAATTACGCAAAATATGGAGCATAATCTCCATTTTCGTAGCCCCGATTTCACTGTTAATAGATTCATTTTTTGGGAATTCCTTTTCATTTTATCGGAAGTATCACCCCTTCATGATTCGGGGAGCAGAGCATTACGAATTAATTCACAAGCGGCATAAATGAAAAGATTTCTGGGGCAATGTCAGCGGAGCGGGAGACCAATTTGATTGATAGAGAGTATCAAGAAAACAGAATTCATCACCTATCTCTGACGATGAAACATGAAAATATATTCGAGGAAGGATCATGAAATTAAATTCGTGGAGGGAGTCCGAGTTTACAACTGAAAGCGTCGGACATGAAAATACTTTCTGGGTAACGCCGCCGGGACGCGCTAAGGAATTCATGCCGGATTGATAATGTCACTCAAATAAACGAAATTCATCGCGTAAAAGGTGTTGGAGAAATAGCCAGAGAGGTATTAACGATAAAGTTATTAATCTTCTTCGTTGAGATGACCGGAACTCATTGTCGGTAGGAGATTCATCGGAATAGCATTAGTCCAGATATAGTCGATGGAATCAAGGGAAGCAATCGTCGGAAAGCTATTGGTAGTTCAAATGAAATGGTTAAGTTAAAAAAAATTATAAATATAAAATATTAACTATTTTACCATTAAATTTTTACTATGAAACCTATTAGTATCTTAATTGAGCGACAGGTTGTACATAGTAAATTTATAAAAGAAGCATTTTACTTATATATTATTACTGTTCAATGAATGGCCAATGACTAAATGACAACTGTCAATGAAATCAATTTATGGGCAATTGAATAACACGTCATCACCCATCTCCTTTCCTTTAATATAATATATCTATATATAGGATTTTTTGTATTATATTATCCATATAATATAATTATTGTTTATCTATATTTTTAAACTCATATTATCTTCTATAATAGTATAATCATTATTTATCTATATTCTTTTAAAAAAAATAATACTTAATATAAGGCATTTTGATTTGTCATAGATTTGACTTAATACATATTTTTAATTGATGAAAAAACCCTAAAAATATATTTTTTACATTTGTTGTATTCTCTAGATTATTATGAAATATTTTTTTTAAAAAAATTTCAATTAAAAATGCATAATAAATTAAATTTAAGACAAATCATTCTGCCCTATATTAAGGACAGGACCGGAGGGAGTACTTCAATGTCAGATCACTACGACAGGCATACGTTTTACGTTCGAGGAAACCCAACGCAAAAGGATTCCCTTCTCCATTTTTTCGTTTTAATCTTACCTCCCCAATCTACTCCCTAAAGGCATTCATTGCAACAAGAACACCCATATTTGTGCTTGACCTCATCCAAAAGTAATGCAAAGAATGTTGATACCCAATATCATCAGAGAAGTGACATATTTAACCATCAGAATCCATCAAGCTGCCAATCTCTTTAGAGAACTCATTGACATTCCACCTTGATCGCAAACAGTTAACGAATATCACTACAAATTACCTCCTTTTACAAGTGTTTCTCCCTGACAATCTATCCTACTCTAACTCTTAACCCCGGAAAGGGGAGGGAAGACGAAGGGAAGAAGAATCCCTAAGAGCACAATTTGCAATTCAATCTCTAAACACATTACTCACGAAAAGCCTTACTTGAAACTATACCACAATTAGGTGGCCACGACGACAGAGAATGGAAGGAGCCGTGTGCATCGGCTCATTAGTAGAGTACGCTTTCCTTCCTCATCCCGGATTCCCGGATTCTCTAACTAGCAACCGTAACAACAATTCACATACTGGTTGTTCTCATCCTCATCACTGGCCCAAATGCAAGCCCTACATGAAAAGCCACCGGCAACACTTTTCAATAATTACATACAGGATCTACATACTTCAGAAAGTATCAGAAATGATGAGCAAAAGAAACGAAGCAAAAGTAAGGTGATGTCTGAAATCAGGTTCAATATACAAAATCAACTCATACTAAGATCTTCACTTTAAGACATTCTTACCAGCAGTAAGATCAGATAGTTTTGGGAGGAAACGGACAATGAAAACACAAGTACCCCCAAGTTACTAGCATCAAAAAACCATATTAGAAAGACACATTAACTGTGTAGAATGCTTTTCCATCTAACCAACCTTTACCATATACTCCAGAAAAACATCAACTCTCAGATCAGTCATTGAGTCATGCAACAAGCAAAAAAGTAGCTCAATCATATTCAGAAAGCCAACACCAATCCACCTATGATGCAAGATAAACCCAACCAACCCCACCCGATGAAACTATGCAAAAGACCAGTACCAAACCCCAAGGTTTTTCTTTATTCCTTCTCTCATGCATCCTTTGATCCTCCCATTTTCTGACTGGGAATAAACAGACATGAAGTTGGACAGGCAGCTGGCAACAAAGTTACTCTCCATTCATCTTTGGAACAAAGATTTCTTTCAGTTCTTTTTCCTTTTCTTCTTTTGTTTTGATACAAAGATTTCTCTTTTACCAAGTTAGACAAGAAAATACTAGGTTCTGTAAACCCCTTTTTTTTAGATAATTGTTTACCAAGGTAGACAAGAAAATACGAGAATCACATGTACTACAACAGGGACACATTAATGGTAAATTGACCCAAGCTCACAACTAAAATATATTTTAAAAAAAGTCATAGTGGTAATATCAAGTGTGTTACATATCCAACTATGTAAAGTCACCTACAAGCAAAACTGAAAGCAGCAACAGAGGTAAGCAGGGAATTACCATATTTAATTATACAATGACAATGCAGAGCTTTCTATTCTATGGTCCAGTCATAAACAAAGGAATAAATCTTCATAATTCAAACTGATGTCAGATAATATATGATATTTCATGCACAACCAATGAATCAACTGAAAAGCCATCGTCGAGTACTGAAACAATAATAGGGTCAAAATCAATAAAGAAAGAGATTTAGTCAAGGAGCATAAAGGAGAGAGAAAAAAGTGGAATCTAAACCACCAGTAGTTCTTTGCTTCAAACTACATAGGTCCTCAAGACAGCCGTTATCGACCGATTTACCTATCTTCCACAAAACCAAAAAGCTAGCTTATTTTCTACTGTAACTTCTAACACCAAGCACTTGATCCGTTTGGGATATCATTTCCATTATTAGTAGCAAGAAGATGCGTGCTCTTTGTACACTCAAGTAGGGACACATTTTGCTATACTAAAGAGAACTTGCTTCAAATTGAGCCTTGTCTACATCTAATAGGCACTCAACCTAGGTCACCTAGCAGAATCTGAAAAAGAAGCTACAAGTTTCACTGCACATCGCAATGCACTAAGAGTCAGAGCAATGTAAGGAATTCACAAACTAGATAAGCTCTATCAAAAATGCATTATGACTATTTCCCTAATAACTTTTATGTCTTTCAAACTTCGATGTAGTAAACTCATAGTTATGTCCAGGCTCATGTTTGCAAAACCTAGTAACCGTGTACTTTAAAAATCACAATGACCATTACAGAGACAAATTTGAAGCAGTAATTTTCTACAGAAAGACAAACTTGAAGGAGCCAAATAATACGTACTAGTCAATCACGAACAAGTGAAAAAGTTCCCTAGATTCCCCATGCCGTTGATTGGTTCCAAAAGCTGTAATTGGTGTTGCTGTTGCTCATCGGGCTGTGGCTCGACTTGCTGCAAGGGCTGCACATTCGTAGCATCAATAGTGGGGGCTGCGCCAAGATTCTGGGATCCCTTCCCCTCTACAAACCGCCACATGTACCATGCACCCACTGACCTATAGGGCTTCCATTTCTCACACAATTGCTCCATCTGAGAGGGCCTTGGCAAGTCGTCTAATCCATATAACAATTGCACACCTTTCCTCACCCCCAAATCACTAACAGGCAAAACATCCGGCCTATGCAGGGAAAAGATCATGAACATGTGAACAGACCACGACCCAATACCCTTAACCATAGATAGCATTGTAAACAATGACCTGTCATCCATTTTAACCACAGTTTCATCAGACAAAATCCCAGATTTGTACTTGTTTGCCAGGTCATAAAGATAGCTGGCTTTTCTACCGGAGATTCCCACTTGTTTGAGTTGCTGAGCAGAAAGAGCGAGCACATTATCAGGGATAACCGCAGCTTCGCCACCACAAAGAGCCACAAAGCGGTTGTAGATGGAAGTGCCAGCTTTGTAAGCTAGTTGCTGATAAAGAATGCTCTTGGCGAGAGAAAGAAACGGGGAGTGATGGGACTCTAATGCCGGCGGAGGACAGGTTTCAATCAGAGCGCCGAGTAAAGGGTCCGCCATCCTGAGGTGGTGGATAGCAGCGTCAATCTCTCCATCGGCCGAAAGGGGTTTGATGATTCGGGGCACAACCCTGGCTGCTTGGATAGCACTTCGCCTCCGATTATTCTTGTTCGCGGAACCCCCGGAGGTCGAATTCACGATACTGGTAGTCGTCGTGGTGGCGGGGGAAACGGAGGCCGGAATAGGAAGAGTAGGGGAGGAGGAGGAAGAGCCATTGATTTGTTGCGAATTAGGGTCGGAGACGGCGGGAGCTGGGACAACGGAGTCAGTGGTGACGGTGGAAGTAGGGTTTGTGGAAAGTTTTCTAATCTTCTGAGGACGAATTGGGATTTTGGATGGGTTGGTAGATTTCTGCAAAACATTAGCATCGAGAGAGGAGCCAGTTACAGAAGAAGGAGAAGGCGGGAGGGGAACTGGGGAAGAATCAGAAATGAATTGAGATGAGGGAGAAGGCGATTGAGATTGGGTTTGTTCACCCATACGTCCAGGATAGATGAGCAACCTATTTCTTAGAATTTTCAGTCCAAATTAGGGTGGTAGGAGATTGGAGAAACAGAACCCGATTGGGCAGGAAACGGGGAAGGAAAGAGGGACGGCTGATTCGTTGGCTTCGTTTGTTGGTGATAGTTGCCGGAAAATAGTGTTGTGAGCTTGTGTGGGGAAAGAAAGGCCGTCGCGACGGGAGGAGATGTGGTGGTGCGGAAAAGAAAAATAATGGACAGAGCAACTGCGACCGGTGGGAAAAGTCAAAATGTTTGTGACGAGATTAATAATTGACCCTTTTTTTTTTTATTTGGTTTTGGGTTAATGACGGAATTGGGCCCAACTGCCTGCTTTCTTCTGTTCAGAAATAGGAAGTCTAATGTAAATCTACCAAAATTTCCGAGCTTCCCTTCGATAAAGTACCAAAATAATGGGTGAAAAAGAAGTGATGATCTTGTGGAATTACATCAAAAACTTTTCAAAATTTCAATTGGAAATTCCTCTTCCAGTTTATGTTTTGTTTTATCAACAGTATAGTTTTATCAGGTGAACTACTAATAGTACTAAAAATTAATTGGGCCTTCAAGGACAATTTTTTTTTAACGAAAAAATGTACTAACACTTAAAAAGAACAAACTAAAATTCCAACTGTCAACAATCGTGTGAGAATTATGATTCCTAAAATAATCGGTTGTTAAAATTTAGTGACGGACCTGGATATATATAATTATGAACATATGGTAGCACAAGAGTCTTCCTCTTCTCAAATTGCCATGAAATTTTTTATTTATATTTCACAAAATTGAAGCACAAGAGTCTAATAAGAGCTAAGGTTGTCGTGGTGCATTTGTTTCTTCCCCGATCTGCCATGCATTGTTGGAGAGGTCGAATGAGATTCAATTACGGAAGGGCATCGTTGGCACTAAGTTCACATTGATCTAATTGTTATCTTTTGATTGGAGGGGATTCTCATCGGAGAAAATGAGTTGAGCTTTTCTTTTTTCTTTTCTTTTTTTTTTTTTTGGCCTTGTCCTACTGTTTTTCTTTTGTGGAATGGATGTTTCTGTATCTGTTTCCTTATTTCACTTTCTTCGCTTACTTTCATTTCTTTCTCCAATTATCTTCGGGCCTCATATCCTTTTGTTATTTGTCTCTTCTTCTTTTTTTTTTTTATTTGAATCTAATATATAAAATTAAGGTAAACAAAGTGGTTATGGTGGAATGAAAAAGACTCCTTCACCCTTAGTTATAGGTCGAGGGTTAGAATCTCTTCATGAGTCTGTAGCAACCTTAAATACTGTGGACATCCTACAAATACGAAAAAAAAAATAAATAAATAAAATTAAGGTGCTTGATTGTTCGTCTTGGGGAAAGGACTTGACATTTTGTGCATTTGATCAAATGTTTGTTGAAATGCGACAGTCAATTTTTTTAATTTTTTTTACACCAGGTATTATTTTAGCAAAAAATGTCAGACGATAACAGCTAACTACCACGCAACGCTGACGTGTCAGGGAGATTCCACGTCAGATGTTGACCGGATTGCTTTTATTATTTTAGTAGTTGGCCACCACTCAACACCGCCGCTTCCAATCCAAAGTAAGAAGATCTCTCCTTAAACAATACCAGGGTGAGCCCCACAACACACGTGTACACTCCCCCATGTCTATCCCGACCATTTCTCTCTCATGACATATTTATTGATTTATTCTTTCTCCACTTCATCAACCTCAGATTAACATTGTCGTTGTCAATTATTCATTCCCCGGAGAGAAAAAAATTCAAGGAAAAAAAGTGCAGGCGCACATACTCAAAACAGATTTCCGATGAGTTCCAGGGAGAATTCTGGGCTGGAAGATGGGCTTCGCAAGCCATTGTTGCATACCGGAAGTTGGTACAAAATGGGAATGGGATCCAGGCAATCTAGCATTATGAGCTCCTCTGCTCAAATGATCCGGGAATCTATCTCCATTTTCCTCTGCGTCTTCATCGTCGCTTTGGGCCCTATCCAGTTTGGATTCACCGTATGTTAGTCTCTTAGCTAATTCATATAAAGATCATTGCAAAATGTATTGAGGTTTGATGATCTATGTTTGTTCTTTCAGTGTGGATATTCGAATCCTACACAGTCCGATATCATCAACGATTTGGGACTAACCATTTCAGAGGTCTGCTCTTGACTTCAATGTGCACAAGTTCGTACACATTAGTTAAATTTGGATTTTATTATCTTTTGCGGATTGTATAGGTACTGATGAAGTTTCTTTAACGGGATGTTTTAGTTTTCAGTGTTTGGTTCGTTGGCCAATGTGGGTGCCATGGTTGGTGCAATTGCAAGTGGGCAGATTGCTGAATACATTGGCAGAAAAGGGGTAACTCTGTTGCATTATGTTTGCATTTCCTTCGTATTCCTCCTCATTAAGACCCCCTTAACATTATTGGCATTGGAATGCAGTCATTGATGATCGCTGCAATTCCTAACATTATTGGATGGTTGGCCATTTCATTTGCAAAAGTAAGTACTTTTTAAAGTGGATTAATGAATATCACATATTCACTTGACAATTACTTACATTAGTATATGTTTCAATCCTGACTATGACGACTTAGGATTCATCATTTCTGTTCATGGGAAGGTTGCTGGAAGGATTCGGCGTAGGGATTATCTCTTACACGGTAACTCCATTCTGTGAATAGCCTTAGTATATTGTGTATGACTGTAAGTATAACTGTCAGTTTTTCTTTTTTCCTTCACTCCACCATAGGTGCCTGTATATATAGCAGAAATAGCTCCTCAAAACTTAAGGGGAAGCCTTGGGTCTGTAAATCAGGTTTGTTTGATTTAATGTCTCTTTGTTCAGTTGTTCTAGCGACTTTGGTTACCTTCAGTTTGAGCAGCATGGAAATTGCTCTTTGTTTTTCTGGCGTAGCTTTCGGTGACAATTGGAATAATGCTTGCGTATCTACTAGGAATGTTTTTGCATTGGAGGGTACTTGCAGTACTTGGTGAGCAGTTTGAATTCCTTTAAAGTTCACACCTTTTTTTTTAAGGTTTTGGTTGTCCTTTTCTCTTCATTGTAGTAGGGGTTGATTCTTTAGTTGTCTACTCTGGCTCTTCACGAATTCAGTAATTGGAACATGCTTTCCCTGAAAGAATTAAGACCTTTCTGCTTTTGAAATCTAGTCGAAATGTCTTGGTTTTTCTTCCCATTTTTATACTATGTTTTAGCTGGAGAAGTTTAAAGTTTCTAGACTTGTATTTCATTTGGAGAGCCTGTCTAATAAAAATCACTCGTCGAACCTATTGCTATTTATGAACTGTCTGATAAAAGCCTTTTGTTCTCAGGAATTTTGCCATGCACACTGTTGATTCCTGGACTTTTTTTCATTCCTGAATCTCCACGTTGGTTGGTAAGTCATGAACCCTGAAATTAAATTTCATGTTAAATTTGAACTTTCAGTGATTGTTTTTTGACAAATGGATACAGGCTAAAATGGGACTAAATGAGGATTTTGAAACTTCTTTACAAGTTCTGCGGGGATTTGAAACTGACATATCAATTGAAGTGAATGAAATCAAGGTATAGGATTCAATGCACTGTTCAGTAACTGGATCGTATATTTGAATAAACTTGGTGCTCCCATATCACCTGCATTTTCTTTTACTCAGAGATCTGTGGCTTCATCAACCAAAAGGACTACCATACGCTTCTCAGAGCTTCAGAGAAGACGATACTGGTATCCTTTGATGGTATGTGATACTATCTGATTATTTTTATTGAAAGTTATTATGTCGTCATGGCTGGATTGAAAAATGTAGTGCATGCTCCACATCCTCTCTTTTAGCACATTCTTTCACTGACAGGGTAATATATTTGTTGCAGCTAGGGATCGGATTACTAGTGCTCCAGCAACTTAGTGGTATAAATGGTGTTCTATTTTATTCTAGCAACATATTTAAATCTGCTGGTGAGTACAAAATTTTTGGGTTCTGAACCAGCCACATTTGCCTGGTGTTTCAACTTTTTTGTCTAAACCTGTTATGTAAAACAATCTGGTATATTTTGTGACAGGTATCTCCTCTGATAAAGCAGCAACTTTTGGACTTGGGGCTATTCAGGTATGAAAGGAATATTGTTAATCTTTGGCATTATATTCATGTGTTTAGAAGTTTGCTGTCTGTGACAAAATGTCACTTTACTGATACTTAGGTGGTTGTTACTGGGATCACAACATCTCTGGTGGATAAAGCTGGGCGCAGGGTGCTTCTCATTGTGCGTGCAGCTGAAATCTTTATTCGTTGAATTGATTGTTTGAATCTAATTTGCCATCTTTAATGCGTATTGCGAATCTGCAATCTATTTTACAGGTATCTTCAGCAATGATGACCATGAGCAGTTTTCTTGTTGCAATTGCTTTTTATTTGGAGGCAAGTATTTTGATCGTCAGATTGCTATCCTACAGTCAAAAAAGTTTATGCTCTTTTGAATTTGTTTTGGCTTATCTTCTCAAAGATACTTTTACGGGATGTATACAGGATGTGCTACCTGAAAAGTCTCGTTTCATCTTGGGGATTATGTCATTGGTTGGGCTTGTGGTAGGAGTTTCTGGCATTCATGTCTTGCGATCCTCCTCTTATCTATCTCTCCTCTCTACATTTGCCTGATTCTCATATACTAACGTTACTCTTTCTTTTTCCAGATTTTGGTGATTGGGTTCTCTCTAGGACTTGGAGCTATACCATGGATTATAATGTCTGAGGTACACCGAAGTTGATAATCAGAAATCTCCAAAAGCAATATCATTCTATATGGGATAAGGATCATATGTTGTTCTTTTCCTCTCTTGTCGTGTCATGTGTTTAAATTGATCAATGCAGATCCTTCCAGTCAACATCAAAAGTCTTGCCGGCAGCGTGGCCACATTGTTCAATTGGCTAACAGCATCTATAGTTACGATGACTGCAAACTTACTTATGACTTGGAGCACTGGAGGTTGCACATACATACACTCTCTCGTCCAATTTGATTCTTTACTTTTGAAGTTACACCTTCAATTTACTAATAATGCTGATTTTGATTTTGATCTTAACAGGAACATTCACGATTTACGCACTAGTTTCCGCCTTTACTGTAGTGTTTGTAAAGATTTGGGTTCCTGAAACAAAAGGAAGAACCTTGGAAGAGATTCAATGGTCCTTCAGATGAGATAATACTACTACATACTTACCTCATGTATACAATTCAGTTTTCCTCGCCATTGTGTGCCCATGTATCTTTTTTTTTCCTCAATACTGATTTCTTTTCTTTTTTTTTTTAATGGAAAAAGTTTAGGGACTATCTTAATCATCGTAATTAGAATCAAGGACCAATCGAGTTGTTAACTCTTTAATAGATTATATTCAAATTTTACTGCCTAATTTCCCTTTTCCTTTTCTGGAAAGCATCTGAACTCTTTTATAAGCGCGCCACTGGTCTACTTGAATAACAGTATGCATTGGATAGCCAACAGACTTGAATCATAGCATATGATACTTATTGCCCTGATGAGTTTCGGACTATTACATTTCCAGATGGATATAGTGGTAATGAATCATATAACACAAATAGCATCTGCGATGTCCTAGGACGACGTCTCGTGCTTTGTGAAATTGAAGGAGTGAATAATCCAGATGGCTTCTCAGATTTCAAAATATGGGTACTACTGGACGAACTGAGGTGTTTGCAGCAGAGAATCTACAAGGAAGATATTCATTTGGCACTAGACAATTATGGATTGCTTCAGCAGCTTTCCATCCGTGTGATGCGGGCGTTATTCATTTGGCACTAGACAATTATGATCTGGTGTCTTACAATTTGAGCTGGAAGCATTTAGAGTTCAAAAGAAACTTGAAGAGAGGCATCTCATTAATGAATTCTATGGATGGCCTCTATGCTTTCTGATCGAGTTGCCATTTTGGCCAGTTTTCGTTCCACCTTCCCTAGTTTGAGTCATCGAGAGAAATGAGATTTTTCTACTACAAAAGGGACTGTATTTGAGTCCTTGAATTGAACCTATATTGTGTACGTCTCATTTCATTTCCAAGAAAAAGAAAATGTATGTCTTATTTGTTGTAGGATTGCAATTATACTCTTTTCAATCCTATTTATAAAGCACAAATTTATATAAGTAAGAGCAATTTGCTTTGTGCAGTTCATTTTGATGTTTGTAATAGTATGTCTTGTGTTCTTTTTTGTCTTGATCTTGACTCTCCATCTCACTGATGTTCAGGTGCTTGGTGAACTGTAAGCAAAATGAAGCAAAACCGAGCAACAATTGGTGATCTGCAAATTTAGCCGATGAATGGAAGTAATTTGATCATCTTATATGCACATATATAGGTACTTGTGGGGTTTATATTCCCTTCCCAAACTGGTAGTAAAATTGTAGTTCACATTGTTTCAATTAAATCCATTCTTTACCTATATTTCAGTGATTGGTTTCTCTCTCTAGTACTCATTATGTTAGAGGTATATATATGCCAAAAGTTGACCACGAGAAATTTTCAAAGATATATCATTCTACATGGGATAAAATCAGAGCCAGGATTAAGGGACAACAAAAACATATGCAAAGAATCCATTGCTCAAATTCAGTTCAATCTTTTCGGCGAACAATGATACACCACCAAGTTCACAATATTAGATCAAAGTAATAACCAAGAAAGGGAAAGAAGAAAAAAAAAAAAAGAAGAAAATTTGGAGGGCTTAATAGTTGATGTACAGAGCAGGAAATCAATTTTGTGGTTCATCTGCTACCAGGGAAGAAAGCAACTTCTTGAGACACTTGTTGTAGACGCAAGGCCGCTCCAGGTGAACCAGGTGGCCTGCCTTCTCGATGCTCTGAAATGTCGCATTATCTCCCAGTTGTCTGTTAATTGTTGACAAAAAACAAATCAAATGTATCAATTCCGGAAACATAGTATTGGGTAAGCTGTAATCATACCTAGCCAAGCAGCCTACAAGGCAATAACATAATTCACTCACTCTTTCATGTTCTGAGCCAGCTCTAGATTGAAAATCTGATCATCCGCGCCCCATAAAAGATGTATTTTCTGCAACATGCAAATCACGTTGAGCCAATTAGGCTTGAAAATGAGTGATCTAATCTTCCATCATATAAGACAAATTGTTTCATTCTTGTTGTTTCTCAATTGATGCAGAAAGTCCTGAAATCACCTGGGAGAAGTGGGGGATGGTAGCTTCCTTGTTGCTAACCACTAAAGCTTCAAGCAGTTCAGCTCTTTCCTTTCGGTTGTTGAACATCACCTACGTATACATCATCATTATAACCGCTTAGTTCAATAAGATTACGATTGCATGAGCTTTCCATAAGTTTGTAAAATTGGAAATTCAAGATATTGATACGTATATATGTTCCGTGTAAGGACTATAACTTAAACTGGGCAACCATTGATAAATATGTTTCCTGTAAATATTAAGATTACAAGTAAATTGGACAATATTTTTGTGATTGAGGGAATATTATTTTGTGTGTGTGTGCGCAATACATATAAGAGTAGGCTAAACATATTCAGCCAAATTTAAGGCTCGAATACGAAATGGATTTTATTACAAATTCCTGTATGAACCGAATATACTAAGTAAACTAATATGACGGCTAAGACCAAAACTGGCTAGTAGGTAACATTGTAAGTTAGATAACCTACTCGATCCACTTTTATCGATTATCAGTTCGTTTCTATCTACGTAAGCATTGATGGCCCATATCAATTTCATCTACCAGTCACAGCTGACTTTCCAAAAACTACATATAAAAAAACACCTAAAAACACATCCAAAATAAACAAAACAAACTTATTAAACAATCTCCACATTGACAAAATGCTTTTTCATACATTTTCTTTTCGATTTCTGGGAAAGATAAATATTACAACTTATATAATAATTATAAACAAACTCGTCAATCATTTTTTTTGAATATAAATACTACTCCTTTTGTTCTAAAAAAAAAATTCCGCATCCAGTTTGGAGGTTAGTCTCGAACTATTTTTTTGGGATGAGGTATTTAACTAAAATATTGATGTAATGGTGTTAAGTTATGCTTCAACAAATCAGTTGAAAGAAAAAAAAAACAAAAAGAAAGGAAACAAAGATCCCCTCAAATCAGACATATGGTAAGTACGTGTGTTCAAAAAAATGGATTTAAATTAAACTCCGTTTTCAAAATGATTATCTAGTATAGATTTTTATTTTTAGTACTAAATGTTATATTAACTAATTTGTGATGCATTAAAATTTTGTAAAAGTTAAAATTGGACAAATCATTACGAGATAGGGAAGAAGTACAAAATTTGAGATCTTTACATTTCTACGAATGAATTAATTCGTCATGCATCTAATTTGTAAAATTCGAAAATGAAATAAATATAAAACAAAAGCGCATGCATGCAAAAAAATAATACGGGAAGCAAAGAGGAACGAATGATTCAACCAACCTCGAGAAAGTCCTTGTGGAGCCGATCCGGGAACCAGAGCTTCTTGTAAACCGCAACTTTGAGGAGTGCCTTTAAACCCTTCACCGAGTCCGGCAACAAAAGCTCCGACGACGACGAGAACCCCAAGCTGTTCAACGTCGTCGTACTAATAGAATCCGTCATGGCCAGAATGGAGCCCGAAATCACCAAACCCTGAACCAACTCCGGGTACATCTCCGCCATCTTAAACGCCACCATCCCGCCGTAACTAAACCCCACCACCACACACTTGTCAATCCCCAGTAACCTCAACCCTTTCACCAGACATTCCGCCTGAAAAGTCGGTGACCTGTCGGAACTCTCCGTGATGGAGCCGCCGAAGAACAGGAGGTCCGGCACGTAGACGGAGTATTTCTTAGTCAAGGCTCCGATCTGGAACTGCCACGTCACGATCCCTTCGGCCGCGAAACCATGGACCAGTACCACGACGGGTTTTTCGGGTTTAGGTTTGATGATGAGGTGGTGATCATCAAGGTTGGTGTTGTTGTAGTCATTAATGTTGGAGGTTGTGGTTTTCTTGGATGGTTTTTTAGGCTTTGGGATGGTTTCGATCGGGACCCAAATGTTCATTGTTGTGCCTTTCTCGATTTGGACGGAGTGAGGCACGATTCCGGCCATTTTCATAAGGCCATGCATCAATGGCTTCTGGATTTCCACTAGGTTAACCATCTCTTAATGCTTTTCTTTTGCTTTTTCTTTTTTCTTGGGGGCTAAATGTTTAATTCTTGTTCAATCTATAGGCTAATTAGGCTAGTGAGTGGTGATTCTGTGATATTGGAAGGGAAGTTTATAGGAGAAAAAATTGCATGGGGGAAAAATGTTAGAGGGAGTGGGTGCAAGGTAGTTATCTGTGGCTGCCAATAGATTCATGAGGTGATTGACAACTTGTTGGATTCGCTTTCTCCAACTTTTGATAAATCGAAAATATACTAAGTACTTAAGTTAGGTTCCCTGTCAATTCCTCGTATCGTATGTACGTTGTACAATTCATTGACCGATCTTGATTTTGATAGGATCATAGGATATATAGGTCTTGGTAACAAAATGTTGAGTAAATAAAATGTATTGAAATTTAAACTTTTTACGGCAAAATATTGGGATCTACAATTTTCTCTCTTCATCATCTTGGCCTGATAATAACAAACTTTTTATGGGAAAAAGAGAATTAGAGATGAAAAAAAATAAGGAAGACATTCCTACTACCTATACCCATAATAAGGTGAGTTTGGAATTTAGATCAACCACACTGCCAACCTTATTTCCATTAGAATTTTAAAAATATATGGAATCCAATTACTGGATCTCCAGTCCAATGATTGATCTATTTTTTACTTTGAAAATAAGACTCTCAATTGAGGGAGAAAATCGATTGATTACCTGCTTACGAAATCTGACTGTTGACTTTTGGTGGATTAACTACAGTTAACTAATTTCGTTAAACCTCTATCAGTTCAAACTTCAAACATTTGTATTTTGTAGTAAGAAAGTCAATACTTCTTATATCTTCAATCACACTACTCCAGATGGTCAACACATACTACTCCGAATTAGAAATTAGTTTGTAACAAGTGTATCTTCTCGTCGCCCTCCGCTGCTAATCATACTTCCCTTCTATCACCCAAAAAAAATGTAAAAAAGAGAAAGGAAAACCTGAACCGCCAAATAACTTTGAAAGTCATGTATGTTCCAAAATTTATCGTAAATTACACATTACACATTGCAAACAGCGATGCTTCAGTTCTCCTCCCATAGGCATTCACCGGAAAAATTAGCGTTCGTATCCAAAACTTCAGACTCATCGTCAATTCTACCTTATTGATTTCTGATTAACTAATTTTATCCTTATTTTTTGAAATTTTTGTCAATTTCGCTCAATTGGCCCAATTTCCGTTAAATTTCACAGATTTCCATTACTTTTTAACCAAAAACGCCCTGATAATTTCAAAAAATTATAAAAATAACACTAAAAATATAAAAATAACAAAATAATCCATTTTTATTCATCTTTTTATTTCATTTTATTTCCCTTTATTACTTTTCATAACCATCAAAATATACTGTATGATCTTTAAAAAAATAATTATTTATTTTTAAAATATATTTTTTATGTGCAACACTTGGGTATTTTTGTCATTTTAAATTAAAATTTTTATTTTATTTTTTATTCGTTATTTTTTGAGATTAATCATCTTATATTTCTTGACTTGTATATATTGATACTAGTATAAATATTAAATTTCAAATATTAATTTACCTTTTTATTTCATAGATTATGAAAAAATTTACATAAAGAAAATGAGGAAGAAAAAATAGAGTTGAAATAAATATGTAATTAATAGTTTATCACTCTAAACAAAAATCGAAAAAATCTTATAAAAAAATTGCAAAGAGAGGTCTTTCCTCCTTGACTTCCTCTAATTCATAGATGAGTTACAAAACATAAATTTTATTTGATCTGGCCTGAAATAATTATTTTGTTCGTTGTAATAAAAATAATAAAAAATTAAAAAATCATTTGAACCATGAAAATGTGCTAATTTCATTAGTCCACAACGATGCATTTATGTAAATACGGTTAAAACCATTTTTATTCTTTTTTAATAATGTTTTTTTTGCCGATTGTCGGAATGCCAGTTGCTAAACTACATAAGCTATTATTTAATTTCATGAAAAACATAAATACGTGTATGTTTTAGCAAAATAATTATTAAATTATACTACCTGACTTGTGTTATTTTTATTACTTAGAATAAAATAATCATTTTAAGCTAGATCAAGTAAAATTTGTGTTTCGTAAATTACCTATCAAATAGAGCAAATTAAGGAGAAAATGTCTTTGCATTTTTTAAAAAGTTTTTTTCTTTTTGTTTAAAATGATAAACTATTAATTTTCATGTTTATTTCAACTTAATTTTTTCTTCCTCATTTTCTTTATGTTAAAGTTTTTATAATGTACAAAATAAACTAGTAAATCAATTATTACAATTTAATAATTATTATAGTATCAATATATACAAGTTAGGAAATATAAGAAAAGAATTTCAAAAAAGACGAATAAAAAAATAAATTAAAATTTTAAAATGACAAAATTACCCCTCAACCGAAATCACATGTGTTGCACATGAAAAATAGATTTCTAAAATAAACAATTATTTTCTTAAAGATCATATAGTATATTTTGATGGTTATGAAAAGAAATAAATAGAAATAAAACGAAATAGAAAAAAGTGAAAAAAATGGTCTATTTTGTTATTTTTTTATTTTATGGTTATTTTTATAATTTTTTGAAATTATCAGGATATTTTTGGTTAAAAAATAATGAAAATAAATTAAGTTTAACGGGAATTGGGCCAATTGGGTGGAATTAACAAAATTTCAAACAGTAAGGACAAAATTAATAAATCTAAAATTAATAGGTAAAATTGATAATAAGTCCAAAATTTTGGGTATAAACGCCAATTTTTCCGTCATTCATCACTCCTTATAGAAATGTTTCTATCCTTGGGCTGGAGAACTTGAATTTTATGTCAATTCAAATGAGGCCCAGTAAACCAGCCCGTAATTTTATTTGTACTCCAGTAATTGTTTTATATGTCAAAAATTAGTCCAGACCTCACCTACGGCTACCATGTCCAAATCACATATCTACCCCCCATATATCATAATAAAAATAAAATTAACGCACTTATAATCATTATATATGTGGTCGGTATTTTTTTTTTTCGATGATAGAACATGTATATGGTCAGTTATTCAGCACATAAACCAATTTACGTTTCCTTTGGAAGAGACCATAATATATGATCACATATTACAAGATGTAATTTGATAATTTTCTGAAAAAACTTAAATTAAGTTTCAAATTTTTAGTTTTTTTTATTTCAGCTCAAATGAAGGAATTAATTAATAATAAAAGGGCTTCAACTGAACATTCATATGATATAAATAGAAACATTTTGTACGCCTAGCTATGAGACGGGAGATTGCGATAAGGGGGATTAGTTTAGTTTGCCGTAGTGTATGTGCATACTTGATATACCTCGCGATTTTCCTGAACCAAAATTATGTTATTTCTATGTTGCCGGTGATTTGGTTAAAAGTAATTTACCCAAGTAGTAGATGATATAAGAACAATTGTTTCTTTTTTGAAAAAAAAAAAAAGAATTCAAAAAAGAAAGGGAAGATCAGCATTAAACTAATTAATATTCATTCCATGATTATTGCTCTATGAACTGAAGAAATACAACAAAAAAAAAATGGAAAAAGTTGGAAACTTGATCCAGTTAAGAGAGAATAATCATTGGTAACGTTGTTTTTGTTTTTCGGTCAAAGACAAAAGATAAAAAGAGGAAAGAATGTTCTTCCCTTGATCTCGAGTACATACAAAAAAAAAAAACCCCCCCAAGAGTAGTCTAAGCTACTACTCTTTGGCATGAACAAAGAAGCATTGATTACTTAAAAAACATTCAAAAGAAGAGAAAGAAAAAAAAACAAACACACAAAAAAAAAGAAAGGAAGAGCTAAGATAGGCGCAATACAATAATTAAAGGAGAAGGGAAGGGGTGGCCTGGGGGGAGAAACCCCAAGTTTTTTTTTTTTTTTCCCTTTCCTTTGGGCACAAGACTAGAACTCCTAAGAGGAGACAATTCGAGGTTTCAGTTTATTCTTTAGATGAATCTTGTTGTTTGACCAGAAGAATCCCCCCCAACTTTTTCCCTTCCAAATTCCATTTACATATTTTTATTATATATATGTATATGAGTTTTCTTAATTAATGTTCTAATTTACTTTTTTCCTTTACTTCCATTCTACTGAACTTAAACTGCTGCTCACTAATTGTGTACTACTACTACTTTTAACATAACCTGGGAAAAAAAAAAAGCAGATCCTGCCAAACAATCAATCAAAGACAACGTTAGTGATGATGAGGAGAGTACAAACACCAATCCTAAACTCTCTTTTCTTTTTAGAGACAGAGAGGAAAGCCGGAAAAAAAAAAAAAAGAAAGAGAGAGAGAAGAGATTCATTCCAGTTGTATTGTCTTGTTGCTTTTGAGGAATGTTTCCTTCTTTTCATTTCTTGTTTCTTCCTTCTCCTTCCTTTCTTCTTCTTCTTTTCTCTTCACTTCTCCAATTTCAAAATATTTTTTTTTAACAAACCTTTGAAGATTTCATAATGGTGGTGGTCTTGGGTGACTAATAATTTTTGGTAGGCTATAAAAAAGTTTTGGAGCTTCTCAAGACAGTTGCATGCATTCAAAAATATTGGCAACGGCAAAAATCAAATCAATTGGGAGGAGTACACGTGGCACGAGGATTAATGCTAATGATTGAGTCTTTTTGGGTTAGTGTTCTTTGGTTAAGCAATGGATATAGTACTATCACATTATGATAGGATGTTCATATTGCATCATGCAATCTTTGGAAAACTGGTCCAACACTAGTGAGGCGGGTCCCATCGAATCCAGCAAGCCGTATTATGACATTAACACATCACCCCTATTACTGTAGTGGTGGGTGTATTGTATTTTAGTTGTCGTTGGGCTTATAATTATAAAGAAGATTGGGCATTGCGTTCCCAGTGACCAACTGTGTGACTGTGTGAGAGAGACTGAGACTGGTAAAAAAAAAATTGTGAAAGGCTGTGAGAATTAATGGCGTTCGTGGGGGGTGGCCTTATTCCGGCCATGATTAACCAAATCCCAGAGAGTTTTCATTAAAAAGGGAATACAATACCACAGATGGATTGATTGACAGAATTTTCTTAGACATCTGAGAGAATATTTACAACGCCATCATCCTGCATGCTCAGTGCTCTGATTCTCGTACTGCATGCCAACATCAATTATTCGAGTTTGTTTATCTGACTATAAAAAAAAAAATCCCCTAATCTCTAATTTTCATTAGCTGGTTTTATGTGCTCTAACAAAATAGGGAGACAAATAGTTAACATGGTGAATTTTAATATAGTACTCCCTCTGTCTCGAAGTTGTTGTTCTATTTTTATTACACTTTGTACTAACCATAAAAATTACTTCTAAATTGGACAATAGTTATGGGATGAAGATTTTTGTTGAGTGTGTTGACCAATTAACTTGGTCCGATTGAAAAACAAATATTAATTTCGTCACAGAGTGGTCTAGGCTACTGAAAATCACCCAAGCATTGACTCATTTGGTTGAGTTGAGGAACTCAAGTCAACAAAATTTAGATTGAATATCATGTAGTAACTGGTACTGGTAGGCTAAAAAAATTAATAGAATCAAACAGAAGTTCTGACAAGAACACCGCTGAATTTAACTATAAAATCTAAATAAATTAGTACCGTCCGTTTGAGTATTAGTTTAATCAAACTTGGGGGGATTAAACAGAGGGAATTCACGTTGGGGGTATGATGTGGGGATTTGAATTCAAAGAATAAGATTCATAGAATAATGTAACAGTAATTAAAAATCTCAGTAAAACGTGCATGTACTTATGCTAAATACGACGTTGTTGGATTATTAGTTACTTTTAATGGTGTACTGTGTGTCGTCTTGGACAAATCGTAGTTTGTTTGTTCGTCGTTTAATAACAAAGAGAATAGAGAGAGAACAACTGAGAGGGCATCTTTTGGAAAGCGGTGGTCGTCCCTCCCGTTTTGTCGAACCTCATTATTAATTGAAACAAAAAATTAATTTAAAAAAACAAAAAAAACTCCAATCTCTAGACGATCTGATTCTCTTCTACCTTACCCCTGGAGTTCTCTCCCTTACTTTTCTTTCTCTGTCTCACTTGTTGTTGTTGGGTTTTTTTTTTTTTTGAATCTTTGATCGAATCCAATCGATATTCCAGAGGAGTGAGTATGTTTGTTCCGACTTGGGGCTATCAAATCATCACCTTTGGTGGGGTCCTCCTTTTCTTGCTAGTGTTTTGTATTTCACCTTACATTATTCTTTGTACTCCTTCTTCCTTAACTCATTTCAATGTATTTTTATTTTACTTTACAATTTATCATTCGTCCGGTAAAATTCAAATGATTGAGATTATTCGAATAAACATCCGTTCATGAAAATGTAATCAACTTGTGAAATAAAATAAAACTCTAGTACATAATATAAATTAATGACATCCATTAATTTCGACATTTCTATCTAGCATTATTTAATGAGAGACATGAATAGCTTTAGGGAGTCTACTAGTATATATTATTGATGGGCAAGGCCCGCCACCTTTGAGTCAAAGATTTCGATCCAAAACCCATACAACATTTGTTGCTTTGATGATTGCAGACAGACTGTCCCATCTGAATCCCTTCCACCTTTTTCCCGCTTTTCCACTTTTCTCTCTTCATCATTGAAACCAAATCTAAGGATCTTCTCTTGAACTCCTCCTCCTCCTCATCCTCATCCTCCCTTTCAAAAACGTTTTCGATGATCTTGTTTTTTTTTTTTTTTTTTTTCCTTTCCCTATTGATTATATTATTCCCTCCATCCTATTTACACCCAATGCAGATTAGTAGCTTCCAACTCAAAGTACTTATAAAAGAGATCATCATCATCAGTCTGACATATTTGCTTCCTACGGGTTTCGAATATTTTGCTTAAATTCATGTTGATAGTACCTTTTTTTTTTTTTTTGTAACTCAGGAGACTGACATCGTTTCCCCGATCAAAATGGCTACTTCTTAATAATAAATACAAAATGACAAATATTGAGTACGTAGATATTGAACATTTGAAACGTCAATAAAATTAAAATCTTATTATTTTGTTGAAGATAAGTCCGATACTTTTTCTAGTCAGGATTACTCTCATTTGGACGACCGACCTGAAAAACATCAATTTCTTTCGTCATTTAAAGGATTACGATCATGTGGAGGAGTATGATGACTGAATATGACTTTAGGAATCTAAGACCAGTACAATAGGAATAGATATAGGAGCTACGTAACAATTTCTCTCATACATATGGAAATGGAATCAAAAGGGCCGGGGAAGAGGTTCACGTGAATCCAAAGGCAAGATGAAACTGGCGGATGTGTCATGTCCCCCCAAAAAAATGTGTAATAACAAACAATGGAGAGGATGATGTTCAACTTTGAGTAGAAGATTCTGCATTGTTTTTCTGGGTTGGATTGGACGTCCCCTTATTATAGCAACCAAAACTCAAGTAGTAGTACCACTGCAAAGAGTCCTCATTGCTCAGTTGAATTTAACAACTCCTCATTGGAGAAAAAACCCGCTGTACAAAACTTATCTCGGACTTCGATTTCAACGTAGAAAAAAAAATTAGTCCGAACGTAATATACTTATATTGGTACGAAGAAAATGTTTTGGTATTGAATTGAGCGTAATAACACACAATGCATACATGCTTTTATTTGAATGATTACGCATGTGCACACCTCTAAGATGGTCATGAATGAAAAGCTACAACATTGTTAAGAAATGGCAAAAATGGAGTGCATTAAATTGGGTTGATACATTAGTCAAAACGTACTAGTGGAAGTTTGGTTGCGTGTTAAATTAACACAATTACACTTTAGTCGATAAAGCCCCAAAAACACAAAAAAGAAGAAAGAAAGAAAATTGGGGGGAAGGCATATAGTACGAATTATCTTTACAGAGAAAATTACATATCAATAAGACCCAAAAGGAAATAAAGGGAGATCGAGTGAAGAAGCAAATGAAGAGAGAGTGAAATGGACGTTTTTAAGGGTGATTAAAATTAGTGTTGGATTAGTGAGAATTTTGTTTTGTTTTTTTTTCTTTTTGTTTTGTGGGTTTGGGGTGAGGAATATGCATTTTCATTGGGAGGGTGGCAGTGACAGAAGAGAGACCGGAGAGTAGAGAGAAATGGCAGGATACGGACAGAGGTTTTTTATTTTTATGAGTGAGTATTGGGTTTGAGACTGTGTTTTTTGGTTTTTGCCTCGTGATCGGAGAAGGCAGATCCATGGAAGACTGTTCCCGTTAGTCACGTGGGTTCTTTTGACCACCCCCCCAAATGCCCCAAATCTCACACACTAAACCATAACAATTCCAGCAATAAGGCCCCCGAACCCTACCCTCTCAATTCAATTATATCCTATCTTTCTATTCTCTAGTAATTTTGATTTATGAAATTTGGCCATTTTGGAAAACGTACGAAAATGTTAGTACCATACAATGTAAGGCAAAGTTAGATTACCTTTGCTTTGGTGAACAATCAAAGTACGTAATCAAAGAAAGAATACAACAAGTAGTATTATATATGTATCTAGTTTGTGTGTCCCAGAATCCAATAAATATATTCTATGTGCGTATCTTCCCCTTTACGTATATAAAATATTCCAAAAGTCCTAACATAAACTTCCAACCTAAAATATATAGTATATACAACTCCATGCAAACACTACTACTATATAAAGGGGGATGAGATATTCAGAAGGATGAGACCAACTTGCACTTTGCCTCAAACGTTAATTTTGTTGTTTTTAATAGAACATCTCCTCGTGCCTTCCCTGACCTCATTTCCCCTCAAATCTCTCCCCAAACCCAAATCACACACATCTGGGACCCCCTCTCCTCTTATTCCTTTTCTTGCCATATTTATATATATATATACATTGCCAAACTTACATATGTTTTCATTTGACGACAACGTGGACTACTGCAAAGAAATCTGCTGACTCTTATTTCGCCATTTTATTAGCAGCTTAAAAAGCTATACAAGACAATTCTCCCCCTATTTGCACTCCATTTCATTTTCCCAGCTCTTCTTCCCAAAAAACATTGCTCCCATTCAAACCTTGTATTATTACATTTCGCTCTCAACTTACTATTTGCTCAGCTTTGCAAACGTTTTCTTATATTCCCTCTTCTTTCAGAATTCAGACCCCCACTCCAATCTCCCCTTTTAATTTCTTTTTTTTTATCATTAAAAACCCAATTAATATTTGTGCATTTTTTGGCCTATAAATTCAGCTTGAAGCCATCTGATCAAAAAGAAAAAAAAAACAAGAGAACAAAAATGATGCATAGGTGTAGTAGCGGGTCTTGTTCATGTGGGTATTACCACAGTACTCAAACCAATTCTTCTTTCTCCATGCTTTTCTCAATGCCTAATAATAGTAATACTCACAGGCCTTATGATGAAACCCCAACCCATGAAATGTATTCCTTTGCTTCCTCTCCTCCGTCTTCTTCCGTTGACTGTACCCTTTCCCTGGGTACCCCGTCGACCCGTTTGACCACTGACCCGGAAAAGCCCCGACGCTCTTCTTACATGTCTAACTTCTGCTGGGACATTTTACAGTCTAAACAATCTTCCCACAAAACTAGCAGCCGCGGTAACCACAACAACAACAACAACTCATCCGCCGCCGGCGGCGGCGGTGACGGCCTCCTCGCCCGGCGTTGCGCTAATTGTGACACTACTTCTACTCCGCTTTGGCGAAACGGGCCTAAAGGACCCAAGGTATATATAAATTATAAAATGCTCTGTTATCTTATTATTTTGTTATGATGAATTTTTCCAATGATTATATTTTTTTGTTTTGTTAATGAAAAATGCAGTCACTTTGCAATGCCTGTGGAATTCGGTTTAAGAAGGAAGAGAGGAGGGCGTCGGCGGCGGCGGCGACCACCGGAGACGGGAATATTGGCGGTGGAAACGGCGGCGGGATGATGGAAAGTCAACAACACATGTTAAACAGTTCATGGGTTCATCATCACCAGTATTCACAGACGGCGGCCCAAAAGATTCCCTACTTCTCATCGCCTTATGGAAATCATGAATTCAGGTTCATTGAAGATGAGATTGATCGTGATTCTGATAATGGCATTCCCTTCCTTTCTTGGCGTCTCAATGTCACTGATCGGCCCGGCCTGGTTCACGACTTCACCAGATGAAAAGAAAAAAAAAGCACAGCGAAGAAATTAACCCCAAAAAAAAAAAAGAGGAAAAGGAAAAGGAAAAGTAGGAGTATAACGTTTGAAAATTAATAGAGAAGAAGGAAAGGAAGAAGGTCCATATTTCCCAGTTCCACATCCTCTCCTGAATGATGGCAATATACATTCTAAATGATGACGTGGCAGAATCAAGGGTGATGGTGATGGTGGTGAAAGCTATGGATCATGGAAGCGAAATTCTTTTTAGTTTCAGGGCTGTTTTTTTTTTTTTTTTCCTTCTTTTTTGTCCACCCTCTTTGGCTGATGATGATGAGGTGGAGTGAAAATGAATTAATTCTATTATTATGTTTTTTGTTGCTTCTTTTTTTTTTTTTTTTTGTTCTTATAGATAGCTAGTTTGAGTTTGATCTTTAACTTTATCACTTTAGTTTAACTCAAATCTCTATAAATATATTATATATATATAGTTTCCTACCTTTGTGAGTTTGTCTTAATCTGTCTCCTTCTTACTTTTTCCTTGGAATCTAATATGATAATGATATGTGATGATGCGAGTAGGAGTTAAATTCCTTCTTCTCTTTCAATCGTAATGTAACCAATGAATGTCGGGTGACTCTGAGAAAAATTAATGCAAAAAGAACGAATTCAGGGAACTCTGTTCAGACGTCAGAGATTGAAGTGAAAATCGGCTGCAATGAGTTGTTGTTATCTCTGAAACTGAAGGGATATATGGGAAAAATTTGAAGACTGTGAGTACTGTCTTGTTCATGAGGAGTTTGATGATGTGATATTTGCCTTATTGATGATGATGGAGAGATTGGAGAGAGCCTAGAACTAGGTTGGAGAATATATTGTACTCCCTCCGTCCCATAATTATTGTCCGGTTTTACTAAAATGAAAGATTTTATTTTTGGTCAAACTTAATTATATTTTAACTTAAACAACCGGATATACCCTTACATAAGTAATTGCTTAACCACAAAGATTTTATGGATAATGTTTTTTACTAAGGACATATGTGTAACTTGATCCATAAAAAGTCAAATTGGACAATAATTTTGGGACAAAATTTTTTGGGCAAAGTAGACAATAATTATGGGACCGGAGGGAGTACTATACAAGTATATATACAATACAATGTAATAATGATAACATCAATAAAAAACAGCTCCTTGAGTTTGCTGCCTTAATAAATTGGTGAAATCCCGAAGGAACATAAAAATCCGGCAAGTAAAACAGATGTTAATGGAGCGAAATGTCCGTGTTGATAGACCCAGGTAAATTAGTTTTACTTGGCTATTTTTTGTTTTTACATTTCACTAGGTTAATTTTATCTGTAAACTATTGAACATTTTTACCTGTTGTTTAATTAGCGCAAAGATTTTCTGTGATGCTACTACTATTACTAAAACTAAAGCATGCCCAAAGTTTAAGAATAAAAAAAAAAAAAACTCAAAATATCTGATTTGATAAATACTGGCTAGTACTAAACTTTGTGATTCATAATAATTTATCTTCATTCTTCATTTTATCTGCATTTTACTTGTGGTGAAAGGGAATGCTGACATTTTTGGAGTCCATGCGGAGATTGTATACCAGATTCGGGAACTGTTGCATTGGGATTGGACTGTAGAGTTTGATCACGTGTTTCGTGAAGCTAATTTCGTAGCTAATTACTTAGCCTCCCTAGCTACCCTTGGTCCAGTTGGATTACAGAGGTTTGATGTACCGGCGTCAGACGTTAGGCCATGGCTACAACATGATATAATAGGGGTCTCATACCCTCGAAATATAAGACTCTAGGCTTTAGGCCTCCTCTATTGTAACAAAAAAGATGTAATTAAACTCTAACATTATTAATGTGAAGGTTGTGTCTCATAGCTCAACTCTAATAAATTTGTTCATAAGATTTGATCGCTATATGAAGTGTACAAGTTTGTGGTGTGGTTAATTAGAAAAAGAAAAAATCATCCCTCACAAAACCTAACAGCTCGTTTGCTCGTGTGATTCATTGCTTCTTTTAGGCAATCCTTAATTTATTAACAAATTTCCACCTTATTCTACGAGCAAAAAATAGCAAATTTGTGCAATTTCGTTGGGTTAGAATAATGTATCTCACAAGATATATACGACAATTGTTGATAGATCACAATTTTGGACCCCAACCATCATCCTGTATGATCCAAGAAACGTCATATAGTTACCTGTTTTGGAAATGAATATTATGGTTGACGAGGACATTATTTTCTCTTCTTAAATAACAATGGGAAAGGGAAACAAAATTTCAAACGAGCCCTCTCCCTTTGGTCCCCAAAAAAAGAGAAAGAAAAAAGGAAACCCTTCCTTGAAAACCATATCCTCTTTGGTCCCAGTTCGATATTGGACAAGGTATTCAAGTTCATTTTAGTATTAAAAAATTTTAAAATCGTGTGAAAAGCATGAAAAATTGTCAAAAAAAAAAAAAAAAGTACTAGTTTAGTCCAAAATATTAGCCCTATGGGTTTTAGCCCACTTCAACAACTGGAAGCATCATGCACAAGGCCCAATTAGTCATTTCAAAGGGCTGTAATGACTAAAATGTAATGCTCCGGCAATTTAAAGATCAAAACAGAGAATAAGTCGACCAAATCGGGGAAAGGGATTGAACAGAAATAATGGAGAAACGGAAAGGAGGCTAGGGTTTCAGAGAACCATCCCGAAGGGGAAACAACTATTTTTCATTCTTCATTCTTCTCGGTTTGATTTTGGAATTTCGCAGAGCTCCTCCTTCTGATCATTGTACCAGCTGACCGTGCACTTAATTTAAATCCCAGTTCACATTTGTCAATTCCCCTTAACCGAACCGATCTTTCTTCATTCTTCCTTGTTCCGGAATGGGGCTTCTCAGTATAATTCGGAAAATCAAGCGTAAAGAGAAGGAAATGCGGATTCTCATGGTGTATGTTGCTTAAACCATTGCTTCAGTTTGTGTTCTTCATTCATTTTGTTTAATTTGGTCGTTATAGTTGCGGTCACTTTTTCTGGCGAACAGGGGCCTGGATAACTCCGGCAAGACGACGATAGTCATGAAAATCAATGGTGAAGATACCAGCATTATTAGTCCTACTCTAGGTTTCAACATCAAGACCATTGCTTACCAGAAGTAATAACCTTCTCCTTCCACCTTTTCCTTATTATTCGTTGTTTACTTTACTCTATTATTTATTTTTTATATTAATTTCATTAGTTATTTATGTCAACTATTGATTGCTTGCTTGCGTGATTAGATATACTTTGAACATTTGGGATGTGGGGGGACAGAAAACAATAAGATCTTATTGGAGGAACTATTTTGAGCAGACGGATGGATTGGTTTGGGTTGTTGATAGTTCGGATCTTAGAAGGCTAGATGACTGCAAATATGAGTTGCACAATCTTTTGAAAGAAGAGGTACTTTCTAAAGCTAATATTCGTGCATACGGCTTTAGTTTAACTTTTTACAAGCTTCTGTTTGTTTCACTCGGCCATTTTTCATTATTATTAAGAGTTTGATATATTGTTCAAGCTGTAGTTCTTTATTCAATTTGGATTTTTGGACTTGATCACCCAATTAAGCTGCTATATGTAAATTTTCCAGCTACTAAACATTGTCTCGTATATACCTAATACCTACCTTACTTCCTCCATATTTGTAGTAGAAGTTTGAGAATGGACTACATCAGCGATTTATGTTGGTCCCTAGTTCCTTTAATTTATGAACTAAAATTGAAGCTTTTACCTTGACGATCAAGTTGTATAGCATTTGAGCATTGCCATGCTACTAAACATCGTGCAATGTTCCTGGTAAAAGTAAAGCCTAGTCAATTATCATGGTCGGAAAAAAATTGAGTCATAGATGTTTGTCGTTTTTAGCTCACTCGAAGTTGGTGGCACCTGTAAGGAGAATTGTTTTCTTTCTTTAATTTGTTTCCTATTTTTGTGCATTCCAGCGGTTATCAGGAGCATCATTACTGATTTTTGCGAATAAGCAGGATATACAAGGTTCTTTTTCTCCAGATGAAATTGCTAAAGTAAGATCTCAAGATACAAAACTCTTTACTGTGATTTGCTCTCATGAAAAAGGGAGTAGAGATTGAGATTGTGCAGGTAGGTGTGTTAACTTTTGATTTATTGTTTAGGTTCTCGACTTGGAAGCAATGGATAATAGCCGACACTGGCGGATTGTGGGATGTAGTGCTTATACCGGAGAGGGTTTACTTGAAGGATTTGATTGGTTGGTTCAAGATATCGCCTCCCGTATCTATATGCTTGATTAGTCCAGTGCGTGAATTGCAGTCTTGAATTTGGGTTATAAGATTTTGATTTCAGGTATCTTGGATGTTCTTTTGCACTTGAATAGGTTTTACTTTGTGTTTCAGACGTATTTCATATGATCTTTACTTTTCTTTCATCTTTTATGTGCTAATCTGTGTATTGGTGGTTGTTGGTGCTTTAGGTAGCTAGAAGTGTTGCTTGGAAACTGTTGAATGCTCCAGAGGCAAGGAAAGAAATTGTAGTTTGATGATGTGAGGCTATTTATTGTTCCTGATGTTGTACTGATAATTCATTTGGTTAGTTGATTGTATCAGCAGTTTCATTCTGTTGATACTAGCAGCAGTTTCTGATGTTAGCTGATCCATCGGAGTTGGTCCCTTTATGTTACATGTTCTGAATTAAAATCCTTTAAACAATGACAGATTATAGTGTTCATTGCAAAACATCGTTGAATGGGTGGTTAAGTTTACTGTTCTATTGTAATTACAGATGACTTCGATCCTCTCATTCTCCAAGTGGTTGTCCACTGAGCCCTCAGATGGCTCAGAAAGCCATCTCTTTTCTGAAATTTGTATATCAAATGTCGAAGCACTGGATGGATAGAATAAAAAATGTTTGCATTAAGGAAATGAAAAATTCCGACCTGTGACCGCTCCATCCTGCTGCAGAGAAGAAAGCTGATTCTTGTTGAAATGTGAGAGGGTTTTTCCAGGTTGATATCAAAATCACCAGGGTGGAGCGGGCGTTTCTTCAGGTTTTGGGGTGCTTGACCAGCAGATGGAATGGTCTGACACTGACGTTTCCATAATGGGTATATTCTTGATGACAGTGAATAGCCCAAATTTAGAAGTAATAAACAATGATGTTTGGTCCATTGAAGTTTCCAACATAAGCCTTGGGCTTGACAATGATATTGGGCTCTTGGATCTCTAGATTCGATTGTCAACTGTAGAGATATGTATCTGGGAATAAAATATTCACAAAATGAGTCATGATGGATGAGGGAGAGAATTCAGTGTTTGATTGAAACTAAAGTGGAGAAGAAGAACCATTCTTCAGTGTGTTTGTGAAGGAAAGATGATTAGGGCTGTAATGGTGATCAACACTCTGGGCAAGCCTCGTCTTTCAAGATTCTACGATTTTCAGGTCTTTTGTTTTACACCCAACAAACCCCCAATTGCTCTTCTCAAGTTTTTTTTGGGATTCAATCATTAAGGTTATGAAATTCTCTAAGCTCTAAATCTCATGTTTCTTATTAGCCAGTGGAGAAGCAACATCAACTCATGCGCCATGTCTATGCAGGCAAGTTTCTTCGCCAATTCATTTCTAACTCCCGAGTTTCTCTGTTTTTCAGCAATATGGGTTCTTTAACAGTCTTTTCCTTTTCGGTTTTCAAATTTGCAGTCTTAGCGAACAGGCCTGATAATGTCAGCAACTTTTTGGAGATCCAATCTGGTTTTGGTCCGGTCAGACATTGTCAACTTTATCAGCTCTCTTCCTGTCCAACAGGCTTTTAGAATTGTGTTTCTGATTCGTTGAACCCGTTGCAGGATACCCGGATAGTGTACAAGCATTATGCAACTTTATACTTCGTGATTGTGTATGATAGCTCAGAAAACGAGCTGGCTATGCTTGACCTGATCCAAGGTACAATCTTGTGGACTTTCTTTTTTGTTTGGTTCTTCTTCATTTTTCCCGTGTTGAAAGAAAGATGGATCTCAGGAGAAGTTATGTATTTGAAGTTTCCGTCACTTCTTGTTGCAGTTTTTGTACAAACATTGGACAAATGCTTCAGAAATGTGTGCGAGCTGGATATACTATTCAATTATAATAAGGTCAACCATTGTAATTCAGCTGATTAGTTGTTAGTCTGCTTTCTTTTCTGGATGTGCTGCTGAGCAAAGTATCTTGGTCTAAACTTCTTCACGTACGTTATACAGATGCAAATCATCTTGGATGCGATTATTTTTGGAGGGCAAGTCCTGGAAACGGATATCCAGGAAGTAATGGCTATTGCTGAAGAAATTTCCAAGTGCTCCCTCTTTCTTATGTTTGCTACATTTTTCAAAGTATCATTGAACTCTTCTTAAAAAGGGATGCAACTGATACCTAGCCTGTGTCATTCACAGGTTGGAAACATCACCGGGCGGGAGTACACTGGTTGCTACATCTTTTGTAGGTTGGCGGGGTCGATAACAAGGGTTCATGTTTGATTGTTATGGCATAACATAATGTTGGGTGTGGGAGGCCAAGTGAAAGAAGTCAGTGATCTACATTGTGCCTCAGCTACTGATAATGCTCTTCTGGTACTGCGGAATGGCAATAATTTCAAGTTCACTGTTTGATTGAACAAGCTATATTTATTTGTCATACCATTTTCCTTCAACTTACTGGAGTTGATATTGATCTTGGTTTGTAACCATTTGTTCTATCTGAAAAAGATTGATCAGTTCTGCTAAAGGGAAAAAGTAATGAAATCGCTGAATATCAGCCTGAGAACGTGCTTTCGTTCTGATTTCCGGAATTTTCACAATCTAAACATCTTCACTGAATAGTTAGTTCATATTGCAAAATGCAATCTACACGTCAGCCAGAGGGGAAAAGAAAAGAAAAACAGAAAAAATTGGACCTAAACAGAGAAATGGCTAGTAGTCTAACTCTGAGCAATGACAATTATGAAAGACCAGCTACGCCATCTCCTTCAAATCTTGAATCACAATACCAGCAGAATTACGTCCAGGAGCACCCATCACACCTCCGCCAGGATGAGCTCCACTTCCACACAAGTAAAGACCTTCTAACGGAGTCCTGTAATTTGACCTACATCACGATAAAAGAAATGCATGATCGGCACCTGACATTTATGACAAGATGTTGCATAGTGGCTTTCAAAGAATTAAGGTGACTGTAAAAGTTGGTTATATTTGGATTACCATCCTTTAACGGGGCGCATAAGAAACAAAGAATCCAATCCCATGGCACCATGAAAGATGTTCCCTCCTGCAAAATGTAACAGTTCAAAAGTTGCACAACTGTGATACTCTGCCCTGGTGCGCAAGGTGATTGAAAAGTAAACATACCGGTCAAACCAATTTCTCTCTCAAGATCTGGTGGAGTCAACATGTCGTATCCGATAATTGAGGAGCTAAAGCCAGGAGCATATTCATCAATCAAGGCAAAACATCTTTGTGCAAACGATTCCTGAGGCAAAGATATTCCAGTACGGTTGAACAGAGGCATGAAGTAAAACAAAGGCATTGAAACCATCAAAGCAGGACAAGAATTTGACCAAAACGAACGAGAGACAGAGAGTAGCTAAGGCAGAAGGAGATTTGATCTTATATAACACCACTCACCCTATATCCAGCATCTGCCCAGCTGCCATCTAAGGGTTTGTAAGGTGTGTACTGGATGAATAAGTTTATCACATGCTTACCTGTCCAGCGGTTCACATTCCAATCAAGCAACCAAATGACGATAGTAGAAATAAAGTCATATATGTTATTGCTTCACATAACTGGAAGAAAATGAATCCCTCAACGGGTGAAAATATGGAGAATGTGCCGTTCATAACTGAAGAATTCATTCATTCAAATGCTTGCGACGCTTCTATCATTATGGTTAAGCACACAACGTAACCTGCTTTGACTCTATCAACAAATGCATGAACAAAACAAGGCACCACTTCGCATTTTTCAAAGAAAAGAACACAGAAAGAGAAATCCATTGAAATTTGAACAAGAAAACATTTGAATCCAGCTAATCATTAATGCAATCTGAAGGTTAATCTTGAGAGATGAATTTCTGCAGTTTCATTATGAACTCATAAACTAGGTAGCCACCATTTACGCTCTTCGCAGATTATGCATTGCAGGAAACACAATCAACAATTGAAAAAGCATGTTTCTTAAATGAATAAAGTAGCATTAACTGAAACAAGACAAAATTTGTATACCCGGGGGAGAGATAGTCTTGTCCAAGACAGAGGGTATGGTCATCTCAATCACAGGTCTCTGAGACGGAAAACCATTTACAGCTTGTTGGCATGCTGTGTCAATCTCTTCCATGCTTATAAAAGAAAGAAAGGACAAATGAGGAATTTTTTCCAAAAAAAATTTATATCTTAATTGGTTAATACTTTATCAAACACAATAATCAGCAAGCAGTGATGAACAGACTACATGGTACCTCTCTGAACCGATGTGGATGGTTCCAACATGCTGAGGACCACCATCAGGATAGTTGATCTTGCAGCTCTGAAATTGTGGCAATTGGTCCACTGCTAAGTTGATTTTGGTAGTTGCCTGATACAGTAAGCTACATTTCTCAGAACTCATATCAAACTTTATGGATGGAAGAACTAAGACTATAATGAGATTTACAAGATTTGACTACTGTGATTCCCCTCCGTACTCATGGAGTTTATTAGATAGATGTCACACAAATTGTGTGTTAAATTTGCAGCGAATAGCAAAGTGGGATGGGAAAGTCAATGATGTGATACTTGAATGATAATTCAGAAAATTGCAAATCACCCTCATGATCTCAACCAAAAGGCAGCAAACATGATGGCATGAAAAATGCTATCAACAGATTGTGTTTATAATCTGAATAAAAAATGACGTCATGATAAGAAATCTTACAGAGCTGTAATCAGAATATTTGATCGCAGTAAGAAAATCATTTGGTATCACATTCTGTGGCACTAATTCCTGTTCCAGAAAAAGAATAAAAGTATAAAATAAATTAGTTTCGAGAGCAATTAGTGGAAATGGAAGCACGAGAATTTGCTGGTTATTTCAAATAAAAAAGTGACAAAATTTAATCGTGTCTAACCATGAACGTCTTATATGGAGTTGCATTGGATAGAACAACAGAAGACTCTACTTGAGTTCCATCAGCTAGCAAAACCTAAATACAGAATTTTTCAATGTCTGAAGAGCAAATGAAAATCAAATTCTGTTGATGAATGGAACTGTCAATGTAAAGTAGCTAACCCCATGTACTCTGGCTGACTCATCAATCATTAGTTTTGAGACCTGAGCATTAAGAGTAAACAACAAAACTCAATGATCTGTCGAGTCACCATCTTCAATCTGTACGAAATGGTACATGGATATACCTCGGCATTAGTATATATTGTAGCCCCTGCTTCTTTCGCAGCATTACCAATAGCTAAAGACACTGAGCCCATCCCACCTTCAACATACCTACACAATGAGCATCCAGGAAGTGAAACAGCAAGTCATTTGACCATTGACAAACAAATTTTAATACTCACAACCTTCCATAGCAGCAAAAGTTTTCCAAAAACAATGATGAAGAAAGCAGAATTGTACGGGGTAACAAAAAATGGTGAAGAAACCATAGCTAGCATTTCCCTAATAAAAGTTTACGAGGATTGAAATGTATTTTTTTTATCCCAAAATAGGATAGAGCATGAAACTTGATGCTGTAAGCAACAGGAATCCTTTATCCCACTAGGTGGGATCGGCTATAAGATAAATGTACTATTTCCTCCGAGATCAAACATGAATCACATACGTCAATAGAGCAAGCAAACTATTCTTTGAATTCCAGGAGTGACAACTGCCCAGCCCATGACCACCCACCCCACAATGTAAATTCATGCATAAGCAAACTATTGTACTAACATGTAAAAGCTTTCATAAAATTTTACATCAATATACGTACGACCAAATCCCGCGATCACCATCAGTTTCTCCCATCACGTGATGTAGCAAAACATATCCACTCCCAGGTGTATGGACACTGGCCTATGGGAAACAGGTTAAATCATGCACAATATATCAGCAATTATATGTTCAGATAAGCCGGGTGGTTAGAAGTCGCACACAAGCTGGGACAAGAAAGAAGGCACCATTCCTACTTTGAATGTTGGATGAACATACAGCAAGCCAGCGGAAAGTAGAAACAGATACAGTTACTTCATAGGATGCTTTTTAAGTAACAAACATAATAATCAACATGAGTATAATAAATCTCAAATCACACGAGAGAGCTCGTATCAGCAATAATTACAACTACAGAAAGTGTGATGATGAGTCTCACCGTGCTTCCGATGACTGCATCTGTTGCAAGCGTTGCCTTCAGAACTTCAGCCTGCAAGTCAGTTGCATAGAGTTAAAAGTGTCCCATGTAATCCATAAACATCCCCTGTTCCTGTGTTTATACTTACTCTACTCATTGACAAATTTTTAATATGCACTGATAAAAAATTAACAAGAAACTTTAACAAGCCAACAAAAAAAAAAACTGAATTGAAATTCAGGTTAGATTTTCCACTGTGGAGGAGCAAAAGTTAACTTAAAAAGAATGTAGTGACAATGGCGGACCTTAGTTGCAAGGTAATGTAACTGAAAGCAATATAACAACCTCAAACCAGTTATTTAGAACCTTCGAGGCAGGAGCCAGCAGCAGATCCATAAAGTCCCTGAAGTACAAATGTATACAGTCACAATGGAGACTCCGAAAATGATCATAAAAACAGCAGATATAGTTCTTAAATCATGCTACATACCTCTGCTCAATTTCACTATTCTCAATGGTCACAAGATAAGGGGAGCAAAGAAAAACATGCAAATATAGACATGTTCAACAAATGTGAAGCAATGAACTCTTACACAAGCTCTTTTTGGCCCATGGAAACCGCACTGCGCAGGCAATGAGCCCAAAAGGCTGACTTGTTCAACTTATCCTTCATTCGAGTTTGCATAGATGACACACGTTGAAGAGTCTCAGGTGGAGGGGTATCTATAAGGACATCCATGAACTTACAGAAGTTCTCGAGCTGATGCTCATACCTGATATTAAAGGGGAAAAAAGATAGCTAGAATTAGAAATTCGGTCCATGGAGGAAACCTACATGGTGGAAAGCATTGAATTGTTATGCTACCTTCCCTGAACCCCCATCAGCAATGCACTTACAAAACACATACAAAGTTTTTCAGAAACAGAATATATCCCTCAAAAATGGGTTCTTGCCTTGACTACCTGTTGCCTAGTTTGGATCAATTTACTATACACCACAAATGTGTTTGAAGAAGAAAATTTGCTCCTTGAATTGAAGTTCTCAATTATCAAGCCAACAGAAACAGAGCATGCATGTTTCATTCACAATGCAATACGAAAATGATTCCAGAAGAATTGTTCTAAATCCCACAATACGGTACATGCTTAATAAACCTAACTCATGTGGTAAAAACTTGAGGGAAAAAAAAAAAAACACCCAACAATGACCTTGGGTAAGCCTCAGCATCCTTCTTGGAAAACTTAGAAATTTCTGCGTGGTTTAGATCCTTATCAGGACCAAGAAGTAGATAGCGGCCGTCTAAACAAGGCGTAAACGATGACGGATTCCTCTTCAGTAACTTCAGTCCATGTTTTCCCAACTCCAGTTCTCTTAATTCGAGGGGAAAAAAAAACAGAAAGAAAAAAAAATCGAAATAAGAACCATACCTCTATAACGAAAGGAGAAAATTGGAGTAAATTGTTTCAATCACTTCAAAATAACCTTATGACGGAAGGACGGAGGAGGCTTTGGAGGTAGCTACAGCGGGAGAACTTGAAGCCCGGAATGAGCTCCTCAGTGACGGCAGCTCCGCCGATAACGTGGCGGCGCTCCAGAACAGCGACGGAAAGACCCGATCGAGCAAGGTAGGCGGCGGCAGTTAGGCCGTTGTGACCTCCACCAATCACCAGCGCGTCCCATTTCTTTGATTTCAATACTGAACCAGAAGAAGATTCAGTAGCAGTTTTGCTCAACTTCCTAATTTGTTGTAAATTGCGCAACATTTTCCTTGTTTTGGGCTTTTCTTGCTTAACTTTTAAACACTCTCACTCAGCTCAGTCTGGGTGGTGATGATGTATGTACATGGAACAGTAATTTATTTGGAATCATAATATGAGGGAAAAATACAGGTTTTTTTTTTTTTTGGTTGGATGATGCAAAATACATAACACTTGAAAGAATCAATACTGCTAATGACTTCATTTATCCATTTATTTACTAGGCTCTCATGCAATATTTGTATGGCTAGGGAACTAATCAGCGAACATAACTACATGAATTAGTGGTTTGTAAGGAAAAACACTCCAAAAAAAAAAAAAAACCCATTAGAAAGGCAATACAATATTTTTATAGGAAGAAAGATGGAATATTAGGCGTGCAAAGAAACACTAACAACATGCTGGATATAGTTATGTCTACAAAGCTTTGCACAGCAAGCTTAATATCCAATGTTGTGGCTGAAAGAGGGGATTGAACTAGAAGAATTTGGTGCTTACGTGCCTCTGGTTCACAATCCCTAACAGATAAAAGGCGAAAAAAAAAAGACACTTCTTTGCAAATAGTGGAAGAAGAAAATGGAAGAAAGTGAAACGATCAGAGTGGCAAACTGGCCACAACAGCACCTAATTATATCCACGCGTGAAAATTAAAATTGGTCAAAGAGGATACTACAAAATGAACAAGGATAAGCAGGAATGTTTTATTTGGTTTCTTATGCTGCAGCACTAGAGCAACTACAACTGCCTGATCCTTGAAATGGAGATCTGATTTCATTTAGAATGGACTCCATCTGTGCCCCATAGAGAATATTATAAAAATAAGAACAAAGAAGAAGCAGCTGCAACCATTTTTCTGCATAGCATTAAAGCATATCAGTGAATAAGTTCAAACTTGTGCAGCATAACAATTAGTCTAAATCTATTTCCTAAACAATTTTTCCTAATTTTTCTACCAATAATAACTGTAGTTGGCCGATGTACTAACAAATAGACCTCAGACAGAAAACTTTATGTGGATAGAAAAATATATCTAGCAACTCAAGTGATCTAGGATAAACATCCAACTATTTACATGTAGCTAGAGACTAACAGGGAGGAAAGTTTTTCAAACTATCATCAAAAAGATCAAATGAAAGAATGCCAAAAATGTAATCCTTTATCTAAGATTGGAAATGTTAAAGAGGCGTAATTTTGAAGAGAAGCATAGTTACAGTAATAGTAATAGGTAGAAATATCCACACACACACACACAAAAGATGCAAGAAAACAATCCACAGTTTTCAGGCATGGAAGTAAAAAGAAGCAGAGCCCAACCCCACAACGTAAAGAATGAATAACAGCAAACCTCTGTAGAAGACGAAAAAGCAAGAGAGCCATATTCCAGGAAGTAATCCAAACCGACTACAGATGAGTAAAAAAAATTAAGATGAGAAGAGGGGGAAAAAGTGGTCCTTCGTGTGTTGTAGGGATTTATCTTTCCTTTCAAGAGTTGGTTCCAATACCAAGTAAACTACACTTGCAATCTCTGAAAAAATAAATAAATAAATGGATAAAAACATAATTATGAAGTACTGTAATTCAACATCAAAATTCTGTTCATGTTCTAACATCTTTTCATAGCTTCTGCAGCATCCTCAACAACTGAATAGCCCATCTCCTCTAAAGTGCACAATTTCTTCCTCTTTTTTCGACAAGGAATCTCTATCCTCCTGTAAGAATGTTATTTGATTAGGAATGATTCTTAAGATGGGTTCTAAATATCGCCTCATAGAAGTTATAAAAGAAATTAGTGAATACAAAAAGTAATCAAGAGACTTTATAGTAATTCATGTGTTTCCACAAACTATTAGTCTCCAGTCTCAATTATTAAAATTATCTACATTTGATTAGAATCAATATCTATAACTTAGAGTCTTCTTCTGCGATGTGTCGTCTTTTCCTTTCTGCATTGGTCAGTAATGTTTTGTGTGCTAGTTTTCAATTTCTATAGGAAGATCTTGATTTTTTCTGGGCCTTGCCACTTTCATATTATTTCCCAGGTCTTGTTTTCCTCATCCCGGTATTGTTGGTTGAGTCTCTGGTGTGCTGATGTTGTGGTGAAAGATCCAGTCTTGGTCCATCTCCAGATTGGTTGGTCCTGTCCAGCTTGTGGATCTGGCGGTGGTATGGCGAGAATTTTGTTCCGGATTCCATCAGGTACCCATCTGTTGATCTCATTCCAGTCCCAGTTACCATTTATGTCCACGTAGTCCTTTACTTTCTAATGGAGTATGTGTGCTGGAGGTTGAGTTTGTATGTAGTGTTTAAGTTTGTACTTGAGGTATGTCATCTCTTGTACACATTAGCTAGACATGATGATGTCTTTTGTGATCCAGTCTTGCATTTCTTGATTGGATCATGCCGGTGACCTTATACCTTATTCTGTTATCTTAAGATTGTTCTGCACTGAAATTTTGATTCCTTGTCAAGAATATGTTTGGTTTTGTTTTCTAACTGATACTTGTGAACTTGTAAACATCTGAAGGTGGGTTACTCTATTTTTCTGAAGGACTTCTTTTTGAGTAACTCTCCTTTTGCTTTGAAGTTTAAAAAGTATCAAGTAGTGAACAAAAGCAAAAAGTAGTCTCTCCAGGAAGCGAAGTTTCAGCAAAAAATCTATAATAAGATAAAAAAAGAAGGTAGATAGTCACTTTGAGTGATTCAATAAAGAAAACAACAAAGTTGAAAAGTTTTTTCCAATGAAGAACTGCTTTCCTTTAAATCCTTTGTCATGGCTTGTAAGTTTCAATGTTTCTTGTCGGTCTTAGACTGAAAATTTCTGATTCATCTCTTGTATACTGTTGCTTTTTCGTTGCCAGTTGATTTGGATTACAAGTTTTAATAAGGGCAAAAGAGAATTTGAGAAAGTGTCAATCCTCCCTCTTCAACGTCTTAAAATTGTTGAGTTTCATGGGTATTCTGGTAAAGAATCAGACGACGAACTTGTCATGTACTTTCTAGAAAACAGCACTGCTCTAGAAAGTGTAATCCTTGACACTCATTCTCTGATCCCTCACCGAAGTCGCAGGATTCGTCAGGCAGAGAGGACAGGCAGAATTGGTGCGGAGAAGTTTTTGAAGAGACTGGCAACTTCATCTGTTGAAACAATTATTCTTTAGTTTCTGTAGCAACCTGTCATAAGTGATCTTCAGTATTTAAAATTCGGCATATTTTTGATCCCTTGGACGGGCGAAGAAACATGCGTTGTGAGATCCAAGTAGTAATTAGTTCCCTCGCGAACGGTGGATGGATTTGATGTTGACCTTGGCCCTTGTTATATAAAGGTTGTAGGGTGTGATCTGTGATGTTTTGAGGATATTGTTATTTAAAGGTTGATTTGTTTTGATACAAAAAGACTGGGAATGAGCATCTTTATGTCTCTTGCTTTTTGTGTGTGCGTCTTTTGTTTTGAGTTCAATCTCAGGACGACAGCAATTCCATCCCGTAACATGTTGATCTTAATAGAATTGATTAGAGATGAATCAACTTTACAAGAAGCATAAGTGATTTACAAGAGATGAATCAACTTTAACAGCAGTGATTTACAAGAACATCAGAAGATTCAGAACCCATAAGTGTGCCCCGTTTTCATCAGCAGATTCTGAATCATAAGTGACAAGTGTAAGTAGCCAAGTCACAATGTTTAATTAATCCAAAGCATAATGAAGGTGAAAAGTAAAAATATTTGGGACATATACTAACAGAAAAAGGACCAAGCTGTAAACTTTTGCTTAAGAACACCCAATTCCAATCCTAGGGTTTCGAACCAAAGAATTTTGCTTCATAATATCACAAAAATTTGACTGGGGACTGTTAATAGGACCCCACAAGCATCAAAAGGTAAAATCCCCAAAAAGCAGCAATGCCTTGAATTGCATTTGCTTGAAAATCAACGCTGCACTACTAAATAAACGCTGAACTGAACTTCTACTGACTTAATTTTGGTCATGCACATTCTTAGGCCATAGAGGCAGACACATTCTAGTCTTAGGCAACCACGTATCAGCTACTTTTTCTTCCCCTGCTTCTTCTTTATCACTTCATCAGTGTACATGATGCCTTTGCCATTGTAAACCTCTGGAGGCTTACAACTACGGATAGCAGCTGCAAATTGATGTACCCTGTGCTTGTCGAGTCCTGTGCAGCAAATTGTATTGTTTTTGAAGCAAAACACACGTACCGCTGGAGGTACAGCCAATTCAACTTCGTGGCTATAGCCTAATCTCAGAAACAATAGACGACCTTCTGATTCAGCTCTGGCTTTGAAACCAACACCAACAATTTTAAGAAAGCGAAAGAATTTGGCTTCCATGACGGCAAATCTTACAAAAACCTGAGCAAACAAGAACAGCATAAGTCAAGGGAAAAGTGGTTTTAAATTGCTGATATAGAAAACATGCACACAAACACACACCAACTATTCTTTTCAACAAAAGTCTACTCCATCAGACTCATGAAGCTTAGAGGAATTATCTGGCTGCAATCACCAACCTGGCTAAATTAAAAACATTTGAAACGACTTCAAGTTCAAAAATTGCTTAGATTCAACAAAAAAAAAAAAAGAAAGAAAATAAGGCAAAACAAGAAACATAAGCTGAGGTGCAACAACTAGGCAGAGTAGTCTCCAAAGAATTACAAAGGACGCAAACGAACAAAACCCAAGCTATAAGTGGTGGAGAAATGATTATTGCATTGCATAATGTAACGAAACTCACAAAGCACGAAGAGTATAAGCTACGGTTTACAATTTGAAGGCACAACTCGTACGCACCAATGCCAAAAGGAATCCGAAACCAATGGGTTTTCCAACCATATGAGCGAAACTCGAGAGATATAATCAAAATATCAAATCACAATCAAGCAACATGAAGTAATTCAGATTTTTCCCCGTAATAGGAGATCGCGGCTGAGACTAATGCGACAAAAGTGAAAACTCCAGAGAATTTTGGTTTAGCAGTTAGAAACCAAAATCATGTGTCATATCTATATGGTGGTTTAGACGGCTACAACGGCATGAAAATATAGTTGAGTTCATGTCAAAGCAAAATGATTAAGCACGATAATTGAACTAAAAATAATAGCCAGGCATTTCTTTGAAGCAAATCGTCAAACATCTCTTCTCACCCAAATGGACAGATTCGAATCTTAAAAAAATTCGACCTAAGACTCAATATACGAAATGAGAAGACGACACAGTCCCCTCCCGTCCCGTCTTAAAGATAATTTGTTCTTAGCTTTTCTACAAATTACAAGCTTCGGCCGGCCTACTACGACAATGGAACCCAGTTACCCAGTGCAGAGGTTAAGGAGAACAAAACCAGAATATTAAAGTAAATATTGGCTGCAAAGATAGTGAAGATCTTACTCTCTAATACCGAGATAAACCTCTCCTGACAAAAGTCCCGGAGTCCCTACGCCACCGGTGCGACGGCCGTTTCTCGGAGTGTTTCCGCGCCGAAATGAGAGGCCGGCCTGTGAGAAATGATTTCAGCGAAGTCGGATAATGGATTGGTTGGTAGAGGTCAATCTAACAATGTGTTTAGGCCCAACATTATAAGAAGCCCATTCCACATTTAGCACTGGAGGAAAGAAAACTCATACCAACACTTACTTGGCCAAAGTGGTAAGGTTTTTTGGTCCCCTTAAACGCGGTCTTGGATTCGAGTCTCGTGAATGGAAAGAACAATATTGGGAGAATTTTACCTTTGAAAAGAGACCGACCCGACTCGGTGTGAATTAGTCTGAGTGCATTCCCTCTTAAGCAAGGTCTTGGATTCGAGTCTCGTGAATGGAAATAACAATGTTGGGAGAGTTTTCCCTTCAAAAGAAAACCGACCCGACTCGGTGCGGATTAGTCTAAGTGCAATGCACACTTAGAACAACAATGTTGGGAGAGTTTTCCCTTCGAAAGAAAACCGACCCGACTCGGTGCGGATTAGTCACCGTACGCAGTATGAAAAAGAAAACTGATGAACAATTTTATTTTATTTTAGTATTTTTTTAAAAAAAGAATAGAAATGAGACAAAAAGAAGAGATTTTAAAGGATTTCATCGCCTATGTTTTGGACATAATATAATGAGGAATTTTTTATCAGCTATTAGATTTCATCGCCTCCTAAATGTGATGTCGTTAATAAATACGCCTAAAAATTAATCTTCAAAATCTTGCCTATTGTGATTGTGATGCAATTAACTAAGAGAAATAAAATACACCATTTCTCTGAGAAAAATTAGTTTTACAATATAAAAAGACACGGAAAACAAAGCCAGGCCCTTAATGCTTTTAACCTGTTATGACAACAGTGTCTTTCTAACAAGTGTAATTCTGACTTAGAGTTTACTTCCCCGTCCACATCACTACATCAGCACTCCACAGATCTTCCTAGACTCCATATAACAAGGAACAAAGACCAAATGTAAGGGTGGTGAATTGTGTAACTACGGCGTTAAGGGTTCAATCTCTTGGGAAGTGATGTAGGGTAATTAAAAAATAATAATAATAATGATAATAATACAGTAGTTGAGGACATAGCCAATTAAAGAACATTCGATCTTCACATTGGTAGAGTACTACAAGAGCTTGCACGTAAGCTTCAGAAGGAATTGGTGATTTACATCAGCAAACTGAAGCATCTGCAATGACTACAAGACGTCTTGGATTAGCTTCTCAGTCAGACTTTTGGAAAGCCCCATAACACTGTCAGCAGTGCCCACCTGTGAAAAATGAAGGCTTTGTCAACGAAAGATGAAAATGCCTCCACATGAATGAATACTAATGCAAAGCTTTTCCTCTGTCTCAGTTAAAAGAAAGATGCCATCATCATGGATTTCATCAACCATTTCATGTTCACAGTGGAAACTTTATTATACTTCTTGATTGTTTTAGATGGTTTACAGGAAGGTTTTGCTGAGGAAAAAATTTACAGGATGCTGCTATTCAGTGTTGGAGAACTGTGAAGGAAACGGATGGAAAAAAAAAAAGAGAGACAGACCACTGTGTCAACAAACGGCAGCGTCAGTGGATGTTCAAGCATCAAACCTCCAGCTACGTTGAGGATTATTCCCTCCTCGATCTGAGCAAAACTTGTAGTTAAGTCTAAGGGTACTTAATATGGGTATCAGCACTCAGGTAGGTTTTTGGCTAACTTACAAGGCTGTCAATCACTTCTTCTGGAATCTCATGGAAATAAACCTGCAAAAAAATATATTACTGAGCAAAACTGATACAAGTAAGGAAATCAAGGATAACTGAGACTTAGCGTCTTGAATCAATCTATTACAGCTTCATCAGTTTACTGGTTGATTGTCATTGTATTCACATTGTTTAGACTGTTTAGGCCTATAAGCCAACGACACAGTACTTGTGAGCCTCTATGCCTATAAGCCATATTTATTAAGTGCTGGGATCATCTTTGTGGATACCTAAATTAGAACCAAATGCGAATAGAAAGTAAATGAGAGTAGCACCTCTGCTCTATCGCATCCTCCTTTTCTGTTTCCTGTTGTCAGATTTGTAACAACTATAGATCCCACAACTGAAGTATGACCACCTGAATAGCCTGGAGAAAAAAAACATAGCGAGATTATTATGTCTGGTTTTCATGATCCAGGACTGATGCTTATTAGGACACTGAATATTGCAAATAATTAAAAGTTCTATTATGCGGACCTTGAATATATTTACGTGCCTCTTCCTTGCTTGAGGGCTTTTCTCTGATGGTCCCTTCAAACACCACTACCTCAATACCAAATTAAACGTAGGAAAATACCATAAGCTTAAACATTCCAGCTTCCACAACACAACAAAGAGCAGTTAGAATCAAGCACCTTCAAAAGTATAACTATAACCAACTAAATAGTAAGAAAAAGGACTTCATGCAGCTTCTTGGATTTTTGTTTCAAGGGGGTTAAAAGCAAGTGACATTACTTTTCCATGAGAAAGTTAGATCCTGAAGTGTTTCCATTTTAACTAGTGAGTTACATAAAAGATAAAATTATGGATAATGACATTCAAGCCAATTTCACAGCACAGATAATTGGACACAGTGACCTTGGATTTCGAAAACGTTGCAGCCCTTTGCCAACATTTTTAATTTATAACTTAGAACTGCTCTGTAGTTCATACACACCATACTCAGATTCAATCAAATAGCGCAATCATGTCATTAAGAAAACAAGAATAATAATAAGAAACATTCATATTATTTGGTATATGCTAGAGAACATACTGTGTCTGCCGTAATTAGAAGTATGGTTTCTTCATTTCCCTCCAGATGTCTAGTGTTCATTATCCTTGAGATGATAGCCTCCGCCTACGGCAGAAAACATGGAAATTACTTCTCTGACTGCAAAGTTAGGGATATCAACATTTTTTTTTATACAAAAAAAAAAAAAAAAAAAAAAACTCGATAAAGTGGAGAGCACTGTTGATCTAATGTTTTAGAATGAAGTAAAACAGCAAGAATTATATATACCAATTACAACTTTGTATATATTTCCTTCCCAAGTGTGTCCAATGAGAAATCTCCAAAGATAACATAACAGGCTGCTGTTCATTCATAACGCGAATGCCACAAATTCCCATCAATTACAACTAAAAAGTGCATTTGCAGACTGAATATAAAGAACATCCAGAAACTCCTCACTGGGAGTATCTCAAAGAGGAAACAAATTACTTCAATCAAATAAGATTGTCCGAGAACTATAAACCTCAGATTCTGTCGAACACACTAATAACAGTCATAACCTCAAGGCCATTAAAGCATGCAAGATATCAATTATGCAGAAAATAAAACCAGGGATGAATATGTGGATGAAACTTGACTCAATAAAAATTGTTTGTTTCATAGCATAATAAAAAAAAAAATAAATAATACCTTGGCTTCAGCTAAAGCCATGACAAGCTCCTCAGGCTTTTCTCTCCTTATGGCTTTCTCATCTATATCTGCTGTCTATATCTCTCAAAAGCATTAACAGTAATCTTACATTTTGACTGCTTATTGTCAGGAAAAGAGAGAGAGAGAGAGAGAGAAATCACATCTCTTGAGATCCCAAAATACATGATTTCTAATCTCTTTTGCTAAAGCCAAGGTATATCACCATTGGACATTGGTAGTCAATACTTAAGACAACATAGCAAAAGATAGAAGTAGCCGGGAGTACCATGACTGTGAATTCATAGCCCATTTCGGAAAGAATTTGACGACGAGCCATCGAAGATGAACCCAAGATTATCTACCCTTCGCCATTCAAATACAAAAAAAAAGGGGTCGATTAACTACATTTCCCATTTGCTCAAATTGAGTAGTAAAACATGCAAAGTAATGGGGATAAAATATCTGGAACCAAATTGCAAACATGAACAAGAAGCAGAAGATTAATGATAAAAGGGACCAAGAACAGGGAAAGGCAAATGCAGAGAGAGAGAAACAAGCATAAATTGCGAAACCTGGAATGAATTATTCTTCGGAGCCATGTTTCTGGCTAAAGCAGCAAAAACCCCAGCGCGCTGGATAAACCCAATTGTCATACAGCAGCAATTGAAAGGAGCGAAAATGGCCGCGTATTGTTCTTTTGGCTTGGGATAATTCATCTTTGGTTGAAAAAAGTCAATATTGTCCCTCCCATTTTAGTAGTGTCACTTCTAGTCAGCTAAAACCTAAAGTTATTGTTCGTGAGCAATTTTTTTTTTTAAAAAAAAATCAGCTAAAACCTAAAGTTATTGTTCATGAGCAATTTTTTGGACTGATATCACTAAATTTATAACTAGTGATTCAATGTTATAATAGTAGTGATCACTTTGAAAAATTAATTTGAAATATAAATTAAATCACTTGCATTGTAAAACCTTCATCTTAAACCCAACACTACATTGTATGAGCATTGGCTTAAACCCTTTATATGTTTCAGTTTTAGAAATGCAATCTTATCTACTCCCTCTGTTGGGGTTTTTTTTAATATGTACGGTTTCTAGTACAAATTTCAAAACTCAATATGAACTATTTTTCTAGGACAGAGAGTATTATATATGGGACCAGCGATTATGCGTAATGCATGCAATATGAACTTCATAATCAAAAGTTCAAAACATCAACGCCCTTTGGTGAATGGAAAATGATATGCATGTGTGCTGAGAGAAAAGTAAGAACTATACTCATCATCATTTAAAATTCCTCACTGAAATTGGCAGGAAAAAAAAAAGAAAAGAAGAAGGCCGATGATCGTTGACATTGATGAAAGAACTAAAGACGATGCTGATTTTACAAAAAGAAAAGTTGTAAATTAAGGAGAGGGGAGACTTCATTCCATTGTGCTGCAGGGTGTCTTCCCGGACTGATGATTGATGAATGATGGATCATCAATCAATCAATCAACTATTTGTATTGAGGAAGAGGGAAATTCCCAGATTCAATGAGTGCAATGTCCTTCAAAAGAAGATGGTAATGCATCTTGACTTCCTCCACGCTTCTCCCACCTCCAACAGCTTTGGCTACCTTGTCCCAACGATCCGGAGTTTCCTTATCGAACCTCGCCAGAGCCATTTCAAACAGCTTGTTTTCCTCCACTGTCCAAGCCCTTTTTGTTGATGCCATTCGGAGCATAGTAAACACCGAAAAAGCAAATTTAACAAGCAACAAGATATGGACACAACGCACAAGTTGATTAGTACTAACTACTGGTACTATATATAAATGAGATGAGGCCAAATTCAGGGGTGTTTGTTGGACGACTCTCACAGAAGCAGAGACAGAGATTATTAATGATCCGACTCTGGCACCAAAGTACCAACTGGCTAGTTTGTTAATTACTTATCTCTCTCTGCGGTGGCTTTATGCAGATTATGTGAATTTTAATGATATAATAAAACCAAGTCCTAATTTAATCTGGAGCTGCACACATTTATGTCTTAACGTTAATAAAGGCAACCTTGTTTTCATTCGCACATCTGTTAATTGGCAGCCAATCTGGTGTGTTCTTTTTCTTCTTTTTATTTTACGGAGGAACTCTTGGGAGAAATGAGCACGCATTGCAATGGCTATACATTAGCAGTACTACCATTATGTGTATTCAATCAACTGGCCAATTTTAAATGCCAGCCATCAACCAAATAAATACTCTCTCTCTTCCAAAATTATTGTCTAGTTTGAAATTTCACTTTTAGTACAATTTTAATTAGAATTGAAAAGTCAAAGTGGACAATAATTATGAGACAGAGGAAGTACATTTTAGCTTCTACGGTTTCATTAATCCAAATGCGTTTGTTGTCGAGTGAAGAATCTTATCAGATATGCCTGTCAGTCGTCTCCTTTGCTTGTAATACATCTGGGGTTAAAAAAACCAACACTAGTTCGATCTTATCCCATTTTCTGAATAAAAATAAATAAATTAAGAAGCCAAAATCAGAAAGTTTGCTGATAAAAGGCATAGCTACATTCTAATACAAGAAAATTCGCTCATGGGCATTTCAGGAGAAAAGGAAAAAATAGATAAAACATACTCCTTAATACACCAAAACAAAAAAACTTTGAAAAATAAGGTCCCACCGAGATTTGAACTCGGGTTACTGGATTCAGAGTCCAATGTCCTAACCACTAGACCATGGGACCAGATCTGTAAAGCTTTAAAGGGCCTAAAATATATAATATACACAATCCTTCGCCTTTTGGGGGCTTCGGTTTTGAACAATGTTAGATATCAACTACCCTTACTTTCTTTTGTTTAAACTGACCCAACATATCCATACTCAAAATTCACATTTATTTCCAACCTTTACACATTTTTGGCATTGTCCACAAATTTCCCCAATCTTTGTAGATCCCTTTCACCATCCAACCTTAATTGGCAATGAAATACAAATAGATATTATTATCTGCTGAACATATTCTGCATACTATCAATATCATTTTGATCGAAAATTTGATCAAATTCATTGAAAGAACTGCATGCAACGAAGCAGGCATAATTCAAACCCAAAACTTTCCAAATTAATATTTGAAGGGATATATTTTCTCTGTTCCAAAATTTAAACTTATTTTATTTGAACCCCCAAATTAAACTCACGAAAGTAACTCATTTAAATTGCATTTTTCCATTAAAGAAAAAAACTCCTTCAAGCTCCAACACTACTAAAAAAAGAACAATACTCCTCGCCAGAATTAAATTCAACTTAGCGACAAACTTGTAAATTGGACAATTGTAGTATCCGGAAATGAACCCAGTAGAACTGAGGATACTTTTGATAGCGACACGTTGAGTTCAATGAATGAAATGTACTACTAGTTCATCTTCCTCCCCATCGAAATATTCTAAATTAATTTCCTCAATCACTCAAAAGGCAAAAACACACCCAAAAAACCTCAACTCTCCTCCGGTTTATTGTCCAAAACCTTCAGAAATGACGTTGGGATTGATCAATGCTAACCCAGTTGTCCACGTCAAGAAAGAGAGGGTCGCTCGTCCCGCCGACGACCCTCATCACGCCGACGATGTCGTCGATCCTCTCGAGATATATGATATCCTTTCAATTTCTGAATTTTCTAAAAGTTGATATCTTTTATCTTTTAGATTCTGGGTTGGGGGTGATTAATTTCTGAGCAGTTGGGTATGATATAATTGATGTGTAATTTGTTAAATTGCTGATCTTTGACTTGGAAGATTTGACACATTACGTGAGGGATATAAGGGATCCAGAGCACCCTTACTCGTTGGAGCAGCTAAGTGTGCTTTCTGAGGAGTCCATCACTGTGGATGAGAAGCTCGGCCGCATTCTGTTAGCATTTCTCTTTTTTTTTTTTCCTTCTCAAGTTTCAATCAAATTTGTTGCTTTTTAAGAGAGATTTTCTTTAATTACGGTGAAGAGGAATCAAAATAGAACATGACTGACTTATTGACTGATTCATATATAAATTTATTGATCACCTTCTATATATCTATGTTTTAATGGTGGTAAGTCAATGGAGCTACTGGGGATTTTGATCTAGCTTGCCCGTTTGAGTGCCTAAATAACTGTATATGCCTAGGAATTGTCGAAAGAACTCAATAAAATTTTAATTTCTTCATTCATGCAATTATATCAAAATCAGATTGTTATGTGTGGAGAAGTGATTTAATATATCTACACTTACTGCAAAACTGTCGGACAGTATATTAAGGACAATTTTGTGAGTATTTCTTTATAGGGTATATAAAATTTGTTTGTCTCATCATGGAATCCGGATGATGTGTCCATGATAAGGGTTTTGTTGAACTAAGCATCCTATAACAATCTTGAGACCTGCATACCATTTGCTTTCGGTTTGTCATGGAACTGGTGGAATTCTCCTGTTTCCTTCACCTAGTCTTGAAATTAGCTATCTACCAAGTAAAATGTTGTTTTCCATCGAAAGTGAGAATTTATCATAGTGGGTTGCATCTCATCTTATTACTTCTTCTTTAGGATAACTTTCACACCTACAATTCAGCACTGCAGCATGGCTACTGTTATTGGTTTGTGCCTGAGGGAGAAACTGAAGGATTGTTTTCCAGCACATTTTAAGGTTGGCTTTGTTCTTGTGACATACTTTGACATTGTTCAAAGTTTCCTCTCTCAACGTGTTTCTTTTTTTCATATTGCACTTGTCTGCATTTACAACTAGCAGATTTGTGTACTCATTTTGGATGTGACAATCTTCAGTACAGAGCCTGATCTTTGTAAAATTTAAGCTTCCTACTTATATTTCTGTTTGAAGTCTCTGGACTCATAGCAGGAGTTGTTAGCTGACTTATATTCATCACAAATTGGTGACTGTATCAATCTCAGCATCACAGCATGTGTTAAAAATTTTAGTCAAACAATCTGTATTTTTTGTTCTCTTTCTCTAGCCCTGCTGTTCTAATTGTAATCATCAGTCATATTCATATCTCTTCGAGCATTGGAAGCATATACATTCACAAGATTACTTTTTTGTTGCTAATTCTTGAAGTTGACTTCATTTTACAGGTGGACATTAAAGTGGCTCCAGGATCTCATGCAGATGAAGAATCTGGTAAGGATGAGAAAAGTTAACTGTTTATGCTTTCTCCGAAGTAAATGTAAGATACTGATTTTACGTATCTGCTAGAAGACTATCCAATCAAGAAAAGTAAAACATTTAAACAAAAGAAATGAGCTTTTATGTTTGTGGTGTCTTAATGATGCTTGAGTTCATCATTTCATTACCTGCTCATTAGTTATTGACTGATTGGTTAAGTTAGTGAGAAAGAGCACTTGTTCTTTGCTATTTTGCAGTTAATAAACAATTGAATGATAAAGAAAGAGTTGCTGCAGCTTTGGAGAACCCCAACCTTCGCCAACTAGTGGATGAATGTCTTTATTCCAGTGAACTTTGACATGCCTTTCATACTTTTGTCTATCGAAGGGTAGTTTTCTGGCTGTGAAAGTAGAATGCTGAGTCTCTGTATGTAGCCTTAATTGTGAAGATTGTTCCTCCTTGTGTTTTGTCTTTCCTTGTTAATGTACAGTATGGTTTAATCCAAACAATGAAATTCTTAAGAGAAGGTCCCATGTTCCTGAGGCTTTTGATAGGGCAATAGCCAATACTGCTTGTACAAAAGCATTACATCAAAAGTTTGTGTTTCAAACTCATATGCTACATCTCATGTACATAGGCTCCTAGACAATCTTCGGCCATTCATGAAGTGAAAATGTTGTATGACAAAGTCATATAAACATAAGAATAGTACTATAGTTAATATTCACTCTTCGCCGGTGAGTTTGTTAATCGTGAAGCATGAAAAGCAAACCACATTGCGGCATGAGTATATTATTGGTCTCTTAGAGTCACTCAGCTTGCAGCCGATGCAATGCTCTCTGGCTCGGGAGCCACAAGCGTTGCAGAGTTTTTATCAGAACCGTTCAAGGGTGTAGTGTCAAGGCCCCAATATTTGGCCGTTTTCACATCTTCCTGAATCATTATTCTTGAAAACTCCTCATGATCATAGTTCAGCGTTGTCTTCCCTCCGAATTCACTAGGAAGGTTATCAGAGTCGAAAAATGTCTTCATCAATTCCATACTGTCTTTGTTATTTGGGTATACGAAGTGTATTTTTTCAGATGTTTTTGCATCAACAAAATACTTCACAACCTGTGAGGATAATGTAGAGAAGAGGATTCAGTAATACAAAATGTAGTAACTTGAAGTTTCATCTGTTTGGGTATGAAGAGTTCATACCTTATAAAATGCCTCGAAGATCCTTGGTGGGCTGTAAAGAATGACAATGGCAAGTCTCTCAGGGTAATGATTCTGTAGAACATTAATGATATCTCTGGCTGTCGAAATGGGAATGTTAGTGTTCAATGACCATCCATTGAAGTCTATCAGCCAGGACATCTGCTCTTGGCCTTCAGGCAAGTTAAGGATGGCACTTTCCATGAGATAAACTAGATGACGAACATTACCCTCAGGTGATGTCGTATTCTGCAATCAAATAAACCTCGTACATTAATCTTCTGCAGTTATGCACACAAAAGGGATGGAAAACTGATAACTCATCAAGCAAAAACAGAGAAATTAGTCATGCCTGCTTTCCTGGCCTCATTATAAGGACAGTTCTGCCTGATCTGTCATGAAAATTGGCTTTGGATACTTTCCCGGTTTCACCTTCTTCTGCTACTTCGTGCTAAAAAGACAGTAAGAAGAATTGCAGATTAGATATAGAGCCGCAGAAATCCTGGAGGAACACTAAGAGATAATAGAAAAGGCAGGGTATATTTTACCCAGCGAATTTCTTCTGGCTTGTATGTGGCTCTCCACTTGAGTGACTCCTCAAGCATTTTCTGAGCCTTGGCGACATTCCAATTTCGGGCTTCCAGATATCTCCTCAGACAAGCATCAGTGCAGTACTTTAAGCTGCGTCCAGATTGAGGTCCAATGGCAGTCCTTAATTCTTGGACCTGCTTCAACAGAAAAATTCAGACTGATATGTAAAACCATTGAAAGCGTAAACAAGAAAACAGGATAAGAAGACTCAGTTATCAACTGCAGGATGATGAAAGAGAGTCTATTCTGCTAATCAAATGAACCAGACTTAATCTGAAACCTGATTTTTTGTTACCTTGGCAGATTTTTCTGCAGCTTCTTCCTTTGCATGATTGTTAGACTGCTTTCTCCAGAACATGGGCATCGTCAAATCTGCACGTAAAATGTTACTTTTCAGGGACTTCAATAGAATCTGATGACATAAATTGGAGACCTTGACAGCGTGTTTAACAAAAATCACCAAAACTAATCATCAGTGGACTTGCAACAAATGGATCAAATATTGCAGGAAATCATGAAAACAGAGAAGATGAGACCCCAAGATTCACAAAGAACTTTAGAATGTCCTATTACCTATTTACCTCTGTTTAGTTATTCTACGAGAAAAACCCGAATACCATAAATCCAATAAATTTGGAAGTAATAAAGATCTGTAGCGTACTGTTCTAAGGATCCTTCTTTGGGTTTATTCATCCAGACAAGATTAGGAATTTAAGAAGTATAAAATGAAACGATGATCAAAACTTGGAAAAATACCAAAATGCAAGCACGTTAGAAGCATCGTGAAAATCGAAACAGAAACATACCTGGGCAAAATAAGAGAGACAACAAGAAACTGATGAGTATGAAACCTCTTGAATCTGCAACCTCTGAAGTCTGAAACTCAAAATTTTGAAAGAAGAAAACTTCTTTCTTTCCTTCCTTTGAAATGAAGGAAGCTGATATTTAATGAAGAGTTAAGATTTGTGGGTCAATGTCCTCTTAGGGGTAGCTCGGATGATCTATCTTGGAATGGACCGAAACCACAAAGTTTGTTGGAACTTTAAAAAAAAGTTAAATACCTAATTTGGTTATTTTGCACATGAATCATGCAAGATTTCTTATATTATGGGGGCTTTTTAGGAGGTTTTAGGCAGAATGGCAGAGAAGAAGAAACCTATACGTACTTGGTTTTTCAGATGTACCATCGATTAAGTCAAACCTTTTAGTTTCAACTATACGATTTAATGGCTTATTCAAACTGCCAGGTAACTTAATATAGTTTAATACTCTCTCCGTACCAAAATAAGTGTCGTTTTAGCAAAATGAAAAAATTTCAAAATAAGTGTCGTTCTCACATTTCAATGCACTTTTTGTCCAAAGTTTTCAAAATTACCCTCGAAAGAATTAATACTATTGGCGGACATTTTTTTAGTGGGGTTGGTTAAGGATATTGAAGTAATTTTATTACCCTATTTAAAAGTTTCTTAAACTATGTGTAAAGTGTAGGATGATACTTATTTTGGAATGAAGGGAGTACTCACTAATGACTAGTGTGCCGGTTTTGACCCAGATGGTCAGTTTTAGAAAGTTTTTAAGCATTGGTTCAGGTCAAATCATGAGGACTAATGAGAATTAGAAATGAAGCGGTTGGCCTTTTATGAGTTTAATCTAGAGGTTTTTTTTTTTTTTTTCCTTGTGCAAAAATGAAAAAACGAAAAGAATTAAACGCGTGGTTATTGTTGAACAAAATTCAAAACTCAAAAATTCAAAAAAAATATCACAAGCCTATGTTCTTATGTTTACCAATTACCAGAGTAGACTCACAGAGACACACTAGTCCGTGGGGGCCTCGAATGGGAAAAAAGGGGTTGTGCCCCTTTCATTGGGTCAATTAATTGCCGGCTTTCTTAGGTAAACATTTACATTGAATTCAATAACCAATTGCGAACGCGATAACATTATGAATTCTTCATGAGTGGCAGTTACATTACATGTACCTCCTTCTAAAGTCTCCCTATACTGCGGCTTTTCCCCTATTTCTTTATCCATGGAAGACACAGTCTCAGTTAAACATTTACAATGTGAAGTAATAAGTCACCCCTAAATTCCTAATACATATCGAATCCAGGTTTCTAATCCTTTTGGATATTAAGGTTTGTGATTCCCAAACTGTTCTTTATTGCCAATAATGTCAAAACTCCAAATTTTACTTGCAAAATTTAGTTTTACCACAGATAACTTGTTTTGGTTTTAACCTAAGTTTCACTCAAGATTTATTTTTAGATGGAAAAAAAAACTTTAAAAATATATTCTCACATTCGTTATGTTCTTCTATTATTATGAAATATTTTTAATATTTTTTTTTCAATTAAAAAGTTATTCTAGGTTTCACCTAAAACAAATCAAAATGACTTATGTTAAGAACAGGAAGAAATATTTTATAAATCACAAAACTACTTTTCCAAGCAACCTCCTTGTACATTTTTTTTTTCTCCCTATCATTTCTCATATTAGAGATTAGAGAAAGATCATGGAAGAAACTCGGTAACTTTGCTCCAATTCTTTAGGAACCATCCTTCCATAGTCGACCGCATTCAACGAGGAAAAGCATCGGGTCCGCGTGGTGGACCTGTAGTGGTAATTTAACGTGTAAGGTTTGGTTTCCCATCGGACTTTTTGATAACTTGCATTCACATCTAAGTACGGTGCAAATCTACTACTATTATAACGTGGGAAGTCTCATTTTTGTACAGTATTTTCGTTGGTTCGTTGGTCGTCAGCCTCCCTCCTCTTCCCCTCTTCTTCCTTCCGTCACCCCTATCTCCCCTTCGTACACCTCCTTCTCTTCCCCCATAAACCTAAGCCTCTAAAATGAAAGCAAAATCATTCAGTGGCCAAGAAAGCAGCCAAACTCTTATTTCGATTCATAATTCCCAGGTGTCCTTAGTTTTTCTCATTTGTGGATTTGGGTAAGAATTACAAGATTATTGTCCAGACTTCAAGCGTTGGACTTCTATTTCAAGTAATTGCCTCTTTCAATGATTCTGTTTGGTTGATGATTTCTTGGTGATTTAGGTGTTTCATCGGAGCAATTGCTGGATTGGTTCATGATTTCTTGGTAATTTAGTAATTCCGTCGGAGTAGTTACCGATTGGTGCTCCAAAAAGGATGTTCTTAGATCATATATAGCAATTGACAAAGCTGTACATTGATTGCCATCTGTTCGAGATGTTACCAATTTATGTCGGTGGATTTGGCAGCGAAGACGCTCCTCAACTGTTTGATAAAATGACCAAGAGAGATAATAGACTCGAAGTTACTTAAATGTACAAATAAGCTCAATTCAGAGTGCTACACAGCCTACACATAGAGTCGATTAATTGAAAGGTCCATTTTGCTGGACGATTCTACTCTTCCCAATATCCAAAATTTCATTATCATTTGAAAATATGAGGTTTTGTTTTCTCGAATTCAGAGAGCTCCCAATAAGTTTTGGAAAAAGGAGGTTTGGTTTACATAGTTTCTATTAGCAACCGTAAAAAACCATGTACAAGTATAAAATTTGAAATGAATGATCTCTGAGCTTTCTGGTATTTGTAAATATAGGTAAACAATAAAATGAGTTATTAAAAATAAGATATATTTTCATGTGTTACAATATTATTAGAATCAATCCAAGAAAACAATCCCACAAGAATTAAGCGTGAAATAAGTTATACCAAAAAAAAATTGTTTTCGTTTGTTAAAAATGCAAAAGAGAAAAAACGCTTAAAAATAATCTTTTTAGTCTAATAATTGGTCACAATTAATGTATAATCTCATTTAAAAATTAAAATTACCAAATTATATTGACTCCGCGTAGCGGGTGCCATGAAATTCTTAATATAATGAAAGTGTGGTTTCTCTTAGTTCACATTGAGTTTTAAATTTTATATTATTTTTAGTATAAATTTTAAAAGGGAATTTAATGTATTTTTCTGCTACAAATGGAGTATGTAAGAGGAAAAAAAACTAGAAATGAATTAAGGGAGTCTCATTCACCAACTTTAGTAGCCACCTGCATAATAAATCTAGTATATATTTTTTTCTGAATTATTATTTTAAGACAGGAAAAATTAAGTCCATACTAAAAATTCTCTACGATGAAATGTGACACATGTATGGAGCAATTTTGCGTAGAAGTTTCAAAAACAGGTCATCATTCCGTGTCGTTATTTTTCAAATAGAAACACATTATCTAATTAATAAAGATTCCTTTGTTCAACTCCTGTCTTCATCTATGCTCCAGGCGACAACGAAGAGAAATGAGCCGGAGTTTCAGGATGGATGAAGGCCCATCTTCATCTTCATCATCATCATGGAGAAGGCTGCGAAGATCCAACAGTTTACTATTGGCATCTGAATTAGCTGTGGACTCCGAGTTTGCAACAATCGGCCCCTACCAAAGGCTTTCGCAGTCCATGCAAATTGATTCCGGATCAGGATTTCTCTGTAAACCCAATAATATTCATCTGAGCAAGGGCGGAGCTGCTACAGCTTGGACCGGTAAGCTCGGGAAGCTTTTTACCTTCAAAGGGATTCGTGGCAGATTACAAGTGCCGGTGGCCGGGAACAAGCCAGTACCGGAACTGGGTGTGGCGACTCAGCCAGCTAACAAGAAAAAACGATCATCTTGGCTTCCTGATCCTGATCGAAGATGGCCCGTTCAAGGATGGTGATTCCTTTGATTTTTTATTTTTTTTTTCAGATTTATTTCCGTTAATTTTCCAGCGTTTGACAAATTTTGGATCCAGAACCAGAGGTTGTAAATAGTCAAATATTCAAAGAGTACGTTACAACGTGGAAGTGTCTTATGCCAGAGTGTAATTGACTCGGTCAAATTGTGTTATTCATTTTTAAAATTGGATTGCGATAGTGTTTGGTATTATTCATGTTTTGTAGTATCAAACTTTGGCGTGTATCTTTCACTTCCAATGGAACAATACGCAATGATAAATTCCTAGAAACACCGTGATTCCCTAATTTAGGAGTTACCAGTTCGTCGCACTCGACATCAAAGTGTCATCAAACGCTTCATTTGCAGAACTCGAAGTCCAACAAAGGATCAATAATGGTTTCGGAATTTGTTGGACCAAAATTATTGTCGAATAACTTTCTCTTAAATCCCACAATCATTACGGAACAAAGGAGTCTACTATAATTAAGAGCAATTACAATGATAATACTCCATTCGTTCCAAAATATATGTCGTTGGAGGAAAACTAATTTTTTTCAAAATAGATGTCGTTTTCGCAGATCTAGGAAAACTAATCTTCCAACATTGCCCCTATATGGGAAATTGTATTTAAAATATAAGTGTATTAATACTAAATGATATTGGAAATAGAATTGTATTTAGAATAAATAAGAATAATTTAGTATTTTAACTAAATATTTATTGTCTCCTTAAACATCGTAAAACTCCTCCAGCGACATATACTTTGGAATGAAGGGAGTACCGTTTTAGAGAATCTCTCAATTATCCTCTCCTATTTTTTTTTAACAATGATTGAATTAATCTAATAGGTCCCATGCTATTTTTAGTTTTTTCATTTTTTGAGATGACCGGAGCTGGACTCTTGCAGATGAGTCCCAATGTTTTGAGTTTGTGCAGACAACCCGATTTAGTTTTCCTACACCCATTACAATAGTTATCCCCTTAAAGAGATGGTGTTGTGATTGCTCTAATAAGGGATGCGACAACCTAACAAGTAAAGCACATCTTAAGTGGTACACCTTTTACCGAAGGAAATATATGGGATATGCTTAGTACATAATACTAATACTTATAATATAGTCAACACCATAGAAATTTACATACTCGCACCAATTTACAGGAGAGAACCCATAGTCCTCCTGGCTCCAAGGGCTGATTTTAATCCTCGAAAAGCTGGATACAAGAGAGGGAAACAGACTAAACGAAACATACTAGTACATATATATACATATATATATATATATATATATATATATGAAATTAAAATTACAAGCGATCCACGCATCAAATTCCCCAAACCATCCACCAGCAAAAGCTCTCAAGTCTTCGTGGATTCACGAGCCACTCCTCCTCCAGTCGGTTGTCCTTATCAAAAGTAGATTGCTTTAATTAAGAGCTATCTTGTTAAATTTCACTCTATTTATTGGCGATTTTAGCTGTGTATACAATTAGGGAAAAAAAAACAAAGTGCTAAAAAAAGAATCATTTTTAACCTGTAGATTTGGTAGGGATGTCTTGAGCGGCCGTTTTGGGTTCCTCATCTTCAATTGCAAAATGCTTTCCCTTCCCGTAGATGATACCTCCATAACCTTCATCTTCACAGCGGGTAACATATTCTACATCTACTGTCATAAACGTATCCCTAACACATACATATTTGAACGATTATTATACTTTAAAATAAAAGACAATCTCGAAAAAAAGAAATGATGCTCGCAATCAAATACTACTAGCATACAAACCCGGAATCCACAGTGTCAGTTGGATCTCGAGTCATGGTTTCAGTTGAACTCTGTGGCTGTTTTGGATTAGCCGATTGCATAGCTTGCCGTAACCTTATACCAAAGGGAGATGGTGAGGAAGCCAACAATTTCTTCGCCTGTGATGTTTGTGAAAATTTAAGTGCACTAAGCATTTCCAAGACTAATTTGGTAGTAGTTGTAGTGAAAAGAGAACAAGAGAGTTTGTCCACTGCATTAATAATTCGCCTGTAAAAAGGTTTAGATAAAGATGAGCCTTAGAGATGCGTGGTAGCTTCTCGTTGATTCCAAGCTAAACAAAGAAAAAAAAAAATAAAAATTACAGTATATATCCATTAGATGCAAATTCAAAGTTTGATATGTTGCCTGGCGCTAATGATCATTAGCCACATTGTTGTTTAGTATCGTTACACAGAACTCTAGAGACACCTGGAAAAAGTTGAAAATGGAACTTGCAGGAATTGGACTAGCCCAAAATGACAACAGTGAATGCATTAAAGATTAGCCCAAGATCGAACACAAATAAGCACCACAATGTAATTGGATTAGCCCAAGTTTGAACCCCAAACATACATTTAAGATAAAATTAGCACAATACGTAAATAAGAAGCTACAGTGAAAGAGAGGTCCATTCAGCAGGCGGTGGCAGTGGGAGGACCACCGGACATATGTATTTATATAGTTGCAGGTTTGCAGCGTCAGGGAGAGAGAGTGACGTCAAAACCCATTGGAACAACAACGAGACCTCAAAAACTGCAAGAAACGCTCTGACCTGGGAAATCATTTCTTAACGACAAATTGAAAAGAAATCCTTCTCCCCGGTCCGGGTAGCGTCAGCATCGCTGATCTGGGGTTATTATTATATGATACTGCTCATGCACGTGCTTCTTTCTTGCCTGCCTTCAGAAAATGCATCTACATATACTTCCACCGATCATCCATAAAATCAAGTTCAACAACATGAACATTTACATTGGGGTCTGTAGACTGTAGCTGGGTCACAGGTGTTGGGGCGGGCCGGGTCGTCTTGCTCAATGAAATCTGACCCTCTGTCACATCCAGTCTCTATCAACCCTGACCCTTTCCCTGTCACTTGTTTTGAAGTTTTTAGGTAGACAACCTCTGATTTCTACTATACTATTTTATCTTTCCCAATTTTATCTCACTGACATCTGCAATCTGTCACCACCATCTTTTTTTTTTTTTTTTTTTCTTGATAGGAAAAAAGAGAAGAAATTTTTTTATCATCTTTTCAACCTCACACACACAAAGATTTTAGTAATTACCAACTGTTGAACGTCCAAAATTTTTTTATTGTATGTTGAGCTGCCATTTTTTTAATGGATGATAATCAGAAAGTTAATTACACTTGAATAGGACAGGACATGGGGATATGGAGTCACATGTGCTCCCAAAACTAAGAACAACAACGACGGCCATTCTATTGAATTACTACTCCCTTATTACTGAGATTTTTTTGGCCCAACATAGACGACACACAAATCATTCAGAAGTGGAATACCACCACCTTTTCAAGTAACTAGGCAAACGAGGAAATGGAAGACCGCCAACAAAAAAACATTTTAATGGGGGGCAATGCCTACAGCTATCTGTCGCCCTGCCACCCCCACTCAAGTTTAATTCACATTTATTTCCTATCTTACGAAAGCTAGAATGAGAAAAAATTTGTTGGGGGGAGTGTTGGACTGATGCTTCACTCCAAATTCTTCAAAATGTTAAAAAGGGCAGGCCACCAAGAAAGAGGTGTTATTTTTGTTGCACAAGACACAATTCGGCTTCCCATTCTAGGCAATAAGCGAAACTCTGGAGTCTTGATAGTTTAATGTCCAAACAATATCAATGGTAGACACGAACACATTTTATCCAAAGATAATTGTCCGATTTGATTAAACACAACAAAGGAACCATCATTTTAGGGGGGAGTGACAGATTTTAAGTTTTCTTCTTGAATTCAGTCCATTAAACTAGTACAATCTTCATCTAATTTATTAGAGAGGAACAATTAAATTTACTAACTTGCCTCAACACGTGACATGGGTGAATACACATCACGAATTGCATTTCTGCATTTATGGTTAGGAACCAGGAAAAACGGACCCGAAGAAAAATATAGAAATCTGAACGTAAATTGGTAGTAAGACTAACAGCAATAGCAACAAAATTGGCAAAGCAAGGTTCCTTAAACTACAGAAACGGAAGCTTCACCCCCTACCCCTATGAATGTGTCCCTGTCAATAAATTCAAAGCAGAACCTGAGAGAACGACATCCCAGAGAAAAAACTAAAAACAGAAGTCCTGGTTTTACCAATCGTGCAAGTAACAAAAAACCCATTGTAAATTGGTATGTTCACATCAAACCCACAGGAAAATGATACTCCAACCCTCAATTCATTATTACTAGACCAATTACATTTGACATATAATATGAACTTCAATCGCCAAAGAAATCAGTATTTACAGTACGATTGTATACGCTAATAAGTCATACTGCTTCTTTCTTAGATAGTATTCACAATTACAGTCTGATCATCTCCTTCAAGCCAAGTCAAAAAGCCCTTCCAAAATACAGAAAGCACTGACGAAGCAAAATAAGCACAAAAGAGAAATAAATAACTATCAACTATAGACCACTAATTCAAAAATCATGCTTCAACATCGGATTGGCCCTAACTAATATTGGCTCCAAACTATCAAAATATCAACCTATAAACTAACCGTGTAATATTCTACAATTAGACTTGAGATACCAGAACCAAAAGCCAGGTTTCAGTCAATATCTTATCAGATGAAGGTTCACAAGATATCACTAGCAGGCAGATTTAGCATCGTAAATAACCAAATTAATCCACCCCAGAGAATAAAATTACTAGGTAGTGGAAAATGATGTTTCTTTTTTTTTGGATTTTGCAATTGAACCTCCTTCAACGCCATGAAGAAACAGTGAGAAGAGGAAGATCATTCCAGGCCAATGACAGAAAACCAGGTTGAGAATCAATTAGTTTATACGATTGACTGTAATCCCAAAGAAGGATTTTTGCTTGACTCATTGCGTAATGGCTGAGAGTCACCGGCTCAAAACCGGCATTCTCCAGCAATATCCTCCACTGTTCTTTATCTTCCATACGCTGCCTTTTCGTACCTGCATCTTCCGGTCCCACGACCCCGGCAATTCTCCGTCCAAACAATAATCTCTCAACCTGCAGCCTCTCCGCTGAGTTCCGGTCCAAGTTGGGGTCTAATGATTCAAATACGGAGGAGTAGTAAACAAGGGCGTTCTTGAATCTGGTCAGAAATCCAACCCGGTTCAGGCTTACCTCATATTCACCCAAGGTCACCACTTTCGGGCTCAGCGACTTGGCAAGCCTTAACGCAGCTTCCACCCCACACTTCCCGTCGTCCAGCAAGTTATACAGCTGAAGCATAAAATTCACGGCCAATACCTCATCGGCGTCAACCCGAAAACTCTCCCCTGTTAACTCCTCAACCGGGGCTAAAACCGGAACGAACTCGAAGTTGAGCTCCAGAAGCTTAGCAAAATCACTCAAACGCTTCCCTGTAGCCAATAAGGCGGCTTCCGGAGACTTCCCCAATAGAGGTGCCGGAATACCAGAGATCCGAATTCTATCGGGCTTCCCAGTAGGCCGAGTTGCCAAAGCCTGCAAAAGAGCAGCCCATTGAACTCCCTGTACAATACCGAAATCGATAATATGAATCTTCTGAACGTTTTCCGTTGCCTCGAGAATTGCTTGGTTAGCCGTCAGATGAGAGAACTTTGAGTAAGGGCAAGCGTCGTTGAGAGCTTTGTAACAGAGCGTGAGCTCTTCCGGAGTTGCTTCCAACGTCGCCGGCTTATTCCCGGCTTGTTCAGATAACCGACTGTAAAGCGCTTCGAAGAAATAGAAAGCAACCCGCTCGGTCGGATCGCCGTGCTGGGAAACCAATTCCCTGAGCCGAATCAATGATTTCACTGCATTATCCGGGTCGGACTCCGATAACCTGGCGGCTTCAATCAAGGCTTTGAATAACGGCTTGGAGCAAGGTGAAGCGGAGGCATCATGCGGAGACGTGGAGGATGTGCTGGCTATCAAAGCTGCGTCGTTTTGGTGAGTGGCGCTGTTGAGCTCCCCTCTCGAGGTGTCTTTAACGGCTTGCAGTGGAAGGGAGGAGGATGAAGGTGGAGCCCACTGAGAGGTTTGAGGTTGCAGCGGAGGGATACTGTAATTCTTGTGCGCGGATTCGGGCGGTATGACCCGGTTAAGATCCGAGGGAGGGGACGACCCGATACTGAGTCGACTCGGGCAAGTGGAAAACGGATCGGAACTGTAGATATTGAAATCGGAGGTGGCCTGCCACGCGTCACAGCCAGAATGGAGATTAGAGCTCCCAGTGGAATCCCCACCGCCCATCAAACTCTCCATCCACTCATCCGAATCAAACTCGCCGGCGCCAGGCGGACCACAGAAATCGGCGAACCTGAACCCGGCGGAGTTGGGATCAAGGGGTGGGAAATGAAACCCAGGTTCTCCAGCTTCCGGCCCGGCAGGAACCTGAAAAGGGTCGGGGAAACCGGGGCCCGTCAAACCATAGCCGCCCAAGGTAGTGGGACTGTTGGCCAAGCTCTGGTGGGTGGTTGACCATGGGCTCAAGCAAAATGGATTGATGCCCAGAAGCTGTTGCTGCTGCTGCTGCTGATGTTGTTGCTCTTGCTGCTGCTTCTGCTTAATGACTTGTTGAGCTATGGCCATCAGATTTCCGCTGTCGGTACACATATAAGCCATTTCTCCCTTATCAAATCTATTTCTGGTCAATTTGCTGTACTGAAATACGATTTGTTACATTAGGGGAGAAAGAGGGGAGTGAGGTAAGTTGAGAAGCAGAGATGACTGTTGGGAGGAAAAGAGGGGAGAGAGATTTGGAGAGAGTGTGTGTGTGTGTGTGTGGAAAAGGGGGGAGTGGAATTGAATAAAGATGTAAAAAGCTTTTCTTTAATTAACGAAAGGTCTAAAACCCCAGGAAGGCGGGACAGAATTATTAAACTCACACCCTCCCTTCTTCACCAAACCGTTTTTTATTTATCCTTTTTATTTTTTTCTGGTAGTACGTACGTAGTCGTAGTGAAACTGGTTATTATTAATTTATTATTTGTGATCTTTTTGGACTTTGGCCTAAAAGCCAATTTATATTGTATGGTTTCCAGAACTACTAGTACTTCTGTTTAATTACACTACTATTCTTTTTCCCTTTGTCTAGGAAACTTGTAGATTTGCAAGGTTCGAAGTACGTTCTCGAGACTTTGCTTAGACAGAATGTATTCTGTTTTGGATGGTTTACATGCATGGACTACTGTAGAGATGATTTGTACTAAAATAAAAAATTAAACAATTATTTTAAGACAAAACAAGTATATGAAAAAAATATCAGTGAATAATAATAAGGCATCAAATTATTCCGTACATGCAAAAAAAAAAAGGGAGGATAGAGAGTCCATAATAATCCATATATTTCAATTTAACTAGCTGCATATGTTTGATTTATTTATACATTTTCCTTTTTTATATTTCCTCCATTCCAATTTAATATGCATATACTCATTTTTATATGAATTAATAAAACTAACTTAACTAACATCTTTTATCTTAATTTTCTCAAAATTTCCTTACAAAGACATTAATAATGGTTAGTGATTGGTTAAATTAAGAGTACATTTGAAATTTCATTTAAAAAAAGAGTGAACCTCAAAACAAGTCATCAACCTTTAATATATTTTCACTCTAAGTCATCAATTAAATTTATTTGTAACACAGGTTACTTTACTAAAGTTTTAATCCATTTCAAATTATTCTGGTAATTTGGCCGTTAAATAGTGACGGAAATCCATTTTTCACATGCTTTTGGGTTCAGGGGTATTTTTGTCATTTTATTATTTTTGTATTTTTTTAATCTTTTAATTTTTTTTTACAATTCTTTTTCTTATACTTCCTAACTTGCATACACTGGTAGTATAGCTCTAAATTTTAAAAATTTATTTTCCTTTTGTATTTTAACTTCTAGATTATAAAATTTTTTAAAAAAAATTTAAGAAATGAAGAATAAAAATTCGAGTTAAAGTAAACATGAAAATTAATAAATTAACATTTTAAACAAAAATAAAAACTAAAAGAATTAGCTAAGACAAGTTGTTTCTTCTAGATTATTTAATTTTTTTCAACTCGATTGAATTATTTAATTATTAATTTTCACGTTTCTGATTCTTTGTTTTTATAATCTAGAAGTTAAGATACAAATGACAAACAAATTCATTTTTTAAAATTAATTTGTTATTTTTTTATTAACTTGTAGATTATTTAAGAAAAAAAAGAAACGTGAAAATTAATAATTAAATAATTCAATCGAGTTGAAAAAAATTAAATAACCTATAAGAAACAACTTGTCTTAGCTAATTATTTTAATTTTTCTTTTTTTTTAAATGGTAAATTATTTATTTTCATGTTTACTTTAAATCAAATGTTTCTTCTTCATTTCTGAATTTTTTTTAAAAAAAAATTTATAATCTAGAAGTTAAAATGCAAAAGGAAAATAAATTTTTAAAATTTAGAATTATACTACCAGTATATACAAGTTAGGAAGTATAAGAAGAAGAATTGTAAAAAATTAAAAATTAAAAGATTAAAAAAAATTTAAAAAAATGACAAAAATACCCATGAACCCAAAAACATGTGAAAATCGTCAATATTTAATGGCCAAAATTAAAAGAATAATCCGAAATGGATTAAAACTTTAGTAGGGTAACTTGTGTTACAAATAAATTTAATTGATGACCTAGAGTGGAAATATATTAAAGGTTGATGACTTGTTTGAGGTTCACTCTTAAAAAAAACACATTCTAAATGTGGGAACCAGCCTATTTAGTACTCAATATGGTTCTTATTATAAGGCATTTTGATTTGTCTTAAGTTTCTCCTAAAATATTTTTTTAGTTGAAATAAAAAACCTTAAAATATCTCCTAATAATTAAGAAAACATAATGAATGTAAAATTATATTTTTAAAGTTTTTTTTTCAATTAAAAAGACATCATAAGAGAAATATAAGACAATCAAAATACTGGACCTGAGGAAGTAAGAGGGAGTATTTGATCTATGAAAACAACATTTTCTTCATTAAACCTTCTTGAACAAAGATGATGATTATCCAAAAACCAAGTAATAAATTTCACTAAAAAAGAGCTGTCGCCTTTTTGAGGGAACCGTAATTTGTATATTAAAAGTAATTAATCACGGGAAATGGGAGAGGATTGTTGAATTGAATCGCCTTTTGGGTTCCCACCATTGTGCGGATCGGGTTTGAGTTTCGAACACACTTCAAAGAAAGTCCTGCAATAAATCAAAACTCCTAAACACATAAGATTCTACAATCAACATCTAATCTCTTTTGTTTTCTGCATTCGTTGGTTTTTGGATTGTTTTGAGGGGCCAATTATCTTTTGGGTAACATCGTTGGAATTGCATAAACTCAACTAGCCACTGAAAATCACGTGCAAATTATATATATGTGTATATATATATATATATATATAATTTGGAAAAAAGGAAAGATATTGTGAGTTCAGTGTCGTGGCATGCAAATTCAATCGCAATTCATCACCGCCTTCTTAGTTCTTTCTACGTAAATCTTCTTCAAACAGTCCTTTTAGTTCGCAACAGTCGATCATCTTCCTCTGTCCTTATTGTTACACCTCTTTTTTCTTTCCTTACCCTTTTTCTTTTCTTTTGTATCCTTCCAATCGTTATCCTTCACATGTCACTATTTGGAAACTTGTACTTAACTTGAGTTTGTGTAATCAGCAAGTAACAATAGCTGGCCATATTATGTTAAATATAGAAAAGGAGAAGCCATAAAACCTTCATTATAAAACTTAATCCCCTGAACTTGGAATGGGTTTGTACTTGATCTACAAAAGGAGAAGCCATAAAGCCTTTTTTTTTTTTTTTTGGATGAGCATGAATATCTCAATTATTGTATTATTTTCTTCTATTAACGTTAGTACGCATGTTGCTTCCTCCTGGCAAACTTTAACTTACTGTATGTGATAGGTTAGCTCAAATAAATAGGTGTAATATTTCTAATGGTTCGGGAACTATTTCGACCATTGATAGAATGGTGATAAAAACGTGACCGTCAATAGCCGATCGACCAGTTTTCGTAGATTGACGGATCACCGCAGTACATGTAAGAATGAGCACATAATCCCAATTTGGAATCCGATGATACACTCAATGACTATTAAGAGTATTGAGTTTAGCCCAATGTATTTGTAGGTGATGTGTTCATTTAATATTGAGTTTAGAGTTATCAACGTAAATATGACTTGCGACTTGTGCCAATTTAACTTCAAGTTTCTCTTTCAATTACTCCTTCGGTCCCATAATTATTGTCCAGTTTGAATTTTCATTTCTAGTTCAAATTGTATTAAAAATTAAATCTCAAATTGAACAATAATTATAGGACAGAGAGAGTACAATGCATTTATGTTGTTTCCTCAAAGTTTCTACTAAATCCTTTAAAAAATAATTAAAAAATTGTAAAATACAGAGAGTTTTACAGAAAAAAAGAGGTCTTACTTATTTAGGACAGGTAAGTACCACATTTTAATTCGTATAACAGTTTTAAATAGTTATTTCATCTTACGTAATTAAATTTATAACTTATAAATAAGATCAGAAAGAATAACTCACGACCAAATAATAATTTGACTCACCCCCCAAATTAGAAAGAGTTGAGCCAAAAGCGAGGCAACGGTTCCTGTACAATAAAGAACTTGTAGTTCTCTTTCTTCACCTCAATTTCTCAAAACAATCACTTTTTTTAAGTCAGTGTTCTCTTTCGGAAAGAGGACAAATTTGTTTAGAATTATGACCCAGTGTTTCGGTGATTAGTTAATCCTTAACTACAGAACCTAATTTGGTAGTAGGTGCTAATTAATTTGTAGCATTTGAATAATATCTTTTCCTGGATCTTGCCAGAGCCAAGCTTGTGGATTGAGCTGCAAATTTTTTTTAATGCACTAGTAAATCTAATCCGCCAAATTCGAGAGAGTGCTTTGACTTCCACTTCACGTCTGCAAAGATGTAGAAAACCATAAGATATTGCAATCTAATTGCAGTACACACGTTGAGATTAATATAATCCTCAGACAAGGACAAACACCGTAACTGTACTAATTACATTAAACAAATCATATCGAACTTGTCTGAAACATAGGTGCCAAGATCGATTAGTTTAATTAACTCCAATAAGCGCATAAATTAATCAACTTTTTCTGGTGTATACGATAAAATTAAAATAGAGGAAAAATCTCTAACCTACAATAATGCCCAAAATCCCTGGTTCGCAGAATAATATTTTGACGAAATAAATAAACACAGGGTAAAAGTGAATTGAGTAAGTTTTTAACCGAGGTGTAAATGAACAGTGGTCAAAATTTACACAGCGTGGGCATAATCATGTGTCTTTAGTTTTTACTATAAATAGGAGGTAACTATGGTAAATGGGTGCTAAACAGGTAAGGTAAAAAAATTGGGACGAGAGGTCCGTGTCAGCGGTACAGTCGGTGAGGTGGAAATGACGTGGCGCCCAGAATGAAACTGGGTCCACTTTGACCGTGACAAGACAGCACCATAGTCATGAACAACGGCCACGTTACTTTTTTTTTTCCTTTAATTTATTTTATTTTACTTTCCTCCCGCTCTGTTCGGGGAGCCGGAGGATAGGTCCCCACTTGACTTTCTCCGTGACACGTCACTTTACGGCGCGTCAACATCGCCGATTGAATGAGCATGACGTGTTCATTTCATTGATCTTTTCGTAATTTGAGAAACCCGACGGTCTTTTTTTTATTTTATCGCCCTTTTATATCATTTCAGTATGCGTGATGGACCACCAGAAAAACGAACGGCCTCAAATGGAGAGAAAAATGGCGGGAAACGAAAACGAAATGTTGAAATTTCGTCAAAGGCCATAGAGTAGTTAAAAAAAAAAGGTTGGTAAAAAGTAAAAAAGTTAATTGATGTTGTGCTTCGATTATTCAATCTTACCGTTGGAGTTATGAAAATATTATCATTCTCTTTGAGGAACTGTGAATGAGTTTGAGATAGTATATTTTACGGGGAGTCAAACGAGAGTAATTCTAATTTTTTTTCCTGCTCATTTTAATAACTCAAATTGTCTGATTTTGTACTACAAAATAAATTACTAAAATTAAACAGATGAAGCATTCTACAACATTATAATATCAAAATGATAATCCAAGTTCAGTTTAGTATTTGTAGCTAGATTGCATGATAAGAATACTAGTAGGTTTGGTTTAGTATACAGCTAATTTTGACTTTTATGCAAACTAATGCAATTATTGATGAGTCGTGTCAGGTATATATATATATATATATATATATATATATATATATATATATTAAATGTTTCAATTATGTAGCTACTAGATTTTTATCAGAATACCAGGTTTGATTTTTAATTCCAGATTATGTTAAAGTCTCTATCAAGTTTATTTTCTTTCGTTCTGAAGCAGTATAGAGCTAATAACGTATTCAGCAATTAACGCCGTGTTAACATTCAAATGAAGCAACATATATATCTCAAATAATTTGATTAAATAGTGACACCTTTAAAAATCATACTAATAATCCTTTCTCTGGTGGCGCTATACAAGTCACTTTTATTCTTCTGTGGTTGAGAGTAGGGATATTATTATCATCTTTGATGTGTTTTGTATTGATGACGAAATTGAACAAACTGATGATCCCGATGGAGCAATAAAACTAGTATCCATTTAGTTATTTAAAAATGTTTGTTCAGTTTTTTTTTTCAATTTAAATATAATTCAAACTAAATAATCATTTCGAAACGGACTGAACAAATTCACCGGAATATAGGAAATCTAGAGGTCAAAAAACTTTCATCAGCTGAAAGCAAGAGTGACATTATTCTTCTTTTCTATATCATCACAACCTCGACTACCAATAAAACTTTCAGTAAAGCTTTTGATCGAAAAATGAGTGTTCAAAAGTATGGTCAAATATGGACGAAGCGAGTAACAGCTAAAGATGATTTCATATTTAGCAAGTTCTTTTTAAGTTTGAAGTTTTATAGGTACAAGAATTATGTTGCATATATTCATACATATGTTTAGATCGAGATATTTTATTTTTAGAAAAATTGACTTCTTTTATTTTGGGACGAAAGAGTTACTATATCCTACATGTATTTGATATTCAACATGAGTGGAAGTTTTTTTAGGTGAAATTATTTATAGTTTTAGAATCGAAACCATTGACTAGACTATAACAAAAGGAGAGGGGAAATATAGCCGAACGAGCATGGTTTAGACTTTAGAATAGCCGAAAGGAGGGGGAAAAGGTCGTTTTGCTGTATATGAGGAGAAGAGATAATAAGATAAGAAGAGAAGTAAAGATGAAAAGAGTCCCTATTTTGAAAGCTGAAAGAGTTATGTCAAGCGGGCTTCGTTCTTTTTGGACGGCTTTTGGGTCACGTACGGGCCCACCTGTCTTGGACTTGAATTGGGAGGAAAAAAGGCTTGTCTTCGAAAGGACCACCTAAGAAAATATACACCAAACGTAGTGCAGCAATGAAAAAGCCTAAGTGGTTGATTTTTCATAATTATTATGAAAAAAATATAAAACCAAAATAAATGAATTCAATCATTCATGATACGATATTGACTTCTGTTTCCAAATCTCATTGCATGTCAAGCAAATTGCAAATGTTCATCTTTTTATCTCCCTCCATTCATTTTGCTGTAATAAGCTCCCTCAAGAACAGTGGATCGAGGAAGCTATGAATTTAAGAGATCTCTATCATTTGCCGATTGTAATAAAATTGATGAATTAAATATGATAATCTATCTGTTTAGTGTTTAATATGAGATTAATAATTGAAAAAGCAATGAACTCATCGATTATGAAAATATAAAATGCCTAAGATATCGTTTTCTTCTCCTGGTCCTAGACATCAACTACCGTTACACACATTGCACGTGTAACAGGTCTCGATTAGTTGCTGCCAATCAATTTCCTACCATTAATGGATGATAATAAACCATTGAGAATCCTATGATTAAATGGTTTAACTTCTTGTTCAAAGAGCTTTATTGAGGATCCAAGTAAGTCCATTTTGTGGGTTTTGTTTGCTAGTGTGATCATGTAATGGAGCACAACAATTTTAATCTTTTTCTGCGTCACTAGAAAACGGAAGGTGGAAAATGAAATACGAAAATGCATTACTATCAAAAGTCATCAAAGAAAAAGCTCGAAAGGTTATTGTAACATCATGCTGCTGCGGTTATGAGGGTTATTTCAAGAATTGAGAATATCGCGAAGGATGTAGGCACAGGGAAAGTAAATGTTGAAGTTGACAACCAAACATTATGTCCATCGTTTCGGAGCAGGAGAGTTTAATGAGCTGTAGAGCCGAGATTGAAAGAAAGAATTACTACATCAAATTCATAAATTAGTGATCATGTGGCATTTCCTTTTAGCATTGACATACCCTACGAGAGTAGTTTGGGTAAATGACCCGCAGAGTGGTGTTATTTATTAAATTCATCACCATATATTATCAAGTTTTTTTTTTTTTTTTCTCCTGTAATTTGTGAGCCTTGGAAAGAGTAAAGGAGTTTTTGGGGTTTCGCCTTAATCATCATGACTGAAAAGAAGATACAAAGACCATGTGGGGGAGAATGACAAGTTGAGAACCGATCCCTAATCTGCATAACGGAACTTTAGCTTTGGTTAATCAAATTGGAGAACTGAAACTGGGAGGAGTTAGTTAAAAACTTAAAATGGTGGCGGAAAATGACAAGAACAGTCGTTTGGTCAAAGGCGGTAATCAAGTACTAGTAGTTTGTGTAGTACGTATTAGAAACCATTTGGGGACAATTTTTTTTTATTGCTTTTTCGTTATTGCACAGTGGACGGCCTCCTGGAGTCGAGAGATTGGTTTCATGCATAAATCAATGCGCAGGAGACCAATTCGTATTTTGATTTCATGAGGTAGAATGTAGGTGTCACGTCGTCTGAGGTCTGATGTAACTGTTGGGTCTTTTTTTTTTTATAAACATACGAGATTATATATTATGAAAAATCTATGCTATTACATTTCACTAAATTATAAACTATACTATGCATCTCATTTACGTTTTCTCGAAGAACTTTGACTATTTTGTACGTAGTAAAGCCTCTAAGAAAACTATTAATTTGAGCAACCAGTCCCTCAACCACTACTGGTGAGGTATTAGGTGACAATTGGTTGGTTAAGGACTACTGTTGGGTCTCGTATTGGTCTCTGGGTTGACAAACAATAGTGCCTAGTTGATAACACCAACTAGCTTCATCTAATCATTGCAAATTGAAAGTGAAACAAGGGAAATACTACTAGTTTAGATTGCGAGATGCGTGTACACATGCATTTCAACTTATCAACAAGGGTTCTAGAATAGTATACAAGCATTTGTCTCCTCAGCATTATCTTGAGAGGGTACAATTAGGTCCAAGGAACCAGAAAAGAGGGACATTGATTAGACCAGGATAACAAAAAAAATGCGACCATAAAATTTTGAAGTTCCAAGGGCCAAAGGTCATGTATGATCAAAACGATTTCATGCTTCGACAGGTATTCATTCATACATCAGGTTGCAACACACATTGGTTGTGATATGAATGCAACAATTTTATTACAAAATTTTCAATTTTGAATAATTTATGGCATCCCTGTGAGTAATCAAAATGAAATTCACCTAATACACCCGAGCCTTTGGTGGAAATGACTCAACCTCATCGTCCAAGGTGTTCATATGGACGGGTCGGTAGTCCAGCCTAACTTTCTCATTCTCCCAGAATCTACATTTCAAAAACATCAGGATTTTGTTTCAGTTTTTGGCAAAAGTAAGAAGAAACACAGATTAAGTCAAGCAAATAGCCACTGTGCATGAAGTATGGAGTCAGATCTTACCCCAGTGAGTGTTTCATCCATTTTTCATCATCTCTCGTCTGTGGTAAAAATAAGTGAGTATAAAGACGAGAAATGTAAACTTTGACATAAAAATAAGTGAGTATTAACGACAAGAAGAGATATGTAAACGTTGACATAAAAATAGACACCAACTAACCGTAAAATCTTCGCGAGCATGTGCTCCTCTGCTTTCTTTCCTGGCTTCGGCAGAGTGCATGGTGATACAAGCATTAATCAACAGATTTTCAAGTTCGATTGTCTCAATCAAGTCGGAGTTCCTGCAATATGCATTTCAAACAATAAGGTATGTACCCCCAACAAAATAATGTCTAAGAATTTGATGGGGGAAAACTTAAAAAGAAAGGTCACAAAGACGCACCAGACTAAACTTCTATCAGCCAATTTGACATCGTGAAAGCTATCCCATGTTTGGTCAATCAACTGACAACCTGCAATTCAACAGCTCATCTCTTTTAGATGTTTGAGAACTGAAAATAATTCATCTAAATTTCATGCATCAAAAGCGATTGCATTTACAGTTCGACTCTCACAGAGTGAACTCACTGTTTATTCTCCCATAAAGATAGTTTATTAATGATTGATTGACTACGTCATCTCCTTTTCTACCCCTATAGTTTTGGGTGTGCTACAGAGCTGTGGAATATGATAGAAGTACAGAACAGAAATTTCGGCCATACCTTCCTCTAATGTTTCCTGTGTGCGGAAGACAGCAGCATTGTTCTGCATCACCCTTTGCATGTTCAACCTGATTTTTGAAGTGGGCATTGAGCCATTGGAATTTCGGAGCTTGTGCAACCATTCAATAGTCCCACGACCAGCATCCTTTTCTAATGGTTTCTGCTTCTCACCTATGCCAATGGAGAAGCTATTTCTTATTCTTCTACGGAATCAAAAACAAAATTACGAGATTGACTACTTAAGGAACTCTATTTACCAGGCCGCCGGATCTCTGCAACCCTATTAGCACATGCCCGACCAAAAACAACAATATCAAGAAGGGAATTTGCCCCAAGTCTATTGGCCCCATGAACAGATGCACAGGCTGCTTCTCCAGCAGCAAACAGGCCAGGGACTACAGCATCAGGATCATCACCTTTGATGGTAACCACCTGCAGTGCAAAACATTTTGTATCACACATCTATAGACTACTTCACCATCACTTTTAGCAAATATTTTTCTAGCATTTACCTCCCCATGGTGATTCGTGGGAATTCCACCCATATTATAATGTACAGTAGGCAAAACAGGAATTGGCTCCTTTGTGACATCTACCCCAGCAAAAATAGCGGCAGTTTCTGATATTCCTGGAAGCCTTTCTTTAAGGACTTCTGGGGGCAAGTGATTTAGGTGGAGATAGATGTGATCCTTCAATGGTCCTATTAGAATAAGAATTAGTAACCGTAACCAAGTGACATAGTCAAATTTACCAAAAGTGGTTTGACATGACTAAAAAATATCCATAATGGACAAAACTTCATCTCTATAAAATTTAAATTGTAATACACCAAGAAACTCAAAATGATTTCTAATTCATAGAACTGTTGGAAAGGAACAGTGTGCTTGAACTAGTTAGATCTTCCATTTATTTCCATAGAAATTGACAACCTACTTTGGGGTCATTAGTATGTAAACTTCGGCATTTCTAGAAATTTCATATATAACCGTACATTATGACTACATGTCCATCCCTTCTCACAAATTACGCAAACAGCTCCATCTCAAAGACTAGACCATTAGTGAACTTGTTTTCTAAGGTTCAAAGTTAGTCTGTTCAAAACTTCTGACATAATTAATCATTCAGTTTCACTTTCTACTCCCTCCTCTCCACTCTCTTCAAGCTTCCCTACTTCCCAACACCTAAAGAAACAAGAAGAAACATGCTTGACCAACATTCCTGTGACAATACCTCTTTTACAAAACCAGACTAAAACCAGAAAATTCACAATTAACGTTCTAGGAGCAAAAGCTCAAACTTGAAGTTTGAAACTTCGGATTGATAAAAGCCATAGCCATAGTTAAACACCTTACATGGCGACACTGATAAAAATAGATTAGGGTTTACCTACGCCACGTCCTTCTCTGATTTCCATTGTCATAGATCTTGACACGACATCTCTGGAAGCCAGATCCTTGGCTGTTGGGGCATACCGCTCCATAAAACGCTCACCTTCACTGTTCCTAAGAATTCCACCTTCTCCACGAGATCCTATAAAACCACAAAACATAAGCAACATCCAGTGTAAAATCACATCAGAATCACTTCTACACGATGGAGAAGCCACAGTTAAAAAAACCATGAAAGGCAAGGCAAAGAATAAAGGAAAAACATCAGACCTTCAGTTATAAGGCACCCAGCACCATATATCCCAGTTGGGTGGAACTGGACAAACTCTAAGTCCTGAAATAGACAGCAAACAGAAAATGCTCACTACATTATCACATGCAATTAAGCCAGGATGGCAACACATGCTGAAAGCAAAGTAGCGAGTGTAGGAAGAGACCTGAAGAGGCAACCCAGCACGAGCAACCATACCATTGCCATCACCAGTACAAGTATGAGCAGAGGTGGCAGAAAAGTATGCCCTACCATATCCCTATAAAGAAACATCCACAAAAAATAAGATGCAAAAGAGTAAGACTTCAAAGCAAACAAAAGAATGAAAAAAAAAAGGAAAAGGAAAAGGAAAAGGAATTCTACCCCTGTGGCCAATATTGTTGAAGCAGCATTAAAACGGTGTAGAGTTCCATCCTCCATGTTCAAAGCAATTACTCCTTGGCAGACACCTGACAAAAAGAAAGGGTCTCCTTCAGATAGCTTTCAATGCATCAACTCAGGAACAACTTAGCATCAGATATCCCACTAAAACATCTCTACATGTTTGTGCGTCGTATTACAAGGATACGTGGTGCTTTGTGCGGTTATTTTGACAAAAGCTCAAGAATTCAGAGAAGACTTAGCTTCTAGACATATGAAACCTTCTCTGTAAAGGGACATGGATAACATACCATCACTACTCATTATCAGGTCCAGTGCAAAGTATTCCACAAAAAACTGGGTATTGTGTTTCATGGCTTGGCCATAAAGTGTATGTAACATGGCATGTCCAGTTCGATCAGCAGCACACGCACAGCGGTAAGCTTGTCCACCTACAATGCAAGAAAGCAGCGGGATCCTTACAGGTTTGAACAAAAAGCACACTACCCACAATTTCTTTTGACTACACAGAACTCAATATACCTTTTCCAAAATTTAGACTTTGACCTCCAAACGCACGTTGGTAAATTTTTCCCTCTTCAGTTCGAGAGAATGGTAAACCATAATTTTCAAGCTCTATAACTGCTTTAGGTGCTTCCCTGCACATGTACTGAATAGCATCTTGGTCACCTGAAGAAGCATAAAACAAGGTACGTTAATAACACGAAAGGGATAGGTGAAAAGGAAACTCAAATTGCCATCTACAAAGATTTTATTTGGTTAGGCAAAGTACAGGAGGTTTACAACAGCGACAACGACAACAACAACAACAACAACAACAAGCCTTTGTTCCACTATGCTAAGCATATAAACAATGTAATGAACCAAAGATTGAGCCAGTTAAAACATAAATCTTTGCTTGACAGCAACTTGAAAAGGGAGTTAAACAAAAAAACATACCTAACCAGTCACTTCCTTTCACCGTATCATACATGTGCCATCTCCAATCATCTTCAGTCATATTCCCTAAAGCAGCATTTATACCACCCTGTGATCCATTTTGCTAGACTGAGCACAGCACATTGAAAGAATGGGGGGAGACGAAAAGAAAAGACGAATGGATAAATAAAATACTAACTGAAGTTACAAAATCCCACTGCTCATAGAATTGGAATTGCAGATACAGCTCAATCACACAGACATTAAATTCAACTCAAATTTGTGTTTCTAGTTTCATAAACTTTAATGCACCTGAGACTCGGGAAGATAATCGTACACCCAAGAATTTTGAAAAGCAAATTACAGTTTACAGAACAGAATGGTGGAAGATTTAGTCAGTCCATAGAGTAGTGAATAAAAAAAAAAATGCAGCAAATGGCTCGTGGATGCCCTATCGGTAAAGGCCAATCTTAGTTCCTAACCATCATCTACAAAATGCTGCTACAAAGAATTTAATTAAACTTTGAAGGATAATCTACACAAAAACAAATAAACATCACATCACATTCATGCTAAAAGCCCAAACATTGGCTCAATTGAGAATTAAATATTTAAACTCGATAAAGGGACACACAAAATAACCAAAGAAGAATGAGCCAAAAGGATTTGCAAGATCCATTAGCTAAATACAAATTCCAATTTTCCAAATCCAATCATTTTGATGTTATGCAATAATAAATAACATTCGAGTCAAAATCCAATCAAATTATTTGGAATCTGGCATAACCTGAGCCGCAACGGTATGCGAACGAGTAGGGAAGAGCTTGGTAATGCATGCCGTGTTGAAACCATGCTCGGAGAGCCCGATAGCAGCTCTAAGCCCAGCACCGCCAGCCCCAACGACCACCGCATCATACGAGTGGTCAACTATGACGTAATCACCTCCTGCATTCTGCGCGTCCAAATATCAAAAACACACAAATTGAAGACGTGAGAACACAATCCGCTATAAAATTCAAACCGAGGGTTCTAAAGAATCAGCAGAAAAAAAAAATCCCCATTTGATGACTGATATAAATCACCATCATGAATGAGCTAAAACCCCAAAAGAATCGAAAGTGGAGAAAAAAAAAACCCTTGAGCTCGTGAATCAATACCTGGGAAGAAAAGAATCTGGAAGTGTTGGCGAGCGGGCGGAGAGGCTCGCCGGAGGAAGATCTCTTGGAAAGAGTGGTAAGCCCACGGGACAAGCACCGCCACATCGCGTTATCTCTCGCACTTCAATCAATGAGATTATTTAGATTTGGATGATGAATTTACGGTTTTGTGATATTAGTATATGTATATATTGTTTCTGAGAGAAGTTTTGCCAATTTCGGGGTTGAATAAACCTGCGAATTTGTAGAATATTTTGGAGATCCGCAGAAAAATTAGCAGCAGGAGCCTGGACGGGATAGAACAAGTGTGTTATAAAAGTTCGACGTACGAGGGCAAATTATAAATATTTTTTTTTTTTGTTTTTTTGAGGGAGAAAAAGAGTGGGTAAAAGTTGCTCTGTTAATTGATTCTTTAATTTTATCCTGCCTTTTCAATTTAACCATTTCCATTTTTTTTCCAATTTTTACATTTCTTCTTATAAAAGTGAGATGATAACATTAGTATTTTTTATAGTGGAAAATTGAGGTATTTTACATCTTTGTCCTCATTGTTATTTATGACAAGGATTAGTTAAATCACCACCTAACAAAGTAATTATTGTTGTTCAGCAGAAAGATTATTCATTTTTTAAAACTCAATCTAATAAAATGAAATATTTTAGAATACGATTAAGTGAATAACATTTTCGTCTCTTATTATTTAAAGTCCTGTACTACTGGAGGGGAGGATTTCTAGAAGCAATCGAGAGGGCATTTCGGTGGACAGGGAAGAAATGGGAAAATGGGGAATTTGGTTGTGCTAATTAAATCACGGGGGTATCCAGGAAAGGAAAAAAGAAAATTTAATTACGCAAACTAAAGTCTAAAGTAATGGACCAAAAGGAGAACGCGCTCTTAAGTTTGTAACCACGACTGAAAATGCCATCCACAAGCCTACACACGTTGTCCAAAAAAACACCCCCAAATCCCCAATTCACCAAAAGGGCTACTCAAATTAGTTATAGACTTCTAATTGATGTTCATTAAAACAAGGAAACATAAATTATACTACCTCCGTCATAAAAAAATATTATTCTACATTGACTTATTAAATTTGTACTAAAAACAGTACAAAACTCAAAACTTAATATAGATTATTTTTGTAGGACGGAAGGAGTAGTAAGAAATACAAGAGGTACCGTGGATTTGTATAAATATTTCTTTTAATCTGTCATTTTGGTTGTCATGATATTGGAGAATAGTTTTTTTTTTTTTTTTTGAAATGGTATATTGTAGAATAGTTGAGTTATTCATATTGGAGCGAAATTGTAGAATATTATTCTTTTTGTCTCAAAATCATTATCCAATTTGAATTTTCACTTTTAGCTCAATTTATATTAAAATTAAAAAATTCAAATTGGATAATAATTTTAGGACATATGGAGTAAGTGAGAATTTTTAGTAACCTTTCACATATGCCAGGGTCGGTCTCTTTAATCCTGCATATCTTGTCATTCTTTCTTACCATGTCCTGCTTTAGACATGAGATTGATAACATTCTCATTCTTCTATTTAACCCGATGTACGAAATAATCTTTGTAGCAAATATATGCCGTGGTCATTTGATGTTAGAGCTACAGATCGTCAATAAGTTTCTTTCTTTCTTTCTATTTTGAGATAATAAGTTCCAGGAATGAAGACCTATGTTCTTCATCTTGATATCCTAATGTAGATCGTGTACGAAGAACTTTACAAAAGATGATCCTTTCAGAGATTTTTTTGCGAAACTTGTTTTTCTCTTTGATTACGGCGAACTCATGGAATCTTTTGAAACAGACAATAAGCAGCTAATACAAAACACAAAACGCATCCGTGGAGGAGGGTTGTTTGAGGTAATTATCAACCAGACCACCATACTACTCTGATTTTTAATATAAAACATTTTGATTTGTCTTAAAGTTCGTTAAATATGTTCTTTCGATTGAACAAAAAAACATCTTAAAATTATGTATTCCCATTCATTGTGTAGAAAATATTTTAAAGATTATTTTCCAATTAAAAACAAAATACTTAGTGATACCTAGAACAAATCAAATCAAAATTTGTTCTTATGATAACGACAGGGGAGTACATAGCAAAGTGCATTGGAGAATCTGCACGGAAATATACCAAGGATGCTGAAGAAATTCAGATACATTGAGAAAAGGCAGACATCAACTGCAGAAATCTTTAAAAAGGCTAAGTAGGCTCTGGTTCTGTGTGAAATATGTCTTCAGATTATAATTGTGCTGTCGGGTCATCGTTAATAGATTAGCATATGCGATCTTTAATCTGCCATTGATAAAGACGAAACACGAGAAATTCCAATGGTAGAAACACCAAATTTGCAAACCATCAAAACCTTCCAAATTCAAATTCTCACATTAAAAACTACACAGAGCCACGGTTAAGTTCACCATGGCAGACAAAGCACAACAAAGCACAAAAAAAAGACTTTAATTACATGATTAACAATGTAGTACTCTACTACAGATGATGAAAGGAAACACCAGAAAAGCAATGTACTATAATTAGCCAGAGATATCAATGGCCTTAACCTCAGGTTTCTTGACTTCCTCTTTGGGAACAGTCACAGTAAGCACACCATTCTCCATGCTGGCCTTCACCCCATCCATCTTTGCATTCTCCGGCAGCCTAAACCGACGCAGGAACTTGCCGCTGCTTCTCTCCAAACGGTGCCACTCGTCATTCTTCTCTTCCTGCTCCCGGCTCCTCTCCCCACTGATCTGCAGTACTCTGCCTTCTTCCACTTCCACCTTCACTTCCTCTTTCTTCAGTCCCGGAAGATCCGCCTTGAACACGTGGGCTTCCGGCGTCTCTTTCCAATCGATCCGGGCTCCGGCGAACGCGGAGGTTTCCCTTGCCGTGTTGGGGACATTGGCAACTGTGTTGGTGGAGAAGGGGAATCCTTCGAATGGGTCCCAAATGTCAAGAGAGAATGGGTCGAATACGTTGCTCCGTCTTCCACCGAAAAAGCTTGGAATCAACGACATTTTCTCGATTACGTATCTTTCTGAACAGAAAAAGCTAAGAATTGAGAAGGGATTGAATTGAGCTTTCTATTGATCTGCGCTTTTCAGATTTGAGATTCCTGTGTTGGGGGGAAGTGTTTGAAGACGGGTGATATTTGTAGGAGGCTCTACGATGGGGTCTAGCTTCTTCTGGCGTTTTCTTCGGCCTTCTAATTGATGTTTAATTTCGAACTTAGTACCTGTCAACTTCCGGGCTTTTCTATACACTTCTAGAACACCCGATAAAGCTCGCGATTTATTTTGGACATCGACGGCCCAATGGATTCCTCGATTCTAATTCAACTAGTATATGTTAAAAGGTTTAGATCAGGGGAGTTTATTTCTTTATTATTATTATTATTATTTTCATATTTACAGGCACTCTACCATAATCACTTTAATTGATCAGAGGAAATTATGAATGTTATAATAATACCCTTACGTCATGGAAGCACCCAATGGGCTCCACTTTGACAACTATTGGGCACATCTCCACTCTCTGGGCCGAGCAGCTTGGATCTAAAAAGTGCTGAATAATGATACTGCGTGTTAGGAAAACGTTGTTAAAGGCTCTGGTAAATCAAAAAAATCACGTTTTGTACTGAGTTCGCAGACGGCGGATGCCAACTCCATGTAAAAACTTCAGTTTTTGCAAAGCAAGCGTAGAACCTATGAAGCGTTATTGGTTACAATAAATTTTAACTTGGGATTAATATTTGTTGAGTTGGGATTGTGTAATCCAGTGGTTGGGCTAATTAACCTCCTTTTGACGTTTATGTATTTTGGTAGATTAGACATATATTTTTTGTAATAATTAAAAGCTGCAATTTAGTTTTTTAGCCTCCTCTATATGTAGGAAAAAAATAACAATTTTAATTTGGTAAAGCTTGTATTAGATAAAATTAGTACATTTTTGTTTTTGCAAGAAAATTAATCACAATGCAATAAATATAATTTGTAATTTTTTTTAATAATAAACAAACTCCCATAAATGATTATTCGAAATGTTCCAGCACCAACTAAGAAACAAAAGTAGGAGATTCACTCCATAATTGTTCAATTAGAGTAGGTTTAATTACAAACAAGAATTAGTTTCCAGAAAACAAAACAAGAATTTTTTTATTTTATATTTTTTGGAGAACTGGGGTTTGATTGTCTTTTTTTTTTTTTTTTTGGAAAACCGGGGTTTGATTGTGGAGCAAAAAAGATTGCAACTCTTTCCTTAACAAAAAAAATCATTTTTCTTTTCAATTTTAAAAACTCATCAACAAGCACAACAAAGCAGATCTTTTCCAAAAGACGAATTAAAACAAAAAAACAGTAAGATGCCAAATTACAAACTTGCAGGGCAGTAACTAACATGTGGAAGAAAAAAAAATGTTTTGAATGATAGAGACGGGTGAGCGAGAAAAAAACGTGATGGAATACTGATTAGGAAGCAATCAGAGTTGCCAAGTACGAGGCTACGAGAGCAGGGGCACCGTAACCTCGTTGAGAAAAGTCAACAATCTGCGCCGAATTTCATTTGTTGTCGAATTTCGAATCTCTTGTGTGGTAGGAATCTGGTTCAAGTAGCTTTCACTCCTTGTGTTTCCGCCACCTGGTATCTTCAGCTTTTATGACACGCAGTAAGTCGGGAAAATCATACGACGATAGTATTCCGAGTTTGCGACGCAACCTCCGCCGTTCTACTCCTCCTCCTATAAAAAGAGTACAACCGACACGCCAGCGGTGACGTATCTCCCCGGAGCTCTGGTTTTTGAGAATTTGCTATAAAAGAGGCCATCTTCACCCTCTTATGAATCTCAAGTCTTAACACTCACCAAAATTCTGCACCAACCCAAGTGACGACAGCATCCTTGTAACCATTTTTGTCCCTTCTTCCTCCTATCACTTTAACTGATTACTATTCCAGTATTCCGCACTGTTCTTTTACAATTGGACTGTTCCCTTTTTTAATTTTTTATTATTATTATTTTGGGGTTTTAAATTCTGGTGATGTTGATTGATTATGGGGATTGTTGTTTGCTATCTACTTGTTCGAGTTGCTCTAGGTTTACTGTTTATCACGGGTTTGCTCTGGGTTATGTTGCTCTGACAGTGACATACTGCAAAAGTTAGTTAATTTCATACATTTTGCCATGAGTTCATAGTTGTGAGTAATTTTCGTGTTGGGGTTGGAGTTTGTACCTATTGATTTTAGGCTTGCTGGATAGAATTGATTACGTAATTACAGTATTGTGGAATGCGGATTGAGTCGTACTTGTTGATAATATGACTGATTGCAGTGATGAACGGGAGTTTGTATTGTATGATTACATAATGTTTGTGATTTTGCCTGAGAAGTGTTCGGGTTTTTTTCCCTTCCTCTTCTGTTAATTTAGTCTCCGGCCTTATTCCCTCTTGTGCTTATTGACTCAGATTAATTCAGTATTTGAGAGCAGTTTGAACTTGAACTTTGCAGATTCATCCCTGAGAAACTTTGATCTTCCTCTTCTCAACACTGGAGATGAAGACATCAAACAACATTATACATCAATTTACCATTTTACTTTTGTGTGTGGCCGTCTGGGCCGCATCTGCTGATCCCCATCAAGATTTTCTTAGTTGCCTAGTGCAAAACCACAGTGATCCTATTGGAATGTCCAATGTCATTTCTACACCAAACAGCACTTCCTACTCTTCAATCTTGAATGCCACTGTCCAAAACCTGAGATTTGCCCTGCCGAGCACCCCAAAACCTCGAGTGATTATCACTCCTGATCATGAATCACAGATCCAAACAGCAATATACTGCTCGAAGAAGCATGGTTTGCAAGTTAGGATCCTCAGCGGAGGCCATGATTTCGAAGGCAGTTCTTATGTTGCCGAGGTCCCCTTTTTTGTCCTTAACATGTTCAACTTTAGATCAGTGTCAGTAGATGCCAACAGCCGAACTGCATGGGTTGGATCTGGAGCTACTCTTGGTGAAACATACTACAACATAGTCAGAGTAAATACTTCCTTGGCGTACCCAGCTGGATACTATCCCACTGTGGCCATTGGTGGGCATGTTAGCGGAGGAGGGTATGGGCCCTTGCTCAGGAAATGGGGACTTGCAGCTGATAACGTTGTTGATGCTCGTGTAGTCGATGCAAATGGAAGAATTCTGGATCGAGCATCCATGGGTGAGGATCTCTTTTGGGCCATTCGAGGAGGAGTAGGAGCTAGTTTCGTGGTCATTCTTGAATACAAGATAAGATTAGTTGAGGTTTCAAATGAAGTCACTGCATTCAGTCTCAAAAGAACCCTAGAACAAGATGCCACAAAACTTGTCTACAAATGGCAAAATGTTTCGCACAAGTTACCAGAAGACCTGCTCCTTGAACTCCAATTAACGGTTGTTCAGTCAAATCAAACAGGTAACAGAACTGTTCAAGCAACATTCGTTGGTCTGTTCGAAGGGGGAGTTGATCAGCTTGTTGGCATAATGAACGAAAGTTTTCCTGAATTGGGGTTGGCTAAAGAGGACTGCGTCCAGTTAAGTAGTTGGGTTGATTTTATCCCATATTTTTTTGAGCTGCCATTAAATTCGACATACAGGATACTTCTAACCAGAGTTCCTCCTCCCACCCCAAAGAGTTCCTTCAAGTCCACAGCAGACTTTGTTCAACAGCCCATCCCAGAGGAGGGGCTTAAGAAAATATGGGATGTTTTACTTGAAATACCTTCCCCGCCTGTACAGATGAATTGGACACCTTTTGGGGCAAGAATGGCTGCGATTCCGGCATCTGAGATCCCATTTCCACACAGAGGTGAAAACATATTCATGGTCTTCAAGAAGGTTCAATGGCAGGGAACATCGCCAGAGCTGGCACAGGAGCGTTTTGCAGCAGCAAGAAAACTCCACAGCGTTATCGGAGAGTTTGTGGAGAATAACCCGAGACGTGCATATGCTGATTACAGAGACCTTGATTTGGGAGTAAATAATATTGGCGAGACCAGTGTGGAAAAGGCAAGGATTTGGGGTGGTCCCTATTTCAGGAATAATTTTGACAGACTTGTCAATGTGAAGACCATGGTTGATCCTGATGATTACTTCAGGAATGAGCAGAGCATTCCACCACGTCCATCTCATTCATGCCAGTCTAACCAAGAATCCACCTAGATATTTTGCGCTGCATGCGCAAAAGCCTAAATGTACACCTTTATTCCTCTGTAAATCCATAGCTGTCAATAAGAAGAAGGTAGAGGCTATGGCTATGCCGCTATGCTTTTCTATCACTTCGTAAGTATGATCTGCTTATCACATAATGGCTTTTACAAGTATTCTACCGTAAACATCTTGCGTTGTGTTTTCCTGTTCTTATACATGTGACAGCCAGTATGTCTTTTATCCTGTTAACATTAGTTTCATAACATCCCAGAGAGCAGTGTATGAAAAAACTTCATCGTTTCCTTCTCTAATTTGGTGTGCATTTCAGAACGAAATGAATCACTTCAAACGAAATTTACAAATCGGGAATCGACAGGCAGTACTGCAATTTCAAAGAAACTCGATGAAATTTACCTGGTTGGAAATCTGCAATTCAGGTGACACCATCACCACATTTTCAACATAATCTGTTTTCCAAGGTTAAGAAGAGAAGAAGCTCAAACGTATGATGGATGCCATAAGTAGCAGTGGTCCAGTAGATCATTACAAAGGATTCTGTTGGATGACAGAATCAAAAAATAGAAGACGATTTTTATATTTTCGGATAAATTACAGAGAATGAAAACAAAAATATATATAATATAATATACCAATAATATTTACTAGCTCATCTCAACAACCCAATAGAGAGTAGAGGAAGAGAACAATTTACAGAAGGACTAACAAGAGAGGGGCCGGAGTGGTCCTAAAATAATGAAAAATCTTTTAATTTTATACCGCATGGCGCATGCAGTGCAGTTGTATGTGTACATGGGATCCGTTTGGTTCTACTGGTGCAGCAATATTCCATCCATCCCAACTTCAGAGTAAAGCCAGAAGAAGCTTTTTAACATTTTGCGTCTTTTGCCGTTGGAAAATGCCAAACACGTCACTCGCTAACTTTATCTTCATCAACATCCAAATATGCTTTCTGTTCTTCTTTTTGTAAAGATATATATATCATCAAACTTGAGACTGATGAGAGGCTGAGATAGAGGCAGAGGTCACTGTTTTGCGCGTTGGGTATTTTCTTGTTTTTTTGGGGGGGCAAGTTTATGAAGTGGGAAAAGGGTTGTGTTTGTGTTGTACTAAAATGGGGAGGCCTTTAGGGAAGTCGACGAATGGGAAGGCAAAAGCTTGATCCGAATCGGCTAATTCCCAATGGAAGTTGAGCACCAAATGGTGTAAGAACACGGCCATCTCAAGTTTGGCCAATTCGGATCCAGCACAAAGCCGTGGTCCTCCGCCGAACGGCATGAAGTTATTGTTGCTACTACTTCTTGATGCTGTGGTACTGCTTGAACTTGAACCATTCGTGTAACAAGATCCTCTATTCATATCCTGCAACACAAATCCACAAAATACCACTTATCATGATGACCTAATTATGTTTTTGTTTGTATTTTTTTCTTTCCAAATTTTAATAGGAGATGAGCGCTTAGTCAAGAATGTTACTACATCAAAACAATAGTATTAAAAAATATGAGTACAAGCAACATTAGATTGGTTTGGATCCAATGATGATCTTCTTCCACTGGGATTCCTTTTTCTTGTCGTATCCTTTTTTCAATTTTCACTTTTTTGCTCTCATCCAACACTAACTAATTTCACTAAACCAGCCAACCAAAAAAATAAAAAAAATAAAAAAAATACTAAATGGTTGGCGGAAAAAAGAAGTGAAAAGTGGACAACCAACCATGATTAAATATTTTTGCTACTGTTATTTTTTCCATATGAAGTTACTACAAAGTCAAATTTAACTCCATCGAAAGAGGTCAATAAAAAGAAAAAAATCAAAAGTTTCAGAGAGATAATTAAAATTTATGAGAACTTTCCCTCAAAAACAGAAAAAAAAAATTGACAACTTTTTATGAGTTTGCATATACTGTCAAGAATATATACAAGTTCTCAATGATGGTTTTGCCTGTATTTTGAGGGCCAATATATGGAAACCGAAGGGGCATTGACTCAAAAGAGATACATCAACCAAGAATTCAATCAAATAAAATATTGGATTAATCCAGTCTAGTGAACCAAATACAGTACTTCCGCAATGAACATTGAAATCGAAAAGAATATCATAATGCAGAACATAGCTGGGCTGGTAGAGCCTTGTAGTTATGGTCTACCTGTACCAAAAAAAAAAAGAAAAAAAAAGAAGATTGGTTCCACTTCTTCTAATTATTGACAATTAAGTTCTCTGTATTTGTGCCCATTAAAAAAGTACACAATTCTTTCCACTGAAATCCAGTGCATTTCTAGAGATGTAGCTTTTCATTTCTTTTAATAAAATCATTGATTTGGTAAACATTTTAATTTGTCAACTAATAATATGCTAAAAGAATTATACTCTCTCTGTTTAAGAAAAAAAAAACTCTTTACTATTAGAAAAATACTGGTTTTAAATTAATTTTTCGTTCAAATAACGCGTAGTGTTCGATAACAGGGTTACCAGCTGGTTTTGATCTATTTTAAAAATTAATAATAATAAAGTCTTATAGGGGTAAGTTTCAGCCAAAAAAAAAAAAAGTTCTTATCTGGGACAAAAAGCAGCAGAAAATGAGCGAGGATCGGGAGGGAAAGGTTCCCTGAAAAAGGCTGCAAAAATGGAGAAAGAAAATCTGTGTTGGATTGGGGAATCGGGTTGGACCAGCAGGAAAAAAAGCAAGAGGGGGATGCACGTGCACCAGAAAACCCCACAACCACATGGGGGGCCTTTTAATCATCATCATCTTAAATTCTCCGCGCCGGCCATGGGCCTCGGGCGTTGGGCCTCCCCCTTCACTGCCCTGGCCTAGCCGGCTGCGGCCACCGCCCACTTTGCCGTGGAGGGTGGTTAAGGGAGGAGGTGGTGGTGGGGTGGGTCCGACGACCATCCGTACAAATGTCAAAACTTGTGTGTGTATATAATAACGTGGATCATGACAGTTCATATATTGGACCTACCAACCCCCGCCATGGATGGATTATGATGACCAACAAAGATAGTGTGTGTATTATAACCACTTTTGATTTTTTTCCCATTTTCCTCCTCCTTTTTTATTTATCTTTGGTGACGAAGAGGGATTGTATGCCAACCAAACAAAAGTTACAAAACGGGTTTGATGGGGGAATGTTCTTTGGACCCCTATGCCATGCACATGAGCACTTTTATCCAATCTAATTTTAAAATTCCCAGAAAATGTACACAGAATCTTGGGTTTTGGCAAAAAAATTTCGTCAAAGATTGTGTTTAATCGGGACATATTTTCATCGTAAATTGTTAATAACCCTTCCATCAGTTTCAAATAAGATTGTGCATCTTGAGGTTAAAACATACTCCCTCCGCTCCGCTCCGCTCCCATAATTATTGTCCAGTTTGAATTTTCATTTCTAATTTAAATTATACTAAAATTGAAAATACAAACTTAGACAATTATTTTGGGACAGAGGTAGTACTTTTCTTTTCTTTATGGAGCGGAAGAAGTAGTTTTATCATGAGTAGAGCATCTTATCTAATACACAATTTAATCAATCTTAATCTTCCATCCAGTACATGTTAGGGCCTATAGGAAATGCATTATTCTAGTTGGGACACGTAGATTCTAAGCAGATTTCCCTCTTCATGATCCTGTTCTTTTTGAGTTACATACACTGTACAGTGTACAATTAATAATTAAAAGTTTCTTCAGCCAATTTTCTTGACAGAACAACAAGAATCGCATGCATGCATTTTAGTTTCCTATGTATACAGATCACTGCTACGTCTTCACCTTGTGGCTCCAGAAGGCTGGAAATGCAACCACGCGAACTAATCTAGGAATTTAGAGATTTACCTATTCATTATCACCGTTCCAGTTTGTATATAACCTTTAAATTCCAATACGTAATGATATTCCATCCGTCCCAATTTCATAATTCACTATATGGACCTAAAAGAATACAAGAACTGCAGTATTATTTTCTAATTTCGACTGCCCTGTGTCCAAAGTTGTCCACGAGAATTTCTCAAATTAGACTTAAGAACTGGTGCCTCTATAGTTCCTCCGTCAAGGATATATGCAGTAATGGAGGAACTTTATAAACACTGAAAATCTAAAAACACATGACTCCTTGTCTTTTGTATAGTACATGTCCTGAGAGTAGTAGGGTAGAGGGAAGAGAATCAAACTGGAACTCTGTCCTCCCAATTTAGGCTTGCCTAGTAACTTTTGCCCATGCAAATTGTTGGATTTTTTTTACAAAATTAACTTTTCTGTCCTGTTTTCTAATTCCATAATAATTTTTATTTTTATTTTTTTTTTTTTGATTTGGAGAAAGAAAACGTAGGTTGAGAAGGATGAGATTGTCTGTTTTTCTATGGCTTAAAAAAACTACCCACAGAATCATAGAATCATCGATAAGTACAATGGAATATACATAGCTTTTCCATATTGACACCAGGCATGAAAAAGGGGAGAAACATGGCAAGTAAAAGCATGTTTTTGACTTGTTTCAGCAAAGATTTGACAAACCTGCCATCTCCACGGATTGAATTGTTGAGGTTGGTCAAAAAGTGAAGGATCTAAATGCACGGCTGCGATCACCGGTAACACTTTCCACCCACATGGAATGTCATACCCTTTTCACAATCAAATAAGACCAACTTCAAAACACATTTTTCTCAGTTTCATAGGTCGTAACAAACCATATAATTTTGGCTAGCCAGGCAAAAAAAAAGGTCACTATCAAAGCATCAATTGAATTTGCAAATTGTACCTACCTTTATACCGCACATCTCTCAGAGCTTTTCTATGGAGAAACCTTACCACATTGCCCAGTCTTAGTGTCTCACTGATAACCTTCACAAAATCATAATACAATTAGCATACTAATCAGACAAAATTGATAAGATTTTTGTTTGCAACCTTTTTAGCATAAGTAGAGGAGCCCAAGAGCTTACACATTGAGTAAATTCCATCTTTTTGTAATCATCCCAGTTCAGCTCTGTTTCTTGAGATTGCTTCTTGGCTTTGGCGATTTCTATGTGTTCCTCCTGGAATCATCAAGGGAGAAGAAGCAATGATACCTGGGTTAGCCCTTTTGGATAGATTAAAGAAGAGTTGATAATATGAATTTTGGCTACACTATGTAAAAGTGCTTACTCTCAATTCCTGAAATGCTATAGGACAACTCTGCAAAAAGTAAATGGCTAATGCTATAGATACAGATGAAGTTTCATGTCCAGCAAAGAGTAAGCTTAGCACCAAGTCAAGAATTTGCTCTTTGGAAAGATTGGAATTCTTCAGGACCCATCCAAGTAAATCATCTTCATCTTCACACTTAGCCTTGATCCTCTCCTCCATTCTTCTCTCAATGAATTGAAGGATTATTGATCGAGACTGTAACCCAAGTACAGAATGCGCATTTTTAAACCGACTCACGAAGCAGAAAAAAGTGGGTATTAAATGATTGTTGTACTGAATTTATCACCTGCAAGGCTTTTCTGTAAGCAGTTCCAGGAAAATTCAAAGGGGCAGACACAACTCCTTTCATAAATGTGATGTACTCTTTCTTCAGCTGTTCTGTCTCTGGCTTTCCAGGATCCAAACTCATGATGTGTTTTGCCATCAAGTTAAATGTAAACTGCAAATTCAATGCGCTCAAACATTTAAATTCAACTACTTTTACAGGAACATAAAAAAGATTCTTTAACTACTTATAAGATTAAAAAAGACTACCTTTTTAGCTTCATCTTGAGCACAAATAACAGAATTGTTCTTCCAACATTCCAGAACTAACAGAGTGTGTTTCTCAACTTCTTGCAACAAATGAGTCCTCAACCTGGCATTGCTCAAGAAATTCAGTGATATGATCCTCATGTCTCTGTGCATATCTCCAACCAAAACCAGCATCGACCATTTCCCAAGAATTCCCCCAATACTCCTTGGATAACTGCACTCAAACAACCTGCCTTCATTTCTCAAAATGAACTTATTCAGCCCAGCATCTGCTGACACAATTGTTGGTTCACCAAACAAATTGGACCTGTAAATTTTTCCATACCTGCATGGAAAAAACATCCCTTTACTTGTTTAGCCATATATTTCGAGGAAAAGTAAAGAAAAAAGCTAGAAAGAAGCTGTTTGATTATAGTCTACTTTGATATATGTTCTTCCATGAATTGTCCTATTGTAGTGGCTTTGTATGGCTTCAAGTATCCAATGGTTTCACCAAGAAAAGGCCAACCCATGTTGCCAGGAGGAAGATGGTAGGATTTTTGCTTCGATCTTTTAGCCAAGAGATGGAAAATGAGGAGTGAAGCCAAGATTGAGGGAAGAACAAGGAGAGAAAATTCTAAGTCAGACATGGAGACTGACAAATAGTAAATTTTCCTGTGTTTTTCTCCTCTCTCCTCCTTTCTTCCCTGATGTTATATATATATGCTCAAAGTGTTGGGTACTTATAGTTTGTAGGCAAAAGTGGAATCAGATTTGTGGCTTCTTGCTTTTTCATACTAAAAAATTTTAATTAAAAAAGAAACTTCCAACTCGTCTTCTTCTTCTTCTTCTTCTTCTTCTTCTTCTTCTTCTTCCTGTTTGGCTAGTGGTGGTTTGGAGTGTTTCGGCCTTTTGGGAGGAAAAGCTAAAAATCTGCTAACATGTTTTAGCTTTTGGGCCAATTAATAAGGATGCTTTTCTATAAGGCCTTTTGTTGTTTGTTGGCCTTAACTCTTATTTGGGAATTAAGCAAGCAGCTTAATGACTAATTAAACAGTACTACTACTAAGTTAAGTCGCAATTCCCCTAAAATCTTGGTCTGTACAAATCTGTTGGTCTATAAGGTTCATTTATTATCTTGTGGTGCTCTCCACTTGCCGAACATTCCAATTGGGGTAAAATTCAGTCCCGTGGGACGGTTCAGTAAAGTTTTTGTTTCGTTCTATGCCAAATCTCCTCCCCAGAAAACTTGATGTTGACTTGTGTTTTTCATAGTATCACATTTCCCCCTTCAAATTAAGGCGCAATACAGATATAAGTAATTACGGGATTCATGACCTACTTCAACAAAATAATTCAAAGTCAGAAACGTGACACTTTAGCCGGGGATGGAGGGGCACGGTTGCACCTGCTCAATTTTTTGTAATTAAGGGTATTCTAAATTTTCAATAAAAATTATGTGTTGAATAATTTTTCGCACTCCTACATTGATTCTCTAAAGTCATTAGTAATTTTGTTTAAATTTTACACCCCTAATATTGATTTTCTGGTTCCGTCACTGTTTATAGTCGATTGTGTTTTATTCATGTATTCTGGTACTCCAAAATTTAAACCTAATTGATTGACACCATGAGTTTCCAATTTTGATTAGCAACTTTGTCTCTTGATGAATTCTTCATGTTAACATGAATGTCAACATTAAATATACGATATTAAAATTCTTAGAATGCGATAGTCATAATAAAGTGTTTTTTTTTTCTATAAGATTTTAAAAACATGTATTTTGAAATTACAATTACCCAAGTTGCAAAGAACCTTCCAACACCTTTTTATGATTATTATGCTGGTAAACACAAATCCTGTCATCATGAGTTTGTAAAGACTTTTAACGAAAGGTGTTTTCTAAACGATAGGCAAAATTCATTGATGGGTCGATCGATTCTACTCTGCTGTCAGCTTTTTTTTCTTTTTTTCCCCACTTTCTAATTTTATTCTTTCAACCAGTTAATTGAATTCCCGTCACAGAAGTATGAGTTTCATAGCCAATTAATCCAGAAGGCATTATGCTTTCACATTAAGGCTCAAGCCCAAATAGTTTCGCAAACGGATAATTTTATTCTTTTTTATAGTAAAAGATCGGTTCAATATTGCTTGTGCAAAGATATCCATGCACTAAATCTCTAATTGAAAAAGGTAAATCTCTTATGAGAAACCAGATCCTGCCCCTTTATTGAGAAAATGAAAAAATTGATACGTCATTTATTGAAAATTTCTTTTCTGGTTCAGAATTGCATGATATACGAACCTCGATATCATGGGACCGTGGGACTAAATTCTGTAACTTTCAATATGGGTAATTTCAATGGTGGAACTAGAATTTTATGAATGACTGAATGGGGGCAAAATAATCAAAATTTTAATTTGCAGGGGCAAAAATATAAAAAATTTTCTATTTATACTAAAATTTCAAATCACTCTTAAACTAAAAATTCCGGCGAGAGGAGACGATCACCGCTACTGGTCTCCTAACTCCGTCACTAGATAATTTATTAGTGAGGAACTAGTTTTATTCCCCGAGGAACTGGTTTCATTCCCAGTTTACACTTTTTTTTGGAATAATCTTTAAACGTATTAAACATTTATAACGTGCACTTAATACGAAAGTGCGTGTCAATATTGTAAAACTCAGTCACATCTCTATAGTTTGAATATATTTCCAAATTACCTCTATGATTCATGTAAATTTTTTGGTTTGAAATAAACCCATCTATGATCACGTTTTTTTAACTTTAATCTTTTGCCGCTTTCCTTTTGAAGTAAAAGGAAAATAAAGGAGGAAGGATCATCATTATGAATATAGAATTTTTTTTTCTCTTTTTTTTTTTTATTGAAATGAAAGTCAAAAGAAAAAGTGAATGGACAAATTAGAGTTTAGAAATGACCATACTTGAACGATTAACCTAGAAGAAGAAAAATGATCGCGACAAATGACAGAACCTCACAAACAAAACTTTATACTACTGCATGATCACCTTTAATTTTTCAAGTAATAAATCTTTATAATATTTTTCATAAAGCTTTCGCGTAATTGTTTTTTCAATAAAAGAAAAAATTCTGAATGAGGATAAATTACTAAGCAGCAAAATGTTTCTTGCAAGCTAACTTTTCAGATTAAATTTTTAAATTTTTGGATAAAGCTAATGTCCCGTTCTTAATTTTTAGGGTATCGTCCCGTTACTTAATTATTAGCCGTTAGATCAGTCTAAATTAATCATAACCATTGAATTTGCATTAAATGAATAAAAAAATAAAAAAGTTAATTTCGTTAATTTACCGGCAATCTGTTGCCAAAGTGATTTATATTTGGTAATATACTACAATTTAATTGGAGTCTTCTTCTTCCACTCTCTTCAAACCTTTCGTCCTCCTCTGTCTCTCCCTCTTTCTTTCTTTTCCTCTCGCTGCTGTTCTTCTTTTTTTATTTTATTTTATTTTTTTGTAACGGTGCAACAAAATAATCCTTGACTTCATTACTGGTGCAACAAAATTCTTTTTTCTTTTTTTTAAAGTAAACAAAATTAGTTATTGACTTTTTATTTGTACATGGCTTCATTACTGGTTGCGCAACAACTTAATGATTTCCGAATAAGAAAAATAATCCTAACACTACTATGCCGTAGAGAAGTACAAGGCACCCAACTACAAACACACAGTAATAATCTACATACTCTACAATTGCCTCGTGAAATATGAAAATTTGACCCATTTTCAAAAAAACCAAAAGCCGAAATACGTACCTTAATTTGATGCTTGTTTTTGAGAAACCAATAATTCTTCTTCTTTGTTTCCAGAAAATCCTTCGGAATTTTAGTATGAGGGAGAGTACAAAAAGAAAGAAGAGATTTTAGAATAATGAATGCGGTAACATGCATGTATTTATTTATCGCTCTGATTATGTTGGTAGTATTTTTGTCTTTTCACTAGTCACTATCATCTTCATATTATATAGTTACTGTCCCTGTCATTATTCCTTCTGATTATGATGTCATAGCAATCAGTTTAGTTCTCTTTTGTATTAGAACAAATAATACAAAAAATTAAAAATAAAGATTAAAAAAATCATAAGAAAGGTAAATAAACACTCCTATGGAAAATAAAATAATTAGTTATAACCTAAATATTCCCATGCACAAAAATATAGTTTCGACAAGATAATAAAAAATACAGAGACAATATTTTTTTTATTATATGTGAAATAACCTACACACAAATGGGCCATATTTAAAAATATATTATCATGCTCAAAAATTCCCCCCAAAAAAATTGCAAATAAAATTTTATTCATCAAAATAATACGCTAATGCTCGCTCAATAATGCCAATAAAAAAATTCTAAATAAAAAAATAAAATTACTAAAAGAACTTATATAAGAAATGGTGCAATATTTTTTAAGCCAATATGCAATTATATATAAATATAGGTGCAATTTCTAATGAGCAAATGCACAAACACTTAAGATTCTTATGTAAAATAAAAAAGTTTAATTAAAATTTATGGAAAGTTTTGGTATAATGTAATTGTTTGAAAGTGAACGTGTAATGTATTTTTCTTGAATGTGCAATTGCATCCTCAAAACTGCAGCGCTTAGAAATCTAGTACTAACTTACTATAAAAATAAAAGAAAACAATATATGGTGTAATTAATTATTACTTGATTACAGGCAATGTTTTATAAACTAATGTACAATCATATACAACTATTTGGGCAATATATATAAAAGGAAACTATTTGTGCAATCATATTAATTAATGATGATTTTGTTATTTTAAATATTAAAACTTTCTTAAATTATTCAATTTTTTAAATTTTGGTAAATTTACTTGTGTAGCAGGTCACAAAAATTTTTAAAAATTAGGAACATTTAATATTATATCGATGTGTCACTTTTCTATTGGTTAAAATTTAATGGGACCAAAGACTATAAAATTTTCCTAAATTTTTTTCGTCTCAAAATAAAAATAAGTAAGGAATTGATTGAAGAGGATTGTCCTAAAATAAGTGTAAGTAACGTATTAATTGAAGAGTATGTTGTGATTGATTTTGTGTTAGGACTAATTTTATTCTGCTACAAAGTGGCATCACAATCAACTCGAAAGAAAAAGGCGCCCTTCATATCCCTAAAAAACTCAGAAAGAAAAGTTGAAATCATTCCCGAAATGCATGCTCAACAAACACCCCTTTAAAATCTATACACAACAGAAGAAGATCTTAGCCGTTTGGTTCGAGGCCTTACTATTTAAGTACGGTGGAGCCAAGGGCTGAGAGTTGGCCACCTGGTCCAATAAGAGCTGTCCGAAATCCAATACAGCGAAACCCACTCGTGCGGGTGGTCCCCATTAACGAAATGGTGATGTGACGACATCTGTCCGTTCGATCTTTACGCTTACCCAACCATTCACTGCGGTTCCACACGTGTGCATTGAGCATGTCGGAAACGGGAAAACGGGATCTTCTTCTTCGTTCTCGTGGGACGTTTTTACAGTAGCTAAATTACAAATACCCCCTCTTTGTTTTAAGGAAACTCACATATTGCAGATTCTGAGGTTTTCGGAAAATTAAAAAGACCTCCCTAGAAAATCCAACTCAACACTAGATCGACCTTAATTTTCAAACAAGGAAAAAGCTCTCATCTGAAATCCAGTTAAGAAGCCCAAATGAATGCTTTTGGCGCCTGTTTTTGGCAGACGTGTCCAATTTGGTAATTAGAAACAAAATTGGATGAGGGAAGGCGGTTTGAATCTCCCGTATGGATAAATGGATCAGCTATGTATTTTGTTAATTAATCACTTGCAGAGGTGCTCCAACCAGCTTTCCTGCCAAACATATTTCGTGGGCTAATTGTAGATATTCATCAGAAACTAAAATGCTTTATCTAGGAAAGAGTATATATTTTAGGGATTATGCACGATGGATAAAAAGTTAGGATGCCAAACTTTCATTCTATGGTCTCACAAAAATACAAACTATTCTAGGTGTCTTGTACCCCGAAAAATAGTAGATTGCACAATCTGAAATAAGTTACTTCCTTCTCGTATATCGGTTATTCGGAAGGTTGGCCTGATTGTTCGCAAGCTGTTGGACACTGAGGATGGGGCCGTTGTCATGGGAGGTGGCCGCGGAGTTGCTACCGATTCGGTTCCTGTGGCTACTCTCAATACTTTGGTTGCCGGTTCAGATCAAAATCATGCACTTACTAGTTTAAATCAAGACCAATGGCTGACCTTGATTCATTTGTTGCAAACCGCCAAGCCCGATTCTGACTGACAAATTGTACGGTATGTGTTGGTCTAAACTTTGGATGTATGATTCGGGTGACACTCACTATATGAATTGAAATTTGACTTATTTGCAGATGATTGTGATATAAACGGCGTTCAAGTTTAGCTGCTTAATGGACAACGGACTCTTGCTACTAAGGCTGGCACTGTAATCCTTAGAAGAAAAGTGACGGTGCATAATGTCTTTATGTTCCTAGTCATAAAAAAATTTCTGTTTTATTATACTATATTTTAATTCAGTAAAAATGAAAACGTACAATTTTCTAAGTCAAAATGAATAAGAACATTGATTTCATAAAATTTATATTATTTTCCATAACATTTATTCATTGGTTGTCAATGCCATAAAAAAGCCGAAGGAAATTGAGATGCCCGTCAAACATATTTCATATTCTTCTTTTTAAAAGGAAAAAAAAAAGTGGCTCCTTCAAATGCACAAAGAACAAAAAATAGGAATTAAATATGGTGGAATAACATGGGCCAAAGTAATAAAAAGGTGGGGGCAAAAGTAGTGATTTCATGAAAACTGAAAAGGAAGAAGAAGTTGGCGATAAGATAAACATGACCGCAAGGGATTGAGAACGGCTACCTACATACAACTCGACTTGTTTTCAGAATGAATGGCCTGAAAGATTGATTGTGTTTTGTAGCTGCTTTTTTTGTATTTTTTCCCCTCAATATTTTTTTGTCCTTTAATCATAATAATTGAAAATCCTCATTTATTATTGATGATTTGTCATTCCAAGGAAGATGGACAGCTTGCTGTATCCTCTTTTGAATTGTCATTCCAAGCAAAGTGGACAAAGTTAAGACGAGTCCTCACTTGTCAAACTTTCCAACAAACTGATCATAATCTCTTTGAAATTATGATTTTTCAACTGAATAACTTTTCGAAATTTAAAATAGTTCTTATGCGATCACTGGCTCCTGTCCGAGGCAAATTCAATTCAACCCGGAAAACGAATAGTATGTAATCATATAGTTGGAAGGACAAAATGGAAAGGGAAAAAAACTTTACATGATTATTTATAAGTAAACAACCTTGCAGAGATTGATGTCCATATTGTACTTGGTGAGAATCGAATTTGTAAGACTGACTGAATGCCAACGTTATGAAGACAAATACTTAAAGAGTCCTTATATATGAAGAAAGAGTTAACTTGATGGGAGAAAGACGATGGAGTTGTACACTTGTAGTAGCTGTGAGTTTGAAATCTCATCATCAGAAATAATAATACTCCTTCTGTCCCAAAATTATTGTCCAATTTGAGATTTCATTTTTAGTACAATTTGAACTAGAAATGAAAACTCAAACTGAACAATAATTATGGGACGGAGGGAGTAATAAATTTATGCTTGATTACTTAAAAGTTGTCCTTAGAAAGAATATATATCCTTATTTAACCCGCATTCTACAGGCTCATTCGTTCTCCATCAAGGCATCTACTGCTCAAAATATGATGATAATCTTTGACTAAAACTTATTGAAACCTCAATGTATTGCACACTCAAGATATGAAGTTTAATAAATAAAAACCATCAATTGTGATATATATAAGGTTGAAAAATTTCCGGCAACTCAGATTAGTTGGGGTAATAGCCGACACTAGCCCATATCAGCCTCCGAAAGGCAGGCCTGCATGAAAAGTCAACGTCAAGTTCCCCAAAAAAGAAAGAAAAGAAAAGAAGCAGCCATCCACCTCAATACACACTCATGGAGGTTCTTAAAGCATGCCTTAAAGCGAAGCCCTTTGGACACCACCAAATGGATAATTGCAAATACCAATCGATCAATTGAGAAGTGACAACTCAGTCGCACGGTTAAGACTAAGAGTACCACCCGATTTGAAGCTGATAGTGGCAGCCTGGAAAAAGAAAAAAAAAAAGGAAAATAGATACGAGTAATAATAGAGACAGTAAAATAATTTAGTAACTAGTCAGTATCAATCTCATTTTCACCAAAATATAAAATAACCAATATTCAAACAATTGGAATAAACGTAACAAACGAACATTCTGCATGTTATGATAATTAGTCTACTCTCATATCATTGAATGAATTCACTGTTTTTAGTGACGTTTATTTACATGTACTCATCAGATCTCCATGTTGGAGAAGCCCATACCAGATCACAAAATTTGTAAAGGGGAAAAAGAGAGTAAGCAATGATTGTGCACGCTTTGGGCAATCGCTTAAAAAACGTGGACGCATAATGTTCAGAGAATCGCAGGCAGGCAGCCAAAGGCCAAAGAGCAAATCATTACAAATTATTGGGTCTTTCTCTTTCACTTGAGAGAAAGAGAGATAGAGTGCAGCTTTCGTTGTTGCAATCGTTGACCAATTCTTTAGTTAGTATTCATGCTACTATATTGCTAACTATACTCAGTACCAAAAAAAAAAGAAGTACTAACTACTACTCCAATCGGATGAAATGAATCATATCATCATATAGATCGACCCCTCCACATATAAAAACAATTTTGTTTTTCAACGTCAAGATTTCCAAACCACCACCCCCAAGTAATGACATTATTAATAAGTATGGATTTCTAGATTTTGTTGTTGATGGGAATCCTCCATTTTGTCCCCCCTCTTTTCTCGGGTCGTGTTTGATTTGAGAGGGGGTTAGATAAATTACAAAAATTTAATAGGACCTGTTTTAATGTTTTTCCCCGATGATAATGTACATGTACTTTGTCATCATATTAAGACGTGAGTTGCGACCACCTACTATAGAGTATTGACCATCAACTACCAACTAAGGTGTGCAAGTAAAGTAGAAGCATCATTTTTCTTTATTTGCTTCTTTTTCTTTAGATTTAGAAAGACGCAGTACATGCAACTAAAGTGACTATGGTGAAGTGAAATGGACTCTTCCATAATTATAGGTCGAGAGTTCGAACTTCGTCATGGGCATGGAACAACCTTAAATACTTTGGCCAACAGTTCCATCCATTGAGGTGCCTATAATTCAGCGAAAAGGATTAGTCACTGTTGCTGACGGTGGACACCCTACAAATATGAAAAAAAAGAAGAAAGAAAGACGCAGTACATGCAAACATAGATATAAATTTGAGTACAATATTTTTCTATAGAGATTGGAGACACCTCTACAGACAGTTATTCCGTGATTTTATTGTTCCGTGATTTTATGATGATATTTTTGGTATTACATTACATTCTGCATAAATTTTTGAGGATTCAATCTCCTGTGAATAGCAAAAGAAAAACACACATATTGTATAAAAGATCATGTGATTCCATCTCAAAAGCAATTGGCAATAAGGGGAGTAGCCCATAGACTTATATATTGATATCAAACCTCTCCCACTACCGATGTGGGATACTCAACACTCCCCCGCAAGCCCAATGCTTCTTCTTGGGTTGGCCTTGTCTATTTTTCTTCATCCCAGTCACCGTCTTACGTCTCAGCCCTACTAATTCTATCATATTAGGTTTGGAGTTCGACTCTTGACGGGCTGGCTCTGATACCATATAAAAGTTCATGGGATTCCATCTCAAAACTAATTGGTAATGAGGGGAGTAGCCCATAGACTTGTTAGATAAACGATGCAGTGCCATCAAATGTGTGTGTGTGTTTTTTTATCGCATGAGCCTCCAACGTTGAATGGAGTATCTTTTCGTTCAACCCATTTTAAAAGAATGGATAAAGGGGAAAAGAGCAATGGTGGCAAAACAAATAACAAATGGAGCACAAAACTAGTGTGGGACAAAGCTAGCCGCTTAAGCCTTGGATTAACAACAAATTAACATCATTCCAATTCCATGCAACTTTATATTATAGAAGAGTATATAAAAGAGCGTTCTAGCGTTTAATTTCGGCAGTGTCAAATCATAGCCAAAGTACTCTTCCACTGTGTAAAAAATTTGGACCATCAAAGATGTCTGGCTGATTAAAAGTATATTTTCTGCAATCATGTTGGAAATCAGAGTCCAGTCATGGAAGCAAAGGGGATGTGGATGATGACATTGACCTAACTATTCATCCAGTTTACACCTGGGTTTTGTGTAAAGCTAATCTAAATTTACAGCTCAGTGGGATGGTATTCATTACCCGTTAATTTCGGCCTTTTTGGCACCAGCAATTTGTAATCCCCTTCATCTTTAAACAGACTTGGTAGCTTTCTTGCAGGTCCCCATTTTGGTTTTGCATTGTAATTAAACACGTAACTTCTGAATGAGAATGTACTCCTCCCTTCTAACCATTCCAATAATCATCGTCCCATTTCAATAATTCACTTTGTCGGACTATCAATATACTTCACTAGAGTCCAGAAAACAAACAGATTCACTGTGAAGCTTACTCTCAAGTAGAATCCGAAATCATATCTAGTAGAACTATTTTAGAAGGGGTAGGAACTAGGTTACAGATTTTGCGGATTTTTTCTTCCCCTTTTTTTGCCAAAGTAAAACTTCACTGAATGAGTGGTAATTGCACTATTTAGTTGGACAGGATTGAATTCAAGTTGGGCAAGTTCTTTAAATGCTTACTTTCCTTCTTTGAATGGAAATTTTATATAACTACTACAAATAATGCTACCGCGAATGAGTTTTGATTCAGAGAGACTCGTACATCCACCTGAATCGGAAGATTCACAAGGTTCCCAAAACTGAAGCAGCTTCTCAGAAGATAATAATTCTTTACATATATCTGATTTGATACATCTGGTCTGTCAATCAAGATGAAACAGTCAGGTTCTATATCCTATTGGAAAAAGCCAGAGCTAATCTACATGCAATGGTCTCACCCATAATCAGTTACTAAAAATTCCAAGAAAATTGATCGCATTCGTCAAGCAGATAGCACAAGTGCCTCCCTCCAGAATATGCGCAAGATACAGAAGCAAAAGGATCAAGAAGAACCAAGCAAACACACTTCTGATATTCAACCCCAGAACTTAATAATGCTCTCCTCTTACTTTCTCTTCCCTAGAAAAACCATCCATAAGATCAGCCAAAGAGGCACACCTGTCTGTGCAACCTACAAACTTATTATGGAAGCATCCAAAGGGTGGTTTCCGGAAGAAAATAATTATTGCCTCCAAGGTGGAACATTGTCGCCGACATATATCACTAAAGTTGACGAACCTTTGATTCTCCTCTTCGCAGAATGGACAAACTGTGGGATATTCATTCGCAATCCCTTCTGACCGAATTCATGGAGAATCACTACGGATCATGTTAGAACTTTAAGACCATAATTCTGCGAAAAGTACCTACAACATCACATTTTGAGCTCCCTAACAGCAGTAGATGTGGCCATCATAAAGACAATGGTAATACTGTTTCCTTTTTCCTTGTAAATGTCAACCGTAAAATTCTCAGGCGTACAGGAATAAAGATGGCAATACACATGATGACAAAAGAGATCCAGTAGTGTCGAAAGGATAGGGTCAGATATGACGATACAACAAGTGAACCAAATAATGACGCCCAAAAGAGAGCCACCAAGACATCAACCCTGTACAGTATTACAGATAATAACATTAGGTCTCTGCTAAGCAACAATCAATTATGATTAAAATGAAGCTAAAGAAACCATATAAGCCATCAAATCATCTGGGCCATGGCGATGGTACAATTATTCTTAGTGATGCTTGTATTATTCAACAGCATTCATGATGTAAGATATGAAGTGATCTTTGATTTGTGTGTCTCATCCCAGTACATCAACATGATTTACCAGTATTAGAACTGAAGTTTGAAGTTTCAACTGATGCTGACATGCACGTAGCATTTCAAAGTAGGCAAAACTAATCATACAGCTCTAATATGCAGAAAAGAACTATCAAAAGATTGCCTATGTTTTTAACTCAACTCCTAGACTTGTATAGAAAAGATAGAACAATTTTATAGCTTCATTACCCATCCTAATTCAAAGCAATAATGAGCAGAACATATTGAGAGAGAGGGAATTTGGATATGTAAAACTACTAGCTTGGAACAAATCTGAGCTTCAACAAAATCCGATCCAACCATCATCAGATGAAGAGTTTTTTTCAATTGCATAATAAAATATACAAGTCCAAGAAAAAGTTCTATTCCACTTCCAAGCCAAAAAGATTTTACTCAGCAGAGGCAATCTTGAAAAATAGCCAACTAAGCTATTGGCCTTCACACACTAGACATAGACACTGATAACGGACAAGCTTCCTGCAGCCAACTTTGACTGAAAGAGAATGATATTTTGCTTAGTTTTCTAATCTACCGAAAATGATTATTAACTATAGATTCTACAACCAATCGTTATTCAGGTGAATTTCAAACTAAAGGAATACTAATGGACATAGACAGAACTAAATCCTGCAACAGAAAGGCAAATGGGAATAGACAAGCACAAGTAACATGAATGCTTTTAGCGATCAACTCAGTAAACATTTCAAACAATGTCCTATAGATTCATTCTCAACGTCTAAAGTTTTTTAATGTCCAAAAGTCCATTAATGCCACCCTCAAACCCAACAAAAATTCCCTCTTCGTACCCGATCCAACCCCACCCATCAAGCATTTTTTACTTGATTTGCTATCACCAATAGCAGTAAAGTTGGAAACTTTGTATCACAACAAACGATAAAGATGATTTCCTAGCTTTTTCATGACACAATCCCTGCATTCGTGAGCTTTGTAAGCCCAGAAAAACACAAAAGAATATAGCCTTTTCTCAGGTTTGGTTCTAGTGAAACTTATCTAGTAGAGACTAGTGAGAGAAATTGATAATCGCTACAGCCTTTCTTGACTACGGAATCCAAATAGCATAAATCGAGACTTCAACTTATTCAATTCACCCAGAGAAAAAAAAAACTGCAGAATGTCTCCCATGACAAAACAACTTCAAACGAAATTAGGCGAATAAAAAAAAAGAAAAAAGAAATATGAACTCGTACCAGGTATTGAGGAAGGGTTTAGGAGAGAAGATGACGAGAGCGGGACATTTACGCTGGGATCGGATCTGGTAATCTCGGAGCTGCTCCACCAGCTTCGACCGAGTAATCATCTGGGGCCCCGGATTAAAAAAAAACCGTCAATCAATCAACACGAAGAATTACAATTCCGGCGGCAGCTCAAGGAGGCGCTGCCTCTGAGTTTGGAGGGAATTGAGGCGGAGGGAGTTAGTTGCTAATAAGCCAGTAAACCATGAATCAATTAACCCAAACAGTTAGAATCGTTGGCGCGGTAGCGTTGCCAGTGCGCGGGCTTCTTCAAGGGGAATCTTTCCGGCCAGATAAAATCGTCACACGGACTCAACGTTTATTGTGTGTTGTTGATTGGAAAAATTTCTTTCCAACATAAGTCGTTTAGGTAAAAGCACGTTTCTGACAACTAGCTGAATCTGGTGCTATTTTGCTGGGCTTTTCACACAATAAGAAGTAGTTGGAGAGATTTGGGCTCTTGCCATTCTAATTAGCTGAGTAAATCCGGCCCATAAAACTTAATGGGATTCACCTTCATAATCGCAGATAATTATGAATTTATTGATAATAAATAAAACTCCAAATGCCAAATGGTGGTAGTCAAAAAGCGGTCCAAATTTAAAGCACTTCCATGCACGCTAATCTATAAACACAAAGCCGGCCTAATCAGTAATCACCGAATTCAATTGACATAGCCAGGACCTTGCTCCTCCTTTCACTTTCCTTCAATTATAGCCAATAATAAACAATACCCGATTTGATTTTGGTTTTGGAGCCTGTTTAAGTCGGGCCAATGTGTTAGTAATTTTGTTATCAAAGATGGTTTTTTTTTTTAAATTTTTTTTTTTTTTAGTTTGTACGAATAGTATGATCAGCTAATTTGAAAGAGGGGGAGGAATAGAGAGGAAATGATAAATAAAATTGGGAACAAATGCGAAGATTTTTGAGGAGGGGACGCGTATCTGATGTTGTGGGAAGCAGTAACAACAAGGGTGGTTACACTTGGCTCGATAGAACAGGAAGAGAGAGAAACCACAACGGCAACGATACTACGATCAGCACCAAAACAACAGCAGCAGGGGAGATGGCATTAGCGGGTAGGGAGAAAGAAAGAGATCTGGAACGATTGATACCCCTTGGTGGAATCACTACTGACACCGTCAATGGAGGCCCTGTTGGGTCTAAATCCTCTTCCCCTTCCGATTCACCGCTTGCTTCTTCTTCTATATCTCACCACTCCGGCAAAGAGGTTCAATTTTTTTTTTTATCTCCTTGATCAAATAATATCTCTGTTTATATTTCCGAAGAATTTTCACTCAAAATGATGGAATTTTGTATTGCGGGGATGATGGTTTCTTCATTGTGTATGTTGCATGTAATGAAAAGTGAAAACTCTTGAAAATGCCCCTTGCTGTTTGTGGGTTTTTGTTTGTCTTGTCTCCTGCATTGTGCTATACTAGTCTTGTGTGGCTGAAATGGGCTGCGAAATCTGTCACTTCTTGGTGATATTAATGAATTGAGGATGCCCCGTTTCGGGGGAAATAAACAACAAAGATTGAGGATTTATGGGTCAATTTACATAATCGAGTTAATTGATTTACTTAAATTTGTTTTCTCTCCAATTAGTTAGGTGATCAAATTTTGGATTAAAAAAGAGGAACTATTGTTCCCTTTTGTTCCATGATTGTCCCATGTATAGTTTATCTTGATGTCACATTTCTTTCCCTCAGAAGACTAGCAATGACCGTGAGGAGATGATTTGTGATGTCTTGCTTGAGTTAAATTATGGCATGAATTGAACCAAAGCCTTATGTCGTTAATGAACTCGTATTTTGACATGAAGTTATTGTAAAAGCTTTTGAGCTCAACTCGTATTTTGATTGTTTGCTTTGTTGCAGGCATTTAGCAAAGTCATCCGCAGCTGGGCGTCTAAAAAGTTTATGTCTGGATGGTGAGTACTCTTCTTACTCTCATGTTTCTTCTAAATCCGAATTCATGATTGATAATTTGGTTCCCAGTGCAAATTTGGGAGTCAAATGGTTTGCCAATTTTTAAATTAATCAATGCACCAATTGATACTTACATGGTTTGACGATGTTTTGCAGTGTCATCTTGTTTCCAATAGCCATCACATTTTATATCACTTGGTGGTTCATTCATTTTGTGGATGGGTTCTTCTCCCCAATCTATGCGCATCTGGGGATAAACGTGTTTGGTTAGTTTGTTTGAAACCTTATTCTATTTTAGCCACACAAATCATTAATTTTGGATGAGTCTAGCGATAAAAGTTTTTTGTTGTTGAAGCAGTCTCCAGAGTTTCAAACAAATATCTGTCTTAATGATAATATATTCTGCTCCAGAGTTGATAAGTTTTAAGCTTTTGATATTGTGCTTATTTGGACTCCACCACAATTTATCCGAAATGTTTAGTGTTGACAAATTTAGTGGAGCAGAGAAAGCATTGTTAACATGCAGTGAGAACTCTATATTCATATGGCATTATTGAAAATCTCTCTGCTTGTTGTGGAGTTTAAATCTCTCTGCTTATTAGACGTTTGGTATTTGCTAACAGGTCTGGGATTTGTAACCTCAATTACTTTCATCTTTTTAATTGGAGTGTTCATGTCATCTTGGTTGGGGGCCTCACTTCTAGGATTAGGAGAATGGTTCATTAAAAAAATGCCCCTTATAAGCTACATCTATGCTGCTTCAAAACAAATCAGTGCTGCCATTTCACCAGGTAAACCAAATTGTTTCACCGTGAGCTGTATTTAGTTTCGGCCAATCTAGTGCTTAAGACGTGAATTATGGTTCCAGATCAGAATTCACATGCCTTCAAGGAAGTAGCAATTGTGAAGCATCCACGAATTGGTGAATATGCACTGGGCTTCATCACATCAAGTGTTATCCTTCGGAAGACTTCAGGTGCAGAGGAACTCTGCTGTGTTTATCTACCCACTAACCATCTTTATCTTGGAGATATTTTCCTTATCAACTCCAAAGATATAATGAGACCAAATCTCTCTGTTAGAGAGGGAATAGGTAAAGGATCTGTCTTTAAAAAACTTTTAAAAAATTTAAGCATTGCTGTCGCATTACAGTAACACACCTCTTTTGTATCTTGCAGAGATTGTCATCTCCGGAGGCATGTCCATACCAAAGATATTGAATATAGTTGATGTTCAATCCATTCTATCACCAAGAGTGGGCAAATTTGCTGTCCCACAAGTTTAATAGCTTAGTTCATTCTGGTAATACTTATTACATAACCTTGTAGTTGAGAGGCTTTGGAATGAATTATTCTAAAAGCCTTGCATGCCTAAAAACCTCCTCGGCTGCTAAAGATTTTCGAGATCCATTTCTCCATTGTTTTGGACATTAATGTAACAAAATTTGGTAGAATTTGGATGCTATTTGTTGGTAGCAGTTGATGATCTTGGCTTGTTTATCTCCTTCATGTGTATCAAGCGCTGATCTGTCTGGTTGTTTTTACCATTATGGCTTTTTTTGGGTACCTTTTCTATTATCGAAATGTGATCAGTATACGTTAAGTTTGTTTGCTTTATTTTGTCAGAAAAAGAAAGATGTGCGAATCTGAAGATACCTGGTCCTGGTTGTATCGTAGGCAATCCATTTTCATAGCCAATTTGGCCTTAGCAATGTTGCAAAGAGATGAAAATTCAACTGGTAAAAAGCATTTGGTATTTGTCAAAGAGCTTTCGAATAATTTATATATAACCTACCAGAACATCAAGAATCCGTTATCGTCCAGCGGTTAGGATATCTGGCTTTCACCCAGGAGACCCGGGTTCGATTCCCGGTAACGGAATTTTTTCCTCCTAATTTCACGCGTGGGACTTGATGTCTGTGTTTCCCACCATTTTGTTGTTTTCTCCCGTTCCTTTTCTGATGTCCAAATTCCAGACTTCAGAAAAGTAAAGCTACCTGTTGCTTAGATACAACTGATTTAGATTGCATTTGAATAAAATCCCATATCACCTTGAATTCAGTTTGGTACACAACAAGAAAGTTTACAGGTATTAAAAGAGGCTATCAATTGCTACAAAGCAACAAATTGCTTCACTAACTTGCACTTCCTACTAGCAAATAGTTTCTGATAATTGCATGACTAAATGATTCCCTCGTGTTATATTTGCAAAAAGAGAGATCATTACTTGGCGAGACCATAAAATGCTGGTCTTCCATACCCGCAACCCCAAAAAGTAACCAACCAAAATTCGGTCGATACTGAGCAAGTAAAATAATGATTTAACTGTTCAAGGTGGCAAGCACGCCACCAGTTACATTCGGGATCACCACCTCCCAACCAGGTCCTTTCACTGGAATTAAGGCTGCTGAGTCTGAACCTGAAACGAGATCACTCCTATCCAAAACCTTCTCTAGATCTTCTTCCGAGATATCTGTCTGTATCCATTTCTCCTCTTCATTTTCTTCATCTCTGAGAAGCGCCAGTAAATCCTCTTCCTGAAACAAGGGAAGTAGTATTTTTGATTTTCACAATAACCAGAATTAAAAAAAACAGAAAAAAAAAAGCATTCAGTTGATGTGAGTGCTCATTGTACAGTTTCAGGACAAACCTCCAGTAAGTCAGTTGAGGGTTTGGTTCTTTCTTGTTGGAACTGTCCTTTACCAATCACAACATGCTCAAGTTTTAATTTACTAAAGGCCCTTTTCAGCATACGACCCTGGTTGCATTTCAATGTCAGTCTTCATCAGGAAAAAGACAATACAACTGAGACAGAAATGAGAGGTGTACCTCCACTGACTGAGCAGTTGCTAGTCTGTAAACGTGAACAGGCTTGGTTTGGCCTATTCTATGGCATCGATCCATTGCCTGTAAATCCATTTGAGGGTTCTGCAACACAAGTACAATTAGTCAATTACAGCAATGCTCGCAAAACACCACTGGAACAAGCTGCATCAGACCAGATCAAGGAGATTAATTAAATACCCAATCACTGTCGTATAAGATGCATGTATCAGCAGCAGTAAGGTTGATGCCCAACCCACCAGCTCTGGTGCTCAGAAGAAAAATTCTAAATTTACTGTTCTCATCATTGAACTCCTTTATCTGTTCAAATAGATGTCAATATGTCATGATTCAAAAGGATTTAAGCAACAAACTAAAAACATTAACGCATTGACATAGATTTGGTGTTCCATATGAATACATTCTGAGTTGGCTATGACTGACAAGTATATATATTTACATAAAAAAAGAAAATTGCACTGAAATGGAGGAGCCATGCTACCTGTCTTCTCCTTTCTTCCAACCTCACGCTGCCATCAATCCGGCAAACTTCAAAACCTCTTTCACTAAAATAATAATCCATGATGTCCAGAATCCTGGTCCACTGAGAAAAGATGAGAACCTGCATCAACAATTAAGCACATCAGAGTCTGAAAAACACAAGGCTCACTGTTAAACTATCTGGATGATTAATCTTAAGAATTACTTTGTGCTGTCGAGCAAACAGCTTATGCAGCAAACTGTCCAACAAGCGAAACTTGCCACATTGTGCAACTATTTCATCCACTGGTGGGTACAAGCCTATCAAAAACAGAATGAAAAAGGAAGAATTAATATGAGCAGTGTATCGTCTTCACTCAATGATTGCAAGGGACATACATGAATCATCAAAAGCTGACTGTAATAGGTCTGGGTGGTTGCAGTTCTTCCGAAGCTGTAGCATCAAATTGTTAAGCTTTCCCTTCATCCCACGTCCTGTATCGTCACAAAGATCACAACAGGGCCTACTAACAACAAGTTTGAATACTATAATTGTTGGGTTCAGCACAGATCTAATATTTCTACTCAAGAATACCAATAGGATACTACCAGAGGCATTGTTTTCCAGCAAATGATTTTCCAGTGTCTTGTTGACAAGATGATCTGCAAAGTTCTTTTGATGTTCAGTCATGGTGGCATACAAGATTATTTCCTTCTTACGAGGAAGCATTTGTTCCACATCAGTTTTCAGCCTCCTGAGTATAAAAGGACGTAAAATAGCATGTAGTTTTGCCACCACCTGCAAATTTAATGAGGGCAAAACCATAACAAGAAAAAGTGAAACATCATATTATGGCAAAAAGCTCGACCAGAAAACTCAATACCTGAGATCTTCTCTTCTCTTCCATTTCTTCCCTTAAAGCCTCATCGGTGCACTTCCCAGAAAGATCAAACCTAGATGTAGGAAACATTGCAAAGATTCAATCTGAAGAATGTCATGATCATGGGTCCGACTCAAAGAGATCATTGGCTCATGGTCACTGTATTCAACGTGTAAATCCTTCTCTCTCAACCAACTTAAATTAAATAAAAGTGCTATTAGTTAGAGAAGGAATATCTAAATTAAGCATTAACATTGTTCAAATACGATTAGAAACTGAGGAGAAGATGGTTATTCTAACAAGACCGCCGAGTATGATTAGAAACTGTCAAGCATGATTCGACAATCAAAATGGAGAGTTAAATTGGATTAGAAAGTCAATTACCAAGACTCAAACTCTGTATGAGAGGAGAATATGTCTGGCAGGATAAAATTTAACAAAGACCACAGTTCTGACAAGTTGTTCTGCAAGGGTGTTCCAGTTAACAAAAGCCGGTTTTCAACATTCAAGAGCTTAAGTTCCTTGACTAGCTTGCAGTTTGCATTTTTCAACCTATGCCCCTGCAGGAACAAAGTAACAAAGCAACTTAGCAGAAAGATATACTTCTCGGCATAGAACTAACAAGGGAAAAATTGTATAGAATGATAGAAGTTACCAATTCTGGTATACCTCATCGACCACAAGATACTTCCAACTGTAATGTCTCAAGTGCTTTTTTGCATCCGTCATTGCAACTTCATAGGATGTGATTACAATGGGGAACTTGGGACCTATTGTTTTTGGCATGTGCTTCCTCCTGATATCATCCCTTTCTTTCTTGTTGCCATGGTATATAATTGCATTGACAGATGGTGTAAACCTACAGAAATGTACATATTTTTTCTGTTTTTTCTTTTTCTATGAACCAGACTCAAAAAGTACACTAAAAAACAATGGGAAAGAAAGTCTAACAAGCCAAAATCTTGATGATGACATCACATAATTTACAAAAATAAAAAGGAAACGGAAAATTACCGATTTATCTCATTAATCCAGTTTGAGAGAGTAGAAAGAGGGGCAATGATTAGATACGGCCCATCTAAACCATTCCCTTTTAAGTGAGAGAGAAAACCAATTGTTTGAATTGTCTTCCCAAGCCCCATTTGATCTGCCAATATCCCATTCAATCCGTTTTGCCACAATGAAATTAACCACTTAACACCTTTGATCTGATAAGGCTTCAGAGTGCCACCAGTCAAAAGGGGTACAAGTTCAGCCTGCTCTTTCTCAGTTCTCTCCTGCTCAGTGAGGTCTGAATCCTCATGAGAACCGCCTTCTTTAGATCTTGTCAGCATGGCGGCAACAGCTCTTTTTGCTTTCTTCTGCAAATACAATGAGAGAGCATCACAATAAGCAGGAAAATTAACATTGACAACAAGGAAAACTGATCCCTAGAGTGTTCCACTGATGTATATTGTTCACTTATGAGGAAAAGTCATCGTGCACTGCCAACCACAATAACTGCCAGAAACCTAATGTTACCTCTTAGGCTCTTACAGGTTGAAGATTTAAGCAATAGGCGAAACATTTTCCAAGTTAAAACACAGACATAAAGCAAAAAAGTACATTGTTGTAATCTGCTGCTGCCTTCCTTTTCCCACCACGACCTTTCTTCTTCTCTACAGGAGATTTGTCATCATTCTCAAGTCCAACCTAATAACATAATCCACCCAAAGATACTTTAGCAAACAGTGTCATCCATTCATAGCAGCATATAGGTTCAACGAAATTGAAGTTAAAACCTTGGTGATATCTTCCATTTTCTCCAACAAAAACTCTGAATAGAGCTGAGTCTGAGTCAGTAGCTCGTCAAGTTTATTGTACTGGATATCATTCAGTACAGGCACTTCATTAGGCCTATCATCTTCGTTCTTCACCCGCTCTTCGAGCAGCTTCTGTTCCTCCAAAGCCATAGATTCTGAGATGAGAGAAGAATCTCCATTCTTAGATTCAAGAAGTATTTCTTCCTCCAACTTGACACCATTTTTCTCCTTGCACACATCCTGAGGCCAAAGGGCCAAAATAGGGAAAAGAGAAAGAAGAGATGAGAGACTTCAAATGAAATATTTTGAGAAAGTACGGCAAATGAAAAAGGAAAACCAAAATAATCCTCTCTTAACAAGGAAACCGAAACCAAATAGTACGTTGAGAAAGGACACCATTTTTAATCTGACAAACAGTGACACTCAATAGGCCCATAAATAAAAGAAGAGGGTTCAATTCAAGCCAGATAAATAGTTGGCTGCTACCTTAAGCAGCAAATCTTTCGTCATAACATAAACACAAAAATGGCAAAAACGAAGCACAAAGAGATCCTTATTAACATTTTCTACCTCATCTTCAAGAACAGAGGTCGGAGAATCAGCCAGCGGTTCTTCTTTCACTACATCATGACCCGCCGCCATACTCGTGTTCAACAAAGCCACAACAACCCTCCTATAAACAAAACAGAAAAAACCCCTAAATGACAAACGACCCTCAGCCACTAAAACCTAGCTCAGGCAAAAAAAAAATCAGGAAAAACAAAACATAAATGCAAGCTCCGACTACTCTAATTTACGGCATAACAAAAAACATTTCTGCGACATAATAAATTGGGGGAAATAGAAGGAAGAGCATTCTTACTGAAGCGGAACTATGGAGGAAAATGGAAGACAGGAGCGAATGGGGGGCCGATCTTCAGATTTTTTTTCTGCTTTTGAGAGAGCTGAGAAGAATTAGAAGACAGTTTAAAGCCATATATCAATCAATTCCTATAAATGGCGCAGTTTTTAAAAGTAATTATTAAAATATCATTGTTACCATAAAATTGTTCTGATTTTTATTTTTTTTTTAACTTCAAATTTTTTAAAATTTTTATACAGTACTCCCCATTCGTAGCGGGCGGGAAACTGATGTTTTGAGATTGCCCTTGTTACAACACTTTAATTTCGAGAAAACCACCTAGCTGTCCCGCTTTTTGTACCAGTTTTATGGGAAGCCAATTAAAATAAAGCGCTTTTGACCAAAACACACCGCAATCAGCCGTCGACCGGCGGTCTCCTCCTCCGCCGTCGTTTCACCATACTGTCAGTGCGAATTTAATCGGAAATTTGAGAACCGAACATCCAGAAGATGGACCCAGAAGCTGCAAGAAGTGCACGAGACTCTCTGGAGTTGGTATTTCAGATGTCAAACATTCTCGAAACCGGGCTGGATCGCCATACGCTTTCAGTTCTCATTTCCCTTTGCGAAATGGGGCTCAATCCTGAGGTGCTAGCTGCCGTTGTTAAGGAGCTTCGGAGAGACGTTTCGACCTCAGCCTCTTCTTTGCCTACAACATCAGGAGCTCCTTAGATTCCTTAACAAAAGGTTGGAATTCTTTCTGTCTTATCACGTTTCTGTTCTTGCGAATTATAGGTACTTGATGTCTCAATTTTCCAGTATGATTTTTGTTGATTGGCCTTTCTACTTGTTTGTGCAATTATAGAGATTCTCCTTTTCAGATATTAGACTCTTTGTTATTTATGATCGCAAATTGTTTGAATATTCATGAGGAAATGAGATTAAAGTTCATACTTTCGAATTACCACCAGTAATAAGTGGTGGTTCTGCTCTGAACTTCTGTTCATACGAATACAGTTTAATCTTGCTCTGCTGTTTCAACATAATTCAAAGAACTTCTAAAAGTTACATAATACGTTGCAATCTTAATAAAAAAATAACTTACAATGAATACCAAAAATTATATATGGTGATTAATTCTAGGTTCCTCCTGGGAATGCAGTAGTTGTGGACCGGCTTTATTTTTATGCTATGAACATAGTAATCTCTCTTGAGAAACATAGGCAAATATTGAGTCACATCTTTCATGACGCGCGACATAGATTTTCAAATCCCATGTACTCGTTATTTTCCAGCTTCTCAATCATGTTTGCTATACCCACCCCACCTGAAACATCACCAAAAAGTGTGCCCTTGTTTTAGTTTACACTTTATATGATCGTGGAAAGGGAAAATATAGAAGTAAAAGGAGATAGACCGTGTTTGCATTGCCTTTACCTAAGCTGATTGCACTAACAAAGATTGTGAGGGCCAGTATGAAAATGATGATGGATGCCCTACCAAGAACTGCAATTACTTTCCTCACTACATGCTGACCGGCAAAGGCAGCAACAGTGGCAACTAAGACAAAATACGTGGCTGCAACAGGCAGTGTAAATGAGAATTTCATCCATGGAGTTGTAAAAAATTCATCCTTAATCTTTAGTAAACTGTATTGTCTAGTTTAGTGTTTACCATATGGGACTGGAAAACGTTTTAGTATGTAGTATTGTACAACTGACATGGATGATGAAAATGTCATTGCAAACGTTGATGTTGCGCTTGCTACCTGCGAAATTTGTGCATGTAAGTGTGACCACTTGAGGTTGGAAATTTGGTGTTAGGAAAGAAGTAACTCAATCCTGCATCATGGAACAACTAAAAGGGTACCTGTGGAGGAATTCCCAGTTCCAGAAATAGGGGTCCCAACACAAATCCACCTCCTAAGCCAAGTAATCCTCCGACTATACCAGCTAATATGCCAAAGCAGCAATAGAGAACAATCGAATGTGGTTTCCAATTGGTTACATCTTTTCCTTTTGATGTGATAGTCCTGGTTCCTTTGTATAAACAGATTCCTTCATAAACGGAAACTGAAGCTGCAATTGGCACCTGAAGACAATGTAAAAAGCTGAGATTTTGCTCATAACACGCAGGTGATTGTTGTCAGTTGGTAACACTAAAATAAAGGGTCTCGGTTATGAGTGGCTGACTGCCACTTTGTTCAAGATTGATCTGAATAAGTACCATAAGTAAAGTTCTTCATCTGAAAATGATGCAGAGTATGTCATCTTTTCAGATCCGCAGTTGTACATTCAAGTTTTTATACTGTTGGAAAGTTCTGATAGTTTAGTTTTGTAATACCTGCAAGAAGTTCAGAGCCCAGTATCGGAAGGAGCATGTTTCTGTGTATGTCTGCAAGGAGATTTTAATGACATGAGTCCTCTGATATGATCTTCGAATACACATAACTTCTTGAAAACAATGGAAGGGAAAAATATTAAACCTCAGCTCTTCAAAACACACTTTACTAGATTGTGATGATATTAGATTTGCTGCATTAAAGTAAATACCTTTACAATTTGAATAGCCAGGAATGCAAACCACACGAATGTTAACAATGATAGCTCTTTCCAGTAGATGTTATACAGAAGGGGTACCTGAATGCATAATCTCAGCCATTCAGTTCAAGACTAAAGATAAAACTATTTTACTACATGCTTTTAAGGTATCTCTAAACAAACCAAGATATGAAGATAGTTTGGAACTTGAAGCCTTTAAGGTTCCAACTTACAGTTTCATCTGTTGCAGGCTGTGGACCACTTGGTAGGGGCTTGTAGTCACCTCCAGAATTATCTGTAGAACATGCAATAATTTTTTTATTCAGATTACATAAACTTGCTAAAATTACAACTTACACTTCTTTATTTTCATATTGGCGTTATGGCCAAAAGCCTGAAAGGCTGAAGTGATAACATTGACATCCCCTAAAACTTGCTTGCGGGGTTGCTTTGTTGCTTAGCCAGGTAGCCTATCTTACTTATTGGTTTTATTCTGGAAATTGATTTGGGCTCAAATACTGTGTACCTAAATGAATCAAGAGGATTCCTTAATGAGGAGTTTCATGCATACTACCTTCTGGTTTGGACTCTGGTTCCACTGTCATTGATGCTTCCTGAGATGATAAATCATGATAAAAAAAAAATTACAAATGCAAATCAAAATATTAAGAGTTTGTGAATGCTATTAAAGAAGTCAAACTCTGACCTTCTTCATTTTACTTTCCTTCTTCCATGTTTCAACTCCTTTATAGAATGCTTTGGTTGATGTACCTGTATCAATAGGAGGAGAATGTCTAACTTGAAGAAAACAAAATTTGAAGGATATAAATTTGCTGCATTATCACTGCCAGGATTTAGGCTTAGGTGCAATCAAATTGAAATTAACCTTACCAACGAATAGGATGATGAGCAGCACTGTTACCATCCAATCAGCCAATATGACATTGAGAACCACCCCAACGCTGATTCCCAGCATAAGCATGGGTTGAATTAGCAAGGCTAGATCGTAGTCTATTATAGGAACGTCTAATGTTGGATGCCTCAATCTCAAATTGTAGTAAACTGTTGATCCGGCTGCCCCCATTATCATACCTGTATGACAGACTTGAACCATTGAGACAAAGAAAGAAGATAATTCTGGTTTGGGGGTCAAGATTTCCAGAGCCAAAAGATTTACTAGTTCAACTTTTGTCTGAAAAAACAGATACTCATTGAAGATAAGAAGATTCTAACATTTCGAAATGGCTGTTGATGACTTTGGATCAAAACCAATTATTAAGGAGAGCATTGGAACAAAAATCCCGCCTCCTCCCACTCCTCCAACACTTCCTAAAGCTGCTCCAAGAAATCCAACTATTGTTCCTAGCACAATTTTCCAGCCAAATTCCATTTCCTGTGTACATTGAAAAGTAAGCTCAGAAAAGCATGAAAAACACTTGCATGATCAATCAGAGATAGGTGTTTTCAAAATGTATTGTTGTTGTTGATGAAGTTATGAAGATTTCTGGAGTAATAGCAAGATGATGAAATACATTTACGCTTATGATAAGCTGATCAGATGGTTAAGTCAGTTAGCATCAACTTACTGGCCAGACATGTTGGTAAGAAGATTTTCCTTTTTGCCAGAAGAAATGAAGCACTCGAACTAGGAAACCTTGTCTCATCTCCTTCTCCACAATATGCCCTGGCTCAATGGTTTTGAGGAGTCTTTCTGCGCTGCCTATATCAGTACTTGTAAACAAAATCCAGCAACAAAACCATAATGCTGGTACTATTAATGCCTTTATTCTCTGATTCATCTCTAAAACCCTGCCTCCTCCTGCAGCCATTTGTGAAAGTATGACTTTGTTTTTCTTTCTGCTTTGGAGTCTGGTTTGATTTACTCTATTCTGCTGTGCTACTCTTCATGCAGATGAAGGCTAGAACTGATCGATGAAAGAGGAATGAGAAAGTTAAGAAGCAGGTGGTCTTACTGTATGCCCTCCTTATTTAGTCTTACTGTTTTTCTCGATAGAGAACGCCTATTTATGTAGAAATGTATTGAATGTCATTTGTCTAGTTCGTACCTTTGGAATACCTTTGTATTGGAGTATGACTAATGGCATTCCAGATGGTAGCAATATACTATTTTTTTTGTGAAAATGAGCAATATACTATTTTTTTTGTGAAAATGAGCAATATACTATTATTTGTGTGGTAAAAACGACTAATACAGATTTTTATGTTCAGTAGTTCGATCATTTTCATTTTGTTTTGTCCAGACTTATCATTTTGACCCTGTAATTTAATAAAGCGACCAAGTACGTGACCCAATGAAATATAGTAAAAAGTGATAGCAGGCATGCAAAAATGAATTTGAATAAGCAAACAGTTTATATAGGTGGAAATATAAACAACTTAACTATGGCATGGGCATACAACAATTTTGTTGAGAGGGATTTGTCTATCAGATCAACTTGCTCAACTCAATTCCAGATTAGTTGGCGGTTTTGGACGTTAAGTGTGAAATAAAATGTATTAAGAAAAGGGGGAAAAAGAAATGGATTTGGAAGTTGTACCATCATTGGTTGAATCGTAAAACAAAATAAAATAAAAATTTAAAAAAAATCAATATTAGTTAGTTCCAAGATTACTGTAATTTACCAGATTAGTGTTTTCCCCTTCATCCAGTGGGAATATATGGAGTACGGAGTACGGATGAAATTGAAACCAGCTTCTGAACTGATTATTTGGTTGTCACTTTTCCCCCTCTGTACAAGAGACCAAACTAGAGCATACACGATTTACCTAAATTCCAAAAGTTTTTCACCATTTTACTGCAAACGCTACGAGTGGGAAACTTCGGGGAAACAGTCAAAATCTAAGTGAACTCACGATTTTTTCCATTCTGGCGTTCAATCTTTAATGCCATTGTTTTTAGTCATCCAGTTTGTTGACAAAGAAAACCTAGTTGAAGAAGATGGAAAATGTTGTCTTCTCCTCCAAAATCTTCCCTGTCCAGTTGCGTGATTAACCTCTGATAGCGCATACATACGACACATAAAAGAGGAAAAACAATAAAGGGTTGAATATCTGAGAAAGCGACAAGTTTTTAGTGGAAGGTGCCTTTAGTGGCTGTTATCGAAATGATCATGAACAACACTCCTCTTTTTCTTTTCAGTACTACTAACCCCGTGTTTTTCTTACTAAACTGACTACATAAGCTTTGAAAACTAGACCTGTTTTGGGGTTTATTAGAACGCCCACATAAATGCATAAAATAACAATGATTCTCCCCGGCAAGAAGCTTCCACTTATATTGCTAGAAACCGACAGGATCCCGGTCACGCACGGAGGCCATTAATAAAGTTATAAAGGCGTTAGTTTGGGTGATTGCATACACAATTAAACAACGTAAGATGAGCATCATTGGGTGTAACTTAGTAGTATAAAGGTGGGAAAGAAAAAAAAAAAAAACATAGACAACAAAAAGATGTTTACTGCGAAACTTCCCCGACTTTGTAGAAGGCACTCCCTTCTCCACTATATGTACACAGAGTACTCACCAAAGAATCTCATGGAGATGACTGGTTAGAACCACTGGGACACTAGAACGTTCTTTCATTTTTTAGGAATGATTTACTTGCAATGCATTTTGCATATGCAACTAAGAGCTTTTTCTTCGTATTTATTTATTCTTCAAGGATCGAATTGATATCAGAAAACGTCCAGCGTGTATTTCTATTTCTCATTACCCAGGAAAAACAGTTGCCGTTGCTCCATTCTCTTGGAATCAAGTTATAGGTGACATGCGTGATTAGAAGTATCCCTAATCATCATCAGTGCAACTCAAAAGAGCTTGCAAAACGAACATATTTTGTTTTCAAAAAAAAAAAAAAAACACACACACACACATAATATTCATTCAAAAAACGACCAGTGCGAAACTACAGACCAAATTTCACCTATAAAGCATAGCGTAGCTTAGTAACATTCAAAGATTCACGACTAAATTAAAACTGCATCACAAAGTATATAAGACCAACCCCCCACCAAATGAACACACCAGTTTAGCTCAATCAAGGGATTCAACAACCTGGGCAAAATTATCTGGACTAAACAAGAGAAAATTACAACTGTAACAGCTTACTACATGTTTTATCTTTTAAGAAAAGAAGAATCCAGATACCATCATAGACTCTCAATGACTAATACTCGCGTGAATGTGACCTATCTGATCGCTGGTAACCCCGATCCTTGTCTCGTGGCTCAGCTGCTGCTTGTTCATAGCCGTAATTATCTTCATCCATGCGGTCATACCTATCGTCATACCGATCATTGTCTTTGTAGCGGTCATCATCACCCTGGACGTCGGCATTATCATGCCCCTTGCCTTTATAGTGATCATAGTAGTCATAGTGTCCATGTTCATGCTCCCCTTCTGCACGCTTGTGCTTACGTTCAGATTGCTCATACCATCCGTGATTATCCTCCCCTTCCACCAGATCATAATTTCTTTCTTTTTCACCTTGGCGATCACGATCATGCTTAGAGTCAACCTTATCATACTCAACATCTCTATCACGAGAGCGCCCACGATCATGGTCAACATCCTCAGCTTCATAGTCACGATCTCTGTCCCTACCTCGCTCCCGATGGCGATCACGAGATCTTTCACGATCACGGTCATAGTCACGACCTCGGTCACGACCACGCTCACGATCCCGTGTTCGCTCACGATCACGATCACGACCACGGTCTCTCTTCTCCTCCCTATCTCTATTTCTATCGCGGTCTCTGTGGTGCCTATCTTCTCTATGCTCACGATCTCTGGTTCTATCTTGTGAGCGCTCCCGAGACTTCTCTCTTTCTCTTTCCCTCTCCCTAACTCTTTCGCGGGACTTTTCCCTATCCCTGCAACAGCAACATTAAAAAAACAATTATTCATAGTGCGCTGGTGCAGAATCTCGTAGGAAACCACACTATTTTACTCAACTAGTTGTTGGCTTTTCAAGGGCAAAAGTGACAGTTAAAAAAATCATAAAAGTAAATACGAAACTATTAATTATCTTACCGGTCTCGATCATCCCGTACTCTTGGCTCCTCAGATCGCGATGCTCCTCCAGATTGTACTTGCTCTCTGAAATAAAAATAAAAAAAACTTCACTTAATATATCTCATTTTAGGTAAATAAAATGAGAAAACTACACGGTAACAAATGCAAACTACAACAATTTTGACACCGGCTGCTTGTATCATCAAAACCACGGGATCATCCATCCTAAATCTGTTATCGCATACCAAAAGCATAAAAGCACATTTTATTCATCAAAGAGTTCTTTCTCAATGGAAGGAAAGAAGCAATATGACAATCACATTCTAAACTCGAAATTCCAGACATGCAGACCATATCCGGACAAAAATACCAAACATGAAATCAAAAGTAGTACACTTAACTAGGAGACTTTTGCATTAAGAGTGACCAAAAGGAGTAAAATTAAGGGCAAAATATTTTGAAATATGGAACACATTCATGTACTACACTACAAATACTGGGGTTCAAAGAACAGATGTACTGGTACATCTGATGTTAAGTTAGCTACTCTGCTTTTCCCTTCTAAGAACTAATCAAACCATACCTGCCTCTTAATATACATCCCTATGTATATTCCATTTTCCACTGGTTTCCACCCAAACAGAAAGCTCATGATTACCATTACTCTCTGATATAATTAAGATTTAAAGTATTGGAGCAACTAGCACTTACCTCCCAGAACTCCTCTGATTCACATCTTCACCACCAACCCTAGTTGTTCCAAGGCCTCCACCAAGTCTACGAGGTCGCCAATTTGGGACTGTTCTACCACGTTCAACATCTACAAGAACCCTGCGGTTATCAATCTTCTTCCCATCAGCTTGCTTATATGCAGCTGCATGCAACAAATATGTTAGCGGAAAAAATAGTGATTGTCAACAAGAAGCTACAATCACATTAATGAAACGTATGGAGACGAACCTTTCATATCACGCGTATGAAGATACTCAATAAAAGCATAGCCTCTTGGTTTATTGGACTCATTATCAGTGACCAAACGCACCTGCAAAAAAAAAAGGACATTGGCAAATCAGCTGTCACTAAAGAACAAGATTCCAACTTTCACAAGTACAGGTATATCTCAAATCTATTTATCTACTTTATGCAACAGCACAAGTTATAGTATCCTAATGGCACGGCAAACAGGCACTATGCCTCAAAGCCGTGCTCACCTTTTAATCACAAGCTTCCCAGGGAAGATGCATCACCATCACAGCCAGAGTTGCATAATGATCGAGAACAATTACCAGTGGCAAGACATACTATCCTCCCCTTACCAGGGATATTTTAAATGACAAAGTAATCATAAGTAATATAAAATACCGGGATATCTTCTGAACGGCTGAAAGGTTTTTGATAGCCTTAAAATCCAAAAATAAGACTTTAGTAACAAAACAGTCATGTTCAAGTGTAAACAAGAGGAAAGAGATGACTATACTCCCTACAAATTTTACCCAGTGTAGGATTAAGTAGTCAGTCTCCATTTGTTGCCTTCAAACAAGGGCCAAAAGGCACAAATCCATCACTGCCATGCTCACAGGATGAAGCACCATCTTATGAATTAAGATGGACAGTGGAGGGAGTGAATGAACCAAATTACCCTGAATAGCAATCCCCCCTTACCAGGGTTACAACTCAAAACACCTTTAAAACCCTTTATACTAGATCATTACCCCCACTATCAAGGCCATTTAACAGGGAAAAACTCAAGAGAGGAACAGAAGGATGAGGGAGACAAACCTACTTGATATTTAGATACCTGGGTGATAACTCCAACCATGATGATCACACCAACCATTACTCACCACAGTACACAGAAGCTAATTTGATCATCAACCAATACTAAACAAAGTAAAACAACAGCTAATTGAACGGCCTTTAAATCTAACAAATTTTCACTTGCTCTTAGAAGGAGTATTAATGGTGCTAAATTTTAGTTATAAAATTATACAATTACTATTAATTACTAAATAGATTTTACCAGCACTCAAATATTCAACAGAGATAGCAAAAGGTCAGTAGACAAAAAACAAAAGCTTTTGGGAGTATAGTAAGTGCAAAATCTATAAGGTATACACTACTACTTTCTACAATAAAAGCTAAACTTAAAGCTCAGTCAAAATTAAAGCCAAATTTTGCAAAAATCTTATAGATGTTAGAAATTGAATTACTGAATTCTTGATTTATCCATTTAGACTTTGCAACCTCCATAACAAAAACTCTTTCAAAATTTTACCTAAAATATGGAGCAACATTAATTTAAAAAAAAAAATATCAGCACTATGTTTTTTCAGACACTGGTTAGCAATTTATTCTTAGGCCTTTTGAACTTAAGGGGAATGGGATTATGGGGTTAACTCGAGGCAAAGGGTATTAAGAATGCTGTTCACCGTTAAAGTGAACTTCTTACCGAACCAAAGGCAAAAAAACCTGAGCCCAGATTGGATGCTCAGAAATACCTACCCGCTTGATTGGCCCATAAGCATCAAACTCCCTTTTGATTCGGCTCTCAGTTGTCTCATAATTCTGCAGCAAAAAATAAAAATAACGTCAAACTCATAAAACAATCAGTAGTCGTAAATTGAATAATCATTCAAACTAGCAATATATCACTTACAAGCCGAGCTACAAACAATGTCTTGTACGGATCACCAGATATATCAGGGTCATTGTTTGGGTCATCTGCATGAAGGATAGACAAGTTAAACACCACAAGAGGGATGTCATCCATTCACTCAGCCTAATAAAGATTAGAAAGGGTGGGGCGAAAAAGAAGCCTTACATTTCTCGAGTTCTTCAGCAGCTTTTTTTGCACCTTCTTCTAGCCGTAGCTGGTGAATGCGAGCCCTTCTCTCTACCTGTTTTCCCATAATAATCAATAAGTAAACATATAACCTACTTGCAGATACGGGCTTCCCTTTACATGAGCAGTTTCAACATTCAAATTGCCTAAAAGTGAAGATATAGGCAACATGGCACAGCAAGCCAACAGGAAATATTACATCATACAAAGCTCAAAGTTGCATCTAATTAGTTTGAGGAAAGTCACCCGTCACTCGTATTCCACCTCAAACATAATATCTAGTAAAAGGAAGCCAAGCCTGGAGGCAGCATTCTTAACAACAACCCTCTATTGATGAAACAGATTACATGTGAAACTGACAGCAACAAGTTTTAAAGTTTATTAACTGCAAATGCAAGAATTATTAAGAGAAATCAGGCACAGAAACTATTCAAAGAACTGTTGACGATACAATACAATCTCTAAAGTTGCAGTTCATCTATGTCAAGACAAGACAAGATTCCGCTGAAAACCCCCTTTTCATGCAATGATTCACAAAACCATTAAAAATTTTCTTTGAGATTCAATTATCAGGTTAAATAAAAAGAAAAACATATAATATCATGCAAGAAGCAGAGCAGAAACAGTTCAATGAAAACAGACGTTGGCAAAGCTCAAATCCCTAAAGAACAAAGGATTGCTGGTGAAAATAAAAATTTATGTGGCAAAGCTCAAATCCCTAAAGAACAACGGATTGCTGATGAAAATAAAAATCTATGTGTAAATCAAATCTTCTACATGAGCAAACTTAACATCAGAATGACAGGTATAAAATCTTCATAGAATAAGAAATCTTACCGGAGTTTCACCCTTCTGAACAGGTGGAGCATATTCAGGATCTCCAGGCTCAGCAAATTTACTAACAAACTGCGCCATACCTGAAAAATCATACAAGCATGTAAGATATTGACAGACGACTGGTATAAACTTTTACAGTTCTAAGAGGTTTACACACAGATGGAGTATAGTTTTACAGTTATCAGCTGAACATTTACCTGTATATGGAGGGCACTTTCTCTTCTCGGGAGGTGGCTTAAATTCCAGAGGCGGCCGCGGCTCAAACAGCTTTAAAAGATTCGTCGTCAATCCAGTTGGATGACTCTGACCAATCTGCAAACCATAAAACGAGGCAAGAATCAGAAATCTACCCGAAATCCCATCAGCTAATCAAACCTAGCCAAAGCTAAGTAATCCAACCTAGATTTAGCAGAAATCAGCATTAAACCGTAAACCGTAACAAACACGAAGAAACAAAAAGGAGAAAAACGCAGTGAGGCAAAGAAGTAGGGTTTCGAGAAAGCACCAGCTTGAGTTGCATGACATTGGCCCGGTTCTGCGCCTTCGTACGAGCCTGAACGGCGGCGTTTTGATTGCGCAACAGCGCGTCGTTATAGTCTCCCATGGTCGGAGGAGATTACTCGACGTCCCTGCTAGGGTTTTTACCAGAGACTGAGAATCAAAATCGGCGATGAAATTTGGGGGACTGGGTTTTGAGATCTCACGAAACCACAGTAGGGGGTCAGGGTGTTCTCGATGGCCGAGCTGAAAGCGGCAACATTGGCTCTCTGGTGTGGGAAGAAAGGGCTTCGGTGCTTATATATTACTGTCGTTTCATCATTCTCACGTTGGTTACGCTTTAATCCTGGGATTGCGCTTCTATTTATTTTACTTCTTTCTTTTTTTCCAAATTCGTAAAAGTGAGAAGAAAATGATTTTCTTTTGGGAAAATTCCTATTAAGGGTGCTATAAATTTTGAATTTTTTAAATAGGGTGTAAAATTTTTAAAATTCCTTTAAAGGATGTAATAATATTTTTATTCATTAATTATTTTGTTGGTGACAATTGTACCCTTTATTTAATGAAAAACAGGTAAACAATTATACCATTTATTTAATGAAGAACAATAAAATTTATACTCTTAAAAAAAAAGTTAGTAACTTAGAAGCCATGTTTTGGGTTTGCAAACCTAAATAAAAAAAAAATTCATGACCAAAATAGGATCAAAGTCTATAATTAATATAATTCGATCAAAATCTCTAAATAAAATGAAAAACCTTAAATTCTAAATTGTATTGCTGTTGACCTAAAATCTCCAAAAGGAAAAAAACAATTTGACCCGAAATTGTTATTTCAAGAAGAAAAAAATTTCCTTATGAAAATGAAATAGCCTAGGCAACTACAGATTGAACATTGACGGGGAGGGGAAAAAATAAAAACTGTGATCATTAAAACGATAAAGCAAAGAGAAAAAAATCATTTAGCATAATGAAGATTTGGTTAAAAAAAAATTCCATGGAAGATTATGTAATTGGAAAAAGAAAACTTTCCTTTTTAATAAAGTAAAAGAAAGTATAAATATCATTAATAGCTATATTAAGTAGAGGGTGTATTTGTCACACACTAAATATTTAATGGATAAAGTCAATATTACGTCCTTGAGAAAAACTTTAAAAATTTTACACCCTCTTTAGGAATTTTGAAACATACAAAGTCCTTAATAAGAATTTTTTCCTTTTCTTTTTTGGGAAAAGATTTTATTAGAAAACCAAAACGAAAGATTTTATTTTTTTTAATACATTATATGTATTATGAATACTAAAAAAATTATATTAATCATGAAAAAAATCCCCCAAAAAAAGAAAATGTAAACAATGATCCCGTCCTATTAAACCTAAAAATTAGTTTTACCAAACTCCTCTCTCTTTTAGTTTTTTTTTTTTTCCTCATCCTCAAAACTTAAATTACCCATCCATTTTTTTAAAAGAAAAAAAAAACACAATAGTAATTGATATACAAGTCTAAGGGTGGGCACGTTTAACCGTGAGAACTGCCCAAACCAAACTGCATCTGAACCGTTTGATTTGTTTCAAAACGGTTTTTGGTTTGGTCTTTTATCCAAACCGCTTTCAAGAAGAGGTGAATAATTCGGTTATCGAATTATACTTTTATTTCGATTAATCAGACCGAAATCTGTGGTTTGGTTCGGTTTGGTGCAGTTAACCTAATAACCGCACATAATATATATATATATATAACATAATTTGGATATAAATAAATTTGTATCTTAATTTTATACATTTGATATTACCAATATAATAATTTATTGAATATCATATACAATAAACCACTCGGCATGCCATCTATAACTGAATGTGACATCGCATAAAATTGAATCAAAACATTTCTCTTAGTTTAATGTAATTTTGAGTATTAATCTCTTAGATTGTGTCTTTTCGATTTAACACATACATATTATATTTATTATTAATGTTTGTTAACGAGTCATAAACAAATCCTAACCCTAATGGGTTTGGGCCGGCTACCTTGGAGGCTAAGTCACCGCCTAAATCTATTGCGACTAGATTTAAGGAAACAGGTAATACTACCTCTATATATAGAAGTGGTGCCTCTCCCATAATTCACATCTTATTCACCTTCTACACACGATACACACACTTCTCTCTCTACTCTCTCTTTATTGGCTTAAGCATCGGAGAGTCTACCATCGGGAGACACCCGAGGCTCTATCTTGCAGGTTTTAGGTCGTCTGCCACAGCCAAGATCATCGCCGCCGCCTGTCCTAAAGCACCGTGCAGATCCATGCTTCCTCAAGTGGCACGCGCTGGTGGGACCGATTTGTTTGGTCTTCACAACCGAATAAATTTATTAGCAAAGTACGGAATCTTTTGTATCTTTGGACAGTCACGGTGTTAATACGTTGCTCCAATTTTGCAACTAGAAAATCACGCAAAAAAATTTACTTTGTTTGGCTAAGAAGACGTCAGCCGACAAGTAGCACAAAGAATCTTTCGGTTGCACAAAGAATTCGAGGAGCTGCACTTGCTCCACTGCTGATCGAGAAGAACAGTCCATGGAGTTCAAAATCCGTCAAAAGAGGCAAAATATTCAGCCAAGAACAATTCTTCAATTTGAGAATTGCCACTTAATCCCTAGATTTTAATTATTTGGTCCCTAAAGATTTTAAAATTTTGCTGATTAGTAAGGGGCAATCTCGAAGATTGGAGTTTCGAGAGATACATCTTCTCGAAGGGGCAACCATCCCTCGAGCACCATGCTATTATTCAAAGTATTCGAGAAGATGTATCTCGACTTTTATCTACTCAACTACTACCTTCTCGGAATCGATGTAACATCTTCTCGAATAATCGATTTATCTCGAAATCAAGGTACTTCTCAAACCTTGTCAATATTATATGCTTCTTGAACATAAGTTCGTATATCACTGACATCGTAATTCTTGCCATAAACATATTATTCATGTCATATGAAAATATCTTTTTGAGCACGTCAAAGGAGTTCTTCAAATTACCAACCCTATCGCGATAAAACTCTATCACCCTTCAACGAGAAAAACGTACTCGGGGGCACAAACTAGGATATACTCTAAGGGCAAGGAATTTGAAGGATCATCCTAACATTCTCTGCTTGAACTAATATTCTTTACGAGTATCTTATTACTATATGTCATTCCATTATGATTATTATTGCAATATCTTTGTCAAGTTTAATCGCAGAATCTACAAGCTCAAGCCACTCGAGTTTTATCTTATAGAAGTCCTTATGCACCATGTTCCTCAGAGAAGACCACCACCTATCGACTATTGTCCTTCCCAGGACCTCCTTCTATCGATCATTGTCTTCTCAAGAACCCTTCTCCAGTGACTACTCATCCATTCGAGGACCGTCCTCTCACGGACCATTGTCTCTCATAGAGACCGTCTTTTGATAGACCATTGTCCTCCCGAAAATCGTTCTTTGAAAAAACCTTCCATTGTCGACCATTGTCCTTCCGAGGACCACCCCTTGTCGACCTTTGTCTTTCTAAGGACCCCGTCATCATCGACCCTTGTCCCTTCCAGGACCTTCTTCTGTCGACCATCACCCTTTTGTTCATCTTGCAGGAACATCGTGTTCGAGAACTAGGGCAACATTAAAGAAGTCGAGAAGTCATCAACACTCCAGCCTCGTACTTATAGTAACCCATATTCTTCTCATCAAGTCTTGAGAATGTGGCTTGTTAGGGGCACTTGACGAGTTATAAATAAACCATAACCGTATTGGCTTTAGGTTGGCTATTTTGGAGGCTAAGTCACTGCCTAAACCTATTACGCCTAGTTTTAAGGAAACAGATAATATCGCCTCTATATAAAGAGGCCTCTCTCATAATTCACATCTTCTACACCTTCTACACACGATACACATATTTCTCTCTCTATTCTCTCTTTATTGACTTAAGTATCAGAGAGTCTACCATCGGGAGACACCCGAGGCTCTATCTTGCAGGTTTTAGGCCGTCTGCCGCCGCCTTTCCTAAGACACCGTGTAGATCCATGCTTCGTCATTTATTAAATTTATTTTAGCTCTTAGATATTTGTTGAAATGTTTTTTTCCTTTTTTCCCCCTATTTAAATTACATTATGATAGTGTCATGAAAGATTTCAATTAGAAATAATCTAATTAGTGTAATTGAAAATTCAAATGGTCACCAACCGAAAAAACCGAAATCATTTTGGTTTTTTGGTTTTGGTCGATCGTTCTACTCGATTCGAATTTCAGTCGGTCAAATTTCTCATGAAAAAAAAATAAAAAATCTGATTTACCTGCGCCGAAAACCTCAATCACCGAACCGTGCCCACCCATATCTTATCACCTCAACTTCTTCTAAAATTAATTATGCCTTTCATACAAAAATAATGATATATTTATAAAATGATACCATTCAAGTCTGTTTTTGTGATTATTGATCGAAATTTATTATGCGTTAAAAATCCAAAATAATATTATCTAAACAATTTTTATACAGCTAACAGATTGGAAGGGGTGAAGGGGGAAAAGATCATCATTGAAAGACACATGAATATCGAACAAAACATACTAAGATATGTCTACAATCTTGACTTGAAATTACAAAAGATATATACCAAATGTAATTTGTCTTCGTCCTTAATCTTAATTGGTTTATTGCATTTTCTTCCTCTTCTTTCCTCTCTTTTTTTTTGTTTACAATGGGACCGAAGAAGGAATGGATGAGAGTCAAAAACAGACCAGGCAGGTGCCATGGAATATGGGCAAAAACAAAAAATAAAAAAACGGCTATTGCCTACAATCCTGAAGCCAACCATGGCTCTCATCATTATGTTGTAACATATGAATCTACTATATTTATATTTTGGATCAGAGGTAACATTACAGTACTACTGATCATCATAATGAGCAGATTATCAACGAATTATCGAATCCTTTTGGGTTCTGCCTTCTCTCAATCAAGAGCTGCATGAATTCTCCAGGTAAGCATGGGGAAAATTAGAAAAAATTAAAAGAGTTATTTTTTTGTTGTTTGAATGAAACATGATCACAGTAACGAATGAATGCATTGCATTCATGGTTATGATGTATCAAGCTGGTTTCCTTTTCTTCTTTAGAGTTTTCAGGTTGTTAGCTTCTTAAATCTTGTGCTTCTGTTGATCCGAGGTAAGAGATTCTCTGGAATCGCTGCTTGAAGATGATGGATTCAGACCAAATTCACTCGTCGTTGCCCCGAATTCGCTGCTGTTATCAGGGTTATCCATTACCATCTGCCTGAATTTTGACATATCAGCATTGTACATTCCAGTGTCATAAGTCTGCGTGTCACCACTGCTTGACATAAAGCCACTGCTTCGTGCTTGCTTATTTGTATCGTTCAAGTCCTCCAGCGACGAATCTCCTTCCAGTGCACGGACAATCTGTTTTCAACTTCACTCTTTAGCTCATCACAACAATTAAGTTCTCTTACAAGTTTACAGTGTTTTAATTCATATAGCACACAAGAAACCAAGACTAAATGTTAAAAGATATTCTTGTCAACTGATGCATCTTTCATACGATGACTTCTTTCACCAATATGAGAGAATCTGTAGAAATGTGTACCTGGCTCATTTTGGGGCGTCTTCTTGCAGAATGACGGATACTAGCAGAAGCACTGGCTATCATTCGAGCCATTTCATGATGTTCATATTTTCCTTCTAAGCGCGGATCTGCTATTTCACTGTAGTCACCATCTTCCAATGCTTTTGTTAAAATTGGTCTAGCCTGTTTCAAAATTTCCAGAAGGGTTGCAATTTTCACTAACCAAGCTAAGGCGAAAACATTTGATTACGAAACAGAATGGTCACTAGGCAAAACATTTTTCATACCCAATCCACCAAACTGTCTTCCATATATCTATCGTTGGGATCAACAGGTCTTCTCCCCGTTATGAGCTCTAAGAGCATGACCCCAAATGAGAAAACATCTGATTTCTCTGACAGTTTACCACTTGATGCATACTCCGGAGCCAAATACCTGCAATCATACAGGAATTCAGGATCATTAAAAAGCCATTCTACACGTCTATTCTGTTTTTTTTCTGCAGATAATCACTTCCCTAGCTGGAACTGAAATTTTTCAGTCTTAACAGTTCTTTAAACATGGTAGGTTACAGCAAGTATCTACAAATCTTCCAAGTTTTCCCAATTAATGAAGGCATTGAATGTATGAATTCAAAGTTCAGTATGACTGACCCGAAAGTTCCCATAACCCGAGTAGAGACATGAGTGTAGTTGTCAGAAGAGAGTTTGGCCAATCCAAAATCTGCCACCTGAGTAAGATTTATAAATTGTGCCATAAATCATACCGCTGTATATGTAGGTTTCACAGACAGAATTTTAAGGTTATACTAAGTCCAAGTGAATCAGTACCATGGCTTCATACTTGTCATCAAGTAGAATATTGGCTGCCTTAATGTCTCTGTGGATAATCTTAGGATGGCCTGCATGCATAAAAAGGAAGCATCAAATACTTGTGACAATAAGAAAAGTGGAAGACTTAAAAGGAGAAAAAAAGTGAAGAATCGCGTACAATCTTCATGAAGGTAAGCAAGCCCCTTGGCTGATCCCAAAGCAATACGAACTCTAAATTCCCATTCCATGACAGGCTGACCCTTTCCTGTAGCCATCATATTAAGTTAGTTTAAGGCCTCAAAGAAGAAATTCCAAACATTTTTAACAGATAGAACTCATCACATGAAAATTAGTAGAAGCTTTTGTGCAAATCTGAGTTGCAAAGAAGTATACCATGAAGGTGGAATTCCAAAGTCTTATTGGGCACAAATTCATAGACCAACATCCTCTGCCCATCAGCGATACAATAGCCAACAAGTGATACAAGATGTCGATGGTGGACACGGCTAATAATGTCAACCTCGGCCTGGAATTCTCTTTCGCCTTGCCCGCTCCCAGTCTTCAAGCTCTTCACAGCCACTGTCCTTCCATCAGACAGAACTCCTTTGTGTACATACCCAAATCCACCTTGCCCCAACAAATTAGCCTGCGAGAATCCACCCGTGGCGGCCGCAAGCTCCTCATACCTGAACTGGCTCTGGTTAAATCCTCCCATTCCCATATTTGGTGACACCTGGTTAAGGCCTGAGTAACCTGAGCTGAATTCACTGCTACCATTTACCTGAGGGGTAGTACCCCATGCAGTACCAGGAGTTGCAGGTGTACCCATTACCCCTGGTGGTGGTGCAAGCTTAACAACATGGTCCATTGGATTAGGGCTGTTCCAGTTGTTGGTGCCATTATAGTATGGCTCATTACCTATATAAGGATAAAAGCATCAAGTCCTATAATAACCTACAATCCTTTAATTATAGGGACAAACTCAAGAAACAAAAAATCAAGAACAAACCTTTAGGAGTACGTCCCGGATCCATATAGTATGCTTGTTTCTTCTTTTTCTTGGAACATAGTAACCAAATGGCAACAAAAGCAATGAGAACAACACCGGCGATTACGACCCCAGCGATAAGGACGGTATTATTTGATGATGAAGAAGAAGAATTGGAAGGCGGTGGAGAACGTGAGCCGCCATCGGGAGTGGCAGGGGAGCCACCTGATGGGGTTCTACGTGGTTCGGACGGTGGAGGTAATGTTCTTCCAGGGGCACCGGGAACCGTTTGAGGTGGGGGCGGCGCAAAGATACCAGGGGTGGAGGGTGTCACCGGGGTACTATTAGCTTCCGGGGCGGGTGGGGATGGCGGAGGAGGCGATACGGATGGGGGTGAACCGCCGGCGGCCGATGGGGGTGGGGGTGAAGGTGACTTGGATCGACCGGAGGGAGGAGGGGAATTTGATGGGGTAGGTGGGGTCGTCGGAGAAGATTCGTCCGGCGGGGGAGGTGAGGAAGAAGGAGGAGGAGGAGAAGAGGGCGGCGGGGATTCTGGCGGGGAAGAAGCAGGGGTTTCTTCAGGGGAGGAGGAGATTCTTCTTGTTGAGGAGGTGGTGGAGATGACTCTTGTGGTGGTGGCGCTGATTCATCTGCCGGGGCTGGCGAGGCTTCCGTAGAAGCGCCACCTTCTTCCGCCGGCGGTGGGTCTATTGGAGAACCACTTGCATCTCTTTCAGGCGCTTGAACATCCATGTGAATGAATCCCGGCGAAGTCAGTCAAACGCTAAATACGCCAAACCAGCCGGAAAACTCAACCTTTCCCCCAACTTCTCTCCACGATAAACGACTAATCTGTTGCCCCTGAACCCAACATCAATATTCAAAATGAATCAAACCAACACATTCAATGAAACAATGGCCATCATCATTAACCTATCTTCTTTCATCACATTGCATGCAACATTAACAAATGAAATTCAACTTTTTGAAACAACATTCGAAGATAAACCAATTAGTACGGAATGTTCAGGTAAGATGCATGTTTGTTGACATCAATTACGCGAGTTGATCAAAGATTGAAACATGATGAGATGTGTACATGTAAAATCTTTTTTTGGTTAAGACTATAGAGATTGATGATGGAATTTAGAAAAGGAAAAAAAAAAAAAACAAACAAACCAACCTGAGAAAAAAAAAAAAATTCTGATTTGAAAGAATCTCAAAGGAAACGGAAAGGATGGTTGTTGTGTTGTATAATATCCATGTTTTGCAAAAGGATTACTCGGAAAGGTTCTTCCCACACAGTCCCTCCTTTGCCTCCTACAAACAAGGCAAAGACTAACGATACCAATAGCCTTTTTTCTTCTTCCCATTTTCTTCTCTCTCTCTCTCTCTCTCTCTTTTGTTTTCCCATTTTTCTTTTTTTGCCCTTTCGTTAATTACCTCAAATTTTTGGGACACCTTAATCAGTCTCGTTGTTCCTCTCTCACTTGATCATCTTCAACGACGACGATCCTTTGATAGTTTTCGCAACTATCATTTCTCTCCATTGATTGATTATTTTTCTTCTCATAATGTTGTTACATGATATCATCACTAACCGTTGACCGTTCGAAATTTGGGTCATACTGTGCTTTAAGAATCACGAGTTGCCAAATGGACAAAGGTTGGAGACATCGTTTACTTCAAATGAGGGGGGGGGGAAGAGCTGTCATTCTATTCAATCTCCGAATAAATAATGATTCAGAACTGGGAATTGAGGTTGTTCTGACTCTTGAAAAATGATGAAATTGTTTTCTTTCAAACGGGGGCCTCTGTTTTCACTTGTTTCAGAAAACCAAGCTCTGTTTCTCTTTGTTTTCCGCTAAAGATTTCAATTCGTAACAGGCGTTTTCAACACCAACCAACCCCGATACGAGCTTTTATTTGCTTGGGACACCTTATGTTTTTCGGAATTTGGAGGAAATTAGAAGTTTAAAAAACTGCCTCAAAGAATTTCAGATTAAAAACAAAAGTGTAAACAATAAAATAAAACCCAAAAACAAAAAAAAAAGAAAAAGAAAAAGAAAAAGAAGTTCAATATCATCAACCAAAAGATTGTACGAACGGCTCAAACATAATTATAAAATATACTAGGATGCAGGTTTCCTTTGACAAACTTAGATGCTAACCAAACTGTTCACATAAGGAACAAAACTCCTTTTCTCACTTCCACCAACAAGGTTCATGAGCTCCTTTGTAGTATGATCTCTCAAGCTCAACAAAGAGAGTTTATCGCCAACCTGAAATACCACCCCTTCTCCACATACAAAGACTACTTTCTGATGGGCAACGCTGACAACATAATCACTAACATTCTTTTTGTTCAACCTCTGAGCCCCATAGCCATAATAATCCATTGGCATCGCATTTGTGTGTGCATCCTCCATCACAGACAAGTATATTGAATTGCCATTGCTCCTAACCGAAGCAAGTTCACCGTTCACGTTTCCCAAAAGTCCATTACAATCAGAATGATAACCATGATGATGAGGTTGAAAAAAACATTTTGACCTATCCTTAACAGGATCATAAGAAAGAACATGGCCAGCGCCAAGACTCCAGTGGATGACATTGTTAACACAAACAGCTGTCGATGTAATTGGACGCAATCTTTTGAATAGAATTTCCCCTGCAATCTTCCAGGAGTTGTCCACTGAGTTATATATCTCAAATTCAGTACCATCCTCAAAATCATTGGAGCGAAAAGCACAAACGACTTTGTACTCAGGTATGAAATTCAGCAGTGACGGTTCAAAGAGAAGCGCAATGGCAGTACTAGACCCATGATCAGCATTTGGTTTTGGGAGTTTCTTCCACTGCTTAGTGGCAGGATTGCAGATATAGTAAGACTTCTGTGCGGAGGATGAAGATTGACAGCACAGCAGCCCATTAGACGAAGACCTGATTTCAACTGGCTCAGGCAAAAAACTCAGATGGGGGTCTGGCACACCACAGGATTTTGCATCAAAAGGGACTAAGAGTGGTGGTTCTCCAGAAGACTGACAAAACACGCCCACCACGGCGCAAGAACACTGGGACTGATTGTGGGCAAAGAATGGACTAGAAATCTGGAGTTTCCAGTCCCTGCAAACACTCTTGAACCTCATAAGCGACTTGGCCGGGAGGTAAACAAGGGCACATTCTCGTATAATGTCCTTCAGGTCCATGTAGATCTTATTGTTGGTCATACCAAGAAAATTCCCCTTCTTCTTCCCACGGTCCATGATCAGATAGCCAAATCAGTTTTGCCTGTTGAGATGCTAAAAGTTATAGAACCTAGTTAAATTTGGGCAGCAACATGCAATGCCAACAAGAACAAAAAAAAAAATGAATCTATTATCCCACATCCTACATCCATATTTCACTTTTCTTTATAAATTTCTGAACCAAAACCCAGAACAATATAGTAAAAGAAACTAATTGTCCAGACAAACTATAAATTGTGCAAACTGCAAACCTCGTGGGACAGACCAAAAAAGAGAACAAGCCGGAATAAGATTCACGAATATAGATGACCCGATTAGAAGGATCGTAAACGTATCACCCATATGAATGAAACTATAAGCCAAAGACTCGGCACAAACCCTAAACCCTAACCCGTCAGAATAGGGAACTTTCACGCGATGGAGATGAAAATCTCAATGGATTAGATAGAGAAATCAAATAAACATGACGCAGTAAGAAAATAATCAACCTAAGATCGTACTATGATCATCAACATCATATCAAAGTCAATCTCCCATGGATTTATAATCAAAATGAAATATGCAAATAGAGCCACAGTCTAGAAAAAAATTGACCTTAAACGACGCGTTGCGGAGTCGGAGCGCGGAGGGCGATGTAAAATCCCTAGTTGAATTGTTGGAGGTTCTGCTGCGGGGTAGATATCTATCTAATCACCCAGACTTGGATAGTTTCAGTCAGTATTTGAGTATTGACAAGCTCGTATTGTAGCGAGCATATAAATACGCCAAAGGCTCGAAGCCCTGTGCATTCGGTTTTATATTCGACTTTCCTATAAATTGTAGATACAGTCCGTAAAATACAATCTATCCTAGTCCCGCAAGAAAAAATATCTATCTTGGGAAAATTATGGAGTTACTCCTACTTTTTAATTATTGTCAATCTAAATTAATTGGATTAATTGTAAAAATCATCACATTACTTTTAATTGTGTCCTACCACTATTTCGGTTATGTAATATGATATTTTTTGGCCATTTAAATAAAAGTAATTTCGTCCATTATGAAATTGGACTGTTTTTTCTGGTAATTTTTTTTTTACAAAAATTAATTGATTAAACAATAAACTATTTCCGTGGTCAGCGAAAATGTAATAGTAGTTGCTTAATTGACTAATTGCACCTCAACAATGTGAATATCAAGAAATTATGTGGTGGTTCAAATTAAAACCATATCAGTCATAAAGTCAGAAATGTCAAATTTATTAGCGATTTAATGGTTTGCAATTTTTTCAACCAACACCAAACTGGCTTATGGTTCAGACGTAACACCTCGCTACTGGCTTACTCTAAAATAGAATTCTATCCAAATTTTAACTATATCAATGAAAATGTTGTCTTTATCCACGTAGAAATAATTTATATTGTAAATCATACTAAAAATAATACTACAAATCCCGCTCAGTATGGATTAAATTGCATTCAGGACACCGTGCGCAGTATGAAAAAAAATAAATAATACTACTAATCAACCTTTTTTAAAGTAGTATAGGAGGGAAAATCTCTCGCTAACATGTACTATGTTCAGTTGATGGCGGATAAAAACTCTGACCTCCAGTGTTTTAATCACGATTTTATTGTAAGCGATAATAAACATAACCAAGATAACCAATTAGAGATACCAATGCAGCAAAATACGTTTCTCTACAAATGTGTTTCAACTCAACAAACTAGTTAACTCCATAACAAATTAAAAAGCACATGAACATACTCGTGCAATATAGTCATTCTGTGCTCTCTATCTTATATTGCTGCGAATTAGTAATAACTGACATTACAGAATTTACAGAGTGGAACCGAAACGAGATTTATTTTCAGAATTGTACAGAAAGTTGTAGTGAATTTTGTGAGGACAACCAAAAAAAAAAAAAAATCAGCCGAAGCATTGATCAGATGGAAGAGGACCAGGAAGGGATCCCTGTTGAGCAAATTGCAGCCCGAAAACCACAACAATGGCGACAAGGGACAAGTAGGATAACCCTTCAACGGCTCCCAGCAACCCAAATGGCCCATTGGGAAGGCCCGAACCCGTTTTGGCCTTGGTGTATGCTGACCAACCCACAATCCCCACCACAGCAAGATAGCTCACTCCTTCCAGCGCACCAATGGATCCGCCCGGCCCGGGAGGGAGGCCGCAGCCGGTTGTCTTCAGAGTGTAAAGAGACCATCCGATTACCGGCGTCGATATTAATCCGGCGGCGATGGCTGCTTTTTCGACGATTCCGTTGCCGCTGTCTGCTTCATCCTTTGCCATTGATTGTACTCGAAGCGGCATGGATTGCCCAATTCGCCGGCATTGATAGCCGTAAAAATTGCCGGGGCGCCGTAGATGCGGCGGGAACGTGGTGATTGGTGTGGACAAGAGCAGCATCTTTGAAGATTGCATAGTTGTTCGATGAACACGAGATATTATGCTGCAGCGTTGTTGGAACGTCCAAAAGGAACGCTGACCTTATCCATCTGATAAGCTAGAAACACATGATCCTTATTCCCCCCCAATCCTGAGCGGTGAAAATATTCGGGGTTGGAGCGTGGTCATTCCCTATTTGACTAGTACTTGCATCCAGAACTTTTAAAGTAGAAATGAAAATGATTGAATAAAGTTGGAAAGGTAAACTTGTCTTTGAAAGAGTTGGTTGTTAAAATTGATAGTCTTGGTACTATGCGGCGGATGTACTTAGTACTTACGGACCGGTGTGTACCAAGAAGTAAGTTATGATGCCCAAGGCATTTACGAGGCTGTCAAGAAATGTCCAATGTGAATTGACGAGCACACAAGGGTAATCGAAGAAGCAAAGTATTTGTATTAACGAATGTATTTGGGTGTTGTTTGAACTAAGAACATCCACAATAGTGTAAACTATTGTGAGTATTACATATATAACGTCATAAATTTTTAATATTGTATTTTTATTTCATTTTTCACTACATCAGTGTATAATAATATCACATGCAATACAATGATAAATAATACAATAAAATAGTTATTTATTAATTATTTTCACTATTGTGGATGTTCCAATAATACAAGACGAATACCAAAGCATATAATCCCTCCATTTCAATTTGTAGGTCGTTTTAAGTTTGGAAGGATTTTTCAAAATGTAGGTCGTTTTACAAATTCTAGGTAAATTAATGAATTTTTTTCCAACTGTACCCTCAATAAATTATGTCAATCTATTTTCATTTAGTCTTGTTTATAGTTTCAATGTAATTAATGAGGGGTAAAACTAATATTTAACACATAAATTAATTGTTGAATAATTGTCTCTTTAATTTACGTGTAGAGTAAAAAGTGACTTATATTTTGAAATGGAGGGAGTAATGTTATAGTTGACAAAAACTTCGTTAATTAATGATAGTGACGCGGAATAGACTAATGTTTGCAGTTATATTCACAAACATTTTGGTATCATGTTTTAAAGATTTCGCTTCTTTCTGAAATGTATCCGTTAGAATCACAGCGTTGAGTTGAGGGATGAGTCAACAGCAAAGGAAGAAATATACTTGGGACTTGGGAGAGGGAAAAGCTTGGTTAAAATCATAGGCCTTCCTACAATGTCATAATGTCCACTAATGTTATACCAGAAGTCTAGTCCTAGTATGTAACAGTTTCATAGGGATTTTTAAGATGAGAAATGAGTCTGTTAATTCATCTGGACCAAAATGATCCAATAATAAAACCAGCAAAATCTTAGGCAGGCCCAGCACAAGATTGTTCGGTGGGAGTGGAAAATAAGTTCCAGAGCAGCATCTGCCTGTTATTGTTATTTCTCATATTTGCCCTCGTGCTTAACATGAGGCTTTTTTTATTCTTTTGTTGCAACACTCATTTTGTGGTGGTAGGCTGAGCTGCTTTCAGCAATCATGAATCATCAAAATGGCCATGTCCAAGTCCAACACAAGGCAACCTCGAAAAAGCTGAGCTGTAAGAGCACAACCACAAAAGACAACAAAGGTCACCATTATTACTACTTTAGTCCTAGTAGAAGACGTGAAAAAAAAAAAAGAAAAGAAATAAGAGGCCATTGGGGCCCCTACTTAGACTGCGACTCCCACATCATTCGTGAAAATTAATCAGGCTACGACCATATCATCATCATATGAATATGATAATCATCTTGTTGGAGTGATGTAAAAAGGCGAGAGGACCACCGGAATCGGGGCAGTATTACTATTAATTATTAACCCAGTTCACCCAAATTTAGACAATAATAATACATTTATCACGTGATGAACCATTCAGTCCAACCCTAAAACCCAATTTAACCCAAACCCATCACAACCCTTAAAAAAAGCCCAGAAATACGGTTAGTGCGGTGCGCCCGAAGGTTCAAACGAGACTCAGAATGCCACCAACCAACTTAGCCATATGGCTCGTTGGAACGCAGCCAACCAATTACCAATCAAGGGTTATATTGCTAGGTTTGCGTTTGCGTTTGCGGTGCGGCGTGGAGCTCGATATCATCTTACGTACAGTCACATGAACCACGAATTCCATCAAAACGCAAAAATACAGTTTGCCATCTGGCCCTTCCAATTTTCTTCTTCCCTAAATTCCAACTTTAATATTTTTACACTACCACCCCAAAGTCCAAACCACCCACAAACACACACGGCTTATATCAGACTAACACCTCTCTAATGCAGCTGACATAGCACGTGATCCAAACAATGCCTCCCCACCATTACTTACTCCTATACTACTTACAAAACCAACCCAGAAAGAAGATCATTCTCGCCAAAAAGGCGGCTTTTTCCACAAATCCCCCCTCCGCAGCATCAAAAGCTTTCTAAAAGATGAACAATTTTTTTTAAAAAAAATTATATTTGTACATCAGCAGCAGCTATCAAGTAACTTCCTATTTCTTCATTTTCCCTCCAAATTTAAACTCCCCTCCTCCCCAGTTCCTCTCCCTCAACCAGACTTTAACCATACCTCTAACCCAACCCCCCCAAAAAAAACACAAACAAAAAACAAAATTTTATTATTTTGCAACTGAGTCATCGACTGGGTTCCAACTCGTTCATAACTTCCATTTGAATCAAAAAGATCATTTAACGGCTAGAGAGCTACAGGCAAGGCAAACATATCAAAAAGCGGGAACCCACATGAAACTCTGAGAACTAACGACCTTTTAAAACATAAAAACTATACCCATCATCCAATTCTTACAAATTTCCCTCCGAAAATTTTTCTTTCAACTGTCAAGGCAAAATATATATCCAAGGTTTTAACTTATACTACCAGTCTGCAAAACCATCCTACTTCAATCACTTCCACCATTCCTGTTTCACTCTAAGAAAAACTACATAAGAGAGACCAAATACCCTTTTTTTGCTCTTCCCAGCTCCCACCATTCATTACTAACCACGTCTCGTTGACTTGCTGCTATGCTCCACAACATCATCATCATCATCCCCATCATCATCGTCGTCGTCATCTCTCTTCCTCTTCTGAGAAGTAGATGGGGGCACCTCTTGTACTTCACCATCTTCATCATCCTCGTCTTCATCCTCAACTTCTTCCTCCAGTTCGGCATCATCATCATCATTATCTTCATTCACTGGTTCCATATCACTACCACCACCGCCATCTATCTCCACAGGCCCAACTGGCTGAACCAGAAAACCTTCCCCGTAATCCTCTTCCTGCAAATTATTCAATGACAGTGAGACCAAAATACCAGTAAAGTTCTTAACAGATTTCACACTGACGAAAACTACCAGATTGAAAATATGATTTCTTAAAAAAAAATAAAAAAAACAAAAATCAGACTGCAGCAATATCTCATACATCAAAAACAAACAAACAATCCATAACATTACAGAGAGGGTTCCAGACAGACTCCCGACATCGAATAGCGAAAGAAAACATATACAATGCAGGCTAGTTCAAATGAAAAATTAACATCATTAAGGAATCGAGGCCTTAGCAGATCAAACAGTAGACTAATCAAAATTACTAGGATCACAAATTTGCCAACCTGGGGCTGAAAATCAGGTGGGAACATCAGCAAACATAAAATTGTAAATAAGTCACCAGAAAACCTGAAGAACTAGAAAATGAGTACAAAAGATATAGCCCCAAATACATAGCACAGTGAAAACTGCATGTCAAAAGAATTCAGGAAAACTTGCATAATGAAGATGCTCCATAAGAGATAATTAAATTACAGCTACTGAGGATAAAACTATCCCCCCTACTGGGTGCCAAAAAAAGAAAGAAAAATAACCACCAAACATTTCACAGAGATGCCAACAGAGAGAACAAAACCACAAGAACACAACAACCAAAAAAAGCACAGGAAAAACAGTGACAACCAACTCAAGAAGTCATGAGAAAGATATGAACACATAAATCACCATAAAACCTTTATAGGTGTCCACTTAACATATAAACACATAAATCACCATAAAACCTTTATAAATGTCCACTTAACATGCAAGTATGAAGCTCCTAGGCACAACAAATAAACACACATGAATCTGCACCTCCTAAACACACATGAATCCGCACCTCCTTAACACTACGCAGCACAAATATGAGCAGAATTAATATTATCTGAAAACCATGTAATGGAAGAACTAACTACCCATGAACCTTATAAAATAGATATTAATGTCCAAGTAACTCACAAATATGCATCTCCAAAGCACAACCAACAAACACACAAATCTGCAGCTTCTAAAGGCAGCAAACGACACATAAGGGCAAAATAACTATTTTTTATAAACACATGTAATAAACGAACTAACTATCAATATACCTCTTCTTCATCCTCGAATTCACCCTCATCCTCCTCAACACCCTGTTCTTCCTCACCGGTCTCTCCATTATCATCCTCATCCACATCTTCTTCACCCTGCTCATGGCCATCAATCTCTCCTTCTGTACTCGTTAACCTCCCAGTACTCCCTGGTTCCCCAGGATCTCGCTCCTCATTATCCACTTCCTCTTCATCTTCATCCTCATCATCCTCCTCGTCATCATCATCTTCCACTCCATCTTCATCACTACTGTCTTCAATCTCATGAACCTCAACTACATCCTCCTCTTCACCATCATCTTCATCAACTCCCTCAACAGAATCATTATCATCTTCGTCTTCACCCTCACCGTCACCCTCTCCCTCAAAATCATCATCATCCTCGTCATCTTCTTCTCCATCTAACCCATCACCACTATATCCATTAGAATGATGATGTAACGCTCCACCTTGTCTGGATACCCCATTCACCCCACCTCTGGAAGTCTCAGTCTCCTCCTCATCAGCATCGCTCTCCTCATCCTCATCCACATCGACAATCCCATCGTTTCCAGCGGCATGCCCATTATTCATCCTAAATGACCCATCCTCTCCATCACCATCGACTTCCCCGCTTCCAGGGTCATCCTCCTCGTCTTCTTCATCCTCCTCCTCCTCCTCCTCGTCAGATTCAGGCCTCTCATTCTCTTCCGCATCCATCTTATCTAAATATTTCAACGACTTAATTAGACCAAAAACCCGAGATCGATAGTCCTTAACCCTAGTAACGGGACACTCGTAAAGATCCAAGGAAACCAGCCGGAGCTCCGCCAAAGGTCTTAGGTCATTGATATCCTGGATGCGATTATTGGATAAATCGAGATCCCTGAGCGAGTTAAGGCCAGCTTCGACGAGAAATTCGAGGCCCCCAGCTATACGGTTGTCCGAGAGGATTAATTTCTGGAGGTTTTGAAGCCGGGGAAACTGTTCAAGCGAGGAAACGCCGATGTTTGCGATGGAAAGGTGTTGAAGGTTGCGAAACTTCTCGAACAGCGACGGCGGGGGCAAACGGCCGTGAACGCACTTAACGACGCCGTCAAGGGTTAACGTCCTGACAGAAACGATGTCCGTTTGGCCGTCTAACGCAGTCTCTACCGCTCTCTCCCAGATCTCATCCATTAATTACAATCCAATTCCTCCCCTGTTTTCCCCGTACATACGAAAGTAAAAACCCTCAACAAAGGGGAAAAAAATTGAAAAATATAGAGGAGAAAAGCTCAAAAACCCCAAAATACGAAGGTTTAATCTGCAAAGAAAATTGGCCGCGACGCTCTCTATAATGTCCCTTGTTTCAATGTCTCTCAGCTCTGCTATGCTCTGTATCTCTGTGTTTGTTGCTTTGCTTCAACAATATAGGGTTGGGGGAAGCTGAGTCGGGTTCCGAGTCAGGAATAAGGGCCACTGGGGTTGGTTAACTTAACTAGGGGGTTGGGTTAAGAGGATGAGATTGGGTGTGTCACTAGTTGAACATAGACCGTTGGATTGATGGTACGAGGATAGATGACGTGGAGTTAAATGGGCGGTGGGGATGAGGGGATTGTGTGTTTGTTTTGGAGAGAGACGTGCTTTGTGTGGGAAATTGGGGGAAGGAATTCGCTGGGCCCAAAGGACCAAAAAGAACGATGAGGGAGGGAGTCACTAGCCAAGTCTGACACGTAATTTGCAAATGTGAAAATATCATCAAAGTGGGTGTCTATTTTCGCCTCTAATATTCCGTTTATTTCGAGATTGCCACTGACCGATCAAAGCGTGGTTTTCCTGAACCCGACGTTCTTATGCGATGATAACATCTTATTCCAAATTTTTTTGTTTTATTTTTCCTATTCGTATGAAATTGAAGTTCTAAACAAAATGCCCAGTCCCAAAAAAATAAAAAAAATGTCAGTCGAACGATTAAATCTTTCGAATTAAATCTAATAATTATTATTAATTAATACCCCTTTTGTCCCCAAATAATTATCTTGTTTGAGTTTTTCACTTTTATGTCAATTAAAAAACAAGAACAAAGAGCAGGTTGATGTGCTCATGTCCATCAGTTTAAGGGAAGTAATTCTAGGTGAATTTTGTTTATTTAGATCCTCCCAATTGTTTTTACTTTCGTTTTCTTGTGGAACTTAATTATTCACCGGATGATTTAGCATATGAATGTGTTTGCTTTCGTGAATCACGATCACAACTGGTTTTTAATTACTCGAAACTGTTATTTTGCGGTGTAATTTATGAATTAACAAAAATGATTTCAAACTGTCACTCTTTTGCTGTGCAATTCATAATCCAATATTTCATTGAGAAGGGAAGAAAAAAATTGCTTCTTCTTCTTCTTTTATAATCAATGATAAATCAATTGAGAAATAGCAGAGTTTGCATGATGGTTTACTGATTCAGAATGACATAGTTTCATTTGGAAATCCATATGAAGAAGAGTTTGTTTCTTCCAACATCATAAATGTACACTTGGTGAAGAACGTATGTGTCTCCTTCACGAGTTACTGTGAAGAGGAACCTTGATGGTGAGTTTCACGTAATTAATCTTTTGTTTTCTTTTTGCATGGTTAACTTATTATAGAAATCATTCATGTGTTGTAGGTGATAACAGTATATTGCTTTTCATAATCAAAGATAATGTATCATAATATATGACTGCGTATTTAGTTCTCTTTTCTAATTTTCTTACTTCGGGCTCATAACATTTGCGGTGGAGTTTTTGAATTTCGGCAAGGTAACTTTACTGTCAAGTGGTCTGCAGATACAAAATGGAAGAAAACCGCTCTTCTGGTCATTGACATATGCATGAGGGAGACCGCATGAATTGGAGAATACGGTTTATTCAATCTGCCGTCAATAGTGTATTAGGGTTAGTACAAATACAAGGAGCCTCATAGTGATCATCTCCCGAAATTAAGGTACAGAATCCCTATTTATGGTAACTACAATATTTACGATTTAATATTAACATATCTACCATATATACACCGTAATACCCCCCTCAAGTTAGAGCATGAAGGTTGTGAATGCCCAACTTGTCAAGGAAAAAAATCAAACTGTGTTTTACCCAATACCTTTGTAAAGATATCGCAAGTTGTACGTGGATAGACACATAACCGGGGATTATAGTGTCCTTTAAAACCTCATCCCGCATGAAATAACAATCAATTTTAATATGCTTAATGCGTTCGTGAAACACGGGATTCGCAGCAATATGTAAAGTCGCATGAATATCACAGTAAATCTGAATACGTTGGGAATGAGAAATACCAAGAAAATGAAGTAGGCCCTTCAACCACTTGAGCTCACAGACTGTGGAAGTCATAGAACGATATTCTGCTTCAGCAGACGAGCGAGCGACTGTCTGTTGCTTCTTCGTCTTCCAAGAAATAGGAGAAGTGCCTAACTGAACAAACCAGCCAGTGAGAGAATGGTGAGTCAACGGACAACTGGCCCAATCAGAGTCACACCAACCAGTAAGTTGAAAATTAGAATCTGCCCGTAACAAAATGCCTCGGCCCGGATTACCCCTTCAGGAATCTCACAACTCGAAGAGCAGCATCCCAATGAACCTGAATAGGGTTCTGCATAAACTAAGCAAGAGCATGAACACAATAAGATAACTCAGGACGAGTAAAGGCTAGATAAATCAAACGTCCCACTAAGCACCGATAACGTGCAGCATTTGAAAGAGGAGACTTAGTAACCGTCGAAAGATTATGATTCTATTCCAAGGGAAAATTGCAGGTTTAGCTCCCAACAACCTGGCCTCAGAATTGATATCTAAGGCATATTTACGCTGATAAAGAAAAATGCCTGAGGAGTTGCGAGCACTTCAATACCCAATAAATATTTGAGAGTCCCGAGATCCTTCATATGAAAACAACTGCTCATATAAGCTTTGAACGGTTGTATGGCCAAGCTATTATTCCCATAGAGAAATAAAGATCATCCACATACACTAAGTCCACAAGTTGCGTAGCACCACGACACAAACCAAACAGGGAATAGTCAGAAGAGGACTATTGAAAATCATACTGTCGCAAGACATTCGCTAACTTGGCAACCAACATCAAGGAGCCTGGCGAAGACCATAAAGAGAGCGATGCAAATGGCAAACAAAACCAGGATTGGGAGAACAAAATCCAGGAGGCAACTTCATATAAACCTCCTCAAACAAGTCGCCATGCAAGAATGCATTGTGAACATCTTTTATAATGAGCTGCAATTAGCTGGCCTATTTTGGATTCGCCGATCTGAAAATATTGGAGCACATGCTCTTTCTCATTTCGTGTAGAGCTCTGACACCCTTGAAACTCTTTGGCATGACTTGCCGGTGTTTGCTAAACTTCTCTGTTACATTTTTTTTTCTCAATTCTGCTTCATCTCACTTTTGTTTCTCTCTAATCTGTTAGTTGACTTGTTTTTAAGACAATCTTCTAGTTTTTTTATTGCATCTTTGTAATCCTCAATCGGCGTTGGACCTTATTTCCAGCAAGTAATGAAATTTACCTTTTTACCTAAAAAAAATTGGTGCTCCACTTAACAAGTTCATTCACATTAATAAGCATTCTTGCGTCTCCAAAAATCTTCTCCCTGGCACAAAATTGAGGATGGATGTGTTGTTTTTTATCTTCTTTCTTGTTTTTTTCCCCGGCCAGAACCTTGCCTGGCCGTTTAACTGAAACAATGGCCTGGCAAAACAATAACAGGTAGGAAAATTTCATGAGCCAAAAGGGCTGCCAAGTCAACGGCATATCGGAGCTCAAGAAACACCTTCGATGATTTGGTTACCCGACAAAAAATCTCACCGACTTGTACGATGAAGAGTTGGAGTCGACCGTTTCGGCGTACCAAAAGAATACGGGATTATCTGTCAACCGGAAACTCGACAATGATACTATGAACCAGCTGATTGTCACGCCGAAGTGTGGTAATTCTGACCAATTCATTGGCATTGCTAATGATGATGATAAATTTCATGAAACCATGCACTATTCCTTCTTTGAAAACAGGCCGAGATGGAACCGAACATCTCCGATAAAACTAAACTATATTTTATTACTTGCCCACATGATTGAGAGCTTGAGTCTAGCGGATATTAGGACTACGTTCTAACGGGCCTTTGGGCGTTGGGCAGCAATGATTCCCATGACATTCGTAGATACAAATGATACGAATCATGCGGACATCAAAATTGGATTTTATTCTGGAGACCATAGTGACGAAAAACCATTCAATGGGTTGTTGGGAGCTACGGGCCACTCTTCTCCGCCAGAAATTGGGTTACTCCATCTAGACGCAGATGAAATGTGGGTGGATGATCCAGATAAACTAAATTTGAATTCACTGTTTATCTAGAAACAATAGCGGTCCATGAGATTGGACACATACTGGAGGGAAAAATGGCATGTCTACCCAAAGCTTTACCCCCCGTGTCAATTTTACCCAATAAATTTTCAGTTAGGCAACTTTACCCTAATGTTTGAAATTTTTGCTATTTTTGTCCAATCGTTCCATTTTTCATCCAAGTTAACGGATCTCCGTTAATTTGTTAATAAAATAATTGATTTAATTACACAAACACCCCAATAATGTTTGAAAAATATAAAAATAATCCCTAAATTATATAAAAATAACAAAACAATCTATTTTTAATTTTATTTTTCTCTATTTAATTCCATTTCTCTTTAATACTTTTAATGATCATAAAATTATATTATTTTATCTTTAAAGAAATATTTTATTTATTTTCATACTCTACCGTAAAAATTAATCTTTATATAGTTGTAACATATGATTGTATTTGTATAAACATATTAATTTTTTCAATAATATAGTTTAGCAGTAGCGATATTATTTTCCTGATTCATTTTGTTCTTCCTAATGTAAAGATCAAAAACATTTAACTAAAACTAATACCACATATAAAAATAAAATATTTAGCTCAGATAACAAAATACTTTATTAGTATATTTTAGTTGGGTCCACTGGGGTGATTTTTTTTTTTGAAAAAAAGAAGAAAAATATTGTCGTTACTATTAAATATATTAATTATTAAAAAATTAGTCCTTTACATAAGGTGATCTATACATTTTGGTCATGTACAAATACATCTGTCTGTTTTGGTCCTCTACTTCTACGTTCAAGATTTTTTTGGTCCTCTAACACTATCCCGAAAGTTTGACATTTCGAACTTCAGGTCAACAGGGGTATTTTTATCTTTTACTCTAACTTTTATTTTTTCAGTAATTAAGAAATAAAATAATAATAAATTAAAATAAAATTATTTTTGTTTTTTAATTTAAAAATATTTTATTTTAAATTAAAATTAATTTAAAATAATTTTGTTTATTATTTTAAATTAATAATAATTTTATATGATTAATAATAATTAATAATAATTTTTTATATAATTCAAGGGTTATTTCTATATTTTTTAAAAATTATTTGGATGTTTGTGCAATTAAATCAATTATTTTATTAATAAATTAACGGAGATCCGTTAACTTAGACGGAAAATGGCATGATTGGATAAAATTGGTAAAAACTTCAAACATTAGGGTAAAATTGGCTAACTAAAAATTTATTGGTAAAATTGACGTCGAGCCCCAAACTTTAGATAAGAATGCCATTTTTTTCCATACTAGGGTAGTCGCGGTCATGTATCCAACTGTGACCTTGTCGTCCCGAAAGGTGGATCTCACTAAGGATGACGTTGATGGGATATAACAATTATATGGGGTAAACCGTAATTTTAAACCAAGTCGTAATTGGGATAGTTCAAGTTGGAGTACTCTTATGGAGGTGAGGAAGAGGTTTGGTTGGAGCATGGTTTTGTGTTTGGTGATGATTCTGTTTTTTTATTTGATTGATTGATAGATCAAAATAGAAATAAATTTTCTCCGTACTCACAAATTTTGTTCTCCGCTGCTTATCTTGTGAGTTGTGATGCTATTCACGTATAGTTTCTTTTTGGTTTCTTATGTGATGATAAAGTTAATAAAAAAGCATAAGTTCTTCAAACATTATCATGCACATTATAACAATCACGGTATCTATCATTCACTATCTCACCGTGATCAAATGGGAAACACATTCCTTTGAAATGATAGTTCTACTCCTCCGCCACTAGCTTGATTCGAAAGTTTAGTTTTGAGTCCAAAAATTTACTAAGGCAAACAGTTATATATTATACGCTTCACCCTACTTGAGATGCCATGTACCCTGAGGGAGAAAAGTTACTGCACACGGCACAATGATATACAATCTCTGTCCAACAAAATAATTTATACTGAGTTTTAACATTTGTTCTCGTTAATACAAACTAGATTTTAGCCCGTACAATTGCACGGGTTGCTCTAATTTTTTTGAGTTATTATTGCTAATTATGGAGAACTATTTCAAGGTTTGGGAAAATCAAAGAGTTTATTGCCAAACCACTCAAATTTTAGGATTTTATCCCAACATTCGGATAAGTGATGAAAGACTTTACCATTCATTTTAAGAGTTTCTTAACATGGCTGCATTTACTTTAATGTAGATTATATATATTTTTATTTTTCAGACAGAGAAAGTAATATACAGTATGATACACTTCAGGAAACGAAAAAACTAAGTAAAAAACAAAGTGATGGTAACCCTCTAATGGACAGCAAAGGGAAGTCATACCAATATTTCAAGTGAACTACGGTTATGACAACTGATTATTTTTATACCAACATGAAGTCAATAAACCAAATATTTCAAAAAGTTGTTTCATAATGTCTGGACCAAGAAAGCCATGCGAATGCATAAAGAACGAAAAATCACAACTAGAGATTCGAGGTCATTCCATCAAACAAGAAGATTTTTCTTTCTAACTAAATGGAGTCGATATATATGAACTATATATGTCATCATCGTAGTCGATCATCAGAGAGAACGTCTTCATTCCCCAAAACAATGGCCAAAAAATAGATTGAAGAAAATTTACCTGGGAACAAGAGGACGACGCATTTGTTTCCTCCTAATAATTCCTTTGGCCCTATCATTTTCAAAGGGTAAAATCACACTTCACACCTAAATTCAGCAAACCAACTAGGCATAAATTTACACGGTTACAATTTACAACTGTTACTACAGTGCTAGTACAACAAAAAAGTGTGAGTTAGCTTTCACAGATCAAATCGGTGATTGACCTTTTCATCATCATTCTGATGAGTTTTTGGGCCAAAACTACTACCCTGATGCATGATCTGAGTAGATGGAGAAGCCCCCAAACGTGCAGGAGAATGTAATGGCCAAGAGAGGGAACTTGTGCTTGATGCAGGAGCCGAGAACTGGACAGGCCTGGCCGAACTTATGAATTTTTCATCCGACCTAATCTGCCATTCTACCGGCATGTGGCGCTTTGTGTCGATTTCCATGGCCCGTACATCTAGAGTCTTATCATTAGAACACCCACCGGCAGCATTCCCAACTGATAGTGGGGAATTCCAGATATATTGTGACTTGTGCAGTGGGAGACTATGGCTCCTATGTATACTATCTTTATTTTCAGTTTCTCCTACACCTTGAGAGATATTGGCTGACTCAAAGTCATCATTTGGTATCATAAGCTTATTTTCTCTTTGCTTCTCTCTCTCTGATGCCGTCACTGCTTCAATTAGGTCAGCTCTGGAAGCTGAAGAACGACCTGACGCTATTGATGCCATTGGAAATGCTTTTTCTGGAGGGACAACTGGATTGTAATTTGATGGAAGCAGGTCATCCCAATTTTCTAATAGCTCCTTGTAAACCTTACGAAGAGTCACCTCAGTTAAGCCAGTTACCTTACAGATTTCAGCCTGAGTCTTGCGTTTGTCCTCCAGTTGGCAGGCCAAGTATATGGCCGCTGCAGAGATGCTAATCGGATTTCTGCGAGTGCAAAAACATTTGTTGATAACCACCTCACCAATGTGAGTAGCCAGCTCCTGAAGAGTGAATTTGATGGTGAATTGGTGATTCTAGGCAAGGCATTTCATTTTGTATGCAACATAAGACAAATATGCTCATGCAGGAATAAATCTCGACACCCACAAGAAATCAAGTTGTTTGAAATACGGAAAGGAGAATTATTAATAAGTTTAACAAAATGAACTCTTTCCACCATCCACATCAAGCATGATGGGGATCCTATCTTGCAGTAACCTTGTTCAATAACCTTAGGAATCAAATTGCTTGAAGTAAAGGACACATACAAAGATAAATCAAATAGCAGGAAGAAATGTCTATCCTCTCCTATCAATGACACCATGCAAAAGTCTATTTCTTGGTGACCGTTCCCAATTTAGCTCTAAAGCTGAATAATGCCAAAAGCCATTAATAGATGATTGAATGTTGCAGCTACCTGGGCAGATTTGTTGAGTTGGAGAAGTGTACAGAATCTGGGCATATGAACTGATATGGAATTGCTATTAATAGGCTGGCTTAACTGCAAAGCTTCTCCAAGTATCTTTATGTACTTCCCAATCTCCTTCTGGGGCAAATTCGCCGCAATTGATATTTCCTGTTTTAAAGATAGCATAAAGTCATCAGTTAAAAAAACACACACGCACAAAAGTGATTCCATCTGAAATCAGCCATTGTAAACAAAGTAAAGAAAGCAAATAAATAAGATAATCAAGTACATTACGACAGTTGTGAACTAATACCTCTCCCATGACAAAAGGACTTAGCATGCACCAACGGCAAACAGAGAATATATCTTTCGTTATGTTTAAGATATCACTATAGTATTCTCAGAAGGAAAAATAAACCAGGTTTGCATGTGCATTAAATGAATTGTGTAAGTTTTGATACAAAGTTCCTCATGTACTGCTTCTAATCCCATGTGGACAGGAGGCATCCATTTTAAGAAATGAACAAGTGACGCATCAGTAAGAGTGCTTAAACTTGAGAAATCATAGATTTCAAATCTCTGATGAAGCAGTACAATTTAACAACTTAGTTCTCTACTCTGAAAACTCTATTACAGGATAATCCTGTGAGACGTCCAGGTGGAAGTACCGAATCATGATATAACAGAAAGTACAGCAATTATTACCAGCCACCAACAACTCGCTATATCTCAAGCTAACGGACATCAGTTCCAGCTACCCAGGAAGTAAAACAAGGTTGTCAATGAGATATACAAATACAATTGCAAGACGAAATTTTTGTGAAAGAAACATCCTGAAGCTGGAATATTTCATCACCTAGAAAAAAGAACCCCTCACAGTACACTCTTGGCACTAAAATCAAACCTACCATTGACAACCAATCACAGATTCATTCCAATAACTGAATTTTCCTTTGACGACTGGATAGGTGACTGAATACGCACCCATTTTGCTACAGAAGAGAATCGAGGACAAGCATTTTTAGTGACCCTAACACTAGTGCTTCTATCATGCTATCACGTAGACAAAATTTAACTTCTGGAGTGATTGTCCACCCTCCACCCTGAAACAAGTATCATTTCCTATAGTCCTAAGGTACGGTAGAATTTAATAAGGAACCTTAACAGAAAATAATGTTGTGTCCCCAGCCGAATTTGAAAATTCAGTTAAGTTAATCGAGTTACTCACAAAAATTCAAACACGGGAGAATGGAAATGTACGGTAACAAATGAACAAATCGCTGCACCTTACCTGAAGAGTTCGGGGTTCTTGAGCTTCTCTAATGGCCTGGACAAGTGCAGCAGTAGCGAGAGCTTCCACACTTCTATTCCTTAAGCAAGTAGCGGAAGAACAATCTCGAAAAAGCTGAAACGCATGATCGGATATATCACAATCCAGCCGCAATATCGAAGCTACATCAATAATTTGTAAGTAGGCTCTCAAATTATCAACGACAACGGAAGGACCGGAAGGATTGGACCCGGAAGAAGCAGTGGAAGACGACGTCGCTTCCAGGACTCTTTCCAGCTCAGCTAAATGGCCGGCGAAGCCAATTGAGGATTGGGCGAATACTGGGTAGGGCTCGAGAGACCAGGTTGAGAAAGCGGTAATGAAACCAGTGGGTTCAAATGGGTCCTCATCGTCAGAAGCCGGGGAGGGGGTGACCGGAATGGGGAGGGTGGGGAGGTCGGAGGTGACGAGGCAGAGAGGAGAGTCTTGGGCGCGGATATGAAATAGGTGGTGTGACTGGGATTGACGCTCCTCCACTACGCGGCCGCAGGAGGTGCATTCTGTTATGGACCGGCCGCTTGTTGTGGTGGCGCACCGCCCCTGAGAGGCTGAGCAGTACGGACACCGCATAACTTTGATCCTTGGCAGTGGACCTTCTGGTAATTTTGGGGGTTGCTCCGCCGGCTAATTTTGTCAATTTCATAATGTCGGGCAATTATTTTCGTGCGGGTGCACCGTGCTGGCGTGCACCTTCTTTCAAAAGGCGTGTTTTCTCAACGATAAAATCTACACGCCTTTGATTACAAAACATATTCTGTTGGACACACTAGTGAACCACACCAAGTATAAATTAGATTCTCAGTTCGAACTGTTTCTCGGGCACTATTTAATCCTCCCTCCGTTCCAAAATAAGTGTCGTTTTAGCAAAATAGAAAAATTTCAAAATAAGTGTCGTTCTCACATTTCAATGCATTTTTTGTCCAAAGTTTCCAAAATTACCCTCGAAAGAATTAATACTATTGGTGGACATTTTTTTAGTGGGGTTGATTGAGGATATTGAAGTAATTTTATTACCCTATTTAAGAGTTTCCTAAACTATGTGCAAAATATAGGATGACACTTATTTTGGAATGGAGGGAGTATATGAATCATACTATATACTAAAACAGAACTCCTTGAAAAAATTTATTATATCTTTTTTCCGCTCATTTTACCCACTTCAGCTGATGTGTCATTTTTTAGTAATTTAGAATTAATTTTATTTTTCTATTTAACCTCCTTAGTTTGGATGACTGATGTGCCAAAATTTTTCCTTTTTTCTTAATTTTTTAAAATCCCTTTTCCTTAGTTTAATACCGCATGCAACATTGTTCTTTGTGTAATGTATTGATTTCCATGCTTTGTAATAAATAAATGCACAATTAGATAATTTTTTTCACAACATACATGTTCCTTTTTGGCTTTTGCATTTTCTCTTCCAATCCTAACTCCTTTCCCGTATTTCCTCCTCCCTCTTCTCTATCATATAAAAATAAGTTCTAACAAATAATTTGTGTTAATTAATAATAGTAAATAACAAATAATGGTTGTATTTATATACACTTATAAACATTGTTCATTAAGTAAAAACTATTTATTTTCGTATTTTGTTTTATTTTAAATTTACTTTTATCAATAACGCCAATGATACACATGAAAAATTAATAGGGAACCCGTGAGTACACGGGATTTATCTAGTTTGTAACTAAAAATATAAATAATATGTTCTTTGTTTTACATACATAATTAATATTAAGTTTCGATGTATGTATCATTTTTAATATAAAAATGTAATTTGTGCTCCTTGAAAGTAAATCTCGATTCAATACTCATCAGGATTTTGGAATTTTGATTTTTTGTTGACAAAATAATATATTTAATTCAAAAAAAATTAGATCGAATATAAGAATACATATTAATGAGTACTCTTTAGGTGTCCTCTTTTCCAGTAACATCTTGATGATGGCCAAATGTCTCGTCGTGTGCTTCCTCCCTTATTATCAATAGGTCTCATCAATCGGCTTGACGACGGTGGAAATCCCGTCATGTACTTTCTCTTCTCTTTTCACTTGTGTTGCCGCCGTTAGATCTATATTTAGACCTTTTACTGATTGATGAAGTTGGAGATTTGTTATTTTTAATTCAAATGATTGATGAAGATTGGAGCTTCTACATTTTTTTTTTATTTTTAATAATGAGATTGGGTTGGAGAGGTGTTAAAGATTTTGGATTTTGATGATATTAGTTAGCTTACTATTTTATCATATTTGAAGCACATAGAAGATAGGAACGTAAATTAATTTTTTACTTTTATTTGTTAATTAACATGAAACTAAGTAGTATTGAATTATGTAGTTTGGGTGGAAAGTATGTTTATGGAGCTGTCACGTGGCTTAAGTGGCAACTGTTTTCAGAAGGTAAAAAAAGAGATTTCCTAATCTAACTCATATTTAGCCGACTTGTGCTTTTTTCATTTTTTTTTAAAATAATGTTCATAACAATATCACAGTAACTAAAATTAAAATTAATTGTATATGAAATTATTACAAAGTGAAAAATGAAATTTCACAAAAATCACTTAATATTTTCCTCTATTTCTTTCATTTTGTCTAAATTCCTAATCATGGGTTTGAAGGTATGAATTAAGTTGGATATACCCTATACATTTATGTCGTTAAAGTAAATAAGATAAAATATTTGAAATAGAGATCCCCTGTGTCCATTGTGCCAAGTCTGCTCAGAAAGTCACCGGCATCTATTTTTCTTTTGTGATTTGTCTAAGGAGTTATTGGATAAAGTAGGTAACTGGCTGGGAGTTAGGCATGTAACAGATTGGGACAGATGAAGAAGAGAATTAATCTCTATCTGGAAAGGAACTAAACTCAAATATAAGATATGGTGTGCTGTTGTTGTGGCCGAGATCTACCAGATTTGGTGATGTAACTTTAGATGTAAACATGGACAATCATGGTATATATATCAATGAAATCATTTATATTTCTCAAAAAAAAAAAAAAATGAAATAGCGAGGGCAATCATAAAATGATAGACATCCGTATAATTTTACCATCCATCCATGAAATGAATCTAATTTCATCATTATGAGATCTTAAGCAATCACTATAAATTTATTAGCACATATTTTTTGATCCCATGAAAATATATATAGTTATAAACAAAGAAAAGATAAGTCTTCAATCCTGAAAGTATAATCTTCATTCATTTAAATGAATTTTGGGACAAAGGAAATAATGAAAATATATTGGAATTTATTATAATTATCTGATAATGTGGATGTGTACAAACTAATAAAGTTGTACATGAATTCTTTGTATATAGATAATATTTATTAGATATTATTACTAGTTACATATTATATTTATTTGCTCTTATCTCTGTATCTGTTATGCCTAAAAAAGGAGAGCAATATATGCAAAAATAATACACAGATCATTCTCTCTTTCTCTCTACTTGTTCTTTCTCTCAGTTTTATAGCTTTATTCTTCACTTTATATTTATAACAGAATTTTTATTTATTTTTTATTTGCTCAATTTATTTTTGCTTTTCTTTTTTTTTACATATTGTAAGGTGTACATTGTCGGTAACAGTGACTAATGCTCCTTGCTCATGGTAGGTACCTCTGAGGCCAAAAGATTTAAGGATTTATTTTTGTTCTTTTTTTTTATATAATGTGGAAGCCTAATGGCTTAGGTACAAAAGCATCCCTCTAATACTGGGATGTCTCGACAGCTTCACTTTTCAAAAGCTCTAGGATTTGGGATGGAGGTGTTGGCAAAACTTGCCTTCCATAAGGGCACGAAAAGCCAAGCTTTGCCAACTCGTCCGCCACACGATTTTAAGGATTTATTTTTGTTCTTTAGTTAGTTGGGAAACACTTCAAAAGACATAAGGGAAAAGAATAGCCCATCACGACAAATGGACCACCATTAGGCTATTTCCTCCCCAGAAATAAAACAAGCAAAAGTAAACGATGATCCAAGTCCAATAAAAAGTGGTGGCCCGCACTACCCAAAATTTCACATCCGAAATTGATCTTGGCAGTCAGTATCAGAATCTTCATATTGGCATTCTCTCTCTGAAGTTCCGAAAGTCAGATCAACAATTTCCATTTCATCCAAATCTCCACTTCCTTTTTCCCTATCCAGATTCACCGAAACGAGCCATCTTCATCCCTCCATTACTTAAAAATCTCTTTTACAGTTATCTTCGAGAAATTGAACAAATATTAGTATCACTTTTCCCTCAATTCACTCTGTACTTTTTTTTTTTTTCCCGAGATATGAAGGATGATGATTCGTTACCAGTATCGACGCCCACCTCCACATCATCAATCCCGTTAAAAAAGGAAATCAGCTCCTCCGCCGCCGCCGCCGATCATTCCTCCGTTCTATTTGGCAGAGGCCGGTATAAGTTTTGGGCATTTGCCGCCATTTTATTACTCGCGTTCTGGTCTATGGTTACCGGCACTGTCACTCTCCGATGGTCTGCAGCTAACCTCAACGACCTTTCCGACCGGGACTCTCTTGACTTCCCTCTCCCAGATGATCTCGACGTTCTGGTAATGAGAATCGTCCTTTTACTATTCTGACCGAGAACCTGTTTTATTTAATGTTTGATTTTTGTGTTTTGATGAGTTATCGATTTCCCATTTAATTGGACGAAAACAAAAACAGGAAATGGAGGAGAGGGAGAAGTTGGTAAGGAAAATGTGGGATGTGTATACTTCTAATGGTAGACGGATCGGATTGGCCAAATATTGGGAAGATGCCTTTAAGTCGGCTTATGAGGAGATGACCAGTGAGGTCCCCGGAGTCCAGGACGCTGCTGTTTCCGAGATCGCTAAGATGTCTCTTCGCAGTATTCGTCTTGAGCCCCCTCCTTCTAATCCTTTGGTTAGTTCTCCACCTTCTTGATTATCTTGCATTTGTCCTAATTCTTCTTTCCTTTACATTTTGGAATTGGTGTTAAGCCATCATTGTTCTTGAGGATGCATGCATTCAAGGATGCCTTGTAGCAGTTGGTTACTTGTGACAACGGTGGTTGAGACTTGAGAGCATATCAAATCATTGATTTCTGTCGGTATTTTAGCTTGCAATATTTGGGTGGGAATTGTATTGGGTTCCTTATGGATACGTGCAAGAAATTACAAACTTTTTGGTAGAATTCCACTTATCTTGCTTAAGTGACATTCATTTTGGTTGAATTCTTCTTATCTTGCTCAAGGGGATGTACATGCATATTTTATTGGGGAAATTTAGCCCAAGATGTGAACTCGACCTTCCGTCCGGGAATTTGTTTATGAACAGTTAATCTACATGAGTTCTTCTCATGCTGTGCACTTGAGATTGAGAATAGTTGCTTTGTCTGACTCATATTGCATTAAGGAGGCTAATGAATAGTTTTGCTAATGAACTCTTAATTGAGTTTTCATACTTCAGGATGTTTCTTGTTTTAGGAACGTAGCCTGTTCTAAATATTTTGTCTCTACTGAAAATCTCCCTTCTTCTATAATAAATAAAATCACAATCAGGGCGTTGGATGGTATTAGGATAAGGAATGGTCCTGAATTTAAGTAGTTTCTGAATGTCATTTCTAGGGCCAGTATTCGATGATATAGCTTGTTATTATACTACATAATGTAATTAAAATATGCATCATGTTGCACAATGTAGTTCGAAGTTGAACTTACCCAAGAGCTTATGGCAATTGAATTTAGAGTACAGTTTTGGTAATCAAAAGTACATGAAGGAGAAGGCTTTTAGTTACCATTGATGGAATCATTGCTGGAGAAATTTCTTTCTTTGAATGTGAAATCTCCAAGCTATCTATATAAGCATTACAACCATATTGCAGAAGCCTTGAAAGGTCATAGAAATGGATGTGTTATCACTTTGTGTTACAAGTTTTTAATAAGCATTAGATGACCATGTTCTATTGGATACCATTGTATCTTATGATCTTTCTACTGGTTCGATTTCTGACGAAAGCTGGAAATGGCCCACTTTTCCATTTGGCCTAAACACTGCATGAACTTTTGCTTAGTCGGCCTTTAGGTCTTCCATGGCTTTGTGGGGATAAGTATCATGTTTTCTAATGATGTGTTTCTGTGGTTCAATTTGTTACAATTAAATATTTGATTTTGCCATAATTTTGAATTTAATTGATATGAACCGTGTCGTTCTGTATACTTCATATGGAATGACACCGTGTAAGTGTGCACAGCTTGTCCTCTGTGTTAGATAAACAAGAACAGGTATCTTTTGATGTCATCGTTAAGAGTATATGTATGGATTAGTGGGCCGAGTGTCATCTGTGCTTATCGTCCCCCGCCTCCTCTCCCCCCCCCCAAACAGTAGGTGCAGGCAGCATGTTCCATTGCATGAAGACCTTTTACGAGGGGTCGTCATTTAACCTTTGATTTCCAGATTATTGCATGAGATACCCTGTTTGGCTGGCAATCAGGAATGCCCAGTGGAGCTAAGATTATATGAATAAAACAGCACTGTAACAATGAAAGCATTCATTTGTTTGAGTATGACTACCATCATTCTTTCAAGGAAAAAATTTGTTTAATTGCATGTCTAATTGAATGAGATTTCTCTTTTTGAGTTGCTCCCATGCTGGAAAAGAGTTTCCTTGCCTTTGTAGTCCATGCATGAAAAAATTAACTTTTTCTTTTCGCTATCCTTCAGGACATGCGGAAAATGAAGACAAGTATAGCAAGGAAACAGCTTAATGAGAACAGCGGAGAATAGGACACGTCACGCTTATCCTGGCCTGCAATGTTACAAATGTCGATTCTTTTATAGAGAATTCATTCTATACCATTTGACGCCCCTTGTCAGTTAATGATGTAGAAGATGGGAGAATTTTTTCTCGGCTCCTTGCCCTTTCTGCGTAGGCATGAACACATGATTATTGCTTTTTTTTTTAGTTGGTGAATATATGGAATTACGAACATCATTTTTTTATTGATTCAGGTGAAAGGAGTTTCTCTTTGTTAGTAGATACTAGATAGATTAATGGAAAGGTGAACATCATTATTTTGATTCATTTCAGGAAAGGGATTTTTCATCTTTGTAGAGGATAGATTGGAAAGATGATTATTTCAGGGGCAGGTTTCAACTGCCTTGTGATTTCCATTCTGTTTGAAGTGTCCAATGATTCAGAGTAATATGCTCAACTTCCTCTGTTGCATACCTTGCACTGTGGAAGTAGATTTTTGATGAAATTAGTGTTTTACCTTTTTCTGATGTTATTTATACCAGTCAGCGACAGCATTGTCATTGGGTTTGTACAGGCAAATATCTTGAAAGATTTCTTTTATGTTGAAATACTTGGAATATGCTCTTTTGGAGGTACCTGGAAGATCTGTAAAGTTGTTTATTTATGTTATTTCTTGTTTGTTGAATTAAAATAATGGTCAGAAGTATGAAGGTTAACTGCTTGATTGTAGAAGTGTACAAAAAGTTCAAGAGAAGCTGCTACAAATTGATTGTTCTTTTGGATTCAAAAGAGTAGTACATGAATTTAAATTTCTTTTGGATTGTAATAACTCTATTTTCTAGAAAAAGAAAAAAAATTCTCTTGTGAAATTTTACCAGGAAAAAAAAAAAAAATCTTAAAAGGGAGCTCTAGTTCCACTTGTATATACATGTTTTCTCTAACTTTATGGCTATCCAAATAATCAGAAGATGGAGAAAAGATAAATTAAAAAAAAAAGAACAAAAAAACAATGAATCGTCAGAACTCAGTGTCAGCTTGCTGACAAAATTTCTTTCTCCTAAAAGGTTCGGAAGGAGGCATGAAAAACTCAGAATTCAAACCCCAGACATTAAAATCAACTTCCTCAATCTTCCAAGTTTCTTGAAGCTCCCTCTTATGGTTTGCTGATTGTTCCCCATATCTAAACACCGTCATCGTCGTCTTCCCGCTATGAGCTATATTAACACCTTCGACGTACTTATAATCCTCAATCACCGACTCAGCGCTGGTTTCCCAGAAAACTCCTTCACCATCATCCCGACTCGTTTTCACCGTCAGCAACCTTGAATCCTCAAATTTCACGAGCAACCCAGATCTTTGGCTGAAATATCCCCATAATGTATGATGAATGATTTCATATCTGGGGTCACTTTGTGCCTCAAGAGTTGCTTGATTCGTGTCCAGCTTTAAAATGAAGCAATCCTCATCGTTTATGATCTTCTCCCCAATGCATACCGCATCTATGAACAAGCTCGCCGCTGAACGAGGATCCAATCCCTATTTAAACATAATCATTAAAGTGGAAGTTGAAGTAAGATTTTAGGGAAAAAAAAAACAAAAAAAAAAGAGTATTCAATTGGAGAACAAAAAAAACAGAGTATTCAATTGGACCTGTAGAAACCGGCGTAAAGGTCTGGGGGAACTTGTAGCGATGGGTCTTTGTTGATTGGAGGATTGGCGCCATGCGATTTTGCCGTTGCTCCCGGAGATGACTTTACAACCGGAAATGAGTAATTCGAGGCACCAGAGATCCGGGTTTTTCTGCCACAGCACGAATCCTCCGGCTTCTTCTGTACTTTTCACTCTGACCGTTTCATCGCCTTGATGAAACTCCGATGAGCTAATCTTGACTTGTCCGATTGCGCACATGCTGTGTACGGTGTTCAATGCCGGTTGTCCTCCCGTCGCCGCTATGTATTGCTGTACAATATATTTCGCCGTTGACGCTTCCTGTTTATATCATCATTCAACTCGTTAATTCGGTTCAAAATGTATTCGTGTGTTACATTAGTACCTTCATTCAATAATTTGGAAAATCAAAATTGACTCTGCATTTAAAATAATTTAAACAAAGTTTTTTCATTCGTCATAGTGATAAAATGAATAATTTTTATATCGAAACCAACATTTTTTAACATTTTATTTACAAACACAAAACACAGTCTAATTATTGTTATGATAAAGTAATAGAGGCATAACGATTTTTGAAATGGCACTGATTGAAGTAACGTTTCAACAATGTGACTGATTGTCATGAATACTTCATGTCGATCAAATTGGTAATGGAATTTATCTAAACCATCCATCTTCCTACCAACTAATGCTTGATCATAGCTTTTCTATTAAAGGGCTTTAGTTTTTATTAATAAAATATATAAACCAGTAAAACAAGAAAAACATGGCACGAATTGAAGGAAAATTCTCAAATTAAACAGTGAAAAATAATTAGTGGGATGTGGTAGGGTACTTAAGAGGATAATGATCTTACAATGGAGGCGTGCTTAACAGGACGATGAACAGAATGGTCCAAATCGACCGGGAGTGGTATTAGGGGAGATCCAATTATGAAAAGAAGAAAGCTCAGTTCATTATAACGCCCAGCAATAATGGGAGAAGACCATTTATCGGAAGTTTGTGCCTTCATCCAAGTAGCCATATTTTCCCACCTCAATGCAATATTAGCGCCCATGCTCACGAACATTTCTTCCGGGATGGGGACCTCAAGAACAGTCTCCAGCCCATCTTCCCTGTCGAAATTTGGGCATAATTTCCTCATAAAATTCTGCTTGCTACTCCGATTTGGACGTGTTAGTGAAAGCGTCATTGATGATGACAAGTTTTCCAGGAATGAGGATATCTTTTTCTTCAATACAATTCCCTTGCTAATGTTTCCCCCCTCAATTTCTCCTATCTCTGGTAAATGCTGAAAATTAAAAAGGAGATAGTTTTGAGGCTGGGGGTTGGTTTTTTTTTTTTTTTTTTTCTTGTTTGGGTAGTAAGATCAACTTTTGAGGAAAAGAGAAGAGGGATGGGGGCAAAAAAAATTCAGAAAAAAAAAAGCATGAAAGAAGGCCATCCCTTTGTTGTAGAAGTCGTGTGGGCACCGTAATTTTGCATGAAATCCTGAATATTGTTGATTTTTTGCCTCATTTTCCTATTTTTAATTCGCAAATGGATGGGATTTTGATAAGAGGATTATTGAGTTTGTTATTTGACCAAAATGGTAAACCACGATTATAGGCAAAATGGTTACAACTGATGGTATATAGACTCGTGATTAGTGAGAGTGATTACACTGGATTTCTATTTTTTTTAAAAACAACAAAAAAAGTAAAAACAGAAATTACAGTGGTTATGTGCATAAGGAAAAATAAAAACCAAATGAGGCCGAACAGAGATCTTTGTTTTCTATCTAAAAATATTATGGGAGGCACGCTTTTTTCTAGTTTGGGCCTATTTTCTCCAATACTCATTTTCTTCCACTAGAGATATGGCCAACGGCCAGCCGATGTTGAAATCAAATAAAGGGGTGAAAATGGTTGAGCAAAATTCTCCAGCGGTCCAACCCACTAAAACTATATGATCATTTAAAAATATGGGTGTTTGACGTACTAACACATTCTTTCTGATGAAATTTTCCATAAATTACAGTATGATCTACTTTTAGAAACTGTTCGTAATAGTTTCCATGATTTATCCGACACTAACTTGTGAGTTGGATTCTTTACTGGCTCAATTTCGCTTTATTTGCTTTGTTTTTTTCAAGCTCGATATACAAATTAGCCGTAATTGCACGTGTTTCATTTGATGTCCAAACTTTTACAGTTGGTTATAACTTTCATGTTTAACTTATTTTGAAAGTATACACGCGCACATGTTCTTTGGTTCTTATTTGCTATTATTTATGTCTCGAAATTATTGACCAGTTTCAGTTTCATTCTTTATTACATTTGTAATAAAAATAAAAATTCAAATTGAACAATAACTTTGAGATTAGGAGAATATTAGCATGATAACATTGTCTTGCATGCTGAAGATCAAGTCAAACTCGAAATCCTTCCTATTGTTAAGAATGATCACCACACACGACACATTTGGAATATAGATTCTAAACAGTATTATTTTTATTTCGAAATTATTGTCCGGTTTAAAAAACTCAAATTAGACATAATTTTAAATAAAAAGAAATAGATGTATTGTAAGTTTACATTCAGCTAATAATTAAATGGAAGGGTAATTAATAATATAAACAGCATCAAATGGACCCGTCCTAACTCCTAACAAATTTTGGCACATTATAGATCGGAAAAGTTTGACTTCAGTACCTTTGATAGTCCGGAACTCCGTATGATCATAGGATTAGATTTTTCAAAAGGATCATCTTAGCCACACTAGCCGTCTTTCTCCTTTTGTCTTTTCTTTTTTCTTTTTGGAATATAGTATGTAATTTAATTTAACATACACACGTTTGCAATTGGGACAAATACGGTCCCAGAATAAGAGATGCAAACTTTGACAAAATCTCTTCGAACACCCACCAATTTGCACATCTCATATTAGTCAGCGAGTCGAAGACTCCTCCTAACTCAGGGACAAAACTCAACTGGTGCGTGCGTAAAATTCAACTTCTTTCTAATATAAAAGTGCGCTGAAACAATTAAAAAAAAAAAAAAAAGAGGCACTCGATCTTTTTTGGCCTATGAATTCACATTAGAAAGTTTGAGTAGGAAATGAACAAAAACTTGAAAGATAAAAAAGGGTTAAAAAATGCGGCTGGATTTCGGATCGCGCAGATCATTGAAGTGGGACAGTCCAGATATAGTAGCAGTACTACTCCAGTACAGACCAGTGATAGTATCCACAAACTTTTTGTTTGCTTCTTAGGTTTGACTGTCGGCGTCGGCAGCTGCTAGATGCACGTGGCGTTTAACACCTTTTAGGCTTTTACTATTTATATCCATCACATTATTTTTCTTTACAGCTTTGTTACTACTACTATTATTCTTCCCTTTGTGAGAGAAAATTCTACTACATAGTTTACACTTGACACTAAATAAATGGGAATCTGAGTGATAGCCGATTAGTAAAGTTTAAACTTTAAAGGATTAGAGTCCGCTAGACGGCTAGAGTTCAATTTCTAACGGGATTAATGGTAAGGAAAAATTACTTCAGTATCGTTTTTGAGTTTCAGGAGTGGAATCTCATCCAAGATGGATGGTAGAGTGATAAAACATGGGTGAGATGGACAATTTGCCAAACAACAAAACAAGTTAAATAGTAACAGCTGAAGACATATTGTCGGAGAACTAGCAAATTGCAAAATTAGGAAACCATCAAAAAACAACATTTCTAATGCCCTATCATATAGAAGCATCCCCATTATTTTGGGTCCTAATAATTCTTGATCGCAAGCACATCTCATATTTATACCCGAGGAAATTAAGTAGCCTACTTCTTTGCAATCTGACCTCCATATATGCATCCTGTGCTTTCACTTCGACAAATTTACATTATACCCTGCATCATCAAACCTCCCCCCGAATCCTAAACAACATTAACAAGTAAATTAACTTTTTAAGTTGCGGACCGTAGTTCCACTTCTCTGGTGTTAACATTGGCATTTTGTATTGAATCTCCGGCGGGGGAGTTGTTCTTCCTGCCAGGGGTGAACAGAATTTCGATATCTTCCAAAGCCCGGCCTTTTGTCTCCGGACAAAGGAAGAAAAAGAAAAACCAAGCCGCGAACGATACACCCGCAAACAAGTAAAATGCTCCTCCGATTGTGATCTTTTCTGAAAGCGACAAGAAAGACATAGAAACGGTGGCATTCATCAAACGGTTGACCGCCACCCCTATTCCGGCCCCCTGTGCCCTCAGCTTCAACGGGAAAATCTCCGAACTGTAAACCCATGTTACCGGTGCAAGTCCGAGATTAAAGAACATGACGTATGAATAACACGCAATTATACTCATAACCAGAGCCCAAACCAGCTTTTTATCGCCGGCGTGCTCCACCACGGTTAAGAATGTTGCTAGTCCGATCAAGGAGACAAACATTCCGGCGAGGCTGGCCAACAGGAGTTTTCTCCGGCCGAATCGGTCAACGGTGACGGTGGAAATCGAGATGCAGGTGAGCTTAATTAAGCCGACGCCGATTTGTGCGAGGAGAATCTTGTGGTGAGAAGTTACGCCGGCTTTTTTGAAGATTCTGGGCCCGTACAAAATCACGGCCTCGATTCCCGTTGCGTGCTCGAAGAAATGAATCCCGACCGCCGCGATTAAGATCCAGCGGACGGCGGGAGTCGGCCGGAGGAGGAGTTCTTTCCACACCCCTTCGCCGTGGGTTTTTCTCGATTTCGGGATCTTCACGATGTCGTCATTGCAATTCTCGTCGATTCCGGCCGCCTTCTTGATGTCCAACAACCGTTCTTCGGCTTCTTCGTCGTCGTTGGAGACTTGGTACAGTATTTTCTTGGCTTCTCCGAGGCGGCCCTGCATGATTAGCCATCTTGGAGATTCCGGCATTTTCAGGATCCCGATTGCCAAAGCAAGAGACGGGATCGCTGCAATTCCGAGCATAATTCTCCACCCCTCGTGGAGGGGCAAGCCGGCGAACACCCGGTTTGAGATATAGCCGAGAAGTATTCCGATACTAATGCCAAGTTCCGGCAGGGAGGATAAGAAACCACGGTAATTGGGAGAGGATATCTCTGCGGAATAAACAGGGGCGATCATGAGCGCAAAACCAACGCCGACGCCGGCAGTGCACCGTCCGGCGAGGAGAACGGCGTAGTTTGGACTGTAACCCATGAGGACTGAGCCAAGTAGGAAGATACAGGAGGCGAGGATTATGGTGTAACGCCGGCCAATTATGTCTGAGGTTCTGCCGGCGCAAAGAGAACCGACCAGAGCACACAAATTTAAGATCCCGGCAACGATTTCCAGCTGTGATTCCTTTATCACGAATTCCTTCTTGATGAATAACATTGCTCCGCTCATCACACCAGTATCTGGAGAAAAAAAAAATAAAAATAAACAACACAAAAATCAGCTAAAAAAAAAAATTTAGCCAAATTCAAGATTATACAGCTCGTGACTAATAATTGACTAACGTCCCTCATCAATTAAACAACTTCTTTCACGTCCCTTACCAAAATTCAAATCTGAAAAATCTCCACCGAAGTGATGGAATTTTAAGTACATGTTAATTTCCTTTGAACCAAAAAAGATTCTGATGAATCATGATTGAAAAGAATAACAGGGAAAAAAAAGACTAACCATAGCCAAATATGATGGATATCATAGATGCAACTATGGCACATGCAGCGGCATAAACATTAAGCTTGTCCTTGTTTTCTCCAACCCCTTTCTCCATTCCTGAATTCATGTTTTGAACAAATCTCTGCTGAGGATTAATCTTCACTCTCTGTTTTTTTTCCACCTTTCCTAATGGAGCTATATATATGAACTGTTGGGGGTACGTTCCTTTTCGAAATAAAAACTCGTGGTTCCCACGGGGCAGTTGTCCAAGGTACGAAGTATTTATATATATACGTATGTTTCAACTTCCCAGTCAGCTCACAAGATAAGACCCTGCCTGGAAGGAAAGAAAGGTTGACATTCAATCAATCCCTCATAATAAAAAAAAAAGGAAATAAAATAAAATAGAGGATTATTTAATCTGAATGAATGAATGAATGTTAGTATTTACATACAATCATAACAAACACGAACCTCCACACAAATATTAGTATTAATGAATGATGTTATTATTCTGCGATCTGTTGGAAGATATTTTTCACCCGGAAAGAAAGAAAGAAAGATAAAATTTAGATTTGCTCTAAAGAAAGATTTGGAGAGATTAAGGATATGTTAGAGGAGATGGGTAACGGATGAGTTGTCCATGACATTAGAATTCATGGAGGGAGAAAGAGGAAGGGAGACAAGCATTTTGTGTTGTGACGTTGTTCAAGTTTTATCCCCTTCAGGAAACTGGGATTTATGTTCTTAAGTTTTTTATATAGTGTTTGAGGGAAAGTATTATGGGGTTTTGGCCTGGGATTTGAGGACAGATGTGAGATAAGAACAAAATCTGTTGCTCCCCTATTTCTTTTTTTATACTACATGTTTTTTGTTTTACTTTTTTGACAGCGGAAAAAGAGTGTAAAATCTTAGATGTTGATTTGAATGCCACTCGATTTAAAGTCGAAGTTTTGACCCCGTAAATAAGGAGAACAATGCCCCGCTGTAAATATGACTAATCACTGCATAAAATACGGGAAAACGGGTTGCAGCATCTGATATGTGATCCAAATTTAAATGCATTTTGGAAAAGTTAAAAAAAGTAAATATGTCAATATTAATTGATGGGATCCCGATTTTGATTCGGTATTTTATGAAGGGACAAATTTCATCCAAATCAAGATCCACAAAAATATGCATTTTTTAAATGTGTCAAAATCGATTATTGGTTTTTTATATATATATATAAAAAAAAATCTACTACAACCATATTGCAGGAGATTATATTTAAGCAAAAAAGATAATAAGATAAACAAGGTTAGATGCCCAAATAAAATAAAGTTTGGACATGCTATGTTAGTAATTTTACACGTCACATTTTTTCCGTATGCAAGTCACAGGAAACCATAGATGACGACTACATATATAATTGGAGCGACAGAACAGCCAGAATCAAGCTCAAAAGTTTTAACCCGTACGAATGATTAAAACAAATTGTCGGGTTCTAGTTTAAAAATTTATTCTCCTTTCATGTCATTCCTAAATTTTTAAAAGCAAGTAGGAACAAAAGTCGAGTGTGAATAATAAAAAAAATGATCACTCCACTGATGAGCCAGCTTGATTAGCTGGTTAAGTAGTGCTGAATATTTTAATTAATTAAGTAGGGGAAAAAAGAATTCACAAGAAGTTAAGCCATCCTTTTCAAACATGAATTGACATGGCCCAGAATCCAAATACTTCAACAAATTACGCTGACAGGCAAGTCAGCGACTCCAGATTCAGCAAGATTAGTAAATCACGCGGCTACACTACACTAGGTTTATGAAAGCACCATCTAGAGCTGCACATGCCTACAATTATTTATCTCAAAGCAAACAATTAGTACTAACCAACTCGCCGGTGATTTAAACTTCAAATAGTTTCACATATAGAGTAGTTCTTGTTCCAAAGAGTACCATAAGAATATCTAAGTTCTTGTTTGTCCAACACTTGTTTTAACTTTTTGTCAAATTTTGTTTTTTAATTTATCTTTTAAAAAATATTCCAAAAATTAATTTTATACAATTTTTGTCCACCACCACCCGTCATTGCCGGACCGTCCCTTGCCGCCGCCGGATCGACGGTGGCTGGCCGAATGCCTGCCAAATTCCGGCGGTAGTGGTGGGCAGTCTGGTGGCGGCATCTGCGGTGGAGGTGGTCCGGTGGTGGTCTAAAAATATTAATATTTTATTTAAAATATTACTCAAACAAATTTTTAAATTTTATCTAAAATCACATTTTAAATCACATATCAAATCCAAATAAAAAACTAAAACAAAAACTAAAACAAAATGTTGGCCAAACAAGCCCTAACTATTTGAAGGAAATTAAGCCTACACGCGGGTTACACCTGTTTTGTTTGCCTTACCAGATGAGAATCACACGGGGAGAGGGGTCGAATAAATATTATAAACAACCGTTCATTTCTACTGGGATTTTCGATTGATACACCAAGCACCAGTTAAATATATGATGGTCCATCATTTTACTCGTAAAATGATTGTCCAATTTAAAGTTTCATTTTTAGTAAAATGTAAATTAAATATTTCATCATTTGGCATTTGCGTCGGGCAGTGCTCACATTGACATTAGCTCATTCGACAGTCTTAGTTTTGCTGATCTATATATTCTAAAGGTCAATCTTGAAGGCCAAGTTAAAGGTGCATGAACTCCAAATTAACTATTCACCTTGGTCCGAAATAATCATTCAATTTTTATTATTATTTTAAATAAATAAACACGATAATCACTTTGAAATTGAAGCAATTTCTATCCTTTTACACTGAAATCTTCAACAAAAGGGCGCGACGCACTTTAAAGTGAAATTTTAACGCACTTTGATTACGTAATTAAGTAGCCAAATCCTCTATGAACTCAAAAACCGAGTTTAAGTAATATCAAATCAGTGGCAATTGATATACCACGTGTAAGCGAAACAACGTTAATACACACAGAATTTGCCTACGTATCATAACTTTTTGGTAACCATAGAAATTTCCCTAAATTTGGTAACAAAAAGACAGGATTTTTTTTCCCAAAAAAAAAAAAAAAACTGGAGCTAAGATGGGATTTACTTTTGTTTATTGTGTTGGTGGTCACTAGGTCAACTGTAAGACGCACGCACTTCTGGATAAAGATGAGTTAACAACTTACTATAACGGAGTTTCCTCTTTTAACTCGGTTGCTAAGTCAACTACACATAACCCGCACACCTATGGAGATATTATAGGTTTTTTTTTTTTTTTTTGTTGAGAAATGGAGATATTATAGGTAGGTAATAGTAACAAGTATATATGTCCATGATGGAACTTTTGTTTTTTTACTTCATCTGTCCCAATGTTAGAATATATATAATTATAATCGAGTTAAGATATTATTTTAAGTATACGACTCTTTACGAGACAAGATAAATAGTACAGTATTAATACGACTGATAAAGTAACCCATTTAAGTTGAATTTATCATCACGAAATTAAAGATAAAGATTGCTAATTAGGAAACTGTATGAGTTTCACATTTCAGCAAATATTATCGTTTTAACGCCCTTTTATCCAATTATGGAGATAAGCACCTATTTTCTCCGTGCCATAGTTATTGTCCTGTTTGGATTTTCATTTTTAGTTCAAATGTTATTAAAAATAAAATTTTAAATTGGATAATAATATTAGGACATAGGGAGTAATTAATTTCTACTGCACAAATTAATATTGTGCAAATGGAAAGTTTAAGCATCATTTGATCGGTTGTCGTGTGTAACTAACTACAGGATCGATAAAATAGTGGACACAGGCCTATGTACACTACTTAGTTATGGTAGTCATGATCATTAATACAGTAACGGAATATTAAAAAATTTTCAATTCTACATTTGGCTGAACTGGAAGAAATCCTTCTTATTGTTTCGTGCTTTGATTTTAGTTGGGACTACTGATCGACAGCAACGTTGGTGATTGTCATCATTAACACACTTGGGCCTTGGGGCATAAAAATGGTCAATTTTCATGCACACATCATAGCCAAAAAAAATCAATGGATAATAAAGGAGATCAATCTGACTTGATCGAATGGGGCTCCGGATGCTGGAACTGTTAGTAAACGGGATTGAGGGTGACAAGACAAGGTTTGGTGTTCATCAATCAATAGATATATACAGAAGAAGAAGTACATTTAGGCATTTTGGCCATTAATTTAAGAAAGCAATTGCTTAATTAGATGGTGTTTCCCCCAGAAAGCCAAAAAACCAGATAGTATCATTTATTCATCTTTGAGGTACAGTGTATTACGTTGTTTGACAACAACTGCAAACCACTGGGCATAGGGGGGTGGATGGCCCCAATGGCTATAGCAACCAAAGAGTTAAATGGTGGGATGAGATGTTGGGAAGATGAGGTTAAATCGGACAATCAACGTCGAGTGTCTACGGTGAATGGACTGCGTGTTTTATTATATTTTTGCCGTCATTATGATATCATAAATCTATTCTTCTAGTTAAGTTGCCAAATTTGTGTATTGTTTGTAGATTTTTTCTCCCCCTCGAGACGTGGATCTAAGCAACGTTACTACACATTATACAATCTAAAGGAAGTATTATAATACTGCTATTACATCACGATTGACTTAATGACGCAACTTATATTATGATGAGTCATCCGTATTCACTTATTTTTGTATTTTAGAACAAGGGAGTAGTCCAAGTGATTTGGGCTTTGGCATCAATACTGGGAGACTATTATTCGATCTTAAAAATACAATGAAGAATATATATATATATATATATAATTGTATGCGTTCCTTAATCATTTAATTAATTTTCAATCTTCTTATACCATTATTGCACATATAATTGTGTGATTAGGACTTACAATTCACACCTCATATTGACTAGGATAATTTATTATAATCGTAAAAAGAAGTATGAAAACGAACTACTACTTGTGAAGTATCTTAGCTACATTGTTGTGAGAACTCACTGACTTGAGCTTACGATAGAGCATTATTCTCGTCAAACTTTAGGCTTTGTTTGTTTTATTTTTTGAATGTTTTTTTCATAATAATAAAATAATAACGGTTCTATCCTAACATACCATTTTACATTTCTAATACACTTTTTTACATTTACAATAAAAAAATACATAAAAATACATACTAAAAAAATAAACAAACATACTCTTAATTTGTTTGATTCTGTTCGTTGTTAAGGAGAAAGTACGAGTTAAAGTCCACAGCTGACTTGGGAGTTGTTGACTTCTGCGTGTGTATTGGGCTACTGGCTAGGTAGGAATGGGCCGAGTGGCTGTTTAGGTAGGTACAGATTATTCTTCGATTTCTTTAACGTAAAAATTCATAAAAATGTTCAAACAGAAAAATATTCCATCCATATACTCACTAAATGTTAAAATGTTAAAAATGTCCAACGGACGGGACAAACCAATTTAATTAGAAATTATAAAATAGATAAAATAGAATGTTGTTTTATTACTTTATAAATTTTGTATTATTATTAACAAAATTTTAAGCGTATAAATATTATGATAACAAAAAATTGAAGTATAAATATAACAATACTACTTTTTTACTATTCTATTAGATAGTAAAGAAATTAAATTTGCGCAAACTTTGTGCAAATTATTATAGTCGCATGTTGCAAGGACTTTTTAATTGCTTCAGTGTCATTTATTTAGCAAGGCACTATTAGTATTTATTTTCAGTCCATGTGATGCCTTTGCATAAAATCGGAAGATAAAACTCAGGCCAACTTTAATTTGCTGGCTATCTTGTGGAGTAGTAAGTCATTTTAATACAAACTACAACAAAATTCACCCCTTGAAGGTATTCGTATCAACCATAGAAAATGGATGAGAGAACACATTCCTTATGCAATTAGAATTCGGGCTTCTGTGATGTTGGATTAAATTAAATCCAGAGCACCAAGACATGAAAAAAATTGTTAATCATAAAAGAGCAAACATGTTTTACTTAAACTTTTGGATAAATTAAACCAGTTTCACTTTTTTCGTAAATACAGATTAGTATTAATCTCTCTTATCATCTGTTTTGCCCAACACAGCTACACATGAGATAAAAAATACAACCATCAACAATCTAATAATAAAAAAAGAAATAAATTAGAGCAAAAAATTAATTCAAAACCCATCAATACCAAATTGAAAAAGTTGTGAGATTTCAAAAAGTCAAGCAAGCTTATTCACAAGACGGAATTATATATGGATGCACCTGCATTAGGATTCAACAAAAAAAAAAAAAAAAATCAGATAAAAACCAAAAGAACGATAGTGGCGACAGAATCGATACGGTTGCTTGTGTTGGACGGCCTAATAAGCGTACCCTTATAATTGCTGGGATAAAAGAATCCCACATCAGTGTCGTGAAGGATCTGTCACCTGTTTATAAGTGCCAAAGGCCACCCTACTTATTGCCAATCGGTTTTGAGATGGGAGCCCAATGTGACTTTGACATGGTATCAGAGCCCACGATCTGTAGACATGTGATAATTATGGACCCGCGTGTACGGGCTTGGATCCGTGTGCCTTGGACTTGGGTCAATCACTTCCGTGCACACGGATGGGCTTGTTACTGATCCAACAGTATATTCGGAGTATGTACCCGTGTGTACGGGCTTGTTGACTGACCCAGCAGTATATCTGGTGAATTATGTTGTGTTGTGCAACTCCAATGGGCCAAATATCCCACTGGACTTGAGGAAGAGTGTTGGGATAAAAGAATCCCATATTGGTGTCGTGAAGAATCTGTCACCTGAACCCAAGACTTTGACAATAATCAATGTCGATGAATCTTTTTCTCTTGCTTGGGGTAATCTTACTCTGAATCTGTCGATGAATCTTTTTTCTCTTGCTTGGGGCTATCTTACTCTGAATCTGAATCTCTCCAATGGGCCAAATATCCCACTGGACTTGAGGAAGAGTGTTGGGATAAAAGAATCCCATATTGGTGTCGTGAAGAATCTGTCACCTGAACCCAAGACTTTGACAATAATCAATGTCGATGAATCTTTTTCTCTTGCTTGGGGTAATCTTACTCTGAATCTGTCGATGAATCTTTTTTCTCTTGCTTGAGGCTATCTTACTCTGAATCTGAATCTCTCCAATGGGCCAAATATCCCACTGGACTTGAGGAAGAGTGTTGGGATAAAAGAATCCCATATTGGTGTCGTGAAGAATCTGTCACCTGAACCCAAGACTTTGACAATAATCAATGTCGATGAATCTTTTTCTCTTGCTTGGGGTAATCTTACTCTGAATCTGTCGATGAATCTTTTTTCTCTTGCTTGGGGCTATCTTACTCTGAATCTGAATCTGAGTCAATGGTATATTGGCATTGTTCGAATGTTTAGTACCCAAATCTTTAGAAACCGCGCCAGTCTCGATCCCGCTTATTCTGCGTCGTCCAAAATCTTTCCTTCATGACCTTCATCGCATCACCTCCCTATCCTTCACCATGAACATTCTACTCATCATCGTTTTCTTCTCCGCATTCTGCCATTATTGATATTTATCTTTTAATTGAAATTGAAGAAAATCTATAGTTCAGTTTTATTTATAGAAGAAACACCCTATTAGTATATATGAGGTATCTCACCCGTCTATATATATTATAAAACATACAAATTAGGATTCTTACTCCTCATGATAAAGTTTGATAGCACAGTGATCACAACTAAAAGCCACTCCTATTCAAATTCTAAAACACAATTTGTTAAGATTTGATGTTCAGAATCTATTATCAAGATTGTAGTCCTCTATAGATAAAAGAGGTTGATGGAAACAAAAACTGTCAAAGACCAAATCTTAAGTAACAGTAACTAAATGTTTTTTTTTAAAATAACAATAATTAAAGAATTGTATGTTCGTCTTCATTTTATTTTAAATTAAAAAAGTAGAAAATTACCACATAGGATCAAATCCTATATAGCATTGATATATGCCTTTGGATTTTCTCTTTCTGGACTTTGCCTTAGTTATATATATATATATATATATATATATATATATATAAATTATGTCCAAAATTATTATGTACTTTTTAGATTTTCCTTCTTAACTTAATTTGTCCTACAAATAAAAATCTAAACTGGACAATAATTTTGGAATGGAAAGAGTATAAAATTATGATAGAAGATAAAAGTAAAATTCAAATTAGTTATAAATTACCATTAAAGTGATTGTAGAGACTCTTTGGTAGTGAACTTTTCGTATGATATTCGTTGATAGCAAATGCCTAAATCTTCCTAAATTAAATACTGGTACAAATATTGACATGTTACTGCGTACGAAGTGAGTGTGTTTTGGGGGGAAAAAAGAAAAAGAAAAACGAAAAAGGAGCTGAATTAAACAAACGAAGATGACAGACTGGGATTTGTCAAAACGTTGGACCAACGGATAACTCATAGTAGTCACATACAAAGTTACAAACCATAACAATTTACATCTTAAGTGCTTTTTGTCAACGCTAGGAGACTTAACTAAATGTCTAAATCCAAAATTTAACATGTTCCCCCAATTATTTTTATTCATATTTTCATAGGTTTTATCCCAGTCTCCCAGACAAGGGTATTCCAGGACGAAAAGAGTTTGATCATTAGGATCAAAATCCTTCTATTTGAGAACTGTGCGTATTATTCCCGCTTGAAGTTTACTTATCATATCATGTGTTTTCATGCCGTTTTTTTAAAAAATTTTAGTAAGGCATTCGCTGCAGTGATTATGAGTGTCCAACGGGGCACACTTTTATGGGTTCTGAATCATCTAATTTGGGCACACTTTTATGGGTTCTGAATCATCTAATTTGTAATCACTGAAGTTCATTCCTGATGGAATAGCTGACTTCCTTATAGCTTCAAGTTTCAACTCAAAAAACAAAAGAAATTGAAAAAAAAAAATAAAAAAAAATAAAGACAACACAAATCAACCCATATATTTATTCATCACCCATACAAGGGATCAAAGAAATAAATTTTTTTTTTTAAAAAAAATTAAAATAACAAGAAGTCAACAATGCATTTGTAACAGGCTGCATGCTACGGAAAACTAAAGAATAACTAATTCAACAGATGAAGTAGGCAATCCCTGATCAAGTAGCTTGCGGGCACGAATTCCTTTAGATAGCTTCTCAGCGCGAATTTTGGCCATGTTCACCATCGCGTGTTTGCCTCGGAGGGGGAAGAAGTCCATCGGCCGACAATGAGGGTCAAGGACCAATCTTTGTAGAGCACTACTGCTGTTCTCTACAATGTACATGACAACTTCATCATCTGCTCTCCGCCCAGTATATCCGTGAATCTCGACAACTTTAAGTCGGCGAAGAGGGAGACCTGAAACCTTCTCAAATTTTCTTTTGCTCCTACTATATTCATCCCACTTCCACTGGAAAAAATAACAACAATATGAAAGATGAATGAGAAATACTATAATCTAGTCTGGATAAAAGTATAAGAAACATTAAAATCTACAACAAACCAAAGGCAAGTATCACATGGAGAAAAACACGTACCTTGAGAACAAACTTCTCCAAGTTGGGTGACGACTTGAGTAAAAAAGAAATTACGGGAAGAATGCTGAGATCATCCTTAGCCTCAGGTTATAATGTCAATTGCTTCAACCTAGCTAGTTGGGGAGCTTCAAGAGATTTTAATTCTTCCTATGACAGTGAAAACACACACACACACACACACAATTGTGTACAAATTAACAAGACCGCATAAGTTGATAAATAAAATACTTTGGCCGTCCCAAAATTATTGTCCAACTTGGATTAATTTTAATTTTTTAGTTTAAATTATACTAAAACTGTAAAATCCAAACTGGACATTTTGGGACAAAGAGAATTTGAATTACTAGTGTTAAAATTTCGTGTAATAAGTTGAGACTGGAGACGGACCTGTCGAGCTGTAACACTAAAATAGCTATGTCCTAAGGTAAGAACCTCCAAGCTTGATTGGAGGGCGGTAAGCTGTGGAATTATTAGGTCAAGCTTCCACCCGACAGCCCATACATCGACAAGTAACGGGAAATTCTCAAGTACCAAGAACTCCAAACGATCAAATTTAAGTGAGACAAGACATGTATCACGCAGGATGATGGAATTTAAACTTTCACAAGCGATTAACTCGAGAGATTTTAGAGATGATGACCCGCAAACCAGTAGACTTGACAAATCTCGTGACCATGAGTTGTATAATGCCAGATGTTCAAGGGAATGGAATCTGTTAATTAATAAATCAACAGTTTCTGCGGACACCTTGACACCTGCTAAACTTAATGATTTTAAGGGACTTGAAGTTGAAGTCGGTGAGTGAGAGGATACGATACGAGTTTTGCTGCTGCTTCTGTCACGGACGATACAACAAACTACAAAGGAGGAGATGATGATGATTCATTTGATGAACTTTCCTCCTCCTCATCATCAATGATCCTAATACAAGGGAAACGATAAGCGCCTGCGATATGATAATATGCGAGGCCATCTCGTAAAAAGTTCAACTCCAGACTTAGAACCCTCCTGCCGAATGCATACTCGAGCCATTCATCGATATCAGCTTGAGAGTATTTGTCCAATTCAAAACAAATCCTAAACACGTCAATCGCCGTGGCTTGGTATGATCGGACCACCTTATTCACCCATTCCACAAGTGGAGGAATCGGATTTCTAGGAATATTGATCCTCCTCCTCCTCCCTTTTTACGTCTGCTAAAGCTTTTCGAACCATCAAAATCCAATGGAACATCAGCCAACGTCCAAAGTCCCAACCAACATTTCGATACCACACCGGTTCTAGCAGCTTCTTTCAGGTTCAGAAAAGATAGAATATGAACCAGGAGCTCAGTTGGAAGCCGACTAATACGATCCTCATCTTCAGGGGACTGATCACTTTGACTTTGTGCGCACTATATATGTTCAAGCGGAAAACTCAGAATTGTTAACAAGGGAAAAGTTGGTATGAGCTTGATTGGCATTATATAAAAACAACTTATGTGTATAACAAATTTCAGAGCAATATTTTCTACCCAAGAGATCCGACAAAATTCAAAATGCATTTACCCTTTAATCAACTGTGAGACAGAAGGAGAAGAAGGAAGCCAAAATACGCAGGGATGATACTCTCTGATTAAAAAAAAAAAAAAAAACGCTCTTCTTTACAATCGTCTTCGCAATCATGCCTTAAGTATCATCATAATAAAAAGAGCCCGCGGCAGAGACAACTTATTTAATTTGGAAACTTTTTGGCACTGTATCTGCCCTTTTATAATTTCAGTTTGAATCCTAAATTTCTACCAACTGGGCCTAAAATATAAGGGCAATACAAGGTTTGGGTCAGCCCAATATAACCCACTAAACTCCAGGTTGGATTTATTACTTTAATGTTTTATAATCTTTTCTCTACAACTTTTAATGATTGACCTCACACTTCCCCTCTCTTTTTGATTTATGTTCATAAACTCTCTCCAAATATTCCGCTACATTGGGTTTTTCCAAGTTCATAGATAAACTCTGCGTCACATCCAGTCAGTATAAACCTCCATAAATTATCATTGAGATACTCTTAGAGTATCTTTAATCATAAACTCATAAACCACAACAGCAGAAGAGAAAGTAGTGATCGGACCCTGCTCTTGAATTTTTTGTATTATAATTGCAACCCAATAATATAGTATTGTTGGAGATTGTTGACATAAAAGGTGCAATATTCCTGAGATGAATAAAGCTTCATGGTTTCTTCGTTGCTTTTTCTTGTCTTTTTATGAGGCTAAGTTATTTTTACTAGCAATAAATCATTGCAACCAAGTGATCGGATTACTTACTGGTGAGTTCACAAAAGAACTTACTCTTTTTTTTTTTCTTTTTTTTAAAAAAAATCACGAATGGAAGTAATAATATTTTTTTTTTGGTTAACGAAGATTACATCAAACATTAGTGTGATACATCTAATTGCATTAACTTTTGGTTTGAGTTCTATTATGCATGACTATAATATGCTCCAGTTCTCAGGGATTAACCTTTATGGCTTTATACGTAGATGATCAAGCAAAAAAGAATTTTCGGAATTTTGTAACCGTGCATTTCCGGGAAATGCACAAGTTCACAAGATATGAACTCCAGTAAGTAAAAATGCCTATCACCAGGGTCCAGGAAAATAAAATGCCTACCACCAGGAAACCTAAAATTTCCTCCCGATATTACACCTTAATTCCTCGTGTGTATCAGTTATTCACATCATCATCATCATCATACCATTTAAACTTTGGAGCCCTCTAAAATTGGCATTAAATCCACGTAAAATTTTAAACTGGCTCAATATTATTATCACTTGAATTAATCAGGTTTATCTTGATGTATGCATAACAAGTTTTATAATTAAGGGGAAAAAAACTCATAGAGGTCAAATATATCAAAGGTAGATGATTATGTTCCCTTGGATCCCCCCACAAGCAACACCTTCTCCTTCCACCCTTTTAGGTGGGTCTCATATGTTTTTACGACGACAAGATAAAGCCAATTATATGTTCATTTGCTATTTTACCCTCTTGTCTCTTTCTGTTGTTTCCTCCTTCATTGACATTTTTTAACTGGTATTGTTGGTGAAGTTTTAATGTGCCAGATCATCAACATCGTTAATCATACTCTACCTGATCATAGTCTATAGCATTCCGCGGACAGACGGTTAAACAAAATCATTAACTTGTTGAAAATTGTTAAATTTTTGCCATCCCTAATTCTCAGGCCAAATTAATAATCTAGATCAGTACCTAAAAATTTTACAGTCTTATTTTCCTAAAGGTGTGCCGGAAATTAAAAAAAAAAAAAAAAGAACTTTGAAATGATTGGATTATCGAGAAAACAATTGAAATGATTGGATTTGGAACCCCAAAAAGAAAGTTGCTTTCAGTTCTTGAATTCCGTTGTTCGACGCTGCATTATTTTGAATATTCCTGTGATGGAGTGGTGGAATATTATTGTTCTTGTGGAGCTAAAACATCTACACTTTTGAGATCTTATATTTACGACTCATTTTTCTAATATGAATATTTCAATCTGTATCTCATAAATAAGACCAAAGAAAAAGAAAAATAGTTTCATATTTTGTTGTATACCAACAGCGTAATCAACTCATACACATAAAATAAACAAGAACGGGGTACGTACGGTGGATGATCAGATACAAAACCATGCAAATATATGTATGTCATAATTAGTTCAGTATACGATTCGCATTTTAATCTCCTTTTTCATTAAAATAATATTATCGTATATCGCAAATATAAAATAATTAAAAAACAAATATACATGCAAACAAATTTCAAGTATGTTTTTTTCCTTTATGACTTTACACACTATTAAAATGAGATGAAAAGAGTGTTAGAAAAAAGAAATTATACATCTACTCACAACACATGGTGAGTTTCCATGAGTAGTGAGACCTATTCTTTTGTGTGGAATGGTATTTATTTAGCAGCTTTGTTTGAGCTGCAGCATTACGAGGCACGAGTATATATTTAATTATACCAACTGCATTACGATAAATAATTAATCAGAGGATCACGCTGCCTCCGTCAGGCGCTTTCTAAACTTTATTGACTTGGGATAACAAGTGTTGTAGGGTAATTAATAGAACAACTTTTTCTTCTTAGGGAGCGACACTATAAACAGTAAAAGTAGTAAAACATTCGTTTAATTTCAAAACAAGAGTCCTGTTTAACAACGGAAGGAATATATTAATTAATTAATTCCATTCTCAGGGTAGCTTAGCAAAATTTATAACAAGGCCATTAAAAATATGACGAACCGCGGGATAATTGATAATGATCTCATTCATACTAATCATTTTCTTTTGTGTGTGTGTGTGTGTGTGTGTGTGGCAGTAAACTTTTTGTATGTTTTGAAAATGTGATTCTAGAATTTCGCCCGTTCAAAAACCCAAAAAAGGGAGAATTCATATACTCACTAAAACCTAAAACATTTCGATCATATATACTAAAAAAAATCTTGCCAAAATCTTCACCCTGGCGTGAAGAATTAATTTTCTAAAAACATAGCCTGCACTACAACTGTTCTCTCGTCGAAACAAGTTTCCAGAATTCTTCTATACTTCATTTATCCAAAAATATCTATTACAGCTACATTACTTCTGACGTAGGCCATGAAGAAGATATTTAACTTATTAATTAAGAGTAGCTTATGCTATATGCAGCTCTACAACTTTACCTCTATTTTTGCATTTCTACATGATCGTTTTATTACTATATTTAGATGATTTAAAAAAGAAAAAACACCACCACAACGGACTATTGAGTCGATAAGTTATGAACGGAACGGATAGGATAATAAATATACATTTTGTCTCAAGAAAAAATTATATAGTTTGAAATTTTCAGTTTTAATTCGAGTTGTACTAAAATAAAAGTGCGGAATTAGACAATAATTTCCGAGGAGAGAGAGGGAGTAATTGAGTTCTGCATATGTCCGTAGCTGGGGATCAATATTATCATTCAAGATCGAAATTAATTCATTCCACCATTTCTTTGGTAATTTTGTTGATCAGCAACTAATAATTAAATTGTTGATTTGGTTAAATAGAGACCAATACATCCAAATAATGTAATCATGGTGTTTTAGCTAATCCCAAACATTTATTAAAAACGCTCCCTGGCCGCCCCCTATAATCTATATATAAACTGCTCCTTCTTTACCTCCAAGTAAAAAAAGAAGTCACCTTCTCCTTCATTCATCATACTCGTTAAAATTTGACTCAGCTCAGCTTTCCAATATTCATCTTTCTTCTCCTTTAGTCCTTTTCTTCTCTCCATCAATCATGGCCAAAAGCTTCAAGCTTCGGGTGACCAGATTAATCCACTCAGCCTTCCAATCTTGTCGTTCCAAAGATCCTTCCACCCTTCCGCATGATCCTCTCCCTTATTCCTCCTCCTACATCTATTTCTCCTCATCAGTCAACCCTAAATACGTCGCCGTTGACCATTTCCCAACCACCAATAACAACAAGGCCTCCCCTCCTGAATCCCGGCCCTCCGACATCAAACCGCCGCCGGAGGAGATCTCTAACTGCTTCTCCGAAGATTCATCTGACGGCAGAGAGTTCAAGTGGAAAGAAGAAGATAAATGGCATGTTGTGGCTAAAGTGTTTGAAGAAAGCCAGAAGCCCCGCAGGAAGATATACAACTCTTCCGCTTCCGGTGACTCCGGCGAGGACGAGATTTCGCCTTTGCCACGGCTGTCTCTGACGGTGGCGGCGGCGGAGAGAAGAAGCCGACGAGGGAAGTCTAAGAAAGTGAAAATCCCGGCGAGGCCGCACCACCACCGTACGAGCACTTCCTCCGCCGAGAGCGGGCTTTTCAGCAACGACGAAGAAGAGAACTTGGAGTCGGAAACCCTCGTTTCGACTTCCAGAAGCTTCTCGACGGATTCCTCGTCGGAGTACATCCCTCAGTTGGAAACCATCCGTGAGAAACCACTCACGAGTCGACGGCGAGGGAAGAAAAGAGCGAAACGGAAGCAACCGCAGAAGAGGGCTGCGCCGGCGACGATTTACAGGCCGTCGTCGGTGTCGGAGAGTGAGTCTCCGGCGAGGCTGTCGGTGTTCCAGAAACTGATACCGTGTAGTGTGGACGGGAAAGTGAAGGAAAGCTTTGCGGTGATAAAGAAAAGTGAAGACCCTTATGAAGACTTTAAGAGGTCAATGATGGAAATGATTTTGGAGAAGCAAATGTTTGAAGAGAGTGATTTGGAGCAGCTTCTTCAGTGTTTCTTGTCTTTGAATTCCAGGGATCATCACCGACTCATTGTTCAAGCTTTTGTTGAGATTTGGGAAGCCATGTTTTGTGCCAGTGATCGTCATTCTTCTTCTAATAATCATACTGATTCTTCCACCAAAACTTCCGGCGTTTAGTAATGACTGTTTTTAACTACTAGGAGTAATCTACCTCTAATGTGTAAGATAAGTTTAGATTACTATTTTGTACTACTACTACTATTATAATTGACCATATATCTAAGTCAAAATAGTGGTATGAAATTTACGTTTTGCTTCAGTGATGATTGACTGATGAGGCTTTCTTTGGTTTTTTCATTTCATGCATAATCCATGCACAGGTGAAAAATGAAAAAAGTACAACTGATCTGAAACAGAACCGAGGTACATAGTACGAATTATGTGGACGGCCACGCCAAGGCCAACAAGTATACTCGTAATTACAGAGTGTGTGGAAACAGTTATTTCGAATTCCTCCAATTAATTGTCCTGTTTTCAATTAGTGTACTACAAAGTTAATTGAAAGTCAAACTAACAACCCTTTTTTTTTTTTTTTCTTAATAGTACTAATTACATGATGCATGAAAAGCAGAAAACAAGTAGAGTAGTAATTGAAGCATGCTTCAATGTTCAATGCAGTGTGGAATACTTCAACGGGCCTACTTTTTGAAAAAAGAATGGAGGAAGCGAAGATTGATGATTGGGTTTGCTTTCTTTTTTTTGTTTAGTGTCCAACACCTTATTATATCATTACTCGTATTTTTAATGCCAAAACATGACTCCATATTATCAATTTATGAAAAAATGGAACGAAATCGACGCATTATGAATATAATTTGATGTAATCGAAACTTGTAAATTACAACAATTTTTTCACAAAAAAAAAAAGTTAGTGCAATGTGTCTTCTTGTTTTTTTGACTTTCTTTCCATATTATTTGGCGGTAGCGCTTTGACGTGCTGAGGGCCATACATGCAAATCATCCATGCATTGAGCATCTGGCTCTAAGATAAGGATTTGACATTTTGTCATGCATTTTTTAGGTTTCACCATCACTACAAAATCTAATTTCAATAATTGACGATCATATATATTGTATTTTATGACATTCTTGCGGAAATTAATGGAAAAAAAAACAAAATTCAATCAGTAAAATAATACTAACAAATAAAAAAACTTGTGGGGTTATTACATAGGTGCCTAGGGGAAATACGTCGGGACTATATAGCTTTTTACATTTTTCCCAATAAAAAAGATGATGAGGATGAATCAAATCGGAATTTAATGCGCAATGCGAGGTGATAAAATTTTGTTGACGTGATCGATCTTTACCTGATTTCCTTGACCGAAAGAAAAAAGAAGTGACTCGTCGGAGGAACCACTGGATTCACACAAAAAACTTTGCAGTCAATACTCAAAAAGCTGTAAAATGTTAATTTTGTAGGACAGAAATACAATATTTTACCACTCCTCTGTTTTTCGTATGCTGATCAATACACACTTTTTTTTCGAAATTGAGGGAATAGTTACATACTTGGAATAATTTTTTATGTAACAGGTCTATACGTTAGTACTACTAAACAGAGAATCAAAGGCAAAAAAGAATTTAAAGTGTAATTGAGTAGCTTTTTTCATGATTATTAGAAGAGCACAGTAAAAAGAAGGCATAAAATGAGCTAATTGTTGGTGACTTTGTGTACTTTTAGTTGACTAGAAAATCTACCACCTGAGACTGCAACTTGCGAATTGCAATATTCCATTGAATGAAGGTTTCGAAAGGGAAAGAAAGAAAGGATAAAGAAGCTAATGATTGTAGCTTGAAGTTGAAGAAGGGTGGAACATTCACCCCAACAGTGATAATTCTAAGCCGATGCAGTACTAACCTCAAACCATATCATTTCCTTGCACATGGTAATCATGATATAAGGGTTGGCCTAAGCCTAACCATCTCTTCATGAATTTGGATCTTTAATTGGCTAGAAATCAATTCTACTATTATTATACATGGTTTTGAAAATATTTCTTTTTAATTTTGTAACAATTTACATAGCTTTATTTAAAGTATTCCCTCCGTCCCATAATTATTGTCCAGTTTGGATTTTCATTTCTAGTTCAAATTGTACTAAAAGTGAAATTTTATCCAGAACAATAATTTTGGAACAGAACTATGAATTTCAACCATTAGAAGATTCGCCGATAGTCTAGAGAAAGAACAGTTTTAAAAGACATACTTAGGGCCTAGCTATTGTAATATTTAGTATATTTCCTATAATGTCCTAGTTTAGGGTTTGTTATTGTCTATATATAGTCTGTATATCGTGCATAACATATCATGAATCCAATACAATTTCCCTATTCTAAGTTGGTATCGAGCTAGGTTTAAAACAACCAAGTTTTTTCTCTCCTTTTCGTTTCTCTTTCCCCGTGAGCTCCTTCTTCTCCCCGTCGACCATGAGCACCTTTTCGTTTCGGCCGTGAGCTCCTTCTTCTCCCCGTCAACCAAGCTCAGCATCGCCGGCATGTGCTCCTTCCTCTCCTCTTCCAATTCGTGCTGCTGCTGCCGCCGGTCGTCTTCGTCGGCGTTCTTTCTTTACTTGTGGTCGGTTGGTGCTGCTGCTGCGGTTGCTTCATCGGCCCGTGGTTCTGCTTCTTGCCGGCTCTGCTTTCCCCGTTGCTGCTGCTGCTGCTGCTTTTTCTCTGCACGGCTCGTCTGCTTCTTCACCCAGCTGGCGTCTTCCTGCTTCGTTGACGTGGTTCTTTGTCGCCACCGTTTGCTGCTCTTCGTTCGGTGTTGGTGACGAGGATTCTTCGTTGACTTGGTCGTTCGTTGCCGTGGATTCTTAAACAAAATCATTAAAAAAAAAACCAAAATCATAAAAAAAAAATCATAAAAAATTCAGTTTTGCTTGCTTACTTTACACGATGACTATCACCGACCTTTCATCCGCCGACCAGGCTACTCATCTTCGGCCACCGGCATCTTCTTCACAGACATCAGTATCACTTCTTCAACCTAGTCTGCAATCTCTCAATCATTCTTTTACTGTGAAGCTGCAATCTCGAGCCAACTATTCGTCTTGGCGTCTTCAGTTTACTCCGTTATTGACTATGTTTCGTGTTGCCGGTATTGTCGACGGCACTGAACCTGCACCGCCACGGTTTCTTCCTTCCGTCAGTGGTGTCGTGCCCCAACTCAATCCTGACTTTGATATCTGGCAGCAAAAGGATCAGCTGGTCCTCTCTTGGATTCTCTCTTCCGTTGCTGAAGAAATTTTTCCCGTTCTCCAGGCTTGCACAACGTCAAAGGCAGCATGGACAGCTCTTCAGCAGGGTTTCGGCACTCTTTCTTATGCTCAACAAACCCAGCTTGTTATGGAGCTCCACAGCCTGCAAAAAGGTGACTTGTCGGTCACGGCTCTTCTCTCCAAAGCGAAGGGTATTGCTGATACACTGCAGCTTGCCGGCCATCGCATACCTCCTACGGAGTTCAATGCCATAATCTTGCGCAAGCTTGGTGGCGAATTCAATGGCAGAGCTTTGCAGCAGCGATCCGAACCCCCCTCCTATCAAGATCTTCTTAGACAGTTAGTTTCGTATGAGGTGCTTCTTCACGCCCAACAACCAGTCCTTCAGCCGACGGCCATGCTTGTACAGTCGCCACCTTCCCCTACGCAGCCTCAATCCTCTCGTGCCGGTCGCTCGCAACATGGCGGCCGGGGCAATCAGGTTTCTGGCGTGGTGCTGGTCGGCGTGGGTACACCCCTCCTGCCCCGGGTGAGACGTGTCAACTTTGCGGCATCTTGAATCACACGGCCGCCACTTGTCGACGCCGTTTTGATGCTAATTTTGTTCCTCGACCCCCTACCATTCGGTCGGCTGCTTATGCCCAGGCAGTTTCTCCTGCACCGCATTCGGCTGGTTTTTGCCTCTTCCGTCTTACCCGGAGTCGACTATGTCTCCTCAAGCCCATATGGCGCAGTATGCCTCTTCTGTCCCTCCCTGGCATCCGGACACTGGTGCTACCGATCATGTCACACCAGATTTATCCTCTCTCAGTATCTCCAGTGATTATAATGGTACGGATCATATTTTAGTTGGTAATGGAGATACTTTACCTATTCAGCATGTTGGTCAATCTGTTTTGCCATCGTTTTCTCATCCTCTTTATTTAAATCGTATCTTGCATGCTCCTTCTCTTACTAAGCCTCTGTTATCTGTTCAAAAATTTACCCGTGATAATCACTATTTCTTTGAATTTTATTCTGACTCTTGTTGTGTTAAGGATCTTTCAACCAAGCAACTCCTCCTCTGCGGTCGGGCTGATAATGGTCTCTATCGCTTAGATCTTCCTGCTCGTGGTTCTTTGTCTCCAGCAGCTTATCTTGCCTCCTTAGGTCAATGGCATGCTCGTTTAGGGCACCCTAATAATGTCACTCTTCGTACTTTGGTTAGGCAGTTTCAACTCCCTCATTCCTCTGTGTCCACGTCCACTGATAAATGTGAGGCGTGTTGTTTAAGGAAGTTACATTGGGTTAGTTTACCTTCTACGTTTCGTCGTAGCTCTAAACCTCTTGATTTAATTCACACTGATGTTTGGGGCCCTGCTCCTATTTTGTCATTCAATGTTATCGCTACTTTGTGCTTTTTATTGATGACTTCTCTTTATTCACATGGATTTATCCCATTAAATATAAAAGTGATGTTGTCAATGTTTTCAAGCAATTCAAAACTCTCGTAGAAAATCAATTTGGCACTACCATTAAAAGTGTTAACTCTGATTGGGGTGGTGAATTTCGTTCTCTCAATTCTTTCTTTAAGGATGTCGGTATTGTTCATCGTTTAGCGTGCCTACACACTCATGAGCAGAATGACACTGCTGAACGCAAAATTCGTCACATTGTCGACATTGGACTTGCTCTCCTTGGCCATTCCAGTACCCCTTTTCGGTTTTGGGATTTTGCTTTTGAAACCGTTGTGTTTTTTATTAATCGACACCCTAGTAAACCTCTTCAAGGTCACCTACCCTTCACTATACTATATCACCAGCCACCGGATTATACCTTTCTTCGTGTCTTTGGTTGCGCTGTCTATCCTCTTCTTCGCCCTTATAATAAACATAAATTCTCCTTTCGTTCTACTCAGTGTGTCTTTCTTGGGTATTCTCCATCTCATCTTGGTTACCGCTGCTTTGATGTGGTGAATAACCGTCTCTATGTTGCTCGTCATGTTGAGTTTGATGAGAACCTCTTTCCCTTTAAACGTCCTATTTCTAGTTCTCCTTCTTCGCTGCCGGAGTCTCCTGCTACCCCTTGGTTGCGTGTCACCAGTTCTCCTGGTATGCTTGCGTCGTCTTCTGCGTCTTTCTCATCTCCTTCTCGTGCACCAGTTCCTTCGTCTACTCCTATCTCTCCCGACTCCTCATCTTTAGCTGGTTCTCCTGCATCCAGCTCTTCATCCTCTGATTCCAGTCCTCTGCCGCCACCTCCTCCTCCTTCTTCCCGTCAGCACTCAATGACACTTCGTCCACAACCCAAGCCCAAGAAAATCTTTGATCCCTCGGCTCATCTTACCTCTGTGTCCCCAGCTTTGTCTACTGCTCCTACATCCTTCACCCAAGCCAAATCTTTTCCTCAGTGGCAGAATGCTATGAAGGAGGAAATTTCCGCCCTCCTCAAAAATAACACATGGACTTTAGTTCCCCCTCCTTCCTCCGGCAATGTTGTCGGCAATCGATGGCTCTATAAGATTGAGACCCATGCTGATGGCTCCATTGAACGTTATAAGGCTCGGTTGTTGGCTCGAGGTTTTACTCAGTCTTTTGGGGTTGATTACACTGACACATTTAGTCCGGTTGTTAAGTCGGTCACCATTCGCTTTGTTTTGACTGTTGCCGTGGCTCGTGGATGGTCGATTTCTTAGCTTGATGTCAGTAATGCCTTTCTTAATGGTGTTCTGAGTGAGACTGTGTATATGGTTCAGCCACAGGGGTTTGTTGATCCCGTGCGCCCTCATTATGTGTGTAAACTGCATAAGTCCTTATATGGTCTTAAGCAAGCTCCTCGGGCCTGGTATTCTCGTCTGGCTACATTTCTGCTTACCTTGGGTTTTGTGGAGTCTCGTTGTGATCCTTCCCTCTTTGTCTATCGCCGTGGGCCTCAGTTGTGTTTTTTGTTAGTCTATGTTGATGATATTATTCTTGCAGGCAGCACTTCTGGTTTGGTCCAACATTTTATCTCCTGTCTTGCTAAGGAGTTTTCTCTTCGGGATCTAGGTCCGTTGAGTTACTTTCTTAGGGTCGAGGTTCGTCGTACTTCCAAGGGTTTGCTTCTCTCTCAGCGCAAGTATGTCACTGATTTGCTACGACTTGCAAATATACATACTTGCAAACTTATTTCCACTCCTTTGCAGGCTAATGTTGTATTGTCTTGTTTGGATGGTACTCTGCTGTCTCCTGATGATGCGACTACTTATCGTCGGCTGTGTGGCAGTTTGCAGTATACCACTCTCACTCGTCCAGATATCTCCTTTGCGGTTAATAAGCTCTGTCAGTTCATGCATCAGCCTCGCACTTCTCATTTTCAGGCTCTCAAACGGGTTCTTCGCTATTTTCGTGGTACCGTTGATTGCTGTTTAGTTCTGCATCCTACAGATTTGGGTACTCTTACTGCGTTTAGTGATGCTGACTGGGCTGGTTGTCCGGATGATCGTTGTTCTACTACTAGTTTTCTCATTTATTTGGGACCTAATCTCATTGCCTGGGCATCTAGGAAGCAGCCCACTGTGGCTCGGTCGTCTACTGAGGCTGAGTTTCGTGCGGTTGCTAATGTTTGTGTTGAACTGCATTGGGTGTGTCATCTGTTGTCCGAGTTAGGCGTTTCTTTACATCGCCCTCCCTCTATTTGGTGTGACAACAGTAGTGTAGTTTTTCTTGCTATCAATCCTGTGTTCCATGCTCGTACTAGACATGTTGAGGTTGATTTTCACTTTGTTCGAGATCATGTTCGGCAAAAGTTTGTTTCGGTCAATTCTATCTCTGCTGCTGATCAGCTTGCTGATATTCTGACAAAACCCTTGTCCAAAGAGTTATTCTTTCGATTCCGCGACAAACTTCAGCTTCTCTCTTCTCCGCCGTAAGTTTGCGGGGGCGTATTGTAATATTTAGTATATTTCCTGTAATGTCCTAGTTTAGAGTTTGTTATTGTCTATATATAGTCTGTATATCGTGCATAACATATCATGAATCCAATACAATTTCCCTATTCTAAGTCTAGCAACCTGCAATTATTTTCAATTATTTTTAGAATATTACAATGTGACTTTGCGTTGAATTGATTTCTCCACTTAACCCATTCATTGAATTTTTAATAGCACAGTAGCTCAAAAATAAAATAGAATAAAATAAAATGAGAAACGGAAAAAGGCCAAAAGAGACTACAAAATGAACAGAAAGTTTAGCAGCCAAAATACACAAAGCTTTGCACCTGGAAAGTGGAAGACAGGCTATTACAACAACACAGTTAAAAAGACGAGACCTAGTAAGTGGTAATTCCTATTGCACCAAATTATCCCATCTTCATCATCATCATGATTCATCACCAATCTCATGTATCCCGTGAGAGCATCTTATAAACCAGATAAAATCTTGCTTTCTGAATTCTGAATGATCCCACATTTCGACTCCACCGTCGAAAGATGTTTTTGATGGGCATCTATCAATTTCAGTCTCAGGTGAAAAACAAATTAAAAATCCCCATCTTTCATCTTTCTGAGCATTTACTGTGACTGAAAGGAAACAGCAGGAAAAAAAAAAAGTAAGAAAGGCAGTAAAATCCTTTCCTCAAATTGGAATGCTGATGCCACCTTATTGGTCACCCCAACACAGCAAAAACTTTTACCCTTTTAAGGAAGTTTGCCAACCCGCACTACTATTGATGAGAGTTTTTATTGCTGCTGCACACAGCACACTGCAACTGCGTGTAAATAGGAAGGAGTGGTAATTGCGTCTGCTGTTGGTGTATAGACTCCATTTTGCTCCAATTGGTTTAAAATGTAGGGATTGTCTCACTCGAAACACGACACGGCACCCTGGATTCTTTAACCATTCTTGAACAAACTGACAGAAATTTAATTGTAAAGCTCTGCTTTTTTTTTTCACTGCCACAAGGTGAAAATTTTACAGCTTTGTTGTTATTCTTTTGGGGGGATGCATAATTACAGATTCCATACAAATCTTTTTGAGCTTTGCGTTGGAATTAATACGCTACCTAGATGATGCTCTGCCTCTTTCTCTCTCTCGCTTAGATTTGGTTGGGTTTTTTTTTGCTTTTAGCCTCTGTGGAATAGGGAGTCAGCAGCCGAGACGTGAATTCTTCCATCTCGAGGACCCCTTTTTTGGACCGTTGGATCAGTAATTTTTGCTCGTCCTGTATCGATCAGGGAAAAAGAATAATGGGATTTTCACGGGAGTTCCAAGTTTGGGGATTTTTATTGAACTGATCCTTTCAAAAGACTTTGGCAATGAATTGGGAGATTTGAGAATCCCCACTAAGTAACCCATTCCTTTTTGTACCCATTTCCCAATCTTGACAAAAATGGACAACTGATGGCTATCAGCCATTCCTGATAATGGGAGTGTACCTCATTTTCTGGTTCAATTTTGTTGCTTTCATTGCCTCTTCCTTGTTTCATTCCTCAGGAATTATACAATTTGGCGCGCCCTATAAACTGCCATTAATCATTTTCCAAGGAATACTCTCGTCATATTGTATTATTCTAATCTACAATTTCCCTAGACTATTTTATAGCACAGAGTTTATGACGTTTTTCCGTGGGTCTTATTTAGAAGTCACCTTAAATTTATAAATAAGATAGGAGGCAGTATTTTACAGACAACCCATCTACGTAGACCTCCATAATCGGATCATAAACCTATAACGTCCTCGTCATTGGCGTATAGCTGATCCTCACATAACGGGCAATTTATATCCTGCAGATGGTTCACAATAGATAGCAAACTTGTTTTAGGATTTGTTATTACCACGAGAATAGATGGTTATTAACACGAGGTTAGAGGATTCGATTCTTGTTGGGATCATTCAATTTTTTTTTTTTTTAAAAAGTAATTTTCGTATTGAAGTGCACCATAATTAATACTATTTTAACATGACATATAGTTTTTGGATAGATATTTACTTTCCGTCTGGAAATAATTGTTCAAAAGACAAAGACAGTCATTTTGAAACTCAATACTCAAATGGGCTTAAGCTGGCTGATCCTAAAACTTCGGCAAACAAGTTGATTGGTGATGGGTTTGGCGAAATTTTTGCCCATTTCTTGAAATAGCAATCCACTTCTTCGAAATGTTAAAAACCAATGAAACTTACCGAAATACCAAAATGTCATGACAGTGAGTCGGGCCTAAGATCCATAAAGGTGAAGTGCTAAGCCAACCTTTCTCCACGGGCCGAAGAATGGAAAATTTGGACTTTTGGAACAGATTAGAAACAACTTGATGATCACCGAAAATCCACCGAGTTCTTTTTTATTTTCTCACAAAAGTAAAAATTAGTGAGTATCAAAAATGAAAAAAGAAAAACAATTTGGCTTGGCCTTGGTTTCGGATTTCCCTCCACCGCCACTGCTCCGCCACCATAAACCCTCATAAATTTTTATCCCCATTTCACTTTGACTAAAAAAAAAGGGTATTTAATACTAAGGGAGGAGAAAATGATAAGGGGATGTCTTACCGGAATCTACGAAAATGACGTCGCAGGAGCCGTCGGCACGCTCACCCTTGACGGCGGCGACGTTAAACTCCAAGCTTCTATCACCGATGCCACCTTAGCCACTGGTCCCTCCTTAAACGGCCTTTCCCTCTCCGTTATCAAGCCCGCTTCTTTTGTCATCGACTACAATCTACCCAAAAAGGTTTATTACTTATTACTCATTTTTTGCCCTCTTAATTTCGTTTAATGACAACTGACGCTTTTACTTATATGTTCGAACTCATTTTGTGATTGAAAAAGGATGTGAAGTTTCAATTTATGAACTCGGTGAGGGTAATGGAGAGGCCTTTGCATATGACGTATACCCACTGGAAGAATGAGAATCGGACTGCTTTGGATGGGACTCTGATGATTGACCAGGCTCATAAGGTTTCCGCTAATTATGTTTTGGATTCCGGGAATTGTAAGCTGAGGTACAGTTATAATCCTGATGGGTTGACCACCGTGGAGCCTAGCTATGATTTTGGCAGCAATGCTTGGGATCTTAGTGTTACTAGGATGGTGCATGCCAATGACGTGGTCAGTGCTTCTTATCAGAGCTCTAGCAAGGTTTTGGGATTCGATTGGAGGAGGATTACCAGCTCAAATGGGAGTTTCAAGGTAGAATTGTTATGTGTTTTCATGTTTAGTGTTTTATTCATGGCTTTTGATTGTGCGTGTTAAGGTTTTATCTGTTTGTTTGATCATTCCTGGTTTTTGCGGAACTTGGATTTTGAGTTATCTGTTGTCTTTGCTTTGATTGATCTGAAAATGAGTGAGTATGCATGAGGAATTAGGACACTATAATCTTGTTAATTTCACAGTTGCATCTGTGCTGTATAATATATGGCTGCTTGTGACTTTGTGACCATTTGGATTGATTTCGAGTTTGAAATAATTGTTTAGACGTTTAACTCTCATCATAAGCTTGAGTTAACCTATGCTAGTTGTTCCTTCACCTGAAATAGATGTTACGTTGTTCTCCGAATTTATGATAAAATTTATTGGAGATCTGTTCAGCAATGGCGTTTTTGGTTTAGATTGATTATTCGTGTTGATCAGTTCACCTTAGGTAAGCTCTCCTATATATGTACAATTTGTGCTTTCAATATTGATAAGCTCTTAGCAATGTGGCACTGACTTGAGGACCCTGTCACCTGTTCAATCTTGATTTCCTTTCGGTTTGGAAGTTTTGCATTCGATCTCCTCCATGTGTGATGTGTAGGGAGAGTGCTCATCATGATCTGAGCTTAAAATTGCATCTTAAAACAAGAAATTTAATTTTCCTCCATTTTGGAGTGCTTACTATTTGCAGATAGTGTTTGATAATTGATGTTGTGACACTAGCATCTCTGTTTTCCTATGTGCAATATTTCCAGTTACCAACATATTGTGATATACAAGTAAAATTTTCCTTTCTGTGTCTTCTGTTTTGCTAGGTATCTGCAACCATGAACTTGGACGAGCCATCAAAGATTCCAACTCTTACTGCTGAAAGTACGCTGAATTTTTGATTTGTAATTCAACAGTTCTACGAGTATATAGTTATCACCCGTTTGTTCATTGGGTATGAAAGTTTTGTACAATCCACTTGCAGATAGTGTCTGTATGTTTGGCCTGATGAATTTATTAGTCAAGTAGGGATCAGCTTTATGGTTTCGGTTACACTAAAAAGTTTTTCTACCAGCATTTACTTTCACTATTCAAGGTGTTTCACTGTTTTGTCACTTCCATCAGTTCCAACTTCCAAGTATGTCGTTTCCAGACAATTCTTTGTAGATTTCCCCCTATTCTTTCCGTTACATCTCTAGCAAATGTAACGTTGATTCTTCTAGTAACATAATCAATTTCGTGAATTGGCTACCCCAAAATGATCTAGATGTTCTGCTGCAACTTCAATGTTTACATTCGTTTCGTTGTGTTCTTCTCACTACATCATTGGCAAATCTTACATCAAGTTATTTCTAACAGTGGTGTTTTTTCAATGTTAAGAGTCAACAACGATCAACATTCATGATTCAACCACGCAAAAACTAAAAAGAAAACATTACTTTAGCCATAGCAAAACTAAGTCCACAAAACTATCAAGACTAGGCTTTTCTCTTGTGGAGCACAAAAATACAACCATAACAAGATAATACACTCAGTTCAACTTTCATTGCGGTGGAGGTGGAGCCATTCTCATATGTTGCATGGAATTGGGATCGACTGCTGCCTGAGGCGGAGGTGGTGGTCTCCAAACGTTTGGCGCATTCATCATACCTACTTGTGAGGGTGGCCCTGGAGGAGGCCTAGGTGGGGCCATTTGTTGACCTGGCATTGGAGGAGGCATGCCCCTGAACTGCTGAATTGGAGGGGGAGGTAAGTGAGTTTGAGCTGGTTGACCTTGCCAAGGTGGTGGTGGAGGCATTGTCATTGGCTGCGGATACATGTTCACTGGGGCAGGAGGTGGTGGTCGGAGTGGCATAGGTGGTGGAGGAAGACTACCAAATGGCCGTGGAGGGACAGGTGCAGCAATGGTGCCATTTGCCTGAGAAGCATTTTGAAGTGTCGGAGGTGCACTTGCAAACAACGTGTGAGGTCTGCTTTTCTGCACATTTGGATTACTAGCAGCCAGAACTCGTTCTGCATTTTACATTCACTTATCAGTACTGAGCTTCAAATATTAGAGAAATGATTCAGAGAAGCAGATGTAGTCATTCTTGTTCATCCATGATATACCAAGAAACACTTAGCTAGAATGAGAAATGAAACCTTTTAATGCACAGTTCTGTACTGTAAGTTGATTAGTTAAAACTACACAGCTTACCTCTCTCTCCTTGAAATTGTTGAAGTTAGGATTAGCTTAAACTATACAGCTCAGTTTCTTTCTCTCTACTCTTACCACAAACAACAAAAAAAAAGAAAAGAAAGGGAAAAGATTCTAACCTGCAGGTGTACCATGGCGCTCGCCTTTTGTGTCTTTCTTGTAGGCATATGACACTGTAATTTGACGATTACATAGATACTGACCATTCATTGCCTGTAAGCAAAGTAATAAAAATCCTCAAAGATGGATCAAATCAAGAAATACATCTACGAAACTTCAAATGAGTAAAGCCTTCAAAAGTCTAACCAATATAGCACGACAAATTAAGATTCTTGAAATGGCTCATTCTCATCGTGCTACATGATTTATGGACCTATTGTTATTCTACAATCAATCGACACTCAACTGCATAATAGGTTTCTGTTAAACTATACATGTGCAATAATTCTACCAGGTGTTCACTTTGCCATAGGCATAAACAGCTACAAATGAAATTCTCTCTGCCTATATTCATTCTTTCCTCCGTCTTTTGACAGTTGCACCAAAGAAAATATATAATAAAATGTATACCTCAATAGCTGCATCCGAGGCTTCAAAAGAATCGTAACTAATAAAGCCAAAGCCTCTCGAATTTCCCGTGTCAGGATCTCTCATAATCTGCGTGAAGAGAAAACAATGCAAAGCACAACCAACAATCAGAAATAACCTATCACGAGTACAAATGCTAGTCACTGTTCGATTACAAAAATGTAAATACCATATTGGTTTATTACTTTAGTCTATCGTGGTACAAACATAATGGTCACATGATTGATTAAATAGACTTATGCAACTTAAAGATTTTGATTCCAGGCACACAAGAGATGAGCAACAGAAGAATAATAGCTAAATCCTTGTTCGAATAAAAGGTGTTGACGGAGAACAAAACCAAGAAGCAACTACATGAGTGATAAACTCATCCAACGTGTTAGACAAGCATGTACCTTTGGGTTGGTAACAATCACGCCAAATGCACTGAAGGTGTCATAGAGAAGTTTCTCATCCACATCCTGAGAAAAATAAGACATTTTTTCAAGTTCAAATATATACTACAAGATACACTGCAGAATTTTCTTCAGCTTTAGACAAACACTCGAGCCCAGAGTATAAGCTCTTCTACTTTTTTCTAACACAGATGATAAGGGTAGCAATATATCAAGATAGGAAAAGATGAAGTTTCTTACAGGATCAAGATTTCCAATAAAAAGATTTGCTCCGACATCCACGCTCTTTTTATCTTGTGATGCCTAGAAATGACAACAGAGTAAAACGCACAGCAAGATATACAATCAATATTTGTAGACATAAGCATTTGACTAGAAGCAAAACAAAGTAACAAAGAAGATAAGCATGGATTGATACCTTGTTGACTCTTATTGGTTTCCCAGCAAGTTTAATCATGTTAAGAACCTTTATAGCCTGTAGATTCATGAGGAAATCAGTATTAGTAAGCAAAATCAACTAATGCTTTATCTTGAGAGCTAAAAATGCCAATAAACACTCACATAGTCAGCATCTTCTTCACTTCGAAATTCCACAAAACCATAACCTTGATGTGCATTAGTCACTCTGTCCTTTGGTACATACACATTGACTGGGAAAAGATAGCTACGTCAGAGAAAGAGGTCAAAAGAAAAAACAAAAAGCAATACAAAACCAGAGATTCCTAACAATTCTCAAAAGTTAAGGGAGAAATCATGATTTAGACAAAGGGAGAATATCTTGTTTATTTGGTTTCATATGAAAAGAGATTTCTCAACCACAGAGAAAATATGCTTTTAATCCACATAGTTACAAGTACATGCCAATGGTAGGCAGATATCCAAAGTTTTAAGAGAACTGACCAACTGGGCCAGCTTGTACAAACAATTCCCACAACAATTCTTCAGATACCTGCAGACCACCAGAGAAGAATGATTCAGTATTCGCTGCGAGGAAGAATTGACGGTACATAAGTGCCAAATGGCACTCACGATAAAATAAAATAAACTAGAACAGTTCTGGACAATCAGGATTTAGGGAAAACAAAACACCTTATACATGAACTGAAGAGACAAGTCAACTCAACCTTTAGTGCAAGATGATTTAGCACAAGTAAGCGATACAGAATTACAATTCCTTAGTCTGAATTTACAATACACATCCAGTACAAACAATAAATCATTCTAGAGAAAATATACGCTTCTAGTTGTTCCTGCACTGCACCAAAATACTAATTATCTGGCTAGGTGGTAAAGACATCTCAACCAAAATTTTGTGTCAAGTAAACATTTTAATGACAGAGATGTTAGTATCAGTTTCTTTTGCAAACAGAAGTACACAAACATTCGTGTGGGTACTATTCTTATGTCTCTACAAACTTTAGATCGTCACTCCAATTGATGGATCAAATTAAGGAAAAGAAAGAGAAAAAGAAACACAATTAACCAGACACATTATCAACATTCCATCCTCTTTCCTGCACCAATGTTACTAGCAAAGCTTAAAATTGGTGAAGAACCATGTTTCAGCTGTTTAATATAGAGCAAGTTATTTATTCTTTCAATTCTGTCGATAGCAGCCATCAGAAACTAAAAACAGGCAGCATGATAACAGTATCCACTTGAAGCTTGGCAAGCTTCAATTTCAAAGTCATATTTATCAAATTGATCAGTTGTGGAAATCATAAACCCTAAACATAGCCAATAGTTTAGACAATGCCACTCAAGGTAACCATATAAAAGAGAGAAGACGAAACATGAGAAGAATGAACGATTCAAAACCTATAAAACAATTAAGGGGAATAAAAACTAGGTAAACAAATTCATGAGTTGAAGAAGAGGAATATGGGCTAAAACCCGTAACAGTCGAGACGGAAGAAAAGAGAGAGGGACAGAAAAGTACACTAGGGTCAAGATTGCCGACATATGCGGTAGCGTCTTGATTACGCTCGGCGGAGTGTTGGCCGAGGAGGTTAGCTCCGACACCGGGAGCTATCCGAGTGGTCATCTCCGGTAAAACGACTTCTTCCTCTACGGCAGCTTCGACTATCTGGTTATGAGTTTTAGGAAGTCAATAATAATAGCGCCACAAAGCTTTTGAGTTTTTGAGCCTTCGAATCTATTTATATCGGACTAGCATCCACCGTTTGGACCTATTTTCACATCTTGGAAAAAAATAAAATAAAAAAGGTTAAATCCTAATTAATAGAAGAAAAAAAAAATAAATAGCCCATCCTCAATTTTTATGGTTATTATGTTTACAAAAGTAGAATATAAGAATAAAAAAGTTATTGCAATGGTACAATAATTTTCTAACTTCTCAAGACAAAGATGATTTCAGTATGTAGTAACAATATTGTTTGTTTAATTGGGTCTATGATGATGATTTCATTGCTCACATAGTATCAAATTCAAAGATTATTTTTTCCCTTTGGGTTTTGAGAATTTAATGGAATTTTTCAATAAATGAAACCTTACACTCGAGTATAACAAAGTTTGAGTTTCCCCTTCTCTTTTTACATATTCTCGTTTTTTCAACAATAGGATCCTTCTCGATCCCTCTCTCCCAAAACCATTCATATGTCTTAGGATTTTTTGTTTTTTATTTTATTTTATTTATATATCTCAATTGATGTTTATATATCACGTTTTTTTAATACTCGGAATAGTGTTGCTGATAGTTGGTGGAAATCAGCACGAGTATGTAAACTTCAACAAAGTTATGGTCGTTTTTGTTCCATTCAGCAGTACCTATATATATAGTACGAATCTGCATTCTGCAATTCGCAGCATTTTGCGCCGCCGTGCAACTGGTATGCAAATTCAAAGCGAAACAAGGAACCTTAAGACGAGGTTCTCTTCAAGGCTCAAGACTAGAGTATCCGGAGCCAGAGGCATCAACGTTCTAAACATAGACGAACAAAAATGTTTCTGAAAGACACTTTAGAGCTAACAAAAGATATCACATCTTATTGACTGCCACATGCAAACATTCACTTTGAAACTGCAACAATACATACAGGCGTCAAATGCTAAAGGTGCTTATCATCATCACCCATTGATGAGCAGAGACAGACTATCACACATGTTTCTGAAAACATTATACAGCTAACCGAAGGCATCACATCTAATTGATTGCCAGATGCAATCATTCAATTTGAAACTGCAACAATACATAGAGATGAATGCTCAATGTTTGCTTATCATCCCTGTTGATGAGTAGACAGAAGTATCAAACACCTTTCTGAAAGCATTATACAGCTCATGCAAGATTTCACATCTTAATGATTGCCAGACATTTTACCAACAGGGAAAATAGGCAATAGAATATTAAACCATTCAGGCGCCTCAGGCTGATAAACATCATTTCAAAATCTGCAAATACATTAATGACATAAATTTCATTCAGAGAATAGACTAAAGGCCTTGTCAAGTTTCAAATGTAAAACAAGCACTGCGAGAAAAGACTGTTAAAAAGGTGAGAAGGAGCAGCACTCATACTAGCCTTATTGTGTCTTCTAATTCAAATAGCTACGACCGGCAGTATACAATTAACACCTTCCTTCCTCAGCAGAAGTAGGAAAAGCAATCCATTCATATTCATACTCAGAAAAGAAATTCATCGTATAAAAGATTTTAGTTAACGATGACAATTGCAGTGGACTAAATAACTCCAAAACCTACTGGAGCAAACACCTCTAGCAAAAGATGGCGGCGTCAAAACAAGTCAAATCTCAATTTACTTGGAAGGAGCACATGCATGTTGAGCTCAACGAGCAAAAAAGTCTACCTCTGGCTCTCCTCTCTAACTTCCTTTTACGTCTCCTCCAAATCAACCTTGCAGTTGACATCAACACTATCCAAACCAAGTTCTATCTGCAGCTTCTCCCAAGCCTTCACAACATTAGGAGGGAACTTCTTCTTCACCGTCTTAATCACTCCTCTAGCCTGTTGCTCCCTAGACATTTTCACTAATCCTTCTACCAAATGCTTCAAGGTATTAAAGTCAGGAATCTTGTTCACCATCATGCTCTGCTTGTATATCTTGTGGGCTCTCTCAAACATCTGCTTCTTGCATAAATGGAATACCAATGTCCGATACGTTGCAGCATTGGGTTTGCAGCAATTCACCTCCAAGTCCTCATAAACCTTGAGGGCCTCATCCATCATCCCGTTCACACAGTAACTAGTCATCAGATAGTTGTAAGTTATAGTATCTGGTTTCAAACCAGCTCTCTTGACCTCCTCAATTAGGCCCTTCACAGTTTCAGGATTCCCACCATAAATCTGGTGAATCTTCATATTATAGGCTCCAACATCAAGACACCCTCTTTTCACCATCTCATTCCATAAGTTCTCTGCCTCTTCAACCATCCCTTTCTTATAGAACGCATTCACAATGGGAGAACAAATAACAGCTGTAATCTCAATATCATTTTCTTCCATTTCCTTCAGCCTCTCCATCGCCAAATCGGGCGACCCCATTTCACAATAAGCCTTAATCAAATTCCCATATGAATAAGTATTCGGCAGAAATTCATATCTTTTAGGCAAATCATCGAACAGCTCAGGCACCTGACTAAATTTTTTTGACGAATTGCAAGCAGAGAGAAGAGCATTAAATGAAACATTCGATCTGGGGGTGCCCAAGTCATCCATCTGGTTATAAGTCTTAAGGGCATGATCAAACATGCCAGCAATACCATATGATCGAATGATGGATGAGAGGAAGTGTTCCTGTGTGATTTTTGAGTCTTTTTTGTGGGATTCAAGGAAGGTTTCAATGTCAGAGAAGCGGTGAACTTTTGCAAGGCGGCGGACGGTGTATTGTTGAGTGTATCGAGAGAAAGCAGCGGAGGCATTTTTAGGTGGGGCGACGGAGGAGTAGATCTCAATTGCTCGGTCAGGGTCGAATACGTTTTTGAGTAACGATTTGGCTTTGGAGATGGAGATGGTAGAAGGGTTTTCGGAGGTACCTGTGGAGGATACAGCGGCGGCGGTCGTAGCGTTGGCGGCCGCTCCAACGGTGGTCGAGAGGTGGCGGACCTGACGAATGACCAGACGGGAAGACATACTTTTAGGGTTTTAGGGATTTAACTTCTTACCTCTTTCTTTGGGCGAAGTGCTCACTGCTCAGTCGTTGATGGTAATATAAAAGACTTAAAACTGGATTCTGAGTGAATTTCCTCAAACTTTCTGTTGAAATTACATTTGGCACCCCTGTTCTTTGGATTTATTAACTATCCGTCATTTTTTATGTCCCTCAATAGTCAATATCAAGCCACAAATTATTTATTTTTTCCAAAAGAATACCATTTGATGAACGTAGAAAACTGTAGTGAAAAGACTTTGCAAATACATTTCACGCGCATTAATCAGCATAACTACTCTACTGTTGTGAACATTTCTCAAACACTCATCTGGTGGAATTGTTGTAGCTGGTCACTAGTTTGAGTTTGCTGATAGAGTAACAGGTGAGCAAGGATAAGGAGAAACGGAACCATAATCAGCATGAAAGTACAATCTGCCGCTCCACGAGTTCTCTATCTAGAAAGTCTACAATGAACATGCACCACCAGCGATATGAAAAATGAATGCTTCTTTTTAGTACTAATTGGTTTCGTAAATGACCGGTCACAATGGATGAAAATGAATGCCTCTATTTAATACTAATTGGTTTCGTAAATGACCGGGCACAATGGACTAAAATGTCCGATAGCAAAGAAAACAACATACATAACTTCTATTTATTTAACAGCACTAAAAGCATAAGAATTTATTAAATTCTCTTGTAAGAAATGAGCAGAGTGCTTCAAGCTAACAATATTTGCCAATCCCATAAAACCATTTCAAAGACATTGCAGTTATCATATCAACCATCCTACAAAAGAAAAATTGACACAAGATCGTCTTAGCCACTGTAATCCCCTTCTGAGAACTTGTTTTCTGGATAATAGACAGCCACCACCTGGTTCCCACCAAACTTCCGCCCGTGCAGGCCGTTTCGTGCTTTTGTAGCACTCTCAATATCTGCATACTCCAGAAATACCTGCAAACAACGATGGAAGTTTCACATTTATAGTTGAAATTTTAATGTTACCCTACTTTAACACAATCACAATAAAGTAAAAAAGCAAGCAACCAAAACTAACCTTTCCAACACCTGGTAAAACTTCACCGTTGGGACCAGGGCGCGGAATGACCAAGTTCACCAGAGTACCTGTCAATCAAATTATAGTTTCAGCCAGTTAGCTAAAGAAAAAAGATCTTTAACAAATACAAATATCCAACTACAAAGATGTAGTCGTGCTAAACAAGGGGGACAGGAAGAAAGGGACCGAAGGGAGCGGGGGGACCATATTATGCTGTGGAAACATTTTGGCCGCAAAACTGATCCAAATTTGAAGATAATTTGCTGAAGACAAGAGACTAATTAGGTTGGAAACATTTTGGCCACAAAACTGATCCAAATTTGAAGATAATTTGCTAAAGACAGAGCCTAATTAGGTAAGTAATCAAGAAACAATCACATACCGAATTTTCCACACTCCAGTCTCATGTCTTCAAGTATGTCTTCATAGTCATCGTCGTTAATTAGTTCATCAGGACTAACCACTTCTGTCAGGCACAACACCTTGGAGGTGGGTATAGGCTGTAACATAAGCTTCTGTTGCTAGTCCAAATTTTAGATAACCAACCCCACAAGAAGTTCAAAATTTCCATTAGAGCATGTCCAAATAAAGGAATTAATCACAAGTTCAAAGAAAAAAGCCATAAAATCTTTACCTGAATAGCAATCTGTTGCTGCGCATGCAATAAAACACTTTCTTGCTCAGGTTTAGGTTGTACATTGCCTTGATTTGCACGTCTAACAGTAAGAGTTTTATCACCCATCTTAATCCCATTAAGAGCAGCACAAGCAATATCAGTAACTGATAAATCCTGGTAGACACAAAAGGCATAGCCCTTTGAGTTGCCTGTTTCTCTATCCTTAACCAGATCAAAACCACGAAGTGGTCCAAAAGACTCTAGCAGCTCTCGGATCTGAGCTTCTGTGAAATAATAAGGCAAACCACCCACGAAGATACGATCTGGACCCTCAAGTCCACCAGCAGAACCAGGGGTCAGTCCAACAGCCCCAAGGTTCAAATTCGGATTAGGCTGGCTGGGACCAAGAGTAGCAGCTAAGGAAGGGTTGTAATCACTGGGCCTTCGAACTTTAACTGGTGCTCCCTGTAGAGGAAAATTATTCAAAATAAATACGGAACTAACAAGAAGCACTTCTAAATGCAACTTACAAGTGAAAAGATAGCGAAATTTTCCCCAAAAAACAAACAATAAATTGCAAGAATGATATAGTAGAGTAAAACATGGCCAAAATATACCTCAGAACGAAAAAAGAGGAAACATGGCGACATAGAAAAATTTAAGCAAAAAAAATTCAAATGAAAGACAATACCTCAAAGATAATGCCATCCAATGCCATGGCATTACTAGCCTCCTCAACCGACCGCATCTCCACAAAAGCAAATTTCTTCTCATGGTTGATGTAAACGTTCACAACAGCATCCCCTGACAGACACACAAGGGTTCATATTTCCACATAAAAAATAACATCAAAGTAATAAAAAAATGACAAAAAAGCTACATAGTGACTGATGTGGCGTTGATATGGTAGCAGCAAAGCTGTCTGCCACGCGGATGGCAACATCAGTCACCAGAAGTTCTCTATGATTTTCACAAGTAATAAAGGAATGTCACATCTAAGCGCACCTGGGCCAGCAGTGTTTCCACCAATTGCGGACATCACATGGCTGAAGAATGTTGCCACAGACTGAGTACATAAAAGTTTAGGAGAAAATCATCATCAGCAAAAAAGCAGAACTTTAAAATAAATCATGCATAATTTAATGAAGTTGAGTTCCACGAAAAAAGAGAAGATGCAAAAAGGTATGAATCATTCAAGGAAGGAGGTTTTAAAGGTGATCAGAACCAGGATGTACCCAAAAAACATTTCAATGGAAGGAGTAAGAGCATGAGAACAACTTCAACTTTAATATAGTCTATTTACTAAGACTGTTACATAAGCTCCTTCGTCATGCAAAACTAAAAGCAAATCTATTCAGCTACTTGCGATGCAAATTCAGTTAGCAAAGCAGGAAATACCTGTTCATTAGCTGTGGGAGGAAGTCCACCAACATAAACTCGTCGAGCATGTCTAGTTGCCTGAAGACACAATGTTTACAACACGTTAGGGAAGACGATAGAGTAATGAAGGAAGGGAAAAGAGAAAAGAATGAAAGGGCAGGTGGCCATCCAGACCAACCTGTTGAGTCATTGCCTGAACCGGCATCACCGGAAGAGGTGGGTACTGCAATCAAGGATTTTGCAACAAAACCGTCAAATAAAACAAGAAACAGCGCATAGAAAACTAAATCACTATGACGAACATGAGGGGAAAAGGTACCTGTCCAGGTGTCAGAGGAAACATGTTTGGAAATAATCCAGGAACAGTTGGTGTGGTACCAAGTAATTGACCTGCAAAGACCAAACAGCATTACAACTCTTAATTAATCATACAGCAATTCACTTCATACTGATATGATAAACAAAGCAAAAACATTAATACTACTATGTACTTTTCAGAAAACCTCTTTTAGAAGCCATTAACAGAAAAAGTAAATTGGAAGAAAATACAGGTATAGAATGTTATCTGCAAAGCTACTGAACATGCATGCAATTCCTGGTTGAAGATGAACAAGACCTGTATTGATTCTTCCTTGTAATAAAAGCTACAGAAGTCGGCTCACGCCCAGTGTCAGCACAGTGGGGCTAGTAGCCCAACATTCATACAAAACAAACAAACAAACACCAAACACAACAAAAAACCAAAAGCTCTCTCAGTTCCAGAATTATTTGACTAAGTATAACAAAAAAGAAAGGAGAACAGAAAACGATTAAAAAAGAGAAACTAATCTATGGTCAGCCTGCACACCAATCCAGGCGCATATTAGAAAACCTGATACAGCTTACCAAAATTGATACCATGAATTTTGACGGAACTTTCCACACTATATCAAAGAGCTAAAAAAAGTTAATTATTAGCATTAGACTAAAACTTAACAAATCGAACATGTACCTGTAGGAGGAGTCACACCCGGAAGCAAGGCAGACTGCGGAGGTGCCATGTCAAAGCCACTGATCCTTTTGCTGCAAATTACATCATCAAAACCAAGGAAGAAAACAACCAAAAAGCAGGAACTAAAGGTTAAACAGCACCATGCACAGGTTATAGCCAAAAATCCAATCAGGCCGTTTTATAAAATTATTTGACATTAATCTACACATTATGATGATCATAATATTAGAACATAAAACCTTTTTTATCCAACGATCTGATCCAAATTAAACTTTAATACAAGGATATCTTGCAGTATCATTTGTGCATCTATCTCGGTACATCAAAGAAAAATTGACGCCGGCATAACATAGAAATAACATATTCAAGAAATAGAACACACCTCTTCGAGCGAGATCGAGAGCGTGACCTTGATCGTCTCTCTGACCTCTCCTCCCGAGATCTGGATCTATGCCGGCGCCTGTCCTCTCTATCTCTATCATAATCTCTCCTCCTTTACATTGAAAAGTTAACCCACATATTCCAAGTTCCCATAATACAAAAAAAAAAAGTGAATGAAGTAATATTATTCGCCTTACCGGTCATAATCCCGACTCCTGTGATAATCATCGTCATCCCTGTCTCTGGTTCTCTCCCTGTCTCTTCTCTCACTTCGGTCCCTGTGTCGATCTCGGTGATGACGATCCTTATCCCTGTCCTTCTCCCTATCCCTCTCCCTCTCCCTATCCCTATCCCTATCCCTACCACGCTCACTGTCTCGGTCCCTATCTCGCCCCCTTTCCCTGTCCCTGTCTCTGTCCTTGCTCCTTGACGAACCTCTTTCCTTATTATCTCCATCACGAGAATGCTGCAAATATAAGAATCAGATTAGCACCAAGTTAAACATACACCGCTTAATCAATTTCAATAAAAAGTTCTTCAACATTTGCATACCACTGTTGCGAGTTAAAAGATATGATAACCATCAAATTATAACTCGTGAAACTTCATATTTTCATAATACTATACATTCTAACCGAACGGGCCTTGAGAAACAGTAAAAACAGCAAGCGCTGAATTTGAACACAACATAAATATCCACACAAAAAAGCATCATGAAAATCAGATGCAAGAAGCCCTAATTTCGGCTACATCAACAAACAGGCGCTTGCTCAAAATAAACAACAATTCCTAATCACAAATTTAAATCGGGAAATAGTATTTGGGGGAGTCACAGCCCACAATAATCGATACATAACAGAAAAAAAAGAAGGAAAAATTAAGGTAAATTGTAATTTCAACGACTTCTCGAGGATGATATAGAAATCAGATAAGAATCGAAGGTACTTGAGATCTGGAGTCACTGAAATCGTCGGCACCACCGTGGCTGTTAGTTCGGTGTTGCGGGGAAGAAACACCACCGTAATTATCCAGATCTTCACCGCCGTTGCCTTCGTAATCCGCCATCTCTAGCTTCCTCACTCCTTATTGATTGTTATGACTCCTTATTTGTTGACTCTGCTTTTCTCGACAATCTATTTTCTATCCTGAATTTGTTCGGCTGCTCTCTCCTCTCTCGCTTCGCTTTCTGTCCCTTATTTTCAAAGGTTCTAGGGCTTGATGTCTGGTTTTATATAGTCGGCCTTCAAAATTAAGTTAGGAGGAATTACGCCGAGTCCCCCCACCCACTCGCACACGCGCGCCTCATTTAGAAATAAGAAAATCTGATTTCTAGTACAAATGTTTGTACAGTTGACAATTCTAGTCCCTTACAAATTTTAGAGTTAGTAGGTACTCTTTCTAGTCATTTTTTATTTTTGTCCTAAATTTCACCTAAAATTTTTTTGATTGAATAAAAAAATTTAAAAATATATTTTCACATTTATTATGTTCTCTTAATTATTAAAAAATATTTTAAAATTTTTTTCTTAATTGAAAAAATATATATTAGGTGAAGTCTAAAATAAAGAAAAATATCTTATATACTAATAAATATCGGATGGAGTAATAGTATTTTTATTTTTTAGCTTTTTCTTTTATATTGGTATCATCTATTGAAAGAAACACTTGAAGACCCAAATTACACTTTTTATTTTCGCAAAAATGAACATTCTGTTGTGATTAACAATTATAACTAGATGCTTGTCCGGGGCATCCTCCCACCTAATAATATAATATGTAAATAATCAAAACTGATTAGGAATGAATTTAGTTTTTGATGAAGATAATTGATTTATTGAAAATTAATTTTTTAGAAAGTCCTAAATAAGTAGAGAAGAAAAGTTCCATTCACTGTCAAATTCAAAATTTGAATGAATATAGCCATCTGATCTCTTTGTTAATATTGTAAATATATATATTTTTTTAAAAGGAGCTGACACGTGGCAGAATGGTTGGTGTATTTGGAGCCAAAACCTTTTAATAAGAAATTGCCACATCAACATCCTGTTTTCTGCTTTAATAGGGTAATAAAAGGGATAACTCCCTTTTCAAAAAAAAAAACAATTATAACTCAATAATTCTTGAAGAATAAGGATAAGGATAAAAAGTCCTTGAATTACGTCCTAAGCACTAATCTTCCCCGAGTTTCTTTGTTAAAAAACAAAAACCTTTCTTAGCCGTTATAAATTTGAAACCAATGATCTGTAGGCAGTAAAGTGACTAAAAAACTATGACCATATTTAAAACTAGATGTTTGTCCCGGGCGAATGAATGTCCGGGAGTGCCTCTTAACAAATTGATATGTCAAAAGAGTGACAAACTGAATAAAGATTAAATTAGTTTAACTCATTCTAAATTATATGAGGGTTTGCCGAAAAGAAACTTCAGTATTTGTTCAAAGACGAAGACCATTCCACTTGAATGTTATCATCCAGAAAAAAGGTAAAAAAACATAGGAAATTATCCAGTATATTTTATTGATGTCCATTCACCCGGTCATAGCTTTTGAACTTCTTTATGAGTGCATTAGCTTTCTGGAGACCCATTCCAGGCAATGATTGCGGATAATCACATCCACTTAAAATGCACATCTCCAGAATCATCTGCTTGGTAAAGTCAATGAAACCCAATTCTTTGTTCTGTTGTAGCATGGAAGCACCAAATTCAACTCCTTCCAAACTTGATTAGTTTATAGAGAATCTGAATCAATTGAAGATTTTAAGAAAATCAAAGGTACCAAATATACAACATTACATCAAAATTCACGAGGACTTATAAGTGACTACAACACAGTCCAAAGCAATGTTGGAAGTGTCGCAAACTGACTTACTCTTGGGCAACCGTATACATTAAAATCTGAATCCTCTATTATAACTACATCAACTTCTTTGCTCACAGCCAGGTAGGTAATTTTAGCATTTGCTTCGTAAGGAGCCACGATATACGATACGTTTTCCAGCTTCAAGACCTTCGGCATATAAAATAACTTTAATATCAAAAAGTTATAGCATTAACCGTCAGGATATGTCGAGAAAGAGAATGTAAGAAGTATTGATTAACACCCTCAAGTCCCAATCAAGATATTTGGAGCCAAAGAAAATCTATTACCTGAATCAAGTCATATGCAACTGAAGGTAATACAACAACGATTTTTTCATAATATTTATAAGCTGCAGTCATATTACCATTTGACTCATGCTCCAACGAGGGAGAAAGGTTCTCTTTCCTTGACCTGTCTGAATAACATAACAGTTTCAAGAAAGAATTTTACTCAGACATTGCAGTTAAGTTTAAGCCTGATAATAAATTATGTAAAGTAAAACACCAGAACCTGATAATTCCACTAACATCAAAAAGGATAGTTAAGTTTTTCTTCACATTCAATAGAATGTAAAGATAATCAAAGAAGCACTTTTCACATAGTAAACTATTCAGCCAGAGAATCACCGTATCAGAACTCTCTCAAAACTAATTAAGACTTTTTGTAGAATCTTCTAATTACAAATCAGCATAATCATCTCTCTCATATTGACAGTAAATTGAACATGGTTGAAATTTAACTGCAATGCCTAATATCAATGGAGGCATTATACCGTAACATTCACACGATGAATATGAATATTGATGCAGCCGAATTTTTTTTCTTAAGTTTTAGCGGCATTTCTAATGCCAGATTTGACTTCTCTATATGATCCTAATATTACAAAGATGTCAAAATAACATTCGTCAGCAAATATAATAATTGATGAACATGAACCGCAAAAAATTAAATTTATACCCGTAAAGATGCTGATAACAACCTCGACCCTTACTGCGTTGATGTCAGATGAATTGGCAGATAGGATTTAATGAAATTGGCAAAGCTGAATAAAAGCGCTTAGCCCTATCAACTACTGAAATGGAAAACACTTAAATAATTGATCAAAATAGCATTGGAATGGGATGGGAACAATTCAAACACTAAAACAATTATATATGTTCCGTCCACATCAAAAAAGAAATGAACATTATAAAATAATCATAATCAAATCATTCTTTTGTTATCAAAACAAAACCTGAAAATAGAAAGAAGATAATACACATGAATCATAACTTCCAATGAACGGCTTTAAAATATTAAATTAAAACAGAAACAAAAATGAAAGTACAAACTTTGTGAATTGGGACTTACCTTAAAGTAGTGCTTACGAAGTAGAAATACATGTACCAATAATGGTCCAGATAAGTCCTATCCTCAAAATTGACTCATTGTCCTTCTTTGATAAATTTTCCATATCCTCTTTACTGAACACAAAAGGTGAAGATCCCAGCTTCTTCATCTAAATATCAATGGCTCAACCATAAATAGAAATAAAACAGCCCTAACAACAACAACAATAATAATCTTCAAAGTTATTGTCATTTTACTCCACTAACAATCACAATTCTGCCAATGAAGGATTAAATGGTCTATTTAGAGGTAGTTAGGGAGGTGTTGGGACATAAATCGGAGGCTTTTTGTCCCGAACAATAATGGCAATAATGGCTCACTAATAATTTATGTTGTTTTCCGAATTAGAAAAATTATCCACTTTTTTCCCCCCAAAAAATAGTAGCCAATTAAGTTGACAATAATAATGGGGCAGGAAAAATAATTGTTAGTGTGTTCAATTTTGAAAATGGTGACACTACTATGGAAAATTCTATTTTTTTTGTTTTTGTTTTTAAATGAAATAAAATGATATTCGGTTATGAAGTGAGTTCATTGTTTGCATTCTTTGATACATTCTCAAGTTTACATACGATTCATTTTCAACTATTTAGTTAAAATTCCACTTTAAATGTAGGATTGAAGTGAGGTGACTGGAATTGTTTAGATCAGAAAATATTGATGCACTTATCATACCGGACTTGATCATCAGAGTCAGAGCCACCAAAATCTTGATCTATACAAACCAAAAAAGGGTAATCTTCCTAGCAAATTAGACCACCTGCAATACGCACTGTACGTCTTTCTCTTACCTCTTTTCTCTGACATAGTAGATGCTAATCTAATTTCTAAGAGACATTCTAAAATAATAATCAAATCGTCAAATGTTTCTCAATCAGATCTTCCCCAGTATATGCTTCTTTCCTCTCAGGGTGGACAAAAATAAACAATGCTGTTTGACCTGCGGGATTTCCCAACTGACCTTCCCGGACTTGGTAAAGTTTGCAAAAAAAACGACCAGCAATTTTGGCCGTTTAACAGGAGAACACCTGTAAAACAAGCCCAATAAGCGAAATAAAGCATGCACAGCTCTGACAATGTCAAAGTCATAGAATATTACACATATCTCAATAAGGAAAAGATGATGACATGGTAAAAGAATAGGCTGCTAGACCTAAAAATCTCATATTGTCCAGGTTTATAAATGTCTTCAGAGATGCATTGCAGCATACACGTACTGTTTTTTCACCCAATTAAGGAAATATAAATCACCATTGTATATGACCTATTCCAGATATTCTGTTCAAGCTGTCTAGCTAGAGCAATACACCTAATTATGAAGAACCTGAAAAGGGAAACCAAACCTACAAAATGGTTACATGTTCATACGGAAAAGTAGTTGATTCGAAACAACTGCTCTGAGGCGAGAGATGAGCATTGCAAGTGAACAGTACAATGTGCACAAAACAACAAATCAGAGAGAACCAGATGGGGAATAAATTGGCTTCCGTTCATCTTAAAAGTTTCTTGAAGTAGGAAAATGATGCTAAGTGAATCCAACCAACACGTAAATCATGCAAGTTGATGCAACAAAATGAAGAGAAGCGCAGCAGTATTTTAATAAAACAATAAGGCCTCAGATATAGTGTAACTTTAATAGTACCTTGAACAATTTTTTTTCTGAATCAGAAAGCGTCATTAAGGTTTTCCATCTCCACTTTTCAAAACCCAAGCTGAATTTTGTGAAACGCACAACTCTTGAATAACCTGCACACAGTTAAGTCAAAGCTAAAGGGAATTATTTTCATTTTGATCCAAATCAAACTAATGCATTATAACACAATTTTGTTTAACAGGATAAACCAACAACCACAAGTGAATAGTAAGACATACACAAGTCAGTTTACACTAATAGGTTATATGCTCAACTATTTCTTTACCTTACGCCTGTACATTGAGTCGTGTCAAAATACCCCCCCACCCCCCAGAAAGACGCCAGAAGTAATTAAAGATGATGAAAGCAAAGTCTACTTTATCATATGCTTATACCTGTTGGTTATTTACCCAATTGCAATTCGTGCTTTGTGAATACAAAAATCTCACTCATCGAAGACAACTGCAGAGTTTACTTTGTGATGCTTAAGGTGATAATTTATAAAAACATATGCTAACTGAAGTCAGAAATCTGACCTTCTGAAACTCATTGTCAGTCATATCACGATCCAGCTTCTGTTTGACAGCCTCTTTTACAACACCCTTTTTCAGCTTAGCATTTCGGTCTGCAAGGAAAAGATGAATCACAACATTCCTGCACACAGACACCAGTGAAACCTTACTACAAAGTTAATTAATGAATCAGTACTTGAAGAAAGATAAATAGAGCGAATAGCTTAAAAAAACCTGAGGTCGTCATATTGGGGATAATCAGAGGATGATTTTGAAACATAAACTCCATGAATATTAATAGCCACTTGTTTGATGATTGACTCAAGCTCCTCTATAGGAGCATCAACACACTCTGCAGCAGCCTTTAATTCTCTGGCAGATCCCCCCTTTGGACGGGAATTCTCAGAAACTGCCATTTGCCTCAAACCCATGCGAATTTGTTGCAAACTGCATAAATTGGTCCATACAAAAACATATAGTCAACTGAAGTGAAAATACATATAAGCTGTAAATCAACACCCAACTCTAGGTAAGAGAGCTAACAACATATCATGATCAAATTCTAATTATAACCCCAATGATTTAAGGTTAATATTGTAGCCGACCCCACAGAGTGAGATAAAGGCTTGTCGTCGTGTAGTTTTAAGGTTGGCATTACCTATAAGAACAATCTCAAAGTATTTAGTTTACTTTCACTATCAGAAATAATCTCAACTTCCAGAACAATTCCTTTCTCCAGACATATCACCAAATATCCATCTTTGTTTGCAAGTCTTAGTCTAACTGGACATTCTCTCGAGATGAGGATTAACTATTTGCATTAAAATGGAACAAACTGATAGGAACATTACACTATGGGCCTTTTTGGTTGTTAGGAAAGTGAGGGAAAGTAAAGTTAACATTTCTTAGATTTTATATCTCATGAAAATAGGGTAAAATAGATTATCTTCTTTTGTTTGCATACATGTAGGAATGTTTTGTGGAATTTATGATTTTTTTCATTCTTATTAATATATTGATAAATTAATGAATTCTACTTACTTTATTGCCTTACCCTTAATGTGCTTTTAAGGGTACCATTAATGGATTCTATTTTAGCCAACATTTGTTACTAATGAAACCATTCAATTCAATCCAAAAAAAGCTATCATGGTGTGCTTAAAGTAGGCAACAAAAGCATTCTATTAGGCTTATCTTGCAATTTTGTCTTCCATTGGTACCATGTCAATTTCAATCTCTCAAAATTGGGTACTAGAGTTAAAACATAAAAGACTATTATAGAAAATCCACCTATTTGAACAAGTACATCTCCTACATGGAAAAAATTAACTTTAAATGCAACAGAAAAAAAGGAGGGGTGGAGAGTCTTTAAGGAGATAACTAATTAAAAGACAATAGGGATAAGAATATGATTACAGAAGGAATTAAATATGATAAACTTTTTAATAATGATTAAAATCCGTGGAAAGAGGAATAGAATACCAATCTTCAGATGGGATACGTATCCTGGAAAGTTGTATTATTTTCCTTGATTTAAGGATTCTTTTTACTTAACTAAATCCCTTAAATTGAACCGAACATAGAATTTTAAAAATAAGGGAAAAGAATACTTTCTTTGGCCCCCTTTTCACGGCAACCAAATAGGCCCTAAAGGCAAGTAGGAAATCACCTGCAAACCTTCTGAGCTTGAAAGAGTTTCTGTAGGGCCTTAGGTAAAGCCTTGCGAGTTTCTTCTGACATTGGCTTTCTCAAGGCCATCTGATCATTCGAAGATTGTGATAAAGGCTTAATAAGATTCTTTGATGTCGTACTGTTGTTTGTGGCAATACTCGTCGAAGAGCTTTTGAAAGCAGACTTATTTTTGTCCCTAAAGAGAATTTCGGCTGTCTGCTTCTCGGTATGTTCCCAACGTTGTCCTTGTTCTGAGGCAATTTTGGGATATAGTTTAACAAATTCCATATCTGGAGAGACTCTGAACTTCCAATCTTTGAGAGAAGTTCTCTCAATAGCCAAAACACTCAATACCTCTTTCATGGTTTTGTTAAGTTTAGGCGCCTGTGGAAGTTGTGAATTCTTGACCACTGGAGTTTTGCTAAACAGAGAGAGAACATAATCTCGAGCTAAAACATCAATTCCGGTATCTTCTCCATACACGAGTCGACTTTTTGGAACCCACAGTCCTAGAACTAATCGAGCATGTTCTTGGAGGACTTCAAGAATGTCTTCAGGAGGTGCGCCTGAAGCTAAGTGCTTCAGTGCAGCAAACCGATGGATTTGTGGCTCCTGTAAAGATTTTCAATCAAGTGTAAAGCAGGTACCTATAAAAAGACAGCATTGCAGCCAAATACTTTTTCCAACATCTTCATTACACGCCACGGGAAAGAAGAAGTCCACGTGCTATGTATTGGACATTTATCCATACTGGTGTAAATTAGATTCATGGCACGTTAAGAGGCCACGAAAAAAGATGCTGAAGAAAAAACGAAACAATAGAGATACACCAACCACCTTTGTGCAATAGATTTTTTCCAGTGTTCAAAAAACATCTTTTATATGGCAATAAAATCCTTTAGGAACAAAGAGAAGAAGGACTCATGTGGAATTTTCACACAAGGCTAAACACAAGCTGACATGTAGAGTCACAATAAGAAACAGATACGGTGGAAGAGTTAAAACAATATAATTAACCCCCAAATCTAATACTAGTCCAATCTGCAGCAAGAATAACTTCAAACAAATTGTTCGATGGAGGTCAAAATTTGGAAAAATTGGCATTCATACCCAAAGTGATGCAGGAAAAAATAAGAATTAGGGTTTAAGAATTATTAGGAAATTTTAATTTAGGGAGGTTTTAGTATTTTACAGAATTTTTAAGTCTTTTTAGATATTTTCTTTTTTTAAGTTTAGGGTTTAACTATAAATAGGGTAGCTGTATGTATTTTTATACAATTTTTATATATTTTTAGGGTTTTTTTTACAATTTTCTGAAACTATCGGGGTGTTTTTGGTTAAAAACTAACAGAAATCCGTTAAGTTTAACGGAAATTGGGCCAATTGGGCGGAACTGACCAAAATGTCAAACAGTAAGGCCAAAATTGGCTAACCGAAAATTAATATGGTAGAATTGACGATGGACCCAAAGCTTTGGGTATGAACGCCCATTTTTCCGTCAAAATTTCTATGGACTGGTTCATTATAAGCATTAGAGGTGACATGAATGATGGTTTTTCACAACAGATGGGGAAATTGAAATTATTGCATCCTGGTTTTTACATGACAAGACCCAATCCCGGCAAAACATTCTTTTTTGGCTTTGCTATTTAGGCAACGGCAGAGGACAATGCCCAGCCTTCAATAGTTTAAATGTTAACTACTCCCTCTGTCCCAAAATTATTGTCCAGTTTGAGATTTCACTTTTAGTACAATTTGAACTAAAAATGAAAACTCAAACTGGACAATAATTATGGGATGGAGGGAGTATTTTATAGGACATTCTACATAAGGACAAGCTACCCAACATGAGTTAAATAATGCACATCAAATATTGGTATGAGTGGATCAAGAAGACATCAAACGAGCCATGCAAGACCAATAGTTTATTCACAGCAAAAAGACATTAAAAGCATATAATCACTGACCTTGAGAAGCCATGTTTTCAATCGTTCTTCCAGAGGCAATGAGCACAAATCCCTGTAGTTTCAGCATTTATGGAGTGAGTACTCATGGTAAAAACAACGCGTAAGCATAATTATTCCCTTAAGAAACTGAAATTCACGGAAAAAAGCCAATAAATTCCATTGCAAAGTTACCCCAATGAGGTAGCATGGAAATGCAACAATGGGAAGCGTTTATATATCCACAACAAGAACTCATTCCAAGTATGTCACTAGCTGGCAAATGACCACTATACACACCATTCAGATTCATCAACACAAGCACATATCAAAAACAGGCTTCCAACACACCAATCTAAGAAGTGGTTGTAGATGACTAGATGCTATACATTTTTCGCAAACCGATCAAGAAGCTAGAGAGGAACCCCAAAATAGCAACAAACAAGTTGTGCAGTAGGAAAACAAGTCCAGCTCTAGAACTTCACTAAGACAGTAAATTAACGCAAAGAAATGGGGAACAAACACAAAACATAACAAAACTCAAGACTAAAAGTTGGAGCTTTCGACCTCAAGAAAAGAAGTTGAATGGAGTTTAAATGTGCTCGTAAGTTCTTCATGTGATCAAGGATAGGCCATTGGGAGTCATTCCCAATCATGATGATCATTATATTTTATTAGATCACATAATGGATTGTTGGAATCAAGTTTATGTTGGTATAAAAGATGATGGAAGGTTGAAGCCAAAAATACGAAGTGAAGAAATGAAGTTAGGCTCTTTCGACCAATCCGTCAGCCTGTTTGGGTCGACGACAAAGTCGACGACGGAATTTATGTTTTTAATATTTTTTATTATTTGTTTAGAATTTTTGGATTTAATAATTATTTTCACTTTTATGTAATTTTAGCCGCCCTAAAACTCTCTTTTGAAGAGAAAGTTGACCTTCATTGTAAAAAAGACTATTATGGAATTTGCATTACGTAAAGAGAGTGAAAATCTTTGTTCTTAATCCTTTTGGGGGCTAATTTGGCTTGTGCGAATCGATAGACTTGCATAGCTAACAAGCGTGCCATTGAGTTTGGTGTTCTCAATCGGTGGAGCTTTGTTAGCCGTTTCATAAGACAATCATCAATTCGTTTTCGTCACAAATCTTAAGGCGAGGGTTAATTGGGGTGTACCTAGGGGGTTGCTAGCCTTAACACTATTTCATTCCTCATCTTTGCCAATTTTCATTCGGATTTTTGTTGGTTCGAATTTCTTTTATGTTTTTATTGGTTTGAATCTTGCAAGGAATCCAAGTCTTGGGGTTTGCTTCCGCATGAATAGGTAAATTCATATCAGTTCTCAACAGAAGAGAAATGATTTAAGATCTAGGTCTTTCACCCCATGTCTTGATTAGTTTAACATATATGGATTCGTCTATTGTTTTACAAGGGTTTCATTTTCAACACAGAACTTGACTTGTGACAGGCACATACCAGTTAAACAATGAGCCAGCAAATAATGCACATTCTAGCAACCAGATAAGCTAGACATCCAAAACAAAGTCCAGCTGACTGTCCAGCCAATACGAATAACTAGTCAAAACAAGGGCAATTCACAGATGCCAAAACGGGTGAAGCAACCAAAAATTAATATGACCATAAGTAAAGCATATCTTCTTAAGTATTAAAGCTTTTGAAACGAATTCCTGAACTCCGCTCCTAGTTCACAGAAATTCAGATGATTTTTTTATTTTTATTTTTTTTATAGAAAAAGAGTAATTCAGATGACTTTGATAGTCCACTTTAGTAAAATTTTCTGAACAATTTCTCCATGTGCAATGGAAGAAACAGTGACAAATTTCCAAGGAGAACATTGAGTATAAGTAGTACTACCTTCTTGAAGGGCTTTTGGACCTCTTATTTTCATTGGATGTACCAGGACAAATGGTATTCAAATAGTCCTGCCTGCAATTTGGATAGAAACCAATATGAGAAAAGAAAAATTAAAGAAAAGGAAGAAGAAGAAGCTCGAAGCTGACTCTATGTATGGTCCAGTGTCCATTAAACAATTGAATTCTTTTATCTTTTGGGTTTGGGGCCAGGGATGTGGGAGTATCAAACAAAGGATGTCAGTAAATTGATATCTCATACCTGCTCATCAAAAATTTTAGAGGAGACTCATTTCGTTCAACCATTTTCCTCATGTATCTAGCTGAAACATCACTTTTTGCACCATGGTAAGTGAGAGGTATCCAATTCTGTTAAAAATGAGAAAAGAATAATAACTTGTAGTTGTGAACAAAATCCAAATATTAGAGGAAAGCACAACTTTAAAGTGAAAATTTTTCACATATAAACTAACAAGTTTTCAGGTTATTCTTAAAAATCGTATGGCAAAAACCTTGCCGTTAAGGCATAACAACAAAGACCATTATACCTCTTCAGTGTCCTCATTTGCCATATTTAAAAGTGCTGGTGCTTTACCCTGTGGAAGGAAGTAGTACTTAATAAGAGGTTAGGAAATCAGAAATACTTCAACCCATCAACTTGAAATGGCCAACTCTAGGAAGGAACTGCTAAAAAAATTACAAAAATGATGAGGGCCTGGAGAGACATCACATGTTATCGCGCAATACAAAACTAATCGTAGGAGCAAATACTATTGCATAAATCAAGTATTGCCATTGCTTCACCATGTTCATAGGTTAGCATGTTTAACAAATGCCATGTCACAAAACCATGGCATCAGATAGGACAACAACAACATACTCAGTACATTCCCAACTTCGTTGGGGTCAGGTGTCAAGATGTACATAGCCTAACCCCTATAATTTCAATACAGAGAGGCTGTTAAATACAACTCGAGTTGCATTGGTGCATTTGAAGTATTGATTTCCAAGCAACGTCATTAAAACTAAGAAGCATTGGAATTCTACAAATTATTTACGCAAGTTACATATACGTAAACTAGCAAAACAAGGAAAAGAGGGGCAGAAAGGCAGACCTGCTTCTTTACTGTGCCAGTTTGTTTTTCAGACTTCATTTCTTCCTCTACTGCTTCATCTTCGTTATGGCTACTTCTCCGTTTTGAACTATCTGGCTCATAATGCTTCATTGAAGGTCGGAGCTGTACAACCGCATGAACAGGATTAAGGTGTAACTGCATCAAAAAGAAAATAATAATAATAATAAATAAATAAAAATAAAAATAAAACATATCAGAATCCACTTAAATAAACACTAGGGAAACAAATCATCTGAAAGAAACATGTATCTGGAATTAGTAAAAGTAAAATAACTGTGCTTACGAGGCAACCAGGAAACAAAATTTTTAGGAGTTCCAACAGTTATGGCTGATCTACACTCGAAAGACATGACTATTTCAGGTCACATTTGTTTTTCTGTTAAAAATTAACTTCTTAACATATCCAAGTGATTACACATTCTCTATGCTAATCTGAAGTTCCACAAATAGTTTCCCTCCGTCCCATCACAAAAAGTCAAAACCAAAATTCCAACAAAAATTTTTTTCCCACAAGACTCCCTTCAAGACCAATATCCCAACAATTATTATTGCAATATTCTCTCTTCATCAAGGATGAAAAGCAAAGAAATCAAAACTCCAACTTCATGATCAACAAAAGAAAATAAAGAAACGGAATTCACCGCAGTTAAGAAACATACCCTGTCACCAACAAGAACTCCAACAGCATATCCGGCTACAATTGGTGCTTTCCATGATGACGCCAGAGTCTGAAGATGGATCATAGAACCAAAAAAATCACACGATAGAGTGAGAATAAGAATTTTTTTAAGACCCAAGTTTTTATGAACTCATTATAGACCAAGGAAGTTTTATCGATGAGAAAAATGATATATGACCTATTTAACCATAAAAGACACTCACATGACCAAAAATAGTCTTTAGAAATAAATAAATTTTATTTCATGATATGTAGATTGCATATTGTGGAAAGACAATGTAACTGCAAATCTCTGCAATTGGCAATTGCATCTTGTGGAAAGACAATGTAACTACAAAGTCTGCAATTAGCAATGAATGGCTTCTCTAAAACAGCCTACAACTTACGCCATAACATTTCGGCCACAAAAAACTATAGACCCTGCTACATTACTGTTACTGTGTTTCATTAAGCTATGGTGATTAAGAAGAACACTGCATAACAAAATTATAGATTTATAATAACAAGAAATTTATATGCAACACAAAAGTTTAACAACCCATTACTTTGAAGAACATTGTCCAAAGCCACAAAATCTCAAGGGGAAATAAAAGAAAACCTGCTTGGTAATTTCAACTTTAGTGTCTGCATCATAATTAGTGCTAGGATCAACCGCCAAATCGACCTCTATGTCGGCACTTTTTGGATTCACTCGCACCTGTGGACAGAGAATCCATAATTTCATATCCAATATCCTGGAAGTGTTTCCCCCAAAAACAAAAGCTAACTCATTGAATGGCATGGATACCTAATTTTCCATCATTATCCAATATAGAAAGAAAAAGAATTTCTTCAAAAGAATAAGATACATCCATCATAATCCAACACTAATGAATAGAAGCGTACCTCTGAACACCTATCATCTAACTCGTAAGGCCTCCACAATGGTCTCAAAGGATATTGCAAAACGAACAGCTGAAAAGTGAAAAGAAAAAAGAAACTGATTATGGGCAAAAAAATACTCCAGAAAGAGTGACGGTGAAATACATTCACACATTTCTCCAACCTTAGTGTTGGGATCAATAGAAGGATTCAAATACACGTCGATTTCCCTCACTACTTCATCTTCGCCTTCTTTTTCTTCCTCTTCCCCTTTTTCTTCTTCTTCTTCTACTTCCATACCCATAGGTTCGTCTTTTGGTAGTTCACTGCCGTCGCGCTTGGCATCGATGTCTATTGGCACGCCATCTTCCACGATATCAGAGACTTTGAGCTCAGTTTTAGAAACAAAGGCGTTTGAAGAGCTTGTTAACGTCTCCGGTTTGCAATCTAAATTATCCTCTTTTTTGCTCAAATCAACAGTCGAGGAGGATGATGAGGAAACAGGTTCTGTCTTCGGTTTAAGCTTGGAGCCCTTAGGCGCGAAACGGGTGGGCCGAGTTGGAACTTTGGCGGATTCCAGGTCGTCTAGGTCCATCTCCGCCGTTTTCCCACTGTGTGGTGGCGGGGAGACGGAGGCGCTGATTCGATCTCGCACAGAAGTTTTCTCAAACACGTATTGCGCAAATTACGCAAGGCCCGGGGAAATTTGCCGCCGAGAGTACTGAAAAAGGGTTTAGTCACGCTTCCGGCCGATACTCACAGACACAGTTGGGGCTTTTATTTCTTAGTTATTATTTCATAAATTGCAAATCACGTAGTCCTAAGTTTGCTTATTTTCTTAATAGCCCACAATTCTTAAGTATTTATTATAAGGACCTTATTGTTTCGATTTTTGATATAATCCTCCTTCCAATTTTTGGCCTTTCTCAGAATTATTTTGACTTGTCGTGATGGCTCCATTAAAATTTAAAAGGCGGCGATGAATGTCTGAACTCTGAAGAAGACTTGGATCTGTTTCGAAGAATTTCTTTCAAAACATCCATGCGACGGCTCAGTGTAGAATAATTAATCGGCGTCATTGGCGACATCCGTCCGATTGTTATTAGTATTTGTACAAAACACACACACACACACACACACACACACACACACACACACCACACACTTCGCAGATTGCATATCCATCGGTGGAACGAGCTAATGAATTGGGTTCAGCGCAAAATTTATCTGTATAATGTTACTTTCGGACTTTTCATGCTTGATTGGTGGGAGCGTTGCCTTTTCAGTATGCTTCCTCTTCATTTTTTTTTTAATGAAGGTTTTCTGTTCTAATGAAATTGCGATGCTGAAGATTGCATCTTGTTTAGAATTGGTCAATCTGTATACTTAACCTTTCTGTTAATAGATACTTTGGTGGTTGTGTTGATGTGGTTTATCCTCCATAATGGATTTCGATATCTTTCCGGAATTTACGAAAGGTAATGATGTTTCCTGCTCCTTCTATTGTTGATCTAATCGTGGCATTCTTTCTTAATTTTCGCTTCATTCAAATGTAAAATATGTTATATCCACCTCATGATCCGTCCACTACTAGTTTCTTTGTGTAAGAAAAGGCTATAATTTGCTCTGATTTGGGTGGATTTGATTGGGAAAATGTGGGTTGGGGAAAATAGAAGTTGTCTATTTGGTTACTTGCTGATCACAGTTATCTTTTTTTTTTTTTTCCCAATACCAGCTCTGTTGATGCAAGTGGAGAAAGATTAATCAATTATTTCCAATCAAACAGGTAATTGTTCCCATTATTTTGCTTAATTCTGTGTACTTCCATTGACAACCATACTCTAGTTGGATTTTTGAGCCTCTTGTTTCCAATGGTTACTCAGTTTCCTGCTGTTATTAGTGTAATTCTTAAGCTGGAAATGATGACTGCTGATTTTGCGCGTACTGTCTTGGCCATCTTTAGCTGTTCTTTGTCTTCAGTTTCCCTTGAGAATTTGATCCATTTTGACTTGATTGATACGAAGTTTCTTTGAAGGGACATGATATTTTTGCAAGGACAACTGCTCAATTTTTTAGATCTAGTGATAAATGGTAGGCTTTCTTGTGGCCAACTACCGTAGTTATATACGATTATGACTCTGTTATGAGAGTTTTGAGATTGGATTAGTTAAAACTTATTTGGGAGCAAAACGTACTGCAGATTTTGACTGTATTACGTTTAGAAACTGTTTCATTGAGGTCAATACAGAAGCCATGGTTCTTTGAACATCGAATAAACTTTATCTTTGTTGTAGTTTTTAATGCTTTGCAGCAAACATTAGCCTCTCGACACCAAAAATTTTTTTACTACAACAGATCTTGCATTTTCGGTCATGGGTCCTCTTCGGCATTGTGTGTGTGTATGTGTGCAAATTTACTTATCTTGAAAAGAATAGTGGTAGATGGTTGGTAGATCCTGTGTTTTCTTAATAGTAATAGCTATAAGTTTGATGCCGGGGCAGCAGTAGTCTGCGGATGGCATATATGATTACTTGGTGATCATGAAAGTGTAATTTAACTGATTGTCTTACTTTTCTTTGCTTGTTTGCCTTCTGTTTGGTGTTTACTGTTGAGACTCCTTGCGCACTTTTCAAAAGTGCTGCTTATATGCTGTCATTACTGTATAACAAAGGTTAAATGCAGCTTTTCTAAGCAGAATCCAAGGAAAAATGTTGTGTATGATTGGATCATGTGATGATCCTGCCTTTTCATTTCCATAGCTTATGGTAAATGGATTAGGAGAGTTCTTATTGACGTGCTTGAACTTGAATTTCCGCAGGCATCTTTGGTGAAACTGCAAATATTGTCGGTATCAATATCAACTGGTGGATATCAGTTTGTATTGTAATGTTGAAAATTTTGTGTTTATGTAACTAAACTTGAAGATTATGGGCCTCCTTTTGCCTTTCTTCACCCCTTTGGATTGTAGAAAGCCGTAATACTACTGTCTTCAGATAGGTAAAGAATATTTAACGGATCAGCTTTATTGATTTTGGTATAAAATGTAGTCCAGACTCCAGACAATGATGTCATATAATCTGCCTCTAATACAACATAATTAAACTTGAGTCCTGAGGAGCTCTTTTGTATAGATTCATTCACAAGTACATTTACCGGCCCGCAACACCAAATAGATTGTACCTTAATCTATCACTAGATTAACAACCATTTGAGCACAGAAAACAAGCGGTTCTTTATTTGAACATGATCATAAAAGGCAAACTCATGATCATAATATTTGCCAGCTAAGGGACGATGGAGACCCAGTAATTAATCTCCCCAGTCAACAGTCAACATTATTCAACAACGAGCAGTGGCGAGACACTCGGTCGCGCGGCCCTGCCCTGCCCTGCGGCCTGCAGCCTGCCGTTTTTGGCTTTGAATTGGGTGCATGTGTTAATGCGCAGAATAGCAGAAATTGTCGAGTTTGGGGTAAATTAGAGAGAGATGATGAACATTGGAGCGGAATCGAGCCATCCCATCGTTATTGGCCCCAGTCAGAAGCGTGTTTTATCGATAAATAAATAATATGGTTTTCAGAGACTTGAGAAATGGGAGAATACTCTGAAGAGGGCCCTCTGAATACTTATCAATGTTGAAGGCATGCAAAATTAAGAAAAATCAGTACTATCTATCTCAATTGGGAAAGGGACCCCCCAATGCTGTGCATGATACCAAATTTGAAACTGCAATATTGGATATTGAGAAAAGTAGAAAGTTTTTTTTTTTTTTTTTTTTGAGTTGGGAGTAGTAACGCAATGGCGTTCCAAGTCAATGCAAATAATATATTAATAATAAAGGAATGTTGCCACTTGCCACAAAAAAAAAAAAAAAAGTCTACAGCCGGCTTTGTTTGTGGTTGTTTTTGCTCTCCTTTATTTTTAATGCATGTTACATTGTTTTTTTGTCCCTCTTTGATTACTCACTTCTGCATATCGTTGTTATAAGTGCTTCTTGTTGACTTATTTCCTTCCGTGAAATAACTCAATAATAACAATCTATTACACAAAGGCTTTTATTTTTAAGCATTCTGTATTTATTTCTATATCAATTTTATTTTTAAGTAGATGTGTACCACTCTTTTGAATCGATTGTGTACTCGTCATCACTAATTTCGATAGTTGCTAATGGGGCTTTGTAATCAGATGAAAACTTGGTAGAGAGGTCTTAATTCAGCAGGAAGTGCAATGTGACATTACTACGGAACACAAATAATTTTTCTTTGTAGTGCCTTCAATTTGTTTTGGGATTGAAATTGAAGGAGAAACTAAAATGGCAGAATGATATAATTGGGGTGGTCCTCCATCACCATAACAAAAAGTAATAATAAGAACTTTGTAGCCCCTTTATTTGATCAGGCTATTGAAGCCAGCTAGCCCTTATTCTTGAATGTCAAGTCAATTTCAGTGGGGATCAACACCGGTGCCAACAATATCATATGGTAATGGAAGTACTGATTTATGAGGCAACGAAGAAACAGCGTTTTTGTTTCATCGAATCGGGTAACCTGTGCTCGTATGATGCTCTAAAAATGAGTAAATAAATATTGTGGATGATTAACCTTTAATAATTACATCGTGATTGAAACATGATATCAAATGTTTATGGTCACTATAAATAGTCAAACTTATTTTGGTTGAAATTAAATAATATTGATTTTTGTATTATAAGAATAGTTGGTTGTTTTTTTATTTACAATTTTAGTCCCGAAATAATTATCTAATTTTATTTTTTATTTTTAGTACAAATCTAACTTCAAATAAAATTCAAAGAAGCCACAGTAGATCATTCATTTTAAAGTTTATTATTATTACATTTGCCATTGTAGAGAAGTTTCTTTTTTGATGCGAGAAACTAGTCCTTACGGAATCAAAGTTGAGTAGCCGCCTATGAAATGTCTTTCTATGACTCTATCAGCGTGGCTTATATTTGACAATGATTTCCACTTCAGTTTATTCAAGTTTTGTCAAACTCAATAAACAATTTTTTTACGAGAATAAGAACAAAACTTAATCAAAATGTATAGCGAGGCAAATATTGTGATTATTTTCATTTTCATAGTCGTGGTTGTTGTTTCTTCACATTAGAAATACCATCATAAGGTTATTTCATGCAGCTGCTTCAATCAATGTTACAAGTATATATAATCATAATGCTATTAAATATGCAAATTTCATAATGAAATTAATAAAAGCAAGGTCAAATATTTCTCCTCATAACGTTTCACTCATTATTCGTTCTCTCTCTTAAGTTCATTTCAAGTATTTATTTGATCAAGACAATACTGAAATCATGCCATGCACCTTTGACATTTTTTAATGGATAAATTGTGCTTAAACATTCTTTGAATCTGTCCACTTTAAACCTTTACTTTCGAGTAACTTAATTAGTTTATTCAAGAAAGATTAAAAAAAAGGGACAATATATGTTATAGAGAAGCAAGGCAAAACACAATCAGCCCAAGTATTATTTTGAGGCACACAGTAACTCTTTTTTTTTTCCAGGAAAATCACATCTTAGCTAAGTGATGATTAGTCTTTGCTAAAGCAACTTCTTAGCCATTAGCCATTAAGAGTTGAGTAATAATCACTTTGTTTGGAAACTCGCCCTGTTCATCATTTGGGGCACGTGTGACATTGATACTGGATAAAGAGTCTAAAAATGAAGAGCAAATCTCAAGTACTCCCACTTTTACGAGTAGTATTAAGTCTTAATCTAATCATGGTTACACTTACAAAAATGTATAATTGAGTCAGAAGTTACGAGTTCGAATCCTTCCAACGATGAATTTTTATCTTTTATTTCCGTCAATGTTTTTTCTTTTCGGGAAGGCGTTAGATTAATACGGTAGAATGTACAAATTGTAATGTTGGATTTACAAGTTCAAAGTTGCTCCTCTATGTCTAATTTTGTAATGAAGGCTTATAATGTAGAGGAGTGAATAAAAGTATGTGAATTAATGATGATATAGTTACTCACTTAAAACTATGGGGACAAACATGACCAAATTAAGTTCATCTTCCTAAATAAAAAAGAATACTATATATAAAATCTCCGACAAATTACTTAATCATAGTTATTTGAAGTGTTTTGAAATCGTCGTTATCTTACCTTTCTAAATTTACATTGGCTACCTGTTCCAACTAAAGAAATCAATTATGCAGTGCAGACTGCAGACCGAACTGAGCAAGACTTCCAATATTTCTGCACTCTTTTTGTTTTTCTCTCTCTCATTTCTCCTAAATTTCCTCCTACTCTATAGTTTTCTGAGCCGTCTACTTCCAAAGTCTCTTTCCGCTTAAACTCTTGATTCCGGCCTTTCTTTTGCGGAAAATCAAGAAGATTTCCAGTGTGAAAATTGTCATGCTCTGAGAGAGAGAGAGAGAGAGAGAGATAGAAAGTGAGTCCCTGGCCCATTTCCTGGAAGCTCACCAAGCATAGAAAAATCTCATCTTTTTTACCTAATTGCTACCGGAGAGTAGATTCTCCGGCGAGCTCTGGTTTTGGCGATTTGATTGAGATTAGAGCCGATTTCGTGAACTGGGTTTCTACGAATGAGCTCATGCTGATCTGGGTCGTATTCAGAATTCAATCTTTGCTGGTAGTTGGGGATTTTAAGGGTAGAAGAAAACCTTGATTGACTGGTGGATAGATAGATAGATATACATTAGTGGAGAGCTTTAATCATACCCGAGTAGAAACAGCTTTATACTCAAAAAGTTTTTTCCCAGCATAAATGCCCCAAATTTTCCCTTTTTAGCTAACTCTTTACACCTTTTTAAAAATAACAGTGTTTATCCCATGCCTTCCGAATTGGATAACTCCTCTGTCATGAATGATTCCACAGCTTCTGGTGAAGCCAGTGCCTCTTCTTCAGGTAATCAAGCTGCTCCTGCTAAATCATCTGCCAAGAAGAAGAGAAATCTCCCGGGCATGCCAGGTAAAAAGTCAGCCCAAAAAGGGAAAAAAGAAAGTTACTTTGTTTAGTTGTTAGACTTGATGATATTAGAAGTTACTAATCACTACCTTTTGGATTCTTGTTTTTGCTAGATCCGGATGCAGAGGTGATTGCTCTGTCGCCAAAGACCCTCTTAGCTACAAACCGATTTGTGTGTGAAATTTGCAATAAAGGGTTCCAGAGGGACCAAAATTTGCAGCTGCATAGGAGGGGACACAATTTGCCCTGGAAGCTTAGGCAGAGATCAAGCAAAGAGGTGAAGAAAAGAGTCTATGTCTGCCCGGAACCTAGTTGTGTGCACCATGATCCTGCTCGCGCGTTAGGAGATTTGACCGGAATCAAGAAGCATTTCTGCAGAAAACATGGTGAGAAGAAGTGGAAATGTGACAAATGTTCAAAGAAGTATGCAGTACAATCTGATTGGAAGGCTCATTCAAAGATTTGTGGAACTAGGGAGTATAAATGTGATTGTGGAACTCTGTTTTCGAGGTTAATTGATCTCTTTTTTTCCTCTTTTCACTATAAAGCCTACTTCTTTCATGAAAATATGGGATATGGGTTCGTGTTCGTTAGGCCTAATATGTTTGATTGTTTGCAGGAGGGATAGTTTCATCACACACAGGGCTTTTTGTGATGCATTGGCTGAGGAGAGTGCAAGGACAAAGCTTCCTGAGGCTCCTGCAGTTTCGAAAACTACCGATGAGGAGCCAAAGCTTCAAACTTTAGCATCATCATCACCACCACCGCCCTCAGCATCACCTTCACCTCCGCAACCAGCTGCTCCTCTTGTATCTTCATCTTTACCAATTCAAAACCCAGGTATCTTTTGATTGAAAAATTGCCAATTTGGATGTTTCTGGCTCTGTTATCTTGGTTTTGTCGTATATCAGAAAAGTTCTGCAAACCAACAAAAAAAATCTGTAGTTTCTTTGTCTATTAATCTTGGAGCGTAGTTAATTTTGTCTGTTCCTCATTTTTGACCTGGTCTGTAAGCTGCCATAGGAATAAGATAGAATTACTACTATTAGCTTCAGTTGCAGAAGAGAACAATCTCAACTAAGAATAAAAAATTAAACATTGAATCCGAGCAATCTTTTAGTAAAGTTAGGGACAAAGATCCAAGCAAAAGCCAAAAGGGGAGATAAAAGTAATTATCAGGAAAGGAGGCTATTATTGAATCTCCTTTTATCAATACATAATTCTTTAATAGAAAGGCTTCTTTTTGTTGCTGCTTTGATGCTTTTCTCAATATTTTTTTTGGCGTCGTATTATTCCACAGAGGTTCCTGAACATACCAATCCAACTCCAACTCCAACTCCGACTCAGATTCGAGAGGAAGTTTCTACTGTGGCCAGTTTAACTGGAAGTGCTGTTAGCAGTAGTTCAAGCAGTCATGGAAGTACTAGCAGCACTATGTTTGCAAGCTTATTTGCCTCATCAACAGCATCAGGAAGCTTGCAGTCTCAAACACCTACATTCACTGATTTGTTTAGACCTATGGGTCGTCCTGAAACAGTGCCTGAGTTCGCACCATCATCCTCTACAGAGCCTATATCATTATGTCTTGCTACAAATCACGGATCATCAATCTTTGGGACAGCCGGCCAAGAGCGTAGGCAATATGCTCCTGTACCACAACCTGCTATGTCTGCAACAGCATTGCTACAAAAAGCTGCTCAGATGGGAGCAGTTTCAACAAATGCTTCATTGTTGAGAGGCTTGGGAATCGTTTCGTCATCCTCTGCATCCAATGGCCAACCGGAATGGAGTGGGAGGCCGGTTGAAACTGACAGCTCATCGCTGGCAGCCGGCCTCGGACTTGGCCTGCCCTGTGATGGAGGGTCTAGTTTGAAGGAACTGATGTTGGGAACTCCTTCTGTATACGGTCCAAAGCATACTACCCTTGATCTTCTTGGATTAGGGATGGCAGCTGGTGGGGGCCCGTCTGGTGGTTTTTCTGCCTTAATGACTTCCATTGGTGGTGGGCTTGATGTTGCTGCATCGTTTGGTGGCAGTGGTGAGTATTCTGGCAAAGACATGGGCAGGGGATCATGACATTATTAGAAATTTTTTTTTTCTTCCCCATTTTTAAATTCAGGGATGTCAACTCACGGATGGTTGACAATATGGAAGTGTGACTTATGAGGTGGCATCACTTTGTTTATATCATTTGATCATCTTGCAGCAGCAATAGCTACTCTTTCCCAATTGCACTTTAAAAAATTAAGCATTGGACTAGAAGGCAGTGAGAGTGATCTGTTTTAATAATCCTTCTACTGCCCCCTAAAAGGTTGAAAAGCCTTGAAGGGATCTTTTCCAGGAAATATATAGTAATAGAAAGTAGCCATAAGTTCCAAAGTCCTTTTCTATTCCACTGTAAAATGATGATGTTAGAATGCTTTGGCACTTTGTGAGTACAGTAGAAATATCAGAATTGAACTAGCATTTATCAAATCTGTTGTGAATGGTTCAGTCTGTATTCAGAGAATCTGGATCGGTTGTCATTGTGTTCTGATTCTTTTCTCAAATTTTCCTCAAATTAGCAGCATATATGGTACTTGAATATTGCTTTGATTGGCACTAACTTGAATGCTACAGCTGGGATTGAAGTAAATAGCAAGATTCTTACTTCTCTGTAGTGTGTGATGGTGAAGACCACTATCCATCAACAGTTTGAACAATTCTTGGATAATCTGAACCCCACCACATTTCTTAATTAGTAGTAGTTGGTAGCTCCATAATTAGATAAATCATAAAAGGTGAGCAACTTTTACAATAAATTACCATTGGGACATCTCCCTTTTTCCACTGATCTCATCTATATACGTGATTTTGTCCAGAGAATCTTAATATAGCAAATCTTAATCCACTTTTTGATTAAAAAGTGGCTCAAAGTTGACAAAAGAATACTTACTTCATAAGAAAGTTGTATTCTCCCTCCCTCTCATTTGCTGCAATATTAAAATGGGACGGACGGAATAGTAATCAGCAAATTGGAATATGACGATTATTTAGCAAGATAAGCACACAAAGACTACTCAACCTTGAAACGCGATGCGGTTCATCACGACTTCACGCAACAGAAGCTGATAACATGAAGGAGGAAAAAAAAAACAAGAAAGAGAGGTGTTAGTTCTTTGTACGTGCGGCCTGCGAGAAAGCTGTTTGTTAGGGAAAACTGGGAAGGGGGAAAGTATATGGCTATATGCCACTGGGAACTATACAATACGGACAGTATATACCCCGAATAATGTTGTCAATCAAATAAGGAAAAGTTTTGTGGAAGAAATAAATTAATACTACTACTAATAATTAAAAAAGAAATGGGAAATTGTTAGATAGGGTCTTCATTTTTATTTATTATTTTCAATACTTCGTGGCATGCAGTTCAGTTCACGAGTTTGCAATTTTGCATGTCTGCCCTACGTTGATGGCGGAAGGTCGCAACCGGCTTCTTTGAGACAACCCGACAATTTCTTTCTCACCAAATTTATTATTATTATTATTTTAAAAATTGAATTTGTGGACAAACAAAGGGTTGTGTAAGGATACAAGCTAAAGAATAATTATTTAGTTTTAACGATTTAGAGTCTAGAACGTTTCACAATAATCTACACATTCGATTTGAACTTTACAATGTCTATTATTCTTCCCTCTTTAATAGAAGAACCGCAAAAGTGAAACATTCAAAGCTTACTGCTAGCTCATTGACTAAAATTATTCTCTCCTCTCAATTTCTTTTTCCTTTTTTTGATGCGAAAATTCGTCAAATACAAAAAAGAATAGGCACATGCTTGAATTTCTTAATTGATTAATTATTTTTTCAGGATACAGACAAATGACAGATTAGTGCATCATTTTATTGAACTTTGTGCAACTATTGTTGAAAACAAAAATTATAAAACGATTTTAATTATTTATTGTAGACTTGTAGTGCTAAAACCAAAGGCAATCTCACAAAAGCGAAAAAAAGGTTCGAAAAACAAGTTCCTTTTCTTTTTTCAGTTTACGGTGTAGTAAAGGAGAACATTGGGGACAAAATTATTAATATGTTCAAAGCAAGGGACTCAAATTGAAAATCCCTTCCTTCAACATCGTCACCCGTTTTGGCCGGGTTCTGAGTTCAGATGAGCGTATCAAGAAAAGAGGTCCCCTTAAAGCTTAGGGCTTTAAGTGGGGTCTTTTCATTGTCTTTTTCTTTTTTTTTTCCCCCTCAACCATAATTTCGCTTGGTATATATATATATTATAATTCTGGATTTAAATATTCCTGCTTCTTCAATTCGTTATATTCTTCTGCCTGGATAAGCTTCCGCTAGTTTTTTTCTCCGCCTCAACAAAGCCCTAATCGCCAATACCAGGTGCTTAATACTTCACACCAGCTTAATTCATTTCCATTTTTTTGATATTTTGACATTTGGGTTTTATTACTATCATATGTAAATAGCAGTTGAAATGATTTTGTTTTATTGTAGTTCTTTCTGCAATTCCTTTTTTTTTTTTTAATCCCATTTAAGGTGTCCATGAATGTTCTAATTCATACCGTTTTATGTTATATCAGGCGGCCAGGGGTTTCTGTTTATCTATGTATACCTTTTGCATTGTATAAACTGTGAACTGGGATATTAGAAGTTCTATGCAGTGAATGAGAATTTGGCCTACATCTGGAGTGAATTTTGAAGTTTATTTATGCAAACTCGTGTTCAGTTAAGGGGATAAAATGCCATCGGGGCTGCTGCAGAACCTGAACTCTGCCTTGTATTCCGGGTTCCAAAGAGGCTCTAAGGCGAGATCGGTTCAATCCCTTAATTTTATAGAATCTGTAGTAGTCAAAAGGAGCCAAAAGGTTGGGTTTGGTTATCATAACAGCAGAAGTAAGGCTCATATTAGCAAGAATTCTACTCAAGCATTTGGAGTATTTGGTCGAGCAATGGCTGCTTCTAGCTCAACGGCCGCCCCAGGAGATCTTGTTATGGATGCCTTGGTTTCAAGTTGCGGAAATGTTTCAATTTGTTCAAAACCGTCAAGTGTTTATTTTAGCAATGGAGGAGGTCTTGGTCTAAGCAACCGCCAAAGAACTACTATAAGCTTGAGAAATGGAGAAGCTAGGAGCTATAGTTCTTATTGTGTGCTTAGTATCTCTAGGAAATCCAACTGCTCTACTGCCCTAGTCGGATCATGGTTTAGAAGTGGTAGCACCCCAGCTTCATCATGTTACTCTAGTAAGGCTGTCCCTGATGTTTCGCACGATGGATCAACCGTTGATGAACTGCTATCAAGTCTTGCTATCTCACCTGACCAGTAATTACTCTTTTCTATCTGGACTTGGGTTATTAATTTTACTATCAGTTTTTACTAATAATCGTTGAAAGAATCTGTTAATCTGCAGTTAGTAGCTTTTGTTATTTAAACCTTTACGGAATGCATTCAATGTGTTGCTGCATAATAACTGAATACTTCCTTGTCCGCATTGCTCTTTTACATCAAAAAATAAAAATAAAAATCAAGATACACAATGAGGATGCATAGTTTGATTTTAGTTACTGTTCCTTGACTGCCTGATGCTGAATCCAGGAGCACTGCAGCTGATAGGGCGTTGAAGCTACTTTCTGGATCTTGCTACCTCCCCCATCCAGAGAAAGAAAAAACTGGGGGAGAGGATGCTCATTTCATTTGTGGCGATGAGCAAGTGGTTGGCGTGGCCGATGGAGTTGGTGGTTGGGCACAGGTTGGAATTAATGCTGGAGATTATGCACGTGAGCTCATGTCCAACTCAGTCAATGCTGTTAGAGATGAGCCAAGAGAGGCCATTGATCCAGCTCGAGTGTTGGAGAAAGCTCACTCAGAAACAAAGGCTAGAGGTTCCTCGACAGCATGTATCATTGCTTTAAAAGACCAGGTCTGTTGATTTATTACACATTCTGCTCTGCATGCTTTTCTGTTTTACCAAAGCTAAGATTTGCTATCAACTTGAAAATTTTCTGCTTTCAAATTGTGATGTACATTTTGGCTTGTTAGTAATAAGTGAGTAAGTCTAGATTGCTTAGATTGAAGTTTTGTTTCTTTGGAGTCTGAAGTATTCTGTTTTCCTACTGATTGACAATTGTTTTTCTCCCCTCCACAGTTTCTTCATGCAATAAATCTTGGTGATAGTGGATTTATTGTGGTTAGAGATGGTCGCACCATCTTCGAGTCTCCCGCGCAGCAACATAGTTTCAATTTTACTTACCAACTTGAAAGAGGAAATACCGGTGATCTTCCAAGTTCTGGTCAGGTAATTTTATCTGTTGTATGTATGTTTTATCATTTCCTGAACTGAACCTGAGTTACCGGTGAAAGCTTCCCTGAAATTGATATGTGTGCACATTTTCCAGGTTTTCAAAATTCCAGTTTCGGTTGGAGATGTCATTGTTGCTGGAACAGATGGGCTGTTTGACAACTTGTATAACCATGAAATTTCTTCAGTTGTTGCCATGGGAACGACAGCAGGTTTCAGCCCTGAGGCAACGGCTAAAAAGATAACAGCCTTGGCCCGACATCGAGCCCTGGACAGGAAGCAGCAGACTCCCTTCTCTAAAGCAGCCCAAGAGGCTGGCTTTGCTTATTATGGTGGGAAACTTGATGACATTACTGTGGTTGTTTCTTATATCACCGACTCAAACACTGCATAGAGTTTTTTTTTTCCGATCTTTTTCTTACGCTCTTCCCATACATTTTTTTCCCAATTCACTTGTTCATTTCTCTGTGTTTGTGTTCCCTCAACAGATTCCTCTGTAAAAAGTGTTCTTTCCCTCTTTTAAAGCTGATCATTAGTCTTTTAGCTAGAAAATGAAATGGCATATTTGCAGATTTTAAGTTTCCTTTTATCAGTTTTGAGACGTGAGCCTGCAAAATAGGATGTGAGAAGCCCTGTTTTGTGTGATAAAACGAAGTGATACATGACAAGTAATGTTAAGGATTCACTGGGCTTTCAACATAACAGCTATTTCAGGGGAAAACGAAAAATGAAAACAAGTCCAAAAACAAAATTTGCTGCCTAATGCTTATTCAACTTCAAGCGGAAAGGAATGGAAATTCAGAGTCAGAAAACATGGCAAGCCAAGATCTTCTGTTTCTTGATGCTTCTTGCCAAACCAGGACCATCTTCCTACTGTTGCTCTGGCGTAGGTTGTCCTTCCTGTCTTGCAGCTTCCTCCTCCCTTCGAGCTGCAGCTTCCCCGCCTTCTTGGCGTTCTCCAGCTCCTCCGCCTCTTCCTTGGCCAGCTTCTTCTTGTTGCCTTCTTTGTGCTTCTTGTTCCTGTCGGCGTGCAGCTTCCTCCTCCCTTCTCGCTGCTGCTTCTCTTTCTTGCTCCGCTTCTCGTGCTGCTGCTGCAGCTGCTTCTCTTGCCTCTTGTTCCTGTCTCCTCCTCCGGGCTGCCTCCTCTTCCTGCTGCTGCTTCTGCCTTTGTGCCTCCTCCTCCCTTTGCCTTGCTTCCCTTTCTTCTTGTTCTCTCCTTTGCGCTTCTTGCTGCTGTTGTCGCTGTCTCTCTTCCTCCGCCTGTCTTTGCCTCGCTTCCCTTTCTTCTTGTTCTCTCCTTTGTTGCTCTTGCTCTTGTTGTTGCTGTTGTCTCTCTCTTTCTTCCTCTTCCCTCCTCCTCTCTGCCTCCTCAGCCTCCTTCTGTCGCCTTGCCGCTTCTTCTTGCTCCCTCTTCTTCCTTTCCTCCTCCTCTCTCTTTCTAGCTGCCTCCTCTTCTCTCCTTTTAGCTTCTTCCTCTTCTTTTCTCTTAGCTTCTTCTTCCTGTCGTCTCCGCTCTTCCTCTTTCCTTCTGGTTTCCTCTTCTTCCCTCCTCCTTTCCTCCTCTCTTTCCCTCTGAATTTCTTCAGACAAGATGCTAAATTCCTCCTCTGCACAGGACAGGCATTCCAAGATAACAGATTCACCTTGTTGGTTCACAATTCTGTCAAATGTTGTTTCATTAACTCCAAAAGATGTTGCCAATATATGCCTGTCTAAAGTCCTCAAGACTGACGCTTTCCCTGCTAAGTATTGAGGATGATTGTTCTTCGGGGACGTGCTGAATCCCATGAAAACTAATGTGTCATTGTTGAAAGCCAGCTGCGCCATGGGATGGAACCTTGGCACAACAAAAATGTCACCTTCTTCAACTGCAAACCTGGCATTTTTGCACTCTGCCTCTGATATTAAACCTGGACAAACCACTCGAACCATTCCTTTTCCTTGGAGTACTACTGCAATCTCGGTCGCCCTTGGATTCCAATGAGGACCCATCATTCCTCCCTGGAAAGAAAAGCCAAATGTTTATGTTGAGGTTGATGAATGGGAAGCGAATCTCATTTCAGTAACAGAGAGATATAAAGCACTTAATAAAGTAATAAGATAGACTCAAAACCTAGTACACAAAGTCACAAGAAGGGAAAAACAGCAAGAAGATTGGATGACTTACATGGGTAAGATTAACCATGAAAAGGCCATACTTGGAGTCCTTCAAGAGGGAAGTCTTTTTCTTTGTAAGAGTTGAGCTCCATCCATTGCAATTCTCAAAATCTGGTTTTCCACTGAAGAAGTTGTACAAGTTGGATTTCCTCTTCTTGTCTTTATTGCTGGGGTCGAAAATGCCATAAACGGCACTTCTGCTCATTAGTACGCTTTCTATGAACTCATAATCCCCCTTAGACCTGCCAGATTCCTGCGCGCTTGCATTTCCATGGGTGATCGGGTCTGGCTTCGGTGCACTTCTAATTTCTTCAATCACTTCTTCAGGAACCTTGTTATCATAATGCAAAATATTCAAAATCCAGATTGAATCAACAGGAAAAATACATGTCTATTTGGGAGTAGAACTGAAATGTATTTTTATTACCTTAAAGGTCTCTTGAAGGACTCTCTGGTCGAATCCAAGAATTAAGTCCCTTAAGCTTGAATACGGTCCATATGGAATTGGATCCTGAAATTAACAAGTTTTAACAAACATATTCATTGCCAGTCAATCACATTATTAAGGGAAAAAAAAAAAAAAGGAACCAAAAAAGTATTCTCAATGTCTTACTCTCAAATCTTCTCCGGTATCACCAAATATTGCATGAATCCTAAGCTTCTGTCTAGTGGTACCTAAATGGCTCTGTATGAAGAAAACAGAGCCTGTTTCCAGCCTAAACACATCACCTCTTCTTACATCCATCGTCTCCATTCCATTATCACCTCTGAAGCTCAGCCTCCCACTCCCTGCAAGCAAAAGAAAGTTCCAATTTCGAAAAATCACGAACTAGATTTACCGAGAAACAGTAAGACACTATCTGACCCTAACTCCTCACGTAAGTAGTACATTAAATTCAGATATCTGACAAGTGCTAAGAAAATGTGGGCTAATTTCATTGCCCGGTATAACAATTGAATTATAAAAAAAAAATTAAAAAATTGAATTACCTGTATGGACATAGAAGAGCATATCCTGATGTAGCATAACAGGGAGAAACAGGGCATTGGGCTCTAAGGTGATGAAGTGAAGCAGAAACGTCTCATTCCCATCACCGACTTTAGCACCGGAAACTTGTCCGAATTCAGTTGAAATCAGCGGTTTCCGGTCATCCCTCTTCACTAAATGCCCAACAAATGGACCACTTTCTTGATCTTCCCAGGTGGGTGTTGTTGCATGAACGCACAGGATCAAGCACAAAGCAGAAGATAGCAGCAAAATCCAAGACGGCGAAGACATCGATGTTCTTTTATTGGGCTGATTAAGTAAGCAGAAGTTGAAATTATAAGCTGGGAAGAATAAGCAATAATAATTTTATTTATAGATGGAGATGATGAAGATTGAATGAGGGGGAGTAGCTGGTAGCTACGTGGCGGGTGGATGGACACGGGGCGTTTGGATGGAGCCACGAGGCAGCTGCTTGAGCTGGGAGACTTTGAAATCTTCATGCAGAATGGGATCACGAGCAGCATAATTTTAGGTGAATCAGATTTTTATTTTATTTATTTATTTTTTTAAACTCAGTTAATTTGACTTCATTCACTCTATCAGCCGTTCAGGCGGAAGCCCGAGTTTTGGGGTTGAGTGTGAAATGGCTATTAATTTTTGTAATGAAGGTTGTGAAGATCCATCTTTTCGTTATTGTAATGTTGGAACTTGGAAGTTTGCATGACGAATGCGATTAACTAAGTGAGGAGGGGAGAGAAGATGATAATCATCACTTCGAAAAGGAGACTGAAAAATAAAACGGAGATGATGTGCCTGTTTAGTCCAGAAAAATGGTACTTGTGCTTAATTTTGTTCAGTGACCAGAAAAGGTTAGTCATATTGGGCTACTCCGTCGGCCCTTCCTTGCTTCGATTAAACACAACAAATAGGATGCTAAGCTAACTTTAACTTCAAATATTTTTTGCCAACTCTCTTTCTTATCGAGATGCCTATTATGAATGAGTGAGAAATTAACCACTACTGTTGCAATATAGAAAGGAAAAAAAAACCACTTTTTCACTCATATAGACGTCTATCATAAACGAGTAGAGATTTGACAGTGTTGATGACGATAGACACAACCTGCAATATGAAAAAAAAGAAGAAGCTATTTTGGCCGTTGATAGTTATTTCTTTTTCCTTTTAAAATCTTTTTGGGTTAATGATGGTTTTTTTTTTTTTCAAAAAAAAGACATTATATAATCACGGAAGTATCCGTCATTTTCAACTCGTTTAAAGGTAAAACTCCAAAAGCATAAATTAGAAACTCTTATTACAAAAGGCTTATACCATTCTTCTCCTTCTTTGGGCGAAAACAGCCCTAAAACCTCAATTTTCAATCCTCCGCCCATAGTGATTCATCTGGTCCAGTGTTCCCTGATCCTTCTTCACCAGGCGTTACTTCTTCTTTCCCTGGCTCTTCCTCCCCTTCTCCTGCCCCTGTTTCTTCTTGCTCCGCTTTCTCCATTTCTTCCTCCATGATCCTCAACTCTTCCTCCGCGCACAGATTACAACCCAACACAGCAGATTCCCCCAACTGAGAACGCAAAATCTCGTTAATCATCGTCTCATTCACTCCCAGAGATGCTGCCAACACACTTCTGCCTAATGCCCTGAAAATGGAAACTTTCCCAACTAGAAATTCATGATTCCCACTTTTCTTCATTTTCGTCTCCGTACTAAATCCCATAAATACAAATGTATCATCACCGAAAGACATTTGAGCTGTTGGGTGTAACCTTGGCACCACAAACACATCGCCTTCTTCCACCTGAAACCTCGTATCTTCGCACCGCCGGGACTTTTCGTAAGCAAAATTGTTCAAGCTAGAACAGACTACTCGGACCATCCCTTTTCCCTGTAATACAATTGCAATCTCTGTAGCCATTGGATTCCAATGCGGTGCCACCATCGATCCCTAAAAAAGACAAATCATATGATCAAGTTGAAGATGTCCAAAAATGAAAGACTAATAGTACTAATATACTGTAATTTTTTATTCTTTTTTTTAAAAAAAAAAATTCAGGAGGTAACAGGGGACTCACACTACTCAGATTAGCCATGAAAACACCGAATTTCTTTGGGCTCAGCAAACCTTTCAGATATTCAACCGGGCGTTTTTTCTTGTTGGAAGTTGTGATCCATCCGTTGCGATTCTCGGAATCTCTATATACAGTAAGTATGTTGAAGAGGGCGGCGGAGTCACCTAAAAAGCCTTCGGAGAACCACCGAATGAAATTAGCTTCCAATTCCCATGTTTTGCTCACCGCGGGAACAAAGGCGGGTGGATTCGGTGCATTAAACAATTCATCTATCACCCCTGGAGAGACCTTCAATGAAAATACGTAAAAGCAATTTTTGGTGTCAAGAAGAACTCAGAACTCATTCACATCAATCAATTCCATTTACGACGGACGATGGATGGTTGAGTGGTTAGTTATTTTACCTTAAAAGTCTCTTGCAGAATCTTCTTATTAAACCTTAGAAGCATATTGCGGAAACTAGAGTATGGTCCACTTGCTGCTGGTTGCTACAAAATTTTGGTTAAATTATAGTCACAACCCACCAATCAATTGAACATGAACTTTGCAAAATATTAAAAAGAATCTTACGCGGAAGCCTTCCTCTAAATCACCGAAGATGGCATGAATCTGAAGCTTATCAGTGCAGAGGCATGACTGGATAAAGAAAACATCTCCGGGATTGAGTCCGAAAACATCGCCTTGTTTCAATTTCCTAGTCTGCAGTCGGCCTTCATTACTAGTGTAACTCAAGCTCCCAGAACCTAAGTATTACAAATCCATCACAGCGATTAAGTAAGTACTGATTAAGACAAATAAATTAGTAGCCAAAAATAAAATAGAGCCCAAATTCGAGGATTTCGATGACAAATTTGTTCGTAATTGATTTTAAGTACCGGTTTGCACATAGAAAACCATGTCTGAGGATAAAACAACAGGCAGGAAAATTGCAGATGACACCATGGTAATGGACTGGATGTTGTAAGACGACAAATCCGTTGGTATCTCAATACCAACCGATGAAATTTCTCCATATTCACTAGATGAGATTAGCTGCCTCTCGTCTTTCTTCTTCACCAGTGATCCCGATGACCACATTTGATCATCCCTAGTCTCCACCTCTGCCCTCACATTGAAGCTGCTGCTGATGATGATAAAAAATGAGCACAAGATCAGATTGTAAACCGGTAAATTAATGCATCTCCGAGACATTTTTCCTAATGGACTAAAAGCAAAATGAGGGGTGTTAAAATGTAACAAAAACGGTAGCCATGCATGATAAAAGGAAGTGACAAAGCTCTACCTCCATCAAAATTACATTTGGCTTCCCACCATAATGACGATTAAACACGTGGGCGTTGATTCAACCCAAGTTCTTACACATAGTAGTGCTCTGATTTGTACGTATATCATATTCGGTGTATGCGTGCGGCTTTTCTCTCCAAATTTATGCGTGAAATCTAATCGTAGTTATCTTCTTTTTCTTCCTATGAAGATTGGAACTGAAAAATCTCCTTGAAAGTTGACTCTGTAGTTGGCCCCTCCGTAATAAGGCCCAATGACGTTCAACTTAGACTCTGTAGTTGTTAAGGTCATAGCGGAAATGGCCCAAACATAAGGCCAATCCAGATCACAAATCCCCAAGTGGGTCTTTCCTTTAAATCATTTCAAATTTTCAATTTCTTTTCAGCTGAACGAGTGATTCTTAATTAAATCAGACATTCACTCTCACTTTTCTTTTCTTTTTGGCATATAACAATTGGCGACATTGATTTATGCATCGTCCGAATTGTATGCATTCACTGAGTTGTATGTTCCAACTAACAAGTATCAGCTACTTGGTCACGATCGAATTTTCGGGTCCAACTTCTGACATAATGTACATGACTATGCAGGATGGTAATTTATGTATTTATAATTTTAATTTTAATACGAAAGCTTTCGGGAGGACATCTTTCGTTGTCAATAACCTCCAAGATCGTACGCAGAGAGTGTGATTGATTAATTTGGACCCAGAAAATCAATCTTGGCCGAACGACCTCTTTGTAATTCATTGGAATAGAAAGCAAAATTAGTTGACTGGCTCAAATAATATTCACATTGTTCCCAAATTATTGTCCAGATTAGATTTTCATTTTAAGTACATAATGAATTAAAAGTGAGAATTCAAATTGGACAATATTTTTTGACAAAGAGAGTATATATTTGAATATATTGATTGAATACATGGAATAAAAGCTTATCAAGCCACCAATAGTAGTCCAAAGATTAGATAATCCATCCGCTGGAGTTAAGTCCTTTTATTTTATTTTTTTTTTCATTTCAGAGAAATCGTAATTAAAACATTATATAATCGGTAATTTTTTTACCCATAACTTATTCTCCTTCGTTGTATTTAAAGAAAATGAACACATATGTGTGTGAGCTACCTTAACGTTATGGAGTTAAACTTTTCGAGAAATTTTGATAAAAATGATAACGTCTTTTGTCATCCATGATTGAGGGAGAATATTAGGAATGTCGCAGGATGTATTGCACAGCCAAGTATCAAATTTCTTTATGCCCTTTGTCTCCTTTTATTGATTTTTCCCCTACAACGGAATGATGGACATTAAGAGCATCGAATTATGTAGCACAATGCACCACCTTTTAGAGATGGCTTCCAACACCAACCTGATCGGATAGCTAGAATTAATATCATTCTCACAAATAACAGCCTAACAATGCGCACCTCGAATTAAAAGGGAAACAAAAAAGACCCATTTCCGGAAAATTTTATCCAATGTGATTACTCAGTTAGTATTTGATTTCGCTACATGATCCTTGTTTTGCAAATTGCTAGCTGGAGAAGAAGACTTCCCCTTTTGACATTTTTTTTTTTTTTTCCAACTGGGATATTGGTACCACAACTCCACAAACAGGGAGAAAGCTAAACAGAAGAAGTTAAAATGAATCATCCAGATGGTATTTTTTAAAAAAGTAAAATCAACATATCCCAAGGATCATTTATTCCAACTTGTAGCAGTAATATATGGTACCAAGCACGTACGTCGTACTCTTATAATATCGTCCTGCAATTCTAAAATAAGAATATAACCTATTAATACTTTTCTACTAAATTTATAAGATGGAGACAATAATTTAAAGAATAGTCATATCGATCGATATTGAAGGATTGGATAAAGGTCGTCAGGACCACCAACGCGATATTCATGATTATGGATGTTATGCATTGTTCTTGTTGATGTTAAGAGGACAGTACCTAGTAGGGATAGATGATGATGAAGAATTGAAGATAGATATATAGATAGATACCTAATGTCATGGCCATTCCGTCTCCACTGATTCACCCCTTTTGTTAATTTTTTTTTTCTTTTTCCCCCCTCTGTATTAGTTTTTCTCTTTCATTCTTTTTTTTTTTTTTTTTTTGGAGTTGTGTATGAGGAGTTGGCTAAAAATAATGCTAATCAGAATCTCAACCTTACAAAAAACACTCTTTTGTGATGCAGAAGCCTCTCCGGGCTTCCTTTATTTTTCCACCGCGTGTGTCCCGTGTATCTCTACTACATAAACGTAAACTTAGCTCTTAAGTACTTGACTTCAGGTTGCATTATTATAGAGAATACTGAATATTAAGCTTTTTTTTTTTCCTGTTTTGTTTTATCACACTAAAGTTATGATCATAGTTAAATTTATCAGCCTTTTATTTTGTATTTTTGTGACTAGTCTAATTGTCTAACGTCCCTGAAATTTTAAGATTGACCGCCCTCATTAATTGAACCTTTGTATCCATATATTAGAAGCTGATGACTAGATTAATTTTCTCCATATGCTGTAAATCAAAATTAATTTGAGTATTGTAGCGAAAAAAAAATTGAGTATGATATATGTTTCTTTATAACGCATTTTTATATGATTCACAGTGTTAGAAAAAAAAGGCTAGTACCTTCAAATTGTACGAACATGGATCATATTAATTAACATCAAAAGTGAATACGTGTGTCAATTAGCTAGATCATTAGTCTTATTGGAACAAATCATTTTGCCTAACCATCTTTTCTACATCATTTACTTACTTTTTTTTTTTTTTATTCGGAGGAGAATGTATAATTCCAGCAGCTGGTAGTACGTCCTATCTGAGGGAAGCAGGAAATGTCACAGTATGATTTCTCAGAATGACTCTTCTCTACCATTTGGATGTGGCTTTTTTTTTTTTTTTTGAAGTACTACAAACCCTATACATCTATCTATTTATCCAGATGATTAACCTTAAAATTCCAGCAAATACTTAGTTAGATTAAACTCGATTATTCGTGAAAAAAAATCTTATCACGTACGTGTTGCAAATTTTTCACCATACATTATTGAGATTGAGCCGTTTCCAAGTGTATGAACCGCGCACTGTGGTCGTGACAGTTAATTTTATGAAGTAATAATGGGTAAATATATGATGCGATAAAAAATCAATGACTAACAGGCCATCTCTTCTAGCTTTTGGCAATAGTGATATTAATTATACTGGTAACCGCGCGTGAAATATGAACAGAAATATTTAAAATATTTTTTTTTTTAAAAAAAAAGAAAAAGTGACAAGCTCGTAGCTATAGCTTGTCTCAAGAACATTGCTAAGACATAGCTTTTTTGTGCAAAAATCTGAATGACACAGAAAGGCAAATTATGAGAAGTAAAAGTTACTAATGAGCAAGCATCTCCGATTCTCTGAAACCATTTTTTTCCCCAAGATTTGCTTTGGATACTATAATTATTAATCCTTTATTATACTCCCGTTCACACGCTAGATCATTCTATGGGTTATATTTAATTAATAGGATAAAGTACATTAATGGGGGATGGGAAGAAATGTTTATGAAACACATTTTTCTGATTAAGACAAGACGGCTTTTGAAAATGAGTTAAAAAATCATATAGAGGGCATATACTACATTTTTTGCCTTTATACCATTGAAAATCTAATTTATTAAGGAAAGACAACTGAAGCCATCTTTTTTAAGTATTGCTTGCTTTTCCAATAAAGTTGTTAAAGTAAAATTTATGGTCCACATATGGTTAATTACAGTAGTTACTATTAGGAAAGTGATTAAGAAGGGGGACTTGTCGTTCTTGGACCCTCATCTCCTTCGCTTTTCCAGCACGTAAAATTGGACGGATGGACGACGAGAAATGGGGTGGTGTATTACTTAATTGCATTATTAACCGACCGAACATATTCCCTTTCTTAGCCGCCAAATTTATTGTTTCTTTATCCAATCCCATTAGGGCATGCACTTCGTTCCTTCGCAATCTAATTCCCAAACCCTCTACTATTGAACAATGAGATATGCATAAGATCAATGACCCCGATACTCATTTAGTAAAAATTTAATTAACTGATGTAATAATACATGTGAAAATACAAAATAATCGCTATAATATTCCTTTTAAAAAAAGATACTATATAGTAACGAAAGAAAATTAACATAATAACTTCTTCCAGTCCTTTATTATAAAATATTTTATTTTTTCCTAGATTTTATTTAAGTATGTCTTTCTAATTAAAAATAAAATCTTAAAAATATTTTATACTAATAAGAAGAATACATACTAAATGAAATTTAAAATAAATTAAAATGTGTTATAATAAGTACTGAAAGGGAACACATAATTAGGTTTCTAAATCAATTCATATTGGTTGAATTCATCGTGGATATCATGGTATATGTGTGTGATGATCAACACAAATGATCATGGCATGCCGTACCAAATTGCTAGGGTCTGGGAAGGCCAATCAGGTCAATGTGTAGTCACTGTTATAGGGGGAGAGTGAGGTCATTCCTTTAATGTCAGAGAGAATAAGAATATTAATCGATCAGGAGAGAAGATGGAGAGGAAGAGCAGAAAAGTAGTAGGGGGATTTTGGTGATCACAAATGACTTTTTCTTTTTTCTTTTTTTTTTTTTGAGGGTTTTGGAGAATATATATAATAAGACAGGTATGTAGCTTCATGAGGTGTAGGTATGTCTGCAGAATTGCGCCTGATCGTCTTACCGGCAGTAGCATTTTTAAGATGCTCACTGTCTCAGCTAGGATCATCAGACGATCCACATTTGATCTCCCGAATCTTGATCCTTTTTCTATCACCCGATCACGATCCGAATCCTACGACGCATAATTCTAATTATTCCACTATTTGTTTGTTCTTCTAGCAAACTCAGCTAGCTAACCTGGTTCTTCGTACTATTGTTTTAAACTTAAAAGTTTACGTTCACCGGCCTCCACCGGGCAAAGGTACACGTGTCATGCACAATTGATTAATTTAATTACAGGATCCATGATTAACTATTGCTAATCATACATGTGATGCAAACAAAAAAAAAAAAAAACAAGCATCGATTTGGTTCGACGTGTTTAAGAAATTAACAAGGAGGGATGGTGGAAAGATTAATTTTGATTGATTAATGTTCATGTTCTAGAAAAAGAAAACCATCGAATTAATTTAACGGTGTGATAGCTTGTGGGATCTCTACGTAATCAGTCCAGAGTAATTCGGAATTATTTAGAATTAAACATGCATGGAATCTTTAGAATTCAATCAATTCATATCGCAGTCAAAAAGCAGTGGAAAAACCAAGCCCGGTAACAACTAAAGATAAAAGGAAAGGGATCAAACTTTTTAAAAAATTGTCTCATATTTTTCCGACTCAAAATGATTGTCATATTAGTTTATTATACTAATTTGTATTAAAAATAAAAATTTAAAATGGACAATCATGTCGGGACAAAGTGAATATATATTAGTGATTTTAATTGATGATTCAGTTATGTCGGTGTTGTTTGGCAACTTTTTGGCTTTGGAGTAATTCATGAAGGTTTCCGCTGTTTCACAATTGAGCTTGTGAAGTTTAAGGCCTACAAATGAAAAGTGATTGATTTAGTCTGCGTGAGTTTTAAGTTCCAACTAAGCTGCTAAAGTTAATGTTGGACGGTACCTTGTGCCTGATTTTTGCTTCCATTCCATGTAATATTGTGTTTCAAACCTTCAACTCGCAAGTGGGGTCCATATATATTACCATGATTTTAGACCCTGGGAAATGGCGTCTTGAAACTTGTTGACTTTTTGGTCGTTTTGAGTTGAAAAGTCTTTCAGGCTAGCTCTAGTAAAACACCTGAATGATGGTTTGTTTATACAACTCTAAAAGAAATTACGTTTGTTCAATTATTACATTAGGAATTCCGCTGTCGTGGCTTGTATACTGTTTAGGGAATTAATTCAATAACTTTAAGTAGTAAAATTTAGACAGAGAATTGAAAAGGAAAAAAAGAGAAAGAACTTTGAGTACTGTGTGATTGAATTCAGCAAATGTTGCAGCCCATTTCAGCTTCCATACCATCCATATCACACACATACACTGACCTCCACTACAAAAAAGAGAAAAAAAATATGCCCTTCTTGACTTGATGTAGGCCTGAAAGGAGCCATCATCTCTACCTTTTTCCCCTCTTCTTTCTTTTTCTTTCATGTCTTCTGGTGCTGAGTGCTTTGCCCTTTTCAATTTTAACGTTTCAACTTTCGCGATTCATCGTCAAAAACTGCTGTTGCTTCTCATAGGAGAAGAGTGGCCGTAAAACGAAAAAGATGAAGTTTTATAAAGCAAAAGTGGAAGGGAAAACCAAGTAAATAAGGAAAGGCAAGCTGGGGGGACTAGGGAATCAAAAAAAAAAAAAGGCTGCCCAACTGATCACACAAATACAAGTAACTGTACAGCAGCAAGGAGAGAAGACGACTTTAGAAACTTGAACTTGAAGCTTTCTTTGAAAGAAAAAGATCATAACTCCAATGGATCCCTTCTGACTCGTGTCCCCTCTTTGCCTTTTTCCCTTTGTGTCTTGGTTGCACTGTTGTTGTCCACTTAATACACGCAACCTGGGCGAATTACTCAATGAATCCTTTAACTTTGATGCTACACTCAATTTTTTCCCAACGTCTTGATAAAATTAATTCGATTTTCATTCTTCAAATACGCCATATACAACTTCAATGTTCTTCCACCTGAGACTAGGATTGGGTCGAGAGGATTATGTTTTATACATTCATATCTTAGATCGATGTCACAAATAGTTTGGATTTTAATGAGCGACTGATGTACTACACATGGAAACATTCTTACTTATGTTTCAATTAATCTCATTGTTTATGTCGCGAGTTAGTTATTGAATATAAACGATTGCAACACAAAACTTCTGTTAATCGTCAAAATATTTTAAAACGAAATTACTACTATAAGACATAATATTACCTCTTGCGCAACATGTTAGTCGCCAAATTAATTTCCTCAATTTGACTAAATTACAAGTCAAAGAAGTAAAGTTTATAAACAACTAAAACTTTTTCGAAGTGAAATTAGTATCGAAAATGAGGGAGCAATTGTATGATTTGGTGGCCACATATGCCCGCCATGCATGCATATATACATGCATATGTTTTCTTACTTGATCCGTATTCGATCCCTCATGACGTATCCAAAATGATCATTCCATACTTCTGAGGCACGCACGCTCGCACTCTCTGACACCAAAAAAATCATAGATAAAAAGACCACAATCATCATCTTCCAAAGCCCCCTCCCCGCCCCTTCTTCTTTCTCCAGAAAAACCTTCCCACGTTTCCGTCCTCAAACAGTACAAAACGAAAAACACACGCACGCACACACACACAGAGTGAAACAGAACCCCTTTTATATATATATCGAATAAGGCATAAGAATAAGAGTATTGTTCACCTAATTAGATACGTATAGTTCTTTAATTCTCTCGTGTCCTTCTTCGGAGAGAAATGAAAGTGCCCTTTACTCAGAACCAGCAACAATCATCATACAGCAACTCATCAAAGCACTCCAATCTTCTCAACCTTAGCAGCAGCAACAGCATCAACACCCCAAGTTTCCTGCAGGGATACGAGCCCAAATCAGTTCTCGAGCTCCGTCAAAGCCCCGATCAGAAACCCGCCTCCAATAACTCCGACAACATTTCCGGCGTTTGGGACGACAATACCACCACCACCCTCCAGCTGGAAGATCATGTGCTGATCAATCAACTAGAAGACTTCGATTTCGAGCCTTGGATGAGAGAATTGGGTTTGCATGAAGATTCCACCCCTACTTCCAAACCTAATAATACCACTACTAGTACTAATATCATCGGTACCTTTTCGCAATTCGATTCTCAAACTCAATTCCAAATCGGTAATACCAATAATAGCCTTCCTGATTTCCCGCCGGCTCACTCCTTCGATTCCTCCACTCAGTTCGTTCCTCCTGAGTTCCCACTTGCGGATATCCCGGCCTACCCAACTTTGACCACCAATTCCACATCATTTGACCAAATCTCCCCTGATATTCAACCCAACTGGAATCTGGGTTTTGATTACGTGGATGAACTCATCCGCCTTGCTGAGTGCTTCGAAACCAACTCCCTCCACCTCACCCACGTGCTTCTCGGCCGTCTCAACCACCGTCTCCGGTCACCGTCCGGGAAGCCGCTCCAGCGAGCTGCGTTTTACTTCAAGGAAGCTCTCCAGACGCTGCTGACTGGATCAACTCGGCCCACTCGATCTTCTACTTCCTCTGAGGTAATCCAGACTATTAAAGCCCACAAATCCTTCTCCAATATTTCCCCCATCCCTATGTTCTCCAGCTTCACGGCTAACCAAGCCGTCCTCGAAGCCCTTGACAGCTCCGCGCTGATCCACGTCATCGACTTCGACATCGGCTTGGGAGGACACTGGGCTTCTTTCCTCAAGGAATTAGCCGACAAAGCCGATTCCCGGAAAATGGGGGCGCCGGTTCTCAGATTAACCGCCGTGGTGACGGAGGAGTATGCCATGGAGTCTAAACTGATCAGGGAGAATTTGCTTCAGTTTGCGCGGGAGCTGAATATCGGGTTCACCATAGACTTCGTTTTGATGCGGACTTTTGAATTCCTGTCATTCAAATCTATCAAGTTCATGGAGGATGAAAAGATTGCCATTCTTTTATCTCCGGCCATATTCCGCCGAGTCGGCACCGGGTTCTTGAATGATCTCCGCAGGGTTTCGCCGCACGTGGTGGTGCATTTGGATTGCGAGGGGCTTACCGGTTTCGGAACGACCACTTTCCGGCAGACTCTGATAGACGGGTTGGAGTTTTATTCAACCCTTCTGGAATCCCTGGAGGCAGCAAACGGCGGGAGCGGAAGTGAAGATTGGATGAAGAAAATCGAGACGTTTGTTATATATCCAAAGATATTGGAGGTGGTGGGGGTGGCGGGCCGCCGTGGAACGCCGTGGAGGGAGGCGTTCGCGGCGGCAGGGTTGAGGCCGGTGGCATTGAGTCAATTTGCTGACTTCCAGGCGGAATGCCTGATAGGGAGAATACAAGTGAGGGGATTCCACGTGGCAAGGAGACAGGCTGAGATGCTGCTTTGCTGGCATGAGAGGCCCCTCGTTGCCACATCAGCATGGCGGTATTAATATTAATTTAAAATACATCAGGTTCTTCTAATAACGAACAAAGTAGAGAGGCAGTGTTTAAGAACCTCGAAGATGAAATTAAGTTTAGATTGAATGGGCGTGTTTTTACTTTTTGGGTTATGGAGTTAGTGAAATTTGGGAAAAAACCTTAACCCCTGCAGCTTTTGTAAGTTTTAATGTAATTTTGGGCTGGTTTTTTTAGGTCGTCTGCGCTTTAGTTGTAAAAGCCTAAAAAGGGAGGCTAAGATGCTTCTTCCTGTTTTTTTTTCTCTTTCTGCGTTTTTGCCCTTTATGCAGTGATGAGTATCATCTTTTAATATACAGACTGTTTCTCAAGCAATATTGGGTTCTGTCAAGATCATAAAAACATGCAATCATTACTGAGGAAAAGGTAAACTGTGATGAATCGGTTTAATCACTATTTCATGATCGGCTCATCATAATAGCATTACATAGCCAACGAGCGGGCTGATCAACACCTCAATCCAGATGGAGACTAGTTCTGTTTTGCCCCGGTTATAATTTGGTTGATTAACTTTCAAAGAACAAAAAACAGAGAAATCACTCCCCAAACTCATTTCTTGTTTAGGACGGAATTACGGATATCCTTTGGGAGAAGGCTTTTCCAAAACCACACACAAGTGATATACATGCACCTCCATCAATTCATAAATCACAAAAACAAAAGACAATGCACTTTTCAAGAAAAAGCATGTAACCTTTAACCAAAATATATGCAACCCTCGGAATCTATTTTTTTTCAGTGCATTGTAGACCTGTCAACGATGCAGCACTCGTTGATTACAACTTTAAAACCTGCCAGAATGCTGAAAAAGAATCACTCCAAATGTGACTTGAGATTAAAGTTTTCAACTTTATTAACCTTCCATCACAATCACAGAGCCCTTCAAAATATTCTCAAGCCACAGAAACACCAGCACTATTTCGGCTTGTGCCCACAGAAAAAGAAAGCAGTTCAAGGATCAGATCATCAGAGCCTCGATTCCAAGGGGGAAACAACGCAATGCAGTCACAAGATAACTAGATGCCTAATTTCATGGAAGAACTGTTAGATGATAGCAATTGAACAATTGGTTAGAAAAATGACAAATGGAAAGCAGGTGTAAATAATCCAAGTATGTCCTCCCCTTTCTTCAACTCCTTACTAACAGTTTTACAACAAAAGAGCACAAACAGAGCTCTTGCTACATCAGTTTTTCCAGAGATGAATCATATATAGTTACAACTGAGAAAGGGTTACAACTGTATAAATCTGTAAGGAACAACATTCTCTAACTAATGAAAATCCTATGATATTAATGATCTCAAGCGCTTGCCTTTTATATTCCAGCAAGTTTTAACTCAGTCACATAGTCTGAACTTCCAACTCACTTGTTCTATCTCAACTGTTATTTTCCTCGCCATGGGTTTGAACACCACTCTCTAATTTTGATACTGCCTCTGGTCCACACAACCTAGTCAATTCTTCCTGTTTCAGAATCAAAAACCTAAGTTAACAGCAGGCTCACATTACAGAAGATCACACAGCCAGACAACCAGAATGTCAATTCACTAGCTCTTAAGTTACTCCTTTTTTTGTTAATTTTTTTCCCCCAAAAAGATAGAAAACATATTAGCATGGTTATTTCGAAAGTTTTCATTTACCGACCTTTATGGAGTTGTTTTCTGAAGTAAGCTTCTCACATTCCTCAGAAAGCCTCTGCAGCTCATCTCTCAGAGCACGATTTTCACCGTTCAAAGACTCTACTCTCTGCTGCAATTCTTCACATTCAGCCTACATGTAGACAGTCCATTAGTTGAATCAAGTCGATTGATCTCTACACTAAGAATCTTGGATTAGTCAGGAAGACTAGAAAACCAAGGTGGGTAAACTACTTAAAAGACGAGCAACCTTGTCCAAATTCTCAAGAATATTCCACATCTGTCACTGATTTCATACAAGAATCACTTAAAATGACATGCGGCTCAACTTAAAAGTGGAAGCTAACGTACCTGTTTGCGCAATCTTGATCTCCGAGCTGACTCCCGATTAGATTGCTTTCGCTTTTGTCTTTTCAACTCCCGCTCATCCTGCGAAATGAAAGATCACTACCCAGAGTACGTTTCATACACACGAGACAACTAGGTACGATGTCTTTGAACCAAGGAAAACCAAATAACAAGCCATTTAAAAAATGACTAGATATCAAGAGTTGCCGCATCAAAGAGCAGATAGTGAATTCTAAGTAGGTTATGTTCATAATTATGACTACCATCTTGAAATTCTCTTTGTGATGCTGTCTGTGAGTCGACCTCCCAACTAAAAATAAACCCAACACAGTGGTCTTCGGAATGTAACTCTATACTAAAAGAATATCAAATTCAGAAATTTAATGAACCCTCTTTTAGAGGAGGTACGACTCATGATAATTTATTATTCCTCAAAACATTCAAATGAAGTAAGCTTGATACTGGAGAGTAAATGGAAACATTAAAACACTAAATGGAAAGTAGGTTTATTCACACCAGTAGATCAACAGTTTAGGTTTAAATCCTGAACTACAAGGGAAGTAAATAATTAGCTGAGATCCAAATGCTTAAATGGAGTTTAAAAAATAACTTTGTATGCATGCTAAAGCATAAAAAAGTTATCTTAGTTGGAATTTGCAGTTGAGTTTTCCAAAACAATTCAAAGCGAACATGTAAGTAGCATTAACAAAACCAATTACCAAGAAACGTACAGAACATTTGATGAATCTTTTTCAAGAAATGCATCAGACCGACCAGTTCATTTAAATACCTCAAAACTTGAATTAGATTATTAAAGGTACTTTCATACCTGAATCCACTGGTCGCCCATCATGCCTGGAGCTACAGCAGGTGAGACACCAGGATTTGTACGCACTTTCATAGTGCCAGAAGCAGTAGAAGATGGGTTCCACAAGTCCATTCCGATATTGAGATTAGTAGCAGGAACAGAAACTACAGGATTCCCAGGCACTGAAGACTGGAAATTCCCGACAGTAGGACTGTTCTGAGCAGTTGCACCTGGAATTATGGAAATGTAGGTCAACCAAATGAGTTACAAATGCAAGAGTAGAGCGGAGTGAAAAGGAATTACCATCTGCAAGCATCTGATCAAAACTTCCTTTCTTTGATGCAGATTGTTCCTAAGATACAGAAGGGAATATTTGCGTTCAAGAGTCACATATCAAACTTATTTTGCATGGGCCAGCTCCCGAAGAATGAAAAGTTATTAGGCACCAGTAAAAAATAATAATAACAAAACTCAGTTCCTAGATTTGTTGACTGTATTTAAGGCTTGAGAGATGTTTATCAAAACGAAAGAAAAAAGGCTCAAGATATGCGGATTTCCACAAATAGAAGGTAGGAAAAAATGGGAAGGGACGTACATTATTATTCTCATCACTTCCATCTGAAGAACCTTCACTTCCACTTTCAGCACTGTATAAGAGCAAACAAAACAGCACAGAGAATCAATTGAATGAAACTTGTCAAGGTAATTCCAGAACACTTTTACATTGTTAAGGCAATTGTATCGATGCTTTCATATAATTTCCTTCTAGAAAACACAATAGGCCGGTTCAGAAACCAAATTGCCCTAGTATGCTAGACTACCTCTGAGTAGCACCATCATTTCCAGACCCTGAAGCTGCTTTACCACTTTCCCCAGCCTTATTATTGGCCTTGGACTTTTTGCTCGTAGTGCGGTCCTTCCCTTCAGGAGCTTTCACATCTGATTCAACAGCCGGTTGAAGTGGTCCTGGAGCCTGAAAAGGAGAAAATAGTTGAATACAGAGATTAGAACCACCAACAGAAATTGTGAGATATATACAAGGGATGCATTAAATGCCATTTCTCCAGCAAATTGAAAGCTAGTAACACTAATACTGATTACCATTGCCATAGTAGGATGGGCATAAACACCTGCCGGAGGATATAAAGCAGGGTATGGAACTGGAGTACCGTATGGTGGCATCATTGGGTGCTGGATAAAAACATAAGTAATAAAAATAAATAATTTTTCCTAAGAAAACCTTCAGAGGCAAACTGTCAGCAACAGAGTAAGAGACGAAATGCCACAGATGATTTCACACCTGGTTGCCCCACATATATGGACTTGGGGAAGCAACAGTTGAGGCAAAAAAGGGTGGAGTAGCACCAGCTCCATAGTACGCCTAGGAAGAAAACATTTTGAGAGCGATGTTGTTAAGCAAATGCTGAAAATCTGCCCATAAATTTTGGCATAGTACTAATGAATACATTACAAACAAACCTGCATGGACGTCGACCAATCAGGATACGAGGGAGCAACAGGAGTTTCCTGTAACGATCGGTCAAAAAATTATAGCTCGGGAAAGGTAATCCAATATAAAGCTGTTACAGTAAACTATAATACATGGAGAAAACAGATAGCAAGATTACCTGATTTGTAGAGGCAGGCTTAGAAGCCTTAACAGGGGTACTCTGATCCCCAGTCCCCATGTGACAAGTCGGTTCCTAACTCAATAAGCTCCCAGTTCTTATGATTTAACAGAAGTTCTTGTATCAAAGTTGAAGCTTTGATACCCCTGCAAAAATCAGAATACCAAGAAACTTCAAAATGAAATTTCCCATTGCATTTACCTCAAATTTGTAAGCTAAACTTATAATGCAGAACAAAAAGACAGCTGCCGAGAAACCGAAAAAAAGGAACACTGAAATTCCGCAAACGGTTCTTTTGCGTTCTCATCATCACTAGTCATATCTAGTTATAGTAGCTGTCTAAACTCTAAAGTGCAAGGAAGTCCAGAAACCAAAAAAGATAGTGTCCATCCATCTTGGAAACATTTCGTAAAAAGAAAATCAATCAGTTTTAATATCATTAGGGGAAATTACTAAAAAACATACCACAATCTTATTCTGTATCAGGCTCCGGAAATTTACAGAAACAGGAATGCCATGACTATTCGATTATATTCTGAATGACACATATATACTACTGTTCCATCTAATCAACTCGAGGAAAAAGAAAAACCGCTTTCTTATACAATAAAAAACAGCCCACTGGAAGGGTGATGCTAAACCAGCGGTAAAATAACTGCAAAGGGAGAAACTTGGTATACAAGTGTCACTTTATCAAGAGTGATGACTTCACTTGCTCAGATAAAACAAAAAAGGCATCACAGAATTCATGGTTTTCATGAACCACATTCACATAAACAGACAGTGCCTGCCTCTTCTTCGGTGAGATTTAACTTTAGGACAGAGGAAAGTACTTTCGTGCATGATTTTTCTTTCTTTTCTTTTTGTTTTTCTCCCTTTTCTTTATTGAGTTATTCCTCCTCCTAATTAATTAGCAACGTATTCTTGGTCCACAGAAATAAAATTCAAAATGGTCTCTTCTCTGTTCTGCACCCATAACTCGGTATTAATTAGCATCAATCAAGTTAACCATTTTCCTGCAATTGCTGCCCACATTCCAAAGATGTTTACTTGCAGATATCAGGCTTTCCTTACTAATATAACATAATTAACAATCATAATTAATCCTTATTACTCCATAAAACTGTCTTCAGTTTTCAAACATAATCCCAGCTTTGCTTAGACAGACAGAGAAATTGCAGCTCAAGTCTACAAACAGCAGCAAATAAACAAAATCCCAGGATTCAATACAACCAAAACCAAGAGATCCCAAGCTCATATCTTGAACAATCATCATAATAATAGCATAATTGGATAACAAAAATCAGACTCAAAACAGATACTTGCAAATTTATCTTACTGCTTCATATACAACAACAGGAAGTTCATTACTTTCCTTTTGCGTCTATGCGTTTCAATTATCATATCTAAAGATTTATTTTTTTAAAAAAAAAAAAAAAAAACAGAGGGAAAATAGAAAGAAAGGAGAGAGACGAAGGAAAGAAAAAAAACTGACCTTGAAGGTGAGGTGGGTTGGTTTTTTTTGGTGTGGTGTGAGGAAAGAGTGGATGAGGTGGAACGCCAAAACAAAGTCCAACTCGGACGGAATCAAACCTACGAATTCTCGTTTACCTCCCAAAATACCAAAACCCAACACTCTTTTCTCCTATTTCTAGAAACTGCAAAATGTAAATTGAGAATTTGAGAGGAATTCCTTAACGGTTTTGAAGCTAGGGCTAGTTCAGTAATATTTCAGGGGTACTGTAAAATGGGGTATGTGCGGTTCAGATTTTATTACCAAATTTGTAAGATTTTTTTAATTTTAATGTAAAAATAATGTTATCCACTCAAACAACTGAAATGACTCAGCCTTCGGAGTACACACAGTGGCGGGCGGCTGCCAGGAAACAACCTATGCCGAAAGATTAATCATTTAAACTGACCAAAAACATCGGCAGGTTAATTAATGTTGTCGGAAAACAAAAACCCGAAAGAAAGAAATGGGGAAGAAGAATTAAAGATGAAAAGAGGAAATTAATTGGACGATGACTGGTGAAGACGACAGCGCAGCACTATACTATCTACGTCGACGACATTGTTGCTGCCTTGGTGGATTTACGTGTCTTTTTAATTTATAGTTAATTGCAAGTAACACCATTTCAATATTCTAGTTTGCAACAATACCCTTGTAAAAATTAATTAAATCACTTTACACCTTCTTATATACTCCCTCTCTATTCTTAATTACAAAACACAAATTTCAATTAATTTCTGTGCTAATTTGTAGCTTATAGTTAGGACCGAAAAAATTACTGGATCAAAAAACACATTTATTTTTTGTTCACTTTATTTGTGAATTCTAATTAAAAAGATTGTTTCCTAACTCTCATGCAATAGAAAACAACATGTATATTTGTTACTAGGATAATTTGTTTCTTTGTTAACATCGCAAACTTGTGCGTTAACTTTGAGCACATGGGATAATAATTAATTAATAAAAATTTCAAACTTCTGAAAAATAACTAAAGGCAATAATCATATTTCTTCCGACTAAAAAAAATCAGATTGATAAAGTACAATTTTTAATTTCAATCGAACCAATTAAGGAACAATCCATTCTATATTATAAATTTACATATGGTCTTTACATAATAATTGAATCAAATGAAGGATTGTAATTAACAAACATGTGAATAGTTGAATTTGATTTTAATGAAAGATAATTATGTCATTTTATTCATTTTTTGTTTTTGTTTTTTTTTTTAACAGTTTTGTCTTTTTTGAAATCGATGTAACCTTTTGGTTATATTATCAATTAAATGGGCTTATATTTTTGGGTTGGATGAATTATTTGTTAAGATCACTTCAACTATTGTATTCTAACGTATACGCTAGTGGAATTAAGACAATTACAATAACTGTTTTGTTAGGGGAAGTACTCATCAAAGTAAATGGTACTAAAAGAGTTACAATCCATATTTTAAAATCGTATTCCACAAAATGGACAAACTTGAGTAGTTCCTTGCAATTAAATCTTTGGTTTAGACGTTTAGTGTGTGTGAGTGTGAGAGAGAGATAAACATCCGTCTGATCATCCAATTAGGGGCGCCGGGTGTTTAAGCTGGTGGCGTGGTTGGGCTTGGGAAGCTGAATGGGGGGATGGGCCTTTTGGACTTTGATGAGTAGGTTTTTGGAGAAGATGACACGTGAGTGGGAAAAAGTAGCCAGCTGGGTGCAGATTGGATGGATAGGCATGACGAGGCAACAAAGTTCGTGTTCCTTTGGATAACTTAAATTAATTGGCACTCCTTATGAATTAACAACGTAGCTTAATTAGTTTAATTTACCTTTTTTTGGAGTGATGATAAATTATAAGGTTCTCCACCGACTTTCTCATCATACATGCCTAAAAAGAGGTTGCCCAGTTAGAATATGTATATGTTTACCACTGGATAGTCTATACTGGTAGCTGGCAATTACCAGACTATTCTGTTTGGATCATGTTTGTAGAGTGCAATTTTTTTTTTTTTCTTGAGAATGTAAAATTATGTATTATATAAAATTTACCTTTTCTGTCCCAAGAAAATAGCCATAGGGAGTAAAAGACAATGGTAAGATGATAAACATATTAATAAAAAAATTGTGAAAGAAGTTACTCCCTCCGTTCCTTATTATAAGTCATTTTGATTTCGTCATAAATTTAACTTATGATGTCTTTTTAATTGGAAAAAAAAACGTAAAAATATATTTTCACCTTCGCTGTGTTCTCGTAACTATTATGAAATGTTTTTAAGGTTTTCATTTCAATTAAAAATATATTCTAAATGAAACTTAGGACGAAATCAAAATGTCTTATAATAAAGACCGGAGGGAGTATTAAGGAAAATAAAGAAAGAAAAGAAACTAAGTACAGCAGTAGAATCATTTTCAGTTCAAGAAGTAATGATTTGTCACAAACTGCCAAAAATAGCATAGTTAATTTCACTAATCCAATTTGGGGAGAGTACTACAACTAGTTTTTCTCCCTTTTATACCTCTCCAATGAACTCTGAACCATATGTTCAGCCTTCCCATTTCAAAATGTGACGCTTATAATTTCCACATTTCCAACGAATATTCTCAAGATCCCTCTTCAACATGCACTACCATTTATGCATATGCTTCTTCCTTGCTACTAAACATGTCCTCAGTAGTCAGTACTTCTCATCTGTCTTTGGAGATTTTTGATGATTTATCAGAAGATGAGGACTTTCACTGTTTCTTACAGCTGCTACATTGCCTGGTGATCAGGTTTTGATGAGAAGAAGTGTTATGAATGCTGAGCAAGAAGGGACAGGAAGAATGTTGGTAAAAAATAGGGGATCAGCAACCATGGAAGACAATATGCATTCTGTTGGATATCCTTACAAGGTGCCATTCAATAATAGTAGTGACGCAGCATGGAAGTGGTAGTGATTTGGTTGTCAACTTGTTTTTCAATCAAGTGTTATACTCCATCCGTCCCAAAAAAATAGTCCACATTGAGTTTTGAGTTTTGTACTGTTTTTAATACAAATTTGAAAATTTAACGTGAACTATTTTTTGGGACGGAGATAAAAAAAAATTCCACATTGAGTTTTGATAAAAAAAATTATTTTTTAATTTCTAGTTAATTTGGGTGATTTAATCATCAGAAGAAATAGTTTAGCTTTTGTTACTAACTTGGAAATTGTTTTGTTACTGCTTTTGATCTTACCATATTACTTATATTTCATTCACGAGTCAATTACGAACAAAAGTAAATAGAAATTTGAGTTTCATGTATTTGGTTATCGAGATTTTTATCTCGAACGAAAAGAAATACTTTCATCGTTCCAAAATTATTGTCTAATTTAAATTTTTATTATTTTTTGTTCAAATTATACTAAAATTAAAATTTTAAACTAAATAATAATTTTGAGACAGAGGGAGTATAAATTAAGGTACGGCTTTTTTTCCGGGTGTAGTCGACGGACAAAATAAACATTATAAAATTGATTTCATCGACTTGACTAAAGGAAAAGAAACAAATAAGTATAACACGAAGTACGCCGTCTTTTGTCGGGTCCATTATCTCGACGCTCAAGTCGACGAAAAGAAAAACACAAAATCTATTTCGTCTATCGTTCCGTCGGGTTATTTATCTCGACGCAACAATCGATGGACAAAATAAATACAGAATCAAGTTTTATCAACTTCGTCGTTGGTCGACGAACAGCATGAGACATGAAGTTGAGCTTCCTGGAATTTTTTGTCAGATTGATGACTAAGTTGTCAACATTAAACATAAAATTGAGTTTTGTATTTGATCGTGGGGTTTGTTTAAATCTTTTAATGCCTACATTGGCTAAATGTTAAATGGAGTATCATGTTCTTTATCATCAACTCAATCCTTGGAATTCTCTCTTGATGCGTAATTAAGTCGGTGAACGAAAACATAATGAATTTCGTAGATTTGTTCGTAGGCCTTCCTAGCTCGATGACTAAGTCGCTGGACGATAATACTCACTTTCATTTGTTATTTGCTAGATGGCTCAATTTTGAGTCCATATTCGCAGAGAAGCATTGGGGTTGATGTTGGACATTTAAATGCTTATATCAGTATATGAATTGCACTGTTTAAAAAAAACGAAATATGATAAAAACTTTATTTCAATATCTTAAAAATCATCCACGACAGATTGAATAGACCGACGAAATAAAGAAAACTCATGTCCTTATAGTCTTAAGTTTTTGAGTTTCCTATTGTAACTGAAATGTGTAACAATAATAATAAAATTGAAAGGAATGAACCAGATATATAGCTGTAGTACATTTCAATTTATTTCTAGCGTTTCCCCAACGCTATTTTATGGTACCGAAGGAGCCTTCTCCACCGAAGCCGTGTTGGCGATGAGGGCCGAGAGGAACTCCGTAATCTGCTCAAACTCCGGTCGGTCGTTCGGATCTGGTGCCCAGCAATTTTTCAAGAGCGGTACAATTTCCGGCGGAATGTTATCCAAACTAGGCCTCTGGTTCTGATAGTAGTAGTAAATAATCGACCAAATAAATTAGTCCAATCAACCAAACTAATGCTTTCAACAAAATTGATAGTATTGTCTATGTCTATTAATATCATGAAAATTAAGAATGTATGTACACATACCGATTTAATTTTTCACTTTTAGTACAAATTTTATCGAGAATAAAAAAAATGAACCGGATTCATTTTAAGATATACGGATTGAAATTTACGCACCGAAGCAACGGCGTAGGCCACCATAACATTATTCCGACCCTTGAAAGGGGTGTTGTTTGTCAGCAGCTCCCACAAAATGATTGAGAAGCTGTACACATCTACCTTGCGGGTGAAAGGCTTCTTCGTCCCTCCAGATATATGTTCTGTGATATTGAACAACTGAGAGAATTCATCCAAAAGTTAGGTTTACAATATTCTTATTAGGTTATTCACTTTGGAAAATTCACGTAGTATTATTACCTCAGGGGCCATCCAGCGGTATGTACCAACCTCAGAAGTCGTTACCCAATCCTCGTTCCCCTCATTGGCTAACCCAAACTCAGCTAGCTTTATCATGCTTTTGTCTTCTGTTAGTAGAATGTTACCTGCCATATTGCAAATGTCAGATTAATTATTCCATGATTTTTTAACTTTCAACAAGTGGAATTTGTACTTGATCTAAAAGTTAGAATCACGTTTAGAAAAAAAAAAAAAAAATTAAATAAAACAACAAAAGAGTAAATTAATTGGCTAATTTTTACATTAAACTTGCTAACTAAAAGGGATAAATCTTGCTGATAACTCATCAAAGCTGGAATCATTAATCAGAGCATGAATGTATAAGAATGTTAACTACGTACCAGGCTTCAAGTCACGATGGATAATGCCATTCCCATGCAGATATTCCATTACTCGAGAAATGTCCAACGCCAAACTCAAAGAAAGCTTCAAATCAAGGCGATTGGGACGCAGGCTCCAGAGGTGTTTCTGAAGGTTGCTACCTTTCACGAGCTCCGTGAGTACGAGCAAAGATGGTTCCACGGCGGCACCAATGAACTAATCAATACAAACAAGGCATATTGCAATAACATCACTCTAATTAATGGAGAATTTTATTTTTTCTTTTTGGTGAACAATTAATGGAGAATTTTAAGAGATCCACACATACACAAAAGCTTAATCAACTTTAGGGAATGTATGCTACACGAGTTTGGTGGCATCTCATGACGCATTTTTAAAGACAAACATGTTTAATTACTCCGTTTTTTCTAAAATGATTGTACAGTTTCGATTTTTATTTTCAGTAGAATTTATATTAATGAAATTATGGGAAATGTAAGTTTTGAGAAACTAATACGATTTTTAGTTGATTTTACGACCAGATTATTTGATGTTCCGTTTTAGTACTCCCTCCATCAGAAAGTAGTACAAATCACAAAATACAGTTTGGACTCTAGTTTTCAATTTTCTTTATATATATTTTGTCTTACATTAATTTGTCACATGCCACTACGTACCTTGACAACATTCTCATGTTTCAACCTGGACAAGATCATAACCTCTCTCTCAAACATCTTTATGCCAATATCTGCTGATTTTCCTGGCTTGATTACTTTGACGGCTACAGGTTCAGAGTTGTAACTGTAATATACATGTCATTCGAACTCAAAAATTCATATGTAAATCATTTTTTTTTTCTAGAAAAGGTTGCAGTTGAAAGAAGAAGGGACAAAATGAACTTACCATCCTTCATGTACGATAGAGTAAAGCCCTTCACTGATCATGGACCCAATGGTGAGGTGATTTGGGTCGATCAATAGCTCATTGCTTATCTTGAGAGCTATTTGCGGCGAATCTAAAACACCACTGATTCCGGACCCTTGATGGACGTCCTCTTTCCCACATGTAGCAGAGGGAGAATCTTCTTTCTCAAGGATTTTGTGGTCAGCCATTGTTTTTTGAGGATATTTGTTGAGTTAATTCCAAATTTCTTTTGGTGAATGTATATGTAGGCAAAGGTATCCGGGGGTTGGTAGTGTGCATTGTGCAACATAGGCGTAACATTTTCATTTGGACTTCTTAATTTTAACTAACTTACCTCTTTATTTGAAAGGTTATAATCAACTTTCTATTATATTTAAGTCATCATTTGGTAACTAACAGCTTAGTATTTATGTCACTGGATAGTAAAATATTAGACAATGGATTTTCCTTCTAATATATTATACTTATAATTTTTCCCCTTTAATTTTGGAAGGGAATTAAAATCTTTTAGAAAGTTGGAAGTTTAATCATTAATAGTAATAGTATGGATCGCAATCATAAGTAATAATCGTACTATATTTTGGTAAGTTATTATTGTATTATTATATATCTAGCTACATAAAATTGTTACTACTATTTTTATTTTATTTTAGTTCATGATGGGTCATAAAGACATTAAATCCCTTGGTAATAGGTAAGTGAAATCGTTACCATTTTATTTTTAGTTATTTCATTATGGGAATGGGATGTAACAAAATCAAATCGCAACATATGTATAACTGCTAACGCAAATGGTAGCAAGTTCTTTTCTACAAATTTGGCCACAATTTTTCAATTATATATTGAGAGAAAACTTACGGATGATTACATCTTGAACTCTTCGATTGAGGCAAATCAAGAAGTCTATACATTTAATTAAAAAAAAATTAAATTCACTTATTAAATTTCACCTAATATTTAAATACCATGTAAGGTGAGGTACAATGGTGAGATGAATTTGGTGAGTTGTGCAAAATTATTTTTTAAAAATATTTTTTCATCTTCGTCAATAACCATTTTTAAATTTTTACCCACCATTTTTCTCCTTTTCTGTGGCAAGTTAATAGCCCAAATAAAGGGATTGGAGGCTGTCTTGGATGGGCTTTCTGGTAGACCTTATAAGTCATCTTCTAGCTTTGTATGCCCCCATACAGAAATAGTTTTCATGGGTCCATTTCCATCGCATGGTTGGGTCTATAGCATGCCATCTCAAGTTTAACACACAATGTGCTCCACAGAGAGGTGGGATTATTATTAATTCATTTTTATATAAATTAGAAGGTAAAAGAAGGCATAAAAGTTTCAAAAATCACAATTTCTGTATCCCGTCCAAAAAAATACGACAGTTGCAAAGATAGCATATTCTGCCGGGATCTACTCGTTTACCTTTTAGATCATACTATCATGGTTAAATGAGTGGACGCCGGCCGTGATGAAACGAGAAAACCTACTGCCTTTCGCACAACAATCTTGGTATTAAAGAGTTCTGATTCTACATCGGTGTTGAGAGACCCTGAGTATCAATATAAGTCCCACTGGTTACTTCTTTCATTGCCAACTAGTTTTGAGGTGAAATTCCATGGACTTTTATATGGTATCAGAGTCAGTCCGCTGACATTCAAACTTTACAAAAACCCAAGCCCAACCAAAAATAAAAAATAAAAAATACGTTATACTTGCGGTGGAATATTAAAGAGTCACAATTCCATATCGGTATTGGAAGACTCTGAGTATCAACATATAAACTTCATTGGTTACTTCTTTCATTGTCAATTAGTTTTGAGGTAAAACTCATGGGCTTCTATACTTGGGACGTTCGTATCGGCATTGTGAGCGGTGACAAAGTTTAACAAGGCGAAATCCGTTCTTGCCGAAGTCCCTCAATGGGTCGAAAACCCGTTTCCAAATAATTCATTCGTTGCCTTTTTTTTTTTTTCCCCGTAGCTGCAATATGTAACTCTCATTTCACACAGATCTGGTCTGAATATAGAATGATAGGCTAGTTTCCAAACAGTGTACGTAGTAGGCGGGATCGGATTTATATTTTGGTTTTCTCGGTTCACTTTGTCTACTAGACTGATGGGTTTTACTTTATTGGGTTAATAGATATAATTTGACTTTTTTTTAATATTTGAGTGTATTTCGACTATTTCAAGCCTCACTTTTAATTTGTAGTCGACTTTCTCTAATCAGACAAGTAACCTTAAGCTTAGTTATAAAAGGAAACTTGTTATCCTTTTGACTGAAACTTTGTAACTTTTTTAAGATTTAAAAAATGAAAAGTTCTCATCCAATTTCAAAAGGTTGGGTAGTTCATTTTTATAAGTAAGCTCACCCGATTTAATAAAAGAGTCCAATTTTGACATTATAAACTTAAGTGTTATGCTGTATCAATCAAACTAATATAAAATTAAAAGTTAATGACATCTTTCGTTGTCTATTTATATCTATTTTTTATTAGCCGATAACAATAGTTATATCATAATATTAATAATAATATAGGATGTACAAATGGGAGAGGAAAACGAACACACAATTCCATTATGTAGGACACGAGATTTGTTCAATTTGGACTTAGGAACGTAATGTTCCGTTCATATAGCAACCATATAATACTTAGCTCCTAATCACTTTCAAATTAATGATTAGAATAGATGCGATAATCACTTGCGTACTTAACGACCAATGAAACATACTCTTCTCGTTGACCACGGTGACAAAGAACAAATGTGTCTTGATAATGACATCCACAAACCTAACCAACCCAAACTTAATCTTATAGTATGAAATCCCACTCGTGGAATTAGCGAGAAAATGATGAACCGAAAGTTTTGACATTAGGTTTAAAAAGAAATAATTGAAAGAAATAAATTATAGTGACCATGAAAGGTACGATTATTTCCCCCGCCGGGGGTGGTTGTGGCGGGCAACGAAAGCTACAGAAGTCTGTTAACATGGCAGTAGATTTCTTACCTCAATCAAAAGGGAACCCAAAAGAAAAGGAAAGAAAAAAAGGGTACATATATAGACGGATATCTTATATACTTATTATGGTATTCTCTCTATATTATATTTTTTTAATAGCTCTATTATTTTAAATTAATAATAAATTATTAAAATATTGAGACGAAATAAGACGTTGTCTACCATCATCGCGAAGGAAATGATAGAGGCTGTGCATCTTAGCATATCCTTAAATTGTCAAAATATTTTCGTAACCCCCATTGTTTTTTTGCCTAAGTCAGACTGAGGAATCTCTTCAGTCAAAAGTGTAAAACGTGCATATGACAAAGTGAACGTGCATGCAGTCATATCCATATCCAATTCCTGATGATTGGAGTGGACGCTATTGTCCTCGTCATTTAAGGCTTTACGTTTCTTTTCTTTTTTCCCCATTCATTATTCAGGTACATATTTTTCATGATTCTTCGTGAAACCATAAAATTGAGGACAGATGTTCTTGATAAAAATCAAATTATTCCCAAAAAAAAACAAGTGAAGTAATTCACATGGATTGTTGCTACACTTATGGTAGTTTTTTTTCCTTTTCTTTTCTTTTCAATTAAAAAAAAATGCCCTTTTCAAAAAAAAAAAATTAAAAAAATGCTGTTGTAACTCATGATTTCATTATATTTTAATAAATTCCGCTATTATATCCAATAATATCATGTCAATTTTCAAAGGGACATACAATCTCTTATTTAGCAATCACAATTTTGAAATCCTTAAAACGGAGTACATCAAGTATCATGCACCAATACTTTAGCATTTTGTTTGGAGGGTAAAAACATTATATCCTCTAACAGTCCAACTAACAATAATATTCATGATTTTAGTTTGTAGTGAAACAAGTATAAGATATTAGTTTTACTATGGCAGAAAATAATACTCTCTCCGTCTAGGAAAAATAGTCCACATTGAGTTTTCAAATTTATATTAAAATTAGTACAAATCTCAAAACTCAATGTGAACTATTTTTTTGGGACGGAGGTAGTAACATTTTGTTGGTCCTTTTCTACATTTAAAGAAGGCCAAACCCCAACAAATTAAAGACAAAAGATTACATAAATCGAATGGAAAACTCAAATACTCCCCCGTTCCAAAAGATTACAGTTTACACTTAGCTTGAGCTTTGGGCTTACTTATGCTCGTGACCAGAATAATTCGAACAATAACTTGATGCCCTTCCATTTTAATTATTTGTTCATTAAATTAGTCTATACACTATAACAAAAATGAGTAGTTTAGACACTTTTTTATGTCTCAATAAGTGGTGTAATAGGACACATGTGATTCAAATTGCGTAAAACACTACGAAATAGTATCTCCTATAATCGAGTCACAATAAGTCATAAAACATTTAAAAGTGTATTATTAGATTGTCACTCATTAACACACTTTAAAGTGACCCATTAAGTAAGGTAATAGTTCGCAAGCAACCTCAAATAGTACACTTATGATAGTGTTTCATAATATGAATACACTTTTTCATTTTGAATAAGACATTTTTTAGCAAATGTCCTAATACACATATAATAAGACACATTTTAGGAAAAATGTCCCACCGTAAAAGTATTAATAGCCCATTTTTGTTGTAGTGATAGCTTTTTTTTTCCTTCAATGTTCTTAACAATTGATAGGAATAAACTGTACTACTCTTTCAGAACAGAGCCAGTTTCGGCTGTACTATCAAAGAACATATGGCATAGACAGTCAAAAAGTGAGGTACAGATCCAGGAGACAAATTGCAGGTTTATAGTAAATAATGGCAGTCAATATCATTGATAAAAACTAACACTAAAATTAAAGACACTAACCAGAAAGCCAGGGAAAAAGATTGTACATTAGTTGATGGGTCGTCATCAGTCATCATCATCATATCACTATATCTACATATACAATCATTAATTTAATTCTAATGTACTACTAATTAACACTTAAGAAGCCACATTACTACTACTACTACTACTACTTCATAATAATGATACTACTACCAATATATAATTACACCCCATATTGATGATACAAATTAACCGGCCACCCCAATTCATTCACATAACCATTAATATTCTGCTGCTGCTCAGGTACACAGAACACATTGTCCAATCCTTCCATTCCAAATTCCCCGAGAAAAAGCGGCTCCATTGCTTCCATTGAGAAAGATGAACTCGGGCTGTTGCTCGAAATCCCATCCGACGACCTCTCCACTAACCTCTGCATCTCCCTTTCTGCTTCATTCAGCTGCTCCTTCAGCTTCAACACCTTAAAAATGGGAAAAAAGAATTGTTAATAACCAAAATTAGGAAAATGCAAAGTTGTGAGGGATTCGAAATTTCAAAGCATTGGGAGGGATTATAGTTGGGACCATCCACGTGGAATGATGAAGGGTGTTTGAGAAATGTAAATAACATGTGCATCTCCACCATGCAAGGGTACTTAGTAGTGAAAAAAAAAAAAACAACAACAACAAAGGACGACTCACTGATCACTTACCTTGAAAATAAAACTACTGTACGGATTCTTTAGTGAATGTGAGGCCTTGTGGGGAAAACAATAAAAGTAGTACTACGTTTTTCTTTTTTTTTCTGCTGTCTTAAAGGGTGGCAGTCTGCTGTTTTCTTGTCCGAATTTCATTGGTTCATTTTTTCACAAATATTTTGCAGACAGTCATCCTTGGTTATGATATATGTATATCCCTTATGGCGACATCATGTGTCACACATGGCCTTTCTTTTCGAGCCTTGTGTTCATTCATGCACATTCTAAAAAACTCATCTCTGATGATGAGGGGCTCCCATATTCGGCACCAAAACATAGACATCACTTCTAGTTAAAATGGAAATGACAGTTTTTTTTTTTTTCTTTCAAGTAGGGCATTTAAGTGTTGTATGAGTATCCTCATTTTTTTTTTCAAAGCCTAAAAAGGTAAAAATGGCTAGGTGCAAAAATATCCACCTTATATATAGGTGTACAGAATTTCCTTCACAAGCATTAAAATAATTGGAAAACCCACTCTTATATACATGTATGTAATACTGACTTCATCAAGAAGATTAAATAGCCCAAAAAAGGACAAAAGAAATTGGTTCCTATGTATTGTGATTATTTTGTTTAGTATCCCTTAATATTGTTATATCCAAAGTCCGACCTTGCGGCCGCTTTTGTTTATTCCGATCCTCTTATTCTTTTTCCTTCTTGCATTAATTCCATCTAGCCTAACAAATAATTTTGTCCCATCCAATAACATCTTATTCTTAACTCCCTCTTTCATTTACTGAATATTAAGTTGATTAAGAGAAGCCGGGGTGATTTAAGTCAGCCGGGGTTATTTAAAATAAAGAAGAACAAAAAGAAGAAGATTAGAATATGTACCTCAGTTTCAAGACGGCATTTTTCGACGACGGTGCTCTCATGTTCAGATTTGAGCTTGGAGTATTCTTCTTCCAGCTTCTTGCTCTTCCAACGAGCCCGGCGGTTCTGGAACCAAACCGCCACTTGGCGTGGGTCCAGCCCCAGCTCCGACGCCAGCCTGTCTTTCCTCTCCGACTCCAACTTATGCTCGCTCCCGAAATTCAGCTCCAGGAGATGAACTTGTTCGTCGCTTAACTTCCTTTTCCTTATCCCACTCCCCCCGCTATCTCCTGTTTTGTTCTTCCTTCGCCGTCGCCGCGGCTTCACCTCTCCTGTAATTATAACAACACAATAAAAACGTTAATCAAGCCAAAAAAAAAAAAAACAAGAAGAAAAAAACGGATTGTGAATTTTGAAACTGCATGCAAATGAATTAATTTGGTACATACGAATTTCAAATTTATGATACCAACCTGGTTCTGGCACGAGTTGGGTGTAAATATCAGGATAGTACTGAGAAATGAGGACCATCTGATCATCCACCTGACGTTGTTGTTGTTTCATGCTGCTTGTCATATTTTTCTTTAGGTGTTCTCTCTCGATCTTTCTTTTTGGAGGGCCTTTTTATTTTTTCTTTTGGGTGTTTGAGTTTCTGTGTTGATGAAATTGAAATGTTGGAATACTGTGGAGTGCTAGAGCTGGAGAGCTAGCTAGTGAAGCGGAGGAGGAAGGGGGACCCTATTTATAAAGGGAGGGGGGAGTAGTTGGTATTGGACTACATACTAGCTAGTAGTACAAAGTGTGTATACACAGACTACTTTAATGAGAGACATAGACAATATACGTGTCATATACTCCTCCCGTTAATACTTCTCCTTAACATGTTGTTTTGTACAGTTTTTTTTTAATTAATCTAGTTTAAAGTGACTAATTATCCGGCCAAATTGTTTTTCAAGGTTACATGAAATTTTCTTGTACATTGAATGTGTAACTGCTTAAATTTTGTGTTTTACCTAATTGAAATCGTCTGTCTCATCCATTTCGAGATAAATATGTATCGTGTTTGTTGAACTACAACAATACAATTATTAACATGACTCACATTTTTAGATGAGTTGAGGGATTAAACGATCAGAATTCCAACACTTGTTATCATCTAGGTAAGTTCTTACATTGTTGATTAATGTTTGAGTTTGCACATAAAATAAGGCAACTTTAATTACATTAATTAATTAATAAGGCAGCTGACTTTTGTTATTAAAAAAAAATAAAGATTGAACCATATGCTCTTCATTTTCTATTATTAGGGCTTGCGATAGAATAGGCATGAAATGGATGAAGTTTTGTCAAATTGGGAAACCATATCGGATAAACATGGAGGAGCTAGCTTAGCTGTTGTTTTGTTTTTTCATCGTGTTCTCATTTGGTGAAACGTGAATGAGTTGATATGGTAAAAGAGATATAAAACCATCCCCTCTTTTTTTCCCTTTTCTTTTTCGTTTCTCCAAAGGCACACAAAGATTGCTACTCGCATTAAAATCTCTATATCCAGCACTCGACATTTTAGGAAATCGGATCAACACGATGAAGAAGAAAATAAGGTTCACAAATGACAATGCGTAATGTACTGGACCTCTTTGATTATCCAAATTAAGAATGTGATTTTGTATTTTAGATGATTCATTCTGTTAGTGTTTTGCCATTGAAGGACCGGTGCTGCCTCTACCATGCATCTCATTCCAGATTAAAAAGACAGGAATTATTGAGAGAACGTGCGGATAATATATGAGATAAATTCATTCAGTGAAATAGTTTTAAAAAATACAGACATTAGAAGACGATAGATTATAATTATATTTATAAAATTAAATAATTCAAACAAATACGAATGTTAATGAGACGTGTATTTATGTATTTTTATGTGTCACATCATTTCTAAATTAAACTAACTATTTCACATTAGAAATTCGTCCAAATCATCATTATCCTTCTAGAATGTTAATGAGGTTTTTGCTTCATGGGAGAGGGACTTGGACCATGTGATGAACAACAGTAAAACAACCCTTAAGAGTTAAGAACTGTGGGTATATATGATGGAAACCCTTTTTTGTGATCGTGACAGAGATCACGAAAGCCATGAAGGCCCTCTCCCCCGTGGATTTGTTATGGATAAAGTTGGTGAGGGAGAATGAATGAATGAAATGTGTAAATAATTGCATTATTAACATTATTTTGGCTTTTTAACAAGCCGTGACGTTGTCCACCGTAGAGACGTCATAATCAAGGTTGTTGATTAATTTTATTAATATAGAAAAAAATCATGATTAAAATTTAAACAGCTGAAATCTGTAGTCTTCTTTACGATGTGGCTTTTTTTTCATAGTTGCAACATGTCCACGAATTATCTCACTCATTAAATTGTAAACAACTCTCTTTATGATTTTATTAATCCCGTATAAGCTCATTGGAGAAGGATATTTAATTTCCCCATACAAAGCTTGTTTGCAAATATTTTCCTTGAAGAATTCAAGCATCAATTTTTAATTTTTTTTTTTTTTGTTTTCAAAAATGAAAAAGATACTGGACAAACTGGTTTAATTAGCATAGTGAGCGTAAAGGACGATAACGAATTATGCACGCGCTTCATTATTTTGTATCATAAATAATTTTAATTTCCAATCCTTTATTGTTCTTTTTCATTAAAAGTAAAACAAAATCATATCCTGCAGGGGGCAGTGTCCTTGGAAACAATGTGACATCTTCTTTAATTTCCTAATCGGGTAGCTAATACGGGGTAAAAGAGACTATCGTATTTTCCGGTCTCAAAAGATTTGGCGGTAAGAAATCTTATAGTACTATACCTTTTTTTATTAAAAAAAAATCATCGAATTGAAAAATAACACGTTAGCATGCAACAGTATCTAAACTAGATTTGCTTTATTATCCTGTCAAAACGGATTTTTTAAAAAAATTGTAATAAATTATACAAAATATAAGTTACCAATTATTTCCAAAACAAAAAAGAGAGGGGGGAAAAGGATAGCAATATGAGGATAAAATGCCCGGCGACATCCATTTATCATATGGGAAAGAAAGTAGTGGGGATAGTGACAACTTTTTTTACTAAAATTGTATGGAGAAGAAGAAATATGATTTGTAATTAATAAATCAATAAAAATGAAATTATTTTTGAATGCTCATTGAATTTCTGTATGGATTTTTTTGAGCTTTTTTTATTTTTATTTTTTTACCCCTTGAATTGAGAAGTCATGAACGATGGATGGATTCAGTAAAAAGTACTACTACTAGTAAAAATTAGGTAGGACTAGTCTGAATTGACCGGAGTGTGAGAGTGTGTGAAATTAAGGTTGGGGATCCCGAAGCAGCAGAGCACCTCGAAGTGATTAAAGAAAGACTGGGAGTTTGGACTGTGTGGATTGGGACACTTAAGCCACTTTTGTTGTCCAATTAGGTGGTAAATGTCCTCTTTCTCTGGCTTTCTCCTCCACACACACCCCCCTCCGCCCCGGCTCTTTTTTTTTGTTTTTTCTTTTTTGAATGTATCTCGGTGTGAGTTTAGGATGTGTATGCAAATTTACATATTAAAAGTAAATATCTAAAACAACAAAAATATAAAATTTTACCGTTTAGATGTATGATTCCACTGTTCCACATGCACGGCTCAAAATAGCTGGGATATTTTGGGGAGCATATTCGCCGCTGCATAAGTACAAATCCCCTGAATGAATAACTCAGAAGAAAGAACCACACGTGACCTAAGCCATTACATCACCCTATATTGCATTTTTCAAGTTTTAAACCATTTTTTTTTTCCCGGGTATGGAAAGGAATAGACCAAATCTAGGTATAACGGGACATTGGTCACCATGTATATAGGAATCATTAACATACTCCCACTACTGTATATTTTTTTTCTTTCGCAAATAATAAAAAAGTCTAAAATATTAATTTGACATAAAACGTTGATGGGAGACCTAAAAAGGAAAACCTTCACAGACATCGTGTAGTACTGTTACTTTGCTCAATCCTTTTCAGAGACTTGTTCTTAAGTACAGTAGTTATTTCGGATGAGAAATTTGTACCTTGTGCTAATTTTGATCTCAAACCTGTCAACAACTAAAAGAAAAATCCCTAGCTCGCACACAGAAAAGTTTGACAACTTTTCCTCTCACAACAAATTTGACACAACTATAGTGAGCCGGCCCCAAAAAAAGAATTACGAAAGGCATAAAAATAGGAATAGTTTTAGCTGGTCTAATCAATAGTACTACTGTATAATTTTGGTGGAAATACATGGAGGATTGGACTATGATTGCCATTAAGTGCAGCCTAGAAAATTATAGCTATTGTGTCTGTCCTTGAATGTGCGAGTACTGACTGAATTGTGGCACCACGAACTCAACACAATGGAGATAACAAAGTTCAAACCATAATTTATTTTGAAAACTTTTTCCGACACCATATTAAGAAGCTTGTCATATGATTCATATCTTTGTCTATGCTCCGTTAGACTAATTAAAGTCGTTGCTAGCTAGTGGAAATTTGGTTGGACCTATATATGTTATCAAGCTAAGTCCAAGTTTGTATTTTCACTCACTCCGTTTCATTTGTACTATAATCTACTATTTTCTTATTACAACGTAAACAAATTTTATTTCCCAGTTAAAAATCTCCTGTTAAGGAGTATTGCTTTTTAAGAATGCAATAATTGAAACTAATCACGTGAATTAACAATTACAATATTGTGATGAAACAAATAGGCTACTCTTGATAAATGAATTAATTGACTGTCGTATACCTTTATTATAGTTTACAGATAAAATTTGTCATTTTCGTGCTTAATTAACAGTAACCTGCTAATATGAGAATTATCTATAATTACTAGGTTAATTTGTTGCTATCATAATTTTGGTTTAGAAGCCAAAGTATGTGAATTGAAGCCGATATGGATGGAGCAAGAAACGAGTGAGGTGCTCTAGAAAATATCAAGAAGGGAACGAAAATCAGATGCAGAAAAAGTACGACAAAGACAGCTTCCACACCAAGGTAAGGCACATGGGTGCAACCTAGACCTTTTACACGCGTCTTCACCCCCATATATCTGGAATGGGACCGCAACTTATCCACCCACCTGTAACCTTTTCATTGATTGTCCACACTTCTCCTCCCCAGTTTCACTTTCACTACATTTTACTCCCTCGTGGGTGAAAAAAAAAAAAACAGAGAATATATTTATTTGAGAAATGTTTCTTGTTTGGACGTCATCTTACATTTTATTTTGCTACTTAAAAGTGAAAAGTGTTTCAAGTTAAAAATTAAATGGGAAATGAAAATGTTGTTTGGATGTTGGTTTTGAAAAAAATATTTTAAATTACATTTTGAAAATATCAAGTACGAGTCATTACTAAATAATTAAATACTGTCAGTTATAGTCACTGCAAAAAAGAACTTTTCCAAAAATAATCACTCAACAACGGAATCCTGCCAAATTTGTCACTGAACTATTTGTAGTTCTAAAATGGTCATTACACTAACAAAAAGTGTTCAAATTGGAATTTAAAATGTAAATCAGAAAGTTGTTTGGATGATGTTTTCTTTTCCATTGAGTTTTGTGTTTAAGAGGTAAAATGAGTTAAAATGTAAAATGAGTGGACGTCCAAACAAGGCAACATTTGTATTGAAAATATGGAATTAGAATAAGTTCTTTTTTTTCTTCACAAAATATTAGTAATTAAAAAATCCTCC